GGNAGAGCGCCTCCGCGTCGCCCGCCGGCGCCGGCCGCGGCGGCGCGGCGCCGCCGCCGCCCGCGCCGCCGCCCCAGGCCGCGTCGATGGCGCGAGCGGCGTCCTCGTCGAGCGACGCCGGGAAGGCGACGTCGAAGGCGACGACGAGCTTCCCCTTGAGGTAGGCGTTCTCCTTGAAGGGGAGGCCGAGGCCCTCGGCCGCGTAGTGGCGGCCCGGCGCGACGACGACGCCCGGGTGCGTCCGGAGGCGCAACGTTCCGCCGGCGGCGCCCGGCCGCGGCACGGCGACGTCGACGCGGCCCGCGAGCGCCGCCCGCAGGTCGACGGCGACGGGCCGTTTCAGCACGAGGTCGCTGCCGCGGCGGTCGTAGAGCGGGTCCTCGTCGACTTCGAGGACGACGACGGCGTCGCCCGCGACGCCCGCCGCGCCCACGTCGCCGACCCCCTTCACCGTGACGCGGTCGCCCGTCGCGGCGCCCGGCGGCACGTCGAAGTCGCAGGTTGCGGTCTCCGCGAACTCGCCCGCGCCGCGGCAGCCGCGGCAGGGCGGCGCCTTGACGCCCGCGCCGTCGCACTCCGAACACGTCGCGCGCCGGAGGCCCCCGCCGTAGGGCGTGCGCAGGAAGACGTCGCCCGCGCCGTCGCAGGCGTCGCAGGGCACGGCGCGCTCGAGCGCCGCGCCGGAGCCCGCGCAGGTCGCGCAGCGGACCCGGCGCTCGACGGCTACGGACCGCTTCGCGCCGGCCAGCGCGTCCGCGAACGCCACCGTCGCCCTCGCGAGCCGCGGCGGCGGCTTCGCCGAGGGCGCCTCGGCCTGGTCGAAGGCCGCGTCGAGCTGCGCGAGCCCGGCGTCTCCCCGCGCGTCGTAGACCGCGCGCTTCCGCGCGTCGCCGAGGACGCCGTACGCGTCCCGGAGCCGCGAGAACGTCGCCGCGTCGCCGCCCTTGTCCGGGTGGTGCTTCAGGCAGAGGCGCCGGAACGCCTTCTTGAGCTCCGCGTCCGTCGCGTCGTTCTCGACGCCGAGCGCGGCGTAGAGCGACGGCTCCGTCGTCTTCCGGAGCGCTTCGTCGTCGCGCGTCCGCCGCGCCTCCGCCCTTCGCCGGAGCTCTTCGTCGTCGCGCTTTTCCGCCTCCTCCCGCCGCCGGAGCTCGGCCTCGGCGGCGCGGATCTCCGCCTCCTGGGCGGCGATCTCGCGCTCGACGCTCTCGACCTCGCGGCGGCGGCGGATCTCCGCCTCGGCCGCGCGGATCTCCGCCTCCTGGGCCGCGATCGCCTCGCGCAGCCGCGACTCCTCGTCCTCGGCGCGGCGCGCGGCCGCCACGTCCGCGCCGCCGCGGTCGCCGAGCACCTCGCGCACGGCGTACTCGTAGGCCTCCTGCTCGATCTCCGCGGCGCGCCGCGCGCGGCGCAGCTGGTCCGCGTAGTCGTCGTTGAGCAGGTCGCTCAGCGGGCTCCGAGCGCTGGCGCTCCGCGGCGACGCGTGCTTCCGCGCGTCGACGCGCGCGTAGGCCTGGTTCCGCAGCTCCCGCGCCAGCAGGTCCTCATACATCGGGTCCTCGTACATCGCGGACGGGCAGCCTCTCCGAGTTCGAAACCGCGCCAAACCGGTGCTTGCCAAAAAGTAAAGAAAGCAAAGGTGAAGCGGGGCAGCACACGATGATGGTGGCATAAAAAGCGGTGCTGCGACCACCATGAAGCGCGTCCTCCTCCTCGTCGTCTCCATCCGCACCATCGATGCCGGCGCCTGCTACAACGCGACGGCCAACGCCGCGCTGCTGCGCCAGGGCGCGGCGCTCCAGTGCGCCGGCGCCGCGACGAAGATGCCCTGCCTCGACCTCCAGCGGCCGACCCTCCCGCCGCGGCTCTTCCACCTCCACCTCTCGAAGATGAACGGCCGGAGCGTCCTGGACCGCGCGCCCGGCGTCACGGGCCTGCCGCGGTGCCCGTGGACGCGATCGTCGGGAGGCACGAGCACGTTCCGCCGCGGCGACGCGCTGCGCGACCGGCTGCGGTCGGCCGCGGGCACGCGGGCGAGCCGGTGCGTGACGTCCTTCGAGACCCACTGGGACGCCGCCGTCGACATGGCCATGGGCGACGGCGGGCCCGCGCCGCTGTTCCTCACGGTGCTCCGCGCGCCGCTCGCCTGGGCCGTGTCCAAGGTCAGGCACAAGACGCGGCGCCACGTCGAGGCCTGCGCGCGCGCCGGCGCCTTCGAGGCGCCGACGCCGCGCTGCGGCGACATCGACTTCCGGCGCTTCGGGCTGTTGCACCTCGGGCCCCTGGCGCCGGCGGACCGCGTCGCGGGCTGCGACGGCGCGGCGGCGCCGCGCGCGTGGACGGCGCGGCAGCGCATCGACGTCGCCGTGGCGCGCCTCGAGGCGTCGGTCTTCGGCGTCCAGGAGCACATGGAGGCGACCTACTGCCTCTGGAAGTACCAGTTCGGCGCGGCGGCGCACGGCACCAAGTTCCGCCGCGAGTGCGACTGCCGCGGCGCGGCGCGGCGCGGGGCCGCGCGGGACGAGGAGCTCCGCATCGCCGCGGCCAAGCACCAGGAGAACGCGACGCTCGAGTCGTTCCTCCGCGCGGAGCGGGGCCTGGCCGAGTACGCGCGGCTCTACGCGCGCGCCGACGAGCTCTTCCGCGACCGCTGCGACGCCGTCGAGGCCGCGACGTCCGTGAAGCTGCTCTGCGACGACTCCTACGTCGTCTCGCCCGCGCCGACGGCGCCGACGGCGGCGCCGACGGCGCGGCCGGCCCCGGCTCGGAAGGCGGTCGCGGTCGCGAGCGACGGCGCGCGGGCGCCGCGCCGCGCGGCGGCGGGCACGTCCCTCGTCGGCCTTGCGACGATGGCGGCCGAGCTGGCGATTCTGGCCGGGCTCGTCGCGGCGTCGCTCTAATGTGTGTGATCTAACGTATCGCCCCTTTCGCCCGGGCCAGCTGCGGGGATTGTGGCGCCCGGGGACGGTGTGCTGGGGTATGTTGAAATCCATCTAATGCTTTTGTGCTTATCAAAGTATTGCCCCTTTCGCCGGCTGCGGGGATTGTGGCGCCCGGGGACGCTGTTTTCTGGGTATGTTGAAGTTCATTCCGACTAAGTTGCCTCGCCACATCACCGTGACCAAGCCCAAGCGCCTCAGCCGCCGCGACGTGCCGCCGGAGTGGAAACAGGAACCGGCGCGTCGGCATGCTGGCAATCATCTGCGGCTTTGCCGCGTTGCCCGCCGTGCGGGCGCTCGCGCCCGCGACAAGAAGCGCGACGCGGCTCTTTGCGGCGCCGACGACATATGACAGCCTGTACGCAGCGCCGACGACATATGACGCCCTCGAGCGGCCGCCTGCAAGCGCGTCTCCGGCGCCAAGCGTGGCGCCTGAAGGAGGCCGATGGCTCGTGGCGAGCCCGGCGAGCCTGACGCTCGAGGCGGCGGACGAGATGTCCAACGTGGCGCTGCGCGAGGCGGCGCTTTGCGGATTCAACCCGATCTCCGTGTGCGTGATGGACTCGGCGGGCCGCGTCCTCGTGCACAAGACCATGCCGGGCTGCGGCAGCCTGACACCGGAGTACGCGCTCGCCAAGGCGAACGTGTGCGTCAGCCTCCTCTGTTCGAGTCGCGAACTCCGAGACAAGTACCAGAACGACGACGGCATCGGCCCCAAGATGCCGCAGCTCCTGGGGATGGGGACAGCCGCAGCCGCGGTCGGCCGGCCCATCGCGGCCTTCCCGGGCGGCGTCGTCTGTCGCGACGCGGGCGGCAACTTGGTCGCGGCCATCGGCGTCTCGGGCGCCGCGTCCGACGAGGACGAACACTGCTCCATCACCGCAGCCAGGGCCATCGGACTCTCCACCGAGCCCGCGCAGAGCCGACTCGCCTAGATGTCGGCTCCGCGTGGGGTAAGTTGATGTCAACTTGACCTCGTCGAAGCCGCGCTTCTCGATCTGGTCGAGGTCTGGGACTCGTACGAATCTCGGCCTCGGCAAGTGGCCTTCGCCATGGGGGCTGGATTGGAGGGCATGCAGGGGATGATGGGCGACGACATGATGGAGGGCATGATGGGCAAGCAGGACGCCATGATGGCGCGGGTGCACGCCACGTCGATCCGGCACCCGCAGCCCGAGGGCCCGGTCAAGGACTGCCTGCGCGGCGACGTCGCGGCCCTGCGCGCGCGCCTCGACGCGGGCCTCGACGTCCACGCGCTCTACGAGTGACAGGTGCCCGCGGCGATCGTGGGCCCCTGGCGCGTGCCCCTCCTCGAGGCCGCGACGAGCGCGGGCCACGCCGAGATCACGGAGCTGCTGCTCGCGCGCGGCGCGGACCCGGACCAGTACAGCGCGCAGGACTGCCACCCGCTCTACGGCGTGGCCCAGTTCGGCGACGTCCGCATGGCCGCGCTCAGCGTCGAGCGACGGGAGTGTTTTTCGCGCGAATTTCGCCCGAAGATGCGAAGAAATCCGACCCCGTCGCGCTCGGGTAGGCCGCGCTCCTCCTCGACGGCGGCGCGACCGTCGACCGCGTCACCGGCCCGCGGCACAACATGGGCAACGCCGAGACGTCGCTCTACGTCGCGGCCGCGTCCGGCCAGACGGCCATGGTCGAGCTCCTGCTCGCGCGGGGCGCGCGCGTCGACGTCGCGAACCGCGTCGGCGGCAGCCCGCTCTACATGGCGGCGCAGTGCGGCCGCGTCGAGATCCTCAAGATCCTCGCGGCCGCGGGCGCGGACGTCGACCAGGGCCGCACGGACGACTCATCCGTCGGCGGCTCGTCGCCGCTGCTCATGGCGTGCACCTCGGGCCACGCCGCCGTCGTCAAGGCGCTCGCCGAGCTCGGCGCGGACCTCGACTCGCGCAACAACAACGGCATGACGCCGCTCATGGCCGCCGCGTTCTTCGGCAAATCGGACTGCGCGGTGGCGCTCCTCGAGGCGGGCTGCGACGCGGCGGTGGAGCACGACTTCCCGGGACCCGCCGTGATGTTCAACGTGGAGAAGGTCCCGCGCAAGGGCCGGGCCGGCGCCGCCAAGCTCGCGCGCGACCGCGGCTTCGTCGCGCTGGGCGCGCTCGTCGCGCGCGACGGGGCGCGGCGCGCGCTCGTCGGCGAGGCCGTCGTCGTCCGCGGCACGAGCCGCGAGGACATCAACGGCACCGCGGGCACCGCGGCCCGCTACGACGCCGCGAAGGACCGCTACGACGTCGCGCTCGAGGGCTTCGACACGGCGCTGTCGTTCCGCGCGTCCAACGTCCGCCGGCCCGGCGACGACGGCGGCGACGACGACGGCGGCGGCGACGGCGACGCGTGGGGCCGCGTCGCGACGCGCGACGTCGTCGCCGCGAACGGCTGGCAGCGCGTCGTCGCCGTGGACCTGCCGCTCCCGGCGACGCGGCTCGCGTTCTCGCGCGGCGGGCGCCTCGCGGCGGTCCACGGGTCGCCCATGTCGTCCTTCGCCGTCGCGCTCCTCGAGCTCGAGGGCGACGGCGCGCGGACGGCGCCGGACTACGTGCGCAACACGACGGAGGTCGCCTGGTCCCCCGACGGCGGGCGCCTGGCGTGCTCGGTCAAGGGCAACGTCCACGTCGTCGACGTCGACCGGCCCCACGAGGTCGCGGCGCGGTGCTCGCGGCCGGAGATCAACCAAGGCATGATGCAGCAGATGTTCACGTTCGGCGAGCTCGCCGTGCTCGCGCTCGCGTGGAACGGGGCCAGCCTCGTCGTCGGCGGCTTCGAGGACACGACCGTGCGCTGCTGGCGCGTCGACGGCGGCGACGAGCGGGCCTATGTCATGAAATGGGCCATGACGCGCCACACCGCCGAGGTCGCCGCCGTCGCCTTCGACCCCTCCGGCGAGTTCGTGATCTCGGGCTCCGCCGACGGCACGGTCCGCCTCACGCGCGCGGCCACGGGGCGCTGCGCGCGCGTCTTCCGGTGCGGCCCGGAACCGGTCCCCGAGGTCGTGCCGTCCTGGAACCGGCGGACCCGCCTGCCTTCGCGGCCCGTCACGTTGCCCGTCGTCGCCGTCGCGTCCGTCGCGGCTCCCGGCGGGGTCCTCTTCGCGGCCTACGTCGACGCGGCGCGAACGCCGGACATCTCGGCGAGGCTGAGCTTCGGCGCCGGCCGCGCCGACGACCACGCGGCGACGAACGGGCCCCAGATCTGGGCCCTCGACCTCCCGGAGGACGACGCCCTCGACGAGCCCCCCACGGAGCTCTCGCCGGACGACGACGACGACGACGACGACGACGATGACCCGGGTCACATCGACTGGGCCGCCGCGGCGGCTCGGCTCGCCGAGCAGCGCGGGAGGGTCGAGCTCGTCGTCCCGGACGAGACCGACGAGGAGGCCGAGGCCGAGGCGCCGCGGAACCTGGTCTCGGAGGACAAGCGCCTCCACCGCTGCGTGGTGCCGTCGAACCGCGGCGGCGGCTCCGTGGCCTTCTCGCCCTGCGGCCGCTTCCTCGCGACCGCGGCCGAGGCGCCGAGCACGCCGCTCGCGGGCGACGGCCGCTGCAAGATGAAGGCCGGCTACGTCACGCAGATCCACGTCTTCGACACGGCGTCCGGCGCGCCGATCGCGACCATCGACACGACGTCGCAGGAGACGAGCCACGTCGCCTGGAGCCCCTGCGGCTCCGCGCTCGTCGCCGCGGGCATGGTCTACCCGGGCGGCGTCTTCGACGTCGACACCTTCGACGACGTCACCGGCGTCGTCGAGATCTACCGCGCCGGCGAGAAGACGACGCGGGCCGGCACGACCGCGCGCCTCGTGCTCCTGCGCAACGAGGTCCCGTCGCACGTGGCCGGCGCCATCATCGAGACGTTCCTCGGCTACCGCGACTGGTCCGCCTTCCTCCGCCCCACCTAGCGCGCGCGCGCCTTCGCCCCCCCGCTTCGAGCGCGCCCTTCTTACGCCCCCCCTCTTTCCTACTGGCCGCGGACGAGGGAGCCGAGCTTCGTGACGCCCGTCTTCTCCTTCGTGTAGTCCATCTGGCGCTGCCAGTCGCGGCCGAGGTCGCGCTGCTGGCGGATCTCGAGCTCGTGGCGCGCGACGCGGTCCACGGTGCTGCACTTGAGGGCCTTGGCGAGGGCGTCGCAGTCGCGCGCGCGCTCCGCGACGATGGCCGCCGTCTCCGTGTCCTGGCGCGCGCGCGACTGCGCGCCCAGTTCGAGCGCGAGCGCCTCCTGCTCCGCGCGCTCCGCCTTCAGGTCCAGGGGCGCGCCGATGGGGAAGGCGCGGCTCGGGTTGTCGTGCTTGAGCGACCGGCGGAGCTCGCGGTCGACGGCCCGTTTCGCGCGGTCGTGGTCGCCCTGCGCCTGGAGCGCCTTCGCGTTCTCCAGCCGCGCGGCGTAGTTCGCCGCGCGCCGCGCGGCCTCGCGGTTGCGCTCGTCGTCGCGGATGGCGGCGATGCGCTCGTCGTCGGCGCGGTTCATCTCCTTGGCCCGCGCGAGCTGCGCGTCGTAGGCGTCGTAGCGCGCCCTTAGATTCGTCGACCGCGCGGTCTTCTTCGGCAGGGACCGCGAGCGCACCATGGACCGGCCCATGGGCGCCATCAAAGCGTCGCGCGCCGACGCGGGCTCCGAGAAGTGGGGGCGGTCGGACCGCGGCGCGCCGTGCGCCGTCAGAATCCAGTCGACGGCGTCCGGGGGATCGCCGGGTTCCGCGGCGCCCGTGAAGGGCCGGGACGACGCCCGCGCCGTCGGCGGCTGGGAGCCCCGGGCGCTCGGCGGCATGGACCGCGACGTCGGGACGCGGGACGTCCGCGCGGTCGTCGCCGGCGTGCGGAAGTCGTCGGGCGTCGCCAGCGGAAAGTGGTCGAGGATCGTCGCGCGGGTCCCGCGCGCGGGCTCGTCGGGCCGCTCGAACCAGTGGGGCTTCGGCGCCGACTCGCGGAACTGGAAGCGCACGACCCGCGACTCGACGACGAGCGTGCCCAGCGACCCGACCCGGAGGTGGACGCCTTTACCGGTCGCGGCCGCCGCGCCCAGGTGGCGGACGAGCGCCACGAGCGCCTGCCGCGCGGCGTCCTTGTCGAGGCCCGCGCCGCAGGCGACGGAGGCTAGGTTCAGGATCGTCGCGGGCGCGAGGAGCGCGCGCGCCGGCGGCGCCATGTTCACGAGGCCGTGCGCGCGGAGGAACCGGTCGTCCGCGACGAAGACGCGGCTCTTGAAGCTGTGGCTCGCCAGATCCCCGGAGTCCAAGCCCGTCGCCGCGCCCTTCTCCCGCGTCGAGTTGTTCAGGAACGTCCAGCGCCCGAGGTTCGGGATGTTCAGGCCCCGGCCGGCGCTGAACGTCGACTCGAGGACGCCGACGACGGCCTCCCAGAGCTTGCCGGCGACCTTGGGGCCGAGGTCCGTCGACGCGCCCGTCTCGAGGATGAGGGCCTTCGCGTCGTAGCGCGCCATGGTTTTTTCTGGCGCGGCTCGGCGGCGCACGACGGCGGCCCGGGGCACCAAGCAGCGCGAGGGGCAGCCCGCGCTAGGTGAGAGAGCAGATACATGCGACGCAACACCGGCCTGCTTGAACCCGCTCTCCGTGTGCTCAGTCGACTAGTGCGCCTGGGTCTCGCCGTGCTCAGCGACGCCGCCAACGCCTCGTACGCATCGCGGCGCTCTGCGACGCCTTTTTCCGTGACGCCTTTTTTCGTGAAGCATGCGCCGCACAATCGCACTCCTCGTCCACTGCGCCGCCGCCGCGGCGCTCGTCGCGCACCCGTCGCCGGTGCGGCGCGCCGCGATGACCGCGCGCGCGCGGCCCGAGGAGTGCCCGCCCGAGGTCTGGGAGCGCATCGTCGAGGCCGAGGCCAACTCGCGGGAGAAGAAGTTCGGCGCCGTGGGGGCAGCGCTGTCGAACTTCGGCCTCGACAAGGGCTCCATCGAGGAGAACCAGCTGCGGATCTGGGAGGAGCTCAAGGCCAAGCAGGCGAGCGGCGCGAAGCCGCGGAAACGGACCGAGGCGGAGGCGGCGCCGGCGCCGGGCCCCTTCGCGGGCCTGAAGAAGGCCTGGGACGACGCGTACAAGGAGGCGGACGCGCAGGGCTACGCGCAGGCCGTCGCGCTCAACGCGAAGCTCGAGGAGAAGGGCATCCTCTCCAAGGCGCCGCGCCGCGAGAAGCTCTCCGCGGAGACGGACCTGCGCGGCGAGCCGCTCCAGCGGAAGCCGTCGAAGAAGAAGAACAAGAAGAAAAAGGGCGCGAAGCCCTCCGCGAAGCAGGGCGACGGCTTCGGGCGGTAAACTCTTTAGGAGACCTCCCGGAGCAGGGCGCGCCACCGCGCGAGGAGCGCCGCCGCGGTGTCGCGCGCGGACGGCGGCGGCCGCAGGCTCGCGCCCGTCTTCGGGTCGACGCCGCGCGCGCGCCAGTAGGACGCGCCGTAGGCCGCGTGGACCTCCGCGCCCGCGGCGATGGGTCTGATGGCCACGAGCGCCGCGGACCGCGCGGCCTTGTTCTTCCGGAACTCGGCGTTCAACATCGCCGCGTCGAAGTGGTCGTTGACGTAGCGGCCGGGCATGGCGTAGGCCTCGCGCGCGTCGACGTGCGCGTTGACGCCGAAGCCGCCCATCAAGTAGTCGCGGTTCTCGAGCTTCGCGGCCTTGGAGAGCGTCAGCACGACGCCGCGGTAGTGGCCCAGGACCTCGCCGACCGCGAAGGCGCGCCCGGCGAAGAGGCCGTCGCCGCCGCCGGCGACGCGCGACGGCTTCACGGCGACGCTGCGCCAGGCGGGGCCGACGCGGAACGACGCCTCCAGCGCGCGCTGCGCCGACCGCCGCCGCCGCCGCTTCACGAGCGCGTAGGCGTGGAGCGCCGCCACGGCGCCGGCGACGGCGGCGGCGCACGTGCGCGCGAGCTTCGTCGTCGGCATCGGCGCGTCGGCGCGCGCGGTGCGATCTTTGGCTTGGCCGGGCGCGGCCGGCAGCGCTGGGGGGGCCACCTCTCGCTGTGGCAATTTTGTTTGAATCGAGTTTGCCGTCAAGATGCTGTAAAAAAAACCTACGACGCCTGACTAGTGCGCGGTGGCCCGCGCGTCGTCGAGGGCGCGCTTCGTGTTGAGGAAGTAGTCCTTGAGGCTCGCGTGGTCCTTGTGCTTCGCCGCGAGGCCGAGGAGCTGGGCCGCGAACTTCGCCGCGTCGCCGTCCGCCAATACGACGTGCGCGACGAGGCCGTTGACGAGGTCCAGCACGAGCTCCGCGCGCTTCAACAGCCGCGCGGGCGACGGCGGATCGCCCGACGCCGGGTCGTCGGCGCCCAGCGCCGTGAGCTCGGCGACGGCCGCGTCGACGACGGCGCCCAGGTGGGTCTGCAGCTCGGCGAGGTACTCGGGCGCGCCGCCGTAGAGCACGTCGTTGGCCTCGACGCCCGGCGCCGTGTAGGGCAGGCGCCGCTGCGCGTAGGCCGCGAGCAGCGGGAGCAGCGCGAGCGTCGCCTTCGCGCGGCCGCCCGTGTGCTTCTGCCAGTGCTCGTATTTCGGGAGCGCGTTCAGCAGCCCCTTGACGAGGTAGAAGGGCCCGTGGTCCGGGTGGCCGGGGACGGCCACCAGCGCGCCGACGAGCTTCGTCACGAAGGCGACCAGGCGCGGCTCCGTGTGGGGCTCGCGGTCGCCCTCGCCGACGCCGAAGTACGTCGACGCCTCGGCGCGCGGCGCGTCCGGGATGTGCGTCACCGCCGCTTTGAAAAACGTGTCCGCGTGGGGCAGGCAGCCGTTCAAGAGCGCCACGTGGCCGCAGTGCTCCAGGAGATCTAGACGGCGGAACGACCGGCCGATGGAGGGGATCGTGACGTGGCAGAACGCCAGACACGCCTTCGCGAAGCCCAGCGTCCGTTCCGTGTGCTGGCCGCCGGCGACCCATTTCCGGCAGCACATGGCGAGGTGGCAGGCCTCTAAAACGACCTTGTCGAGCACGGGGTCCAGGTTGTGGAACGCCGCGCGGCACTCGACGTAGACGCCGAGCTGCCTTTCGACGTCGCGGCCGAAGTCGACGGCGTCGACGAAGCCGCAGACGAGCGACGCGACGTGGCGCCGCTCGCCGTCGGGCGACAGGGAATCGAGGGCGTCGTGGGCGACGCGGCCGATCTCGAGGATCGCGTGCACGAGCACGGGGTCGGACACGGTCGCCGCCCTCGACGTCCGCCCGCCGCAGTTCGCCAGCAATTCCTTGGCGATCTCGACCTTGCGGTGGGGCCGGAAGACGTCCAGGAGCTTCAGGAAGTGGTCGCTGGCGAGGATCACGTTCGCCCCGCCGAACTTGGAGCACGACTCGATCAACAGCTGCACGAGATCCTCGAGCTGCCGCGTCTCGGCGCCGTCGCCGTCGCCGCCCGCGCGGTTCGGCCCGAGGACGCCCTCGGCGATGGCCGCGTCGACGTGGTCGATGACGTCGCCTAAGAGCACCTTGACCTCGCGGTCGCCGTAGTGCTTCAGCAGGCAGTCGAGCCACGCCGTCGCGCACGCGACGTAGTCGCCGAGCTCCGTGCACCGCGTCGCGACCTTCCAGACCTCGTTCAGCACGGCGAGGCGCTGGTGCGGCGGCGGCGGGCACTCGGCGAAGCGCCGGCCCAGGCGCCCTAAAAGCGCCACCGTCGTGACGCGCGACGGCTCCGCCTGCTTCGCGAGGCCGACGACGCCGAGCGGGTGCTTGGCGACGGACGCCGCGTCGAACGCGTCGACGATGTGGGCCAGCACCGTCGCGTCGTTGCAGTAGTCGCGGTAGTGGGCGACGACGGTCTCGAAGTGCTCGTAGGACGCGCCGCGGCCGATGCACCGCAGGACCCACTCGACCGCGGGCTCGCCGAGGCGGATGTACTGGCCGTCGCTCAGGCCGAGCGCCGCGAGCCGCGACGCGAAGGGCTCGCGGCGCACCTCCTTGAAGCAGAACAAGTAGTCGTGGAGCATGGTCACGGCGTAGGGCTTGCAGGCCGGCGCGACGTCCGCGCCGACCTTGGCGAGGTAGCACCGCGCGTAGACCCCGACCAGCGGGTCGCCGACGCCGCGCGCGATGGACCCTAAACGCCCCAGGATCGCCGGGAACTCGCCGTCGCTCAGGAACTCGTAGCATTTCAGCAGCGCGACCTCGACGTAGAAGCGGGGCAGGAGCTCGCGGATGCACGCGGTCTTGTAGAACCAGTTCCGGCACCTGCGCGGAAACCGACCGGTGAGCCGGGCCAAACTTGGGAAATTCTCGAGCTCGGTCGCATCGATTCGGCTCATCTTTGGACGAATCGATGGCTCTCGTCGAGTTCTTGGCGGAAGAGCCGGATCCTAGCCGTGTGCATACGCTCCTATTGAAGTCGGGTTGAAGACTCGACGCGGTCCGGCGCGTCTCCTTGGCGTCCGCGCAGACGTCGCGCGACGCGAAGGCCGCCCCGAGGCCCCGCCGGCCCGGCGCCGCGGCGTCGGCCTTGGCGCGGATGCGGTCGTAGACGAGCTTGCCGAAGAGGTCGAGCAGCTCGGACGTGAGCACGAACATGGCCGGGTAGAAAGCAGGCGCGGCCGTCTCGCCGAGGAGCTTCGCGGCCTGGATGGCGATCTTCAGCGCCAGCACGCGCTCGTCGTTGGCCCAGGCCTTCTTGAGCTGGGCCCGCAGCCGCTCGAGGTGCTGGACGTACTCCTCGGAGGAGATGGACGCGACGGTCGAATTCGCGACGCCCGCGGCCTGCTGCTCGAGCTGCTGGAGCCGCGCGGCGGCCTGGGCGGGAAAGAAGTGATTCAACGTCGCTTCAACGTGGGCGTTCCGCGCGCGCGCGTGCCGCTCAAAGCATCCATGCTTCGAGAGCGCTCCGAGGGATGATCGCTCGTCCAAAAATCAGCCGAAACGAGGGGAAAACGACCGAGATCGGAGCCTTTGAAGTTGGGCATGTCGCGCTCGTTTCCCGCCCCGGCGGCGGCCTTGTCCACGGCCTTGGGCGCGAGGATGGACTGCTCGTGCTCGCCGTCGTCCATGACGTCGCGCCCGTCCTTGGCGCCCTTGGCGCTCGACGGGTAGGCCGTCGACGGCAAGGCGATGCGCATGGAGCCGGACCCGGTGAACTCGCGCGTGATGCTTTGCTTGAAGGCCGCCCAGCCGAGGCGCTCCGTCTCCGCGCCGGACGACGACGCGGGCCCGCCCTCGGGGGCGAGGAAGCTCGCGCGCTCGGGCGGCGGCGGCGGCGCCGCGCCGCCGGAGATCATCGACAGCGGGTCGTCGGCCGCGTCGACCAAGGCCTTTTTTCGCGGCGCGGGGTCGAGCATCGCGGACAGCGGGTCGTCGGGCGCCGCGGGCTCGTCCCTCGCGTCCGGCGCCGCCTTCTTGACGACGGAGCTGCGCTTCGCCTGGGACGGGACGAGCGGGTGCTCGCCGGCGGCGTCGACGCCCCGGCACCGCAGGCGGCTCCGCTCGGCGGCGTAGTCCCGCGTCGCGAAGACCCACTCGGCGACGTCCGTCATGGCTCCTTTTCTCGGTGGGGCGCCGCGGGGGCTCGGCGACGCGTCTTTCGAGAGGCGGGCGCCCGCGGCGCTCGGAGCCGCGGCCGACGGCGGCGTCCGAGAGTGCCTGGCTGCGGGGCAGCCTCCGGTGCATCTCCGGTGCTCCACAAACTCGCTCCAGCCGCTTCGCTGCCTGTCACAGCCGCCGCCTCGCGACGCCCGCAGCGCACGCCGCGCCGAACGCGACGACCGCGTCCACGCGCGCGCGGCAGGATGTCGGAGCAGGTCGCGAGCGAGCTCGCGAAGAAGGGCGCCGTGACCGAGGACGTGTCGAGCCAGTTCACGGACGTGAAGATGGCGACGATTTTGTCCGGCAACACGAACCCGCGCGGCATCCCCCACGTCGCGTTCATCGACTCCGTCGAGTCGACGCTCGCGGCGACGACGGACGGCACGGTGGAGACGCTCATCGGCGCGTTCAACGAGCTGCACCAGAAGTTCAAGATCCTCGAGGGCCACAAGGCGCGGACGAAGATGTCGATGAAGCAGAAGATCCCGGAGATCACCAAGACGCTCCAGCTCGTCGAGCACCTCAAGGCGAAGCACGAGGCCGAGGAGGACTTCATGAGCCACTACTCGCTGAGCGAGATGATCTACGGCCGCGCGACGATCACGCCGACCGGCAACGTCTGCCTCTGGCTCGGCGCGAACGTCATGGTCGAGTACCCCTACGACGAGGCCCTCGACATCCTCACGCTGTCGCTGAAGAACGCCAAGCTCCGCAAGGACATCTGCGACGAGGACCTCGACATGCTCCGCGACCAGATCATCACCGTCGAGGTCAACATGGCCCGCGTCTTCAACTACGACGTCAAGCGGCGACGGGACGAGAAGAAGCCCGAGGCCGGCGCCATCGAGGCCTAGGCCCCGGCCGCGGCGGGGCGATGCTCCTCTCTTCGTAACTCGACCTAGGACAGCCGCGCGAGGCCGTCCCGCGCGGCCTGCGTGAGGCGGGGCATGGCGAGGATCTCGGCCGGGCAGGGCCCGACGATGCCCTTCATGCGCCCGTTCTCGACGCCGCCGAGGCTCGCGAGCAGGGCGCAGTTCGCGAGCTCGCGCGGCAGCGGGCCGGAGAACTGGTTGCCCCAGATCTGCAGGTTCGTGAGCTTCGCGCAGCGGCCGATCTCGGGCGGCACGGGCCCCGCGAGGTTCGCGTTCTGCAACGTCGAAGAGGCCCAGCGTCCGCGCCAGTTTGTAGGTCGCGTGGCCGCCGCCGTGCTTCAGCGCCAGCAGGTCCGCGACGGAGATCTGGAGCTCGCAGACGTGGCCCGTCGTCGCGCAGCGGAGGTTGATGAGCATGTCGCGGTAGCCGCCGAGGGACGACGCGTCGTAGTGGCGCGCCAGCCGGTCCTTGACGAAGGCGACCTTGAAGTCCGCGCGGCCCGACAGCGCTCCCAGGACTCGCTCGACGTCCGAGAGCGCGCCGCACTCGACGGTCATGCGGCAGAGGTCCGTGAGCCGGCGGAAGTCGCCGCGGTACTTCTCGAGCGCCTTCTGGATCGCGCGGCCGTAGGTCTTGAGCGGCGCGACGAAGACCTTCACGGTCCCGACCTTCGCCTTGACGTCGTCGGCGAGCGCGGACAGGAGGGGCAGCGTCCGCTCCGCGTCCGCGTAGAGCCGCACGAGGAACTCGGGTGCGAGGTGGTCGACGCTCTGGCGGTCCTTCTGATACGCGGAGATGGCCTGGAGGACGTGGCCCGAGTCGTGGCAGACGACGCGCTCGGGGGGCAGGTCGTGCTCGTAGTGCTTGACGCCGGCGTCCTTGCCGAAGCCCTCGCGGTACTCCGTGTTCGCCGTCTGCTCCTTGTTGTGCATGACGACGTTGAAGCCGCGGGCCGTCTTCGCGAGGATCTTGGCCTTGTGCGCGAAGTGGTGCTCGTCGTACTCCTCCTCGCGCTCGCGGTCCATCTCCTCGGGCAACAGCACCGCGCCGACGACCGCGCCCGGCCGCAGGTTGTCCCGCGGCGCCGCCGTCGCCGCGGCGACGCCGACGCGGTCGAGGACGCCGGGCTCCGCCGCGTCGAGGCGGTCGAGCGCGGCCTGGTAGCCGTGGCGATCCGCGACGAGCCGCGACGCGATGGAGGTCGCCGTCATGCACGTGACCTCGTCGACGTGCGCCTCCGCGGCGACGAGGCGCTGCTCGGCGGACGCGAGCGCCTTCCTCGTCTTGTCCGCGGACACGGCGATCATCGAGAGCACGGACTTGTCCTTGACGCCCATCTTGACGCACTGCTCCCGCATGAGGGTCTGCTCCGCGAGCTGGTCCCGGAGGTGGCGGATCTGCTCCGTGCGCGGCGCGATCTGGGCCAGCGCGCCTGCGCGTTTCGCGAGTGCGCGCGCGCGTCGTCTCGTCCCGTTTCCGGACGAGCCGCGTTCTCTCGAACAAGGACGCCGGCGTCGCGCCCTCGCAGATCTGGAGCATGACGGACGGATTCGTGTAGCCGTCGCCCATGCCGAGCTTCTCGTCGGCGACGGCCGCGAGGACGACGGCCGTGTCCGCGCGCCGTTCCGCCTCGTGCGCGGCCTCGACGAGGCTCGCGTCGTTCCGGTTCGTCGTCAGATGCTCCGCGTCCTGGCGCGTGAGCCGCGCCTTCGTGACTTCCCGCTCGAGGTCCGAGACCTGGCGCCGCAGGCGCGCGACCTCGGCCAGGCCCGCCTCGGCGGCCTTCCGCTGCTCCTCCGGCGGCGCTTTGAAGAAGGCGTCGAGCACGCGCGCGAGCTCCGCGCCCTCCTCCGCGCCGGTGCCGACGGACTGCGACGCGCCCATCGTTTACAGGCTCTTCTACGACGGGACCTTCGACGACAGGCTCGTGAAGCTGCCCGGGTTGGTGCGCGCGGTGTTGCCGGTGCGCGCGCCCGGGCTGCCGCACTGAAAGCCTCCCGATGTTGAAGACCCCTTTTTTGAACGAGTCCGGTGGCGGAAAAAGGTGCTTACGCGAGGCGGCGGCGGATGCGGCGCGACACGGACGTCTCGACGTTCGTCTGGGTCATGGCGCCCGTGTCGACGAAGTAGGTGCCGGAGCCGCGGCCGAAGCAGAACTGGCCGCCGCGCGCGGACTCGGCCTGCGCCGCGCCGTCCGCGTCGAAGCGGCGCCACGCGCCCGAGCCCGACGGGCCGTCCTCGAACTCCCAGACCGGCGCGCTGGCCGCCGCCGACGGGTCGACGCGGCGGATGCGCCGCTCCACGGACGACGCGGTGTTGGTCTGCGTCATGTCGGAAAAGTCGACGTGGTACTCGTTGCCGCGCGCGCGGTAGCCGACGGCGCCGCGCGGGTTCGAGCCAAAGGCCTGCTCGACGGCCTCGCTCGCGTCGGCGTCGAAGGGCTGCCAGGCGCCGTCGTCGCCGCGGAACTCCCAGCGGCCGCCGCTTCCGCCGCCGCCGCCGCTCCCGGCGGCCGCGGCGCGCGCGGGCCGCGGCGGCGACGTGAGGTCGATGGCGTCCGGCGCCGTGAGGTCGATGGGCGTCGCCTCCGCCTCCGGCAATCCCTCGATCGCGTCGACGTCGACGACCTCGACGGCCTCCGCCGCCGCCGTCGCTTCCACGACCCGCGGCGGCGCGGGCACGCCGTGCGCCTCGCGCCACTCGTCGATGGCGTTGCGAAGCGCGAGGTTCGGCACGAGCTGCGACGGCCTGAGCGCCGCGCCGCTCACGGGCGACGTCGCGTTCTTCGTGAGCCACTCGACGATGGCGGCCTTCTCGTAGGTCGTGCCGCTCGTCGGGTCCACGACGGGGTCCACCATGAGCTCGAAGGTCAGCGGGCAGGCGAAGTGGTCCGGCGGCTGGGCGAGCTCGGCCATGGTCTTGCGCGGCGCGCGCGCGACGAGGCCGGCGGGTCTAGCCGCCAACTCCGGTCGAGGTCGCACGGCATCATGAAGATCTTCGAGGTCGGCCTTGACGCTTTTTGATCTCCGCGCCTCACCGCCCCGGAGCGTGCTCCGACCTTCGGCATCCGCAGTGGCCGCTAGCAAAGGATCCACGGCGGCCGAGTGGTCGCAAAACCACAAGAGCTCCATCCAGTCATCGCGCGCCCATGAGACCACCCATTTTCCTGCTCGCCGCCGCGGCGGCGGCCTTCCAGAGCCCGCAACCGCCAAAACGCCGCTGTTCGCCGCTCGCCGCCGCCGCCGTCGAAGAGGAAAGTCCGTTCAGTGTGCTCGGCGTGGACTCGCGGCGCTTCCGATTCTGGTCCAGCGACAAGCGCCGGCGCCACGTGAAACGGGTCGCGAAGGCGGAGATCTTCCGGTGCCATCCCGACACCGCGGACGGCGACGGCGACGGCGCGCGGCTCCAGCAGGTGCTCCGCGCGTCCAAAGTGCTGGCCACGGACGCGGGCTGCGAGGCGGCGCTCAAGCGGGCCCTGCGCGCCGAGGCGCCGCGCTGGACCGCGCGCGACCTCCGGAAGTACCTCCGCGTCCACGCGACGGAGAAGATCGCCGCGGCCTTCTTCGCCGAGGGCATCGACGGCGTCGACATCTGCGGCGACAAGCGCTACGGCGGCGACGACGTCGAGCACTTCATCCACGCGCTGCGGGTGCTGGGGACCGCGGACGCGTCGGAGGCGGACCTCGTCGAGGCCATCATCCGCGACGTCACGGGCACGCAGGCGGGCGGCTACACGTTCAAGCGCCAGCAGCCCGCGGTGCGTAAGTACGGATGATGCGCGGCGCGGGGAGGCGTTTTGGGGCGCGCGTCCTCGGCGCCCGCGTTCGCGCGTCGCGAGGCCGTCGACCGCGGCCGACATCTTCCGGACGGCGTCGTTACACCCTCTCGACGGTCGCAATGAGCTCCTCGAGGGGAGAGCGAGGAGGGTTAAATGTACCAAAGGGTCGTGAGAGTCGCCGAATTGCGATTTTGCCTCAGCAAAGAGGAGGAGGAGCGCTGCGATGGAGGGCAAGGCGACTCTCTCTGAAAACCTTGCCGAAATGTTAAGCTTCAAACATGAGTGTCGCGACGCTACCCGTAACGGAGTGCCAGACAATGAGCATCCTGCGACCCAGATGTTTCGCGTGGCCTGGGCCCGTCGGAATGAATGCCCACTTATGGCGGCATGGAAGCTTCCGCTCATGATCAACGCCCGCATCATGGGCCCCAAGTTCTATCGGTTCCAGATGGATTGGGACGTCCGCTTCGAGGTCGCCAACGACGCCGAGTTCCGCAAGTCGCTCAAGAAGCAACAGAAGGAGGGGCGCGCCCAGGGCATCCGTATGCGTCCTATCGAGACGATCATGTCGCGCGGCGGCTGCTTCGGTCTCGCTCTCGTCGAGGCGGGCAAGCGTTTGGTCGTGACGGGGCACATCAAGGATCCAAGTGGCGCCACGCCGGGCGAGGTCGTCGATTGGATGAACGACCTCGTCGCGCGCTCTCGCGAGGCGCTTCCGCCGCCGGCCGACACCGCGGCCCGCGACTTCTTTCGCCGCGAAGTCATCGTCTGCGACGGCGTCGAGATCGGCTACGACGCCTTCGCGGCCTGCCACGAGGGCGCCCGCGTGACGCTCCGCGGTCTCTCCGCCGCGGAGCTGAACGGCGAGACGGGCTCCGTCGTGAAAGCCGTCGACGCGCGCACGGGCCGCGCCATGGTCAAACTCCATTCCGGACAGCGCGTCGTGGCCGTCAAGGTGGGGAACCTCACCGTGACGAGGCCGAACGCGTCCCAGCGGCCCTACAAGCGCGCGCTCGTGAATCTCGCGGTTTGCTCCGGGCTCCTTCGTTTCCAGCTCGAGAGCCACGACGACCTCGACGCCGCGGGCGTGGACCTGATTATGAAGCTCCTGCAGGAGAACAAGGTCGACGAAATCCCGCCGCCGACCGCCTTCGGTCTCGTCCACATCCTCGGCGTCCAAGACCGCTCGACGCCGCTCGAGTACCTCTACTGCCTGCTCCGGCCCATCGCGGACAAGTTGCACGACATGTAAGGCGTTTCACCGAGCCATTGATCTCGAACACACGCCGCTGGGGTCGCGCGAGCCTTGTCGCCTCTTGCGCCCTTCAGCTTCCGGCAAACATGCCCCAGACGAGCAGCGACTCAGCGAGGCGCGACCTGCCCTCGCGAGCCTGCACGACGCGCGTGCACGCACAACCCCACACCAACGCAAAGCATACGCGCACGCGCGCATCGCAAGCCAACACACCAGCAATCATGGCCGTCCTCGCCGCCGCCGCGCCGCCGCTCTCCAAGAGCCAGCAGAAGAAGGAGAAGGAGCGGCGGCAGAAGATGCGCAAGATGGCGGACATGGCGGACACGATGTACAAGGGCCGGAGATGCTTCGTGAGCAAGAACGGCGCCGAGTCGCTCGCGACCGTCGTCAAGGTGCACCGCGACGACCCGGAGGAGATGTACATCACCGTCGCCGACGAGGCCGGCCGGGAGCGGCAGACGCTGCTCGCGCGCACGCGGCCGGCGACGGACGAGGAGGTCGAGGCCTACGACGACGCGGCCGAGGACCGCAGGGCCGCCGCGGACGCCGAGGCCGCGAAACGCGCAGAGGCCGAGCGGCGGAAGGCCGAGGACGCGCTCGTCGACGAGCTCGGCGACATCGCGCTCGGCGACGGCGCCGCGACGGCGACGAAGAAGAAGAAGCCCAAGAAGAAGGGGAAGTAAGCTCTAAATAGACGGCCTGCGGAGCTTGCTTTAGGCGGCCCGCGTCACGGTGAAGTGGTAGCTCGCGTTCGCGTCCTCGGGGAGGTAGGGGTAGAAGAACATGTAGTTCGTGGACCACGCGTTGTTCCAGAGGTTGAACGCGACGCCGTGGACGCCCGCCGCGGCCTCCTGCTGCCAGTTGAGCAGCACGCTCGGCGGCCGCTTCGCGATCGGCGCGAGCACCGGCGCGTCGAGCGAGTCGACGACGAAACGCGCGTCGCCCGTCTCGCACCGCGCGTCGTCGGCCGCGTGGACGCCCGAGCTCCCGCCGCGCACGACGTCGTCGAAGGAGACCGGCGCGCCGAGCTTCGTCATGGACCAGTCGCCGGGGCCCTCGAAGCGCACCCACGCGGCCTCGTTAAAACGCGTCGGCCGCTTGCCCAAGACGACGACGTCGACGTCGAGCGCGTCGCGCGACACGTTATAGGTCGTCCAGACCTCGGCCGGCGCGCCGACGCCCGTCACCGCGACCCGGGCGACGAGGACGCACTCGCCGGCGTAGAGCGCCTCCAGCTCGCCCGTCGATCGTCGCGTCTCGCCGCCGGCGTAGGCCGAGGACCCGGGCTTGCCGCCGAAGACCTGGTCGCAGACGAACGCCGACGTGTTGTAGACGTCCTCGCCGAGGGCCTCGTAGGCGACGCCGCCGACGGACATGCCCCGGAAGCGGAGCGAGCCCGCGTCGTCGACGCGGAGCGGTTCGCCGCGGCACGAGAAGGACCGCTCCGCCGTCTTCGTCAGACCGTCGAGCGCCGGGCGCCGGGCCCCGGCGTCCTTCTCTTTGAGGATCGCCTCCCACGCCGCGCGCAGCGCGTGGCCCGCCGGGAGCGCCGCCGCCGCCAGCCGCGCGAAGTCGCGCTGCGCGCGCCAATCCCTCAAATTGTAGTCGAAGTCGCCCGCCGCGTACTGGCGGTCCAGCTCCGCGTTCGTCCAGTTCGCGCTCTTGTTGTAGAGGTCGCTCAGGCCCCACGTGTGCTCCGAGAGCTTGAGGAGGTAGGACGCGGCGTTCCGCAGCGCGTCGCCGCTCCCGTCGCCGCCGCCGCTCGCGTGCGCGTCGTAGGCCCGCTGCATGCGCCGCGTCACGGCGGCCTTCCAGGGGTCCGACGCGACGCCGGGGATCCAGACGTCGCCGATCTCCCTACGCAACGGGTGTGTTTTTTCCAATCTCTCGAGTCTTTGCGAGCGAGACGCCGGTCCCTCGCTGCGTGACCACGGGCAGCGTCTCGTCGGCCGCCGCGGCCGCGTAGAACTTGTCCAAATCGCCCGCGACGACGTCCGCGCCCGGGAACTGGGACCGCGCGACCTCGAAGCCCCGCCGCACCTCCTCGGCGGACCGCGGCGGGCCCGTGTTGTCCGTGCGGAACGCGAAGCAGAACGCCTCCTCGCCGGCGACCATGCACTCCTTCCGGGCCAACGTCCCCGCGCGCTGCTCCGTGCACCGCAACATCGACGACTCGGGGCACGCGTACATGTCCGGGTAGCCCCCCGGGTGCCAGCCGCCCACGACCTCGGCGCCGCCGACGCGCCATTTGAACATCGTCGGCACCCAGGGCGGGCAGACGCCGCCGTTGACCTGTGTGCAAATCAAATCTTCAACCCGACTTCAATGTGCGCGTATTCGAATGTTTTGACACGAGCACTTCCGCCGTGCTTCGAGAACTCGCTTGAGAGCAATCGATTCGTCCAAAAATCAGCCGAATCGACTTCGATTTGACCGAGCTAGAGAATTCTGAAGTTTGGCCCCGACGTCCCAGCTCACTGGTTGATTTGCACACAGCCGTTGACGCCGACGGTGACGCCCGTGACGTTCGCGGCGTTCAGCAGCGGCACGACGCCGCGCGTCATGCCCGGCACGTCGCGCTGGCTGAGCACGGCCTTGCGCGGGAGGTCGAAGGCGTCGTCGAGGTGGTGGCCGAGCTCGACGCCCGCGGAGAAGACGCCCGCGGTCATGAACTCGGCCTGCATGTTCATGGGGCCCGCGTGCCTACGGTTTCGTTCGTTTTTTTCGGGCGCACTCTCGCTTCCGGCGCCGGGGCGCGCCAGGCGATGGTGCCCCTGCGCACGGACGCGTTGAAGGCCTCGAGCGTCGTCGCGTTCGGGCATTGTAGAGGCGCGTCGAGCGCGGCGCCCATCTCTTCCTCGAGCTCGTCGCAGCGCAGGAAGTTGTAGACGAGCCAGGGGTGCGTGAGGTAGTGGAGCGTCGCGTTCGGGTCGCCCTGCAGCGCCGCCTGGACCTCGATGGCCTTGGGGAAGAAGTCCGCGAAGTACGAGTTCAACGTGAACGCGATGGATCCCGTGTAGCCGACGTCGAGGTGCGACATGGAGACCACGTGGACCTTTTTCACGCTGCGGAGCTTGATCCAGGCCTCGCCGTCGCCCCAGTCGATGCGCTCGCAGCGCGGGTAGAAGGGCCGCTTGTATTCGCCCGCGCCGTCCCAGTACTCGCCGGCCTCCTCGTCGGTCCACGCGCAGTCGGCGCTCTCGGCCGCGTAGCGCCCGCGGACGGTCGTCGTCGGTGTCTCGAGGGTGACCTCGGTGGCGTTGTCGGTCGCGAGCGTCGCCGCGTCGAAGGCGCAGGCGAGGACGCTGAGGTTTGACCAGCCGCCGTGTTCGCAGCGCACGTCGAGGGCGTGGCCGAGGCCCGTGGACACGCGCAGCGCGTCGTGGCGCGGCAGTGCGCCCGTGGCGTTCGCCGGGATGGACGTCCAGAGGCCCACGGGCGATGCCGCGGCCGCCGAAACGAGGGCGGCGAGCTCGATGATCATCGCAGCGAGTTCAGAATATGAAAAGTTTCTGGTGCGGTAAATGGTGCCGACAGACAGGATTGATCCGAGCCTCGATCGGGCTTCCGAGACCGACGACCCGCGTGATGGCGTCGTGTACCCTGCACACGCTTCTCGGGGCCTGCGGCCTCCCGCAGCACTACGCGAAGCTCCACGCCGAGGAGGTGGACGTCGACTTGCTGCGCGACGACATCCTGACCTTGGACGACCTCGCCGGCCTGATCCCGCGCGCCGACGCCGAGAAGATCCTCGGGGCGGCGCGCGGCGGCGCGGCGCAGCCCCGCGCGGCGGACGGGCCGCCGCGGGACGCCGCGGCCGACGCGGCGCCGCGGGACGCCGCGGCGGACGGGCCGCCGGACTCCTGGGAAGACCTGATCCCGCGCGCCGACGCCGAGAAGGTCCTCGCGACGGCGCGCGGCGCCGCCGAGGACGACGAGCCGCCGGACAGCTTCGTCTGCCCCATCTCCTACGAGGTCATGCGCGACCCCGTCACGGCCGCGGACGGCACGACCTACGACCGCGCGTTCATCGCGGCTTGGCTGTCGAAGCACGACACGAGCCCCGCGACGAACCTCGTCCTCGAGTCCAAGATCCTCGTGCCCGACGACGCGCTCCGCGCCGCGATCCGCGCGGACCCGCGCTACGCGGCCCTCGCGCCGTCCCGGCCGCCGGGCGCGCCGCCGCCGCCGCCGCCGCGCCCGGAAGCGCGGGTCGCGCCGCGCGCCGCGCCGCCGCGCGTCGAGGCGCCGCCGCGCGCCGCGCCGCCGGCGCCGCGCCGCGACGCGCCGGCGCCGCGCCTCGACCGCCGCGCGGGCATGGTGAAATCTTTCGACAAGGTCTACGGCTTCATCGCCGAGGACGCCGGCGGCGAGATGTTCGTCCACATCGCGGACGTCCGCGGCCGCCGCGAGCTCAAGCGCGGCGACCGCGTGACCTACAGCGTGGCGCCCTTCCGCGGCCGCCCCAAGGCCGTGAACGTCGAGGTCGCGCCGGCCGCCGAACCGCGCCGCGCCGCGCCGCCGCGGAGCCCCGTCAAGCCCGGCGCTCGCGAGGCGGGCTCCGTCGTCTCCTTCAACGCCTCCTTCGGCTTCATCAAGCCCGTCGACGGGGGCCCGGTCGTCTTCTTCCACCGCGACGACCTGCGCGACGACCTCCACGCGCGCGGCCTCGAGCCCGACGACTTCGTCTCCTTCCGCTGGGGCGTCGACGTCGCCGGCCGGCACCAAGGCCGTCGACATCGCCCTGTTGTAGCTGGTCGTCGAGGCTGCGCCGGCTGTACATATGTACCTAAGCGGACTACGGCGTTCGGGCCATTTACCCCAATTTACCCCCGGCCAGCTAGGCGTGGAGCAATTCAAGCGCATGGCTTCGCGCCCGATCGGTGAGCGCCAATTCCTCTAACCCGACCCACACGAAGACGCAGCACCGGCCCGCGGACCGCGTCGGCGCGTCGCTGATGGAGAGCTTCGCGCCCGAGCAATCGGTGAGCGCCATGGCGTCGAAGCCGACCCACACGAAGACGCAGCACCGGCCCGCGGACCGCGTCGGCGCGTCGCTGCCGCCGCGCGTCTCCGGCGAGGCGCTGGGCGAGGTCGAGGTCGCCGTGTCCGAGTGCCGCGGCGCCGAGGCCCTGTCGCTGGTGCTGCGCTGGTGGGGCGAGGGCGACGCGCCGCAGGCGGGCGTCGTCTTCGAGGCGAGCCGGAAGAACCCGCGGCGCGGCGAGAACTCGTGCCTCTTCCCCGTGCGCGTCGACGAGCACGGCCTCGGCCGGTACCTCCGCGACGCGCGGCTCTTGCGCTTCGACGTCGTCGCGCACGGCCGCGTCGTCGGCGCGCTCAAGGTGCCCCTCACGAAGGCGCCCCTGGGCCGCGTGCCCGGCGACGGCGAGCTGGGCCTCGTCGACGCGCGCTTCTCCGCCGTGTCGAACCCGCCGAAGACGACGAGCCATTCGGCGGCGCCGCGCAAGGTGCTCGGCTCCGCGCGCGTGCGCCTCGTCGTCCGCATGCGGTCCAAGAGCCGCGTGCGGTCGGCGCTGAAGCCCCGGGGCGCCCTCGTGGGCTCCTTCGACGGGCCCGCGGCCGCGGCCGCGGGGCCGCCGCGCGAAACCGCCGCGAGGAAGCCCGCCGCGCTCGCGTCGACGATCCCCAAGGTCGGCCTCAAGTCCAAGTTCTACAAGGACCCGGAGGCGACGGGCGTCGCCCTGCCCGTCGGCACGGCGGGCACGCTCGGCGCCGCGAAGCGCCGGAAAAAGCCGCCGCTCGCCGCGACGTACCGACAGCCAAAACCGACGGCGAACCCCTGGGGCCCCGGGTCGGACGACGACGACGAGCCGGACGCGGCGGCGGCGACGGCGGAAGTCGCGCCGCCCGTCGATGAAGTGGAGCGCTTCGTCGAGGGCGACATGACCGCGCCGCCGCCGCGCGAGGCGGCCGAGGACGACGCGCACGCGCGGTGGACCGTCGAGGACGACGCGGCGGAGGAGCGCGAGGAGGCCGTGCTCGAGGGCCTGCTGCGCCGCGGCGAGGCGCTGCGGGAGCAGATCGCGCGCGCGGAGTACTCGACGCCGTCGCGCGGCGACGACGCGGTCGCGGCGTTCGTGGACGCGGAACTGGACGCGGCGACGCGGCCGCCGCCGACGAGACCGCCGCCGCCCGAGAGCGAGTCGGAGCTTTCGGACGACGAGGACCGCGACGAGGGCCGGGCCTTCGCCACGGCGCCGGCGACGCGCGCGACGGGGGGCATGGTCGCGCTGCAAAGACGGGCCGCGAGCCTCGCTTCCGAGCTCGACGACACGGCGCTGCTCGCGCACGCGGACGACGACATCGTCGAGCAGCTGCTCCAGGACCCGGACCTGAACCCGCGGGAGGCGCGCGCCGCCGACGAGGCGCCGGCGCCGGCCGCGCCGCCGCCGCCGGCCCGGCGCGAGCCCGAGGCGCCCGTCGCCGCCGCGGCCGCCGCGCCGGCGCCGCCGGACCCGCGCGCGCTGCGCTGCTTGCTGCGCGTCCGGGGCCTGCGCCTGGACCGGGGCACGGCGGCGACCTGCGGCCGGGCGCGCGTCGCGCACCGCTGGTCGCTGCCGAACGCGCCGGAGCGGCCGCCGCGGCGCGACGGCAAGTTCGGGTCGCGGCCCGCCGACGGCGCCCGCGGCGCCTACGCGCTGGGCCCCTACGACTGCGCGGCGCCCTTCGCCGTCGACGACGCCTTCCGCGTCGGCCGCGCCGTCCAGGTCGTCGAGGTCTGGGCCGAGGCGCCCGACGGCGCGTCGGAGCGGTTGATCGGCCTGGCGAAGCTCCGGGGGGAAGAGCTCGCGGCCGCGCTGGACCGCGAGCGGCGCCGCGTGGTCCGCGCCCAGCGCCTCTTCGACGTCGCCGCGGGCGCCGACGCGCGCCTCGACGAGTGGCTCCTCGACGGCGGCCGCGCGGTCGTCGCGGACTTTACCGCGGCGTTGGTCGACCCGCTGTCGCAGCTGCGCCGCGGCGCCGTCGACGCGACGCTGGCGCTGGGCACGCCGAGCCAGCTCGCGGCCCTCGAGGACGCGCGGGCCTTCGACAAGGCGGCGAAGATCCAGTCCCTGCTGCGCGCGCGCGCCGCGCGGCGCCGGCCGGCGCCGCCGCCGCCGCCGCCGCCGGCGCCGCCCGCCGCGCCCGCGGGCGCGCCCCTCGCGGCCTTCGTCGACGCGCTCGACGACGCGGGGCTCCTCGACGACGACGTCTCGGCGCTGTCCAACTACGACGGCGCGGCGCCCGACGACGGCGCCATCGCTTACGAGGACCCCGCGGACGTCGCCTTCGGCGCCGCGGCGGTGCGCCACGTGCTCGAGGTCGCCGCCGTCGGGCCCTGCCGCCTGCCCGGCGCGCGCGGCGGCGCCACCGTGTCCTACGCCGTCCTCGGCGGCGAGCCCGCGAGCCTCTGGTGGGACGGCGACAGCCCGCGGCTCAACTCGCGCAGCCGCCACGACTTCGAGACGACGTCCTCCGCCGCCGCGCCCGCGGCCGCGGCGGCGCTGCTCCGGGGCCGCGGCGGCGTCGCGTTCACGGTGGCGCCCGACGGCGGCGGCGCGGCCTTCGAGGCCGTGCTCGCGGTCCGCGACGTGAAGCGGCTTGTCGCGGCGGCCGCCGCGCGCGAAGTCGTGAGAATACCGCTCGCGGACGCGTCCGGCCTCCGCGGCGGCGACCTCGCGCTGGCCGTCGCCTACCGCCGCGAGCCCGCGGGGGTGCTGCGGACCCGCGCGCGGCGCGCGGCGCCGCCCGCGGAGCGGCTCGCGGTGAGGATCGGCGAGCTGCGGGGCCTGGGGGGCGTGCTCCGCGCGTGGCGCGCGCAGGGCGCGGGCTCCGGCACGTTCCCCCTGGCCGAGCGGCCCGAGCGGGGCGTGTCCTTCGTCGCCGAGGTCGAGGCCGTGCTCGTCTTCGGCGACGGGGGCGCGCTCGAGTTCCGGTCGAAGCCCTTCGCGTTCGTGGCGGAGGACCGCCACGACGACGCGCCCGGGGACCTCGTCGACGAGGTCGTGGCCCTCCGCGCGGGCCGCACCCCCGTGCGGCTCGACGTCGTGCTGCGGCTCCTGGACGTGCGCGTGGGCGACGCGGGCACCGCGGCCGTCGACGGGCCGCTCGGCGTGCCGCTGGCGCGGTGCTCCGCGCCGCTCGCCGTCGACGAGCGCGACGTCGGCGGCTGGCTCGCGCTCAAGCCCGACGTCGACGACGCGGCCGGCGACGACGTCTTCTCCGTGACCAACGGGGCCGTGCACGTGACCTGCGCGCTCGCGTCCGCCGCCGCGGCGGTTCCGCCGCCGAGGCGGCCCGCGACGCGCGACGCCGCGACGGCCGTCGCCGAGTCCCTGGAGCTGCCGCCGGCGGGCGACGCGCGGCCCCTCCTCCGCGCCGCCGCCGCCGCGCCGCCGCCGGCGCCGCCGCGGTCCGTCGCCGCGGCCGCGCCGCGCGGAGGACTGGCGCTCCTCACGGTCGTCGTCGACGCCGCGGAGCGGCTGTCCGTGCCGCCCTTCCGGCCCGAGACGCCGACGGAGGACTGGCGCTGGTCCGTGTCCTGGCGGTCTTTAGACGGGCGCCACGCCGGCGACACGGCGCCGGCCGCCGGGGCGCTCCGGCCCGACGGTTTGTTCGCCGTGGCGTGGGCCGCGGAGTTCGCCGCGGAGCTGCCCGTCGCCGCGCTCCGCGACGGCGCGCTGGCCTTCGACGTGCTCGTGCGCGCGAAGCACGCGCCGAACGCCGCGAAGCTCGGGTCCGTGACCGTGGATCTGGGGCTGCTCGCGTGCGGCATGACGCGGCTCGACGGCAGCTACCAGTTGTCCGACGACTTCCGGCGCGACCGCGGCGCGCTGCGCCTGAAGATCGGCGCGGCCGCCGGCGCCCCGGAGATCGCGGGCGCGCGGTTCGTCGCCGCGCCGCGCGCGGCGCCCGTCGTCGCGGCCGCGCGGCCGGACCCGCCGCGGCTGGCGGCGCCCGGTCCCTGCGTCGCCGAGGTCGAGGACGCGGTCGTCTTCGTGCCGGCGCCCGAGGGGCCCGAGAGCCCGGGCCGCCGGCGCGAGGGTGTTCGCGCGGACCACCTCGAGGCGCGCGCGCGCGCGCTCGACGCGGGCGGCGTGTCGTTGGCGGACCTCGCGGGCGTCGTCGCGGGGTTGGACGCCGTCGGCGCGCACCTCCGCCGGCTCGGGGGCGACGCGCCGCCGGCGGCGCCCCGCGGGCCGCCGCCGCCCGTCGTGTCCCTGGCGGACCTCGCGCCGCCGCCGCGGCGCCGGCCGCCGTTCTCGCCCGTCGGCGCGCGGGAAGGCGCGGCCGCCCCGCCCGTCGGCGCGGGGAGCGCCGCCGCGGACGCCGAGGACGCGGCCGCGACGGCCTGGGCCGCGGCGTCCGACGCCGCCCGGGCCGCCGCCGACGCGGCGGCGTCCGCCGCCGCGCGCGACGCCGCCGCGGAGCTCCGGCGGGACGCGGAGCGCCTCGCGGACGAGCTGCGCCACGACAGGGACCGCGCGGCCGAGCGGCTCGCCGCGGAGCGCGCGGCGTCCGCCGCGGCGCAGGCCGCGGCCGCGCGCGAGGCGCGGGCCCTCGTCGAGGCCGAGCGCGCGGCGCTCCGGCGCGAGCTCGACGAGGCCCGGGCCGCCGCGGCCGCGCGCGACGCGGACCGCGACCGCGCGGCCGCGGCCGCCGCCGCGGACGCGGCCGCGCGCCACCTCGGCGCCCTCGCCGCCGACGCCGCGGAGCACGCCGCGGCGGCCGCCGCCGCGGACCGCGACCGCGCGCTGCGCGACGCCGAGGACGCGGCCCTCAAAGCCGCGGCGGAGCTCCGCGCCGCGGCGGCCGCGGTGCCCGAGCCCGCGGGCCGCCCGAGCGACGCCGCCGAGGGCCTCCCCAGCGGCCTCCCGAGCCTCGCCGCGCGGCCCGCCGCGACGGGCCTCCGCGCGTCGACGTCGTCCTCGGACGCCGTCTCGACGTCCGACGCGTCCGGCCGGACCGCGCCGCGCCGCGCGGCCTTCGCGACCGCGGAGACGGAGCGCATCGCGCGCATCATGCGGGGGGGCTGGGCCGCCCCCGGGTAAGATGGTGCGCCCCTCTAGATCCACAACTTACTGCGGTCCCATAATCGGAGGATGCTGTGCAAAGAATCCCCGCAAAACCGCTCGATCGCAAGCGAACGCCAGCCGGTCAAGATTGGGCTCTCGGGGACTTCGTCTCTCTCTGCCCAAGACATCCCATTCATCATCAGTTGGAATGGGGAATCCTCGTCCGGATCTTGTAAGCCGTCATTGAAAGCACAACCGTGGATCTCAACGACGCCCTCGTCTCCGTCAAATGATTCCCATGGTTCTGCTTTCGCATCGTAAAAAAATTCCATGGCCTTACCGTCAGCTTTTCGCACCACGACGACGCTGATCGAAACATCCGAAAATAAATTTTCAAACGCGATGCTGTGTTTTAGAAGTGACCCTGCGGGCGCGACATCCACGACCGCAGGCCCGTAACCATCCGGCGCGTCATCTGGAACCATGTCAAAGAGCCCGTCGACGATGATGTCACCCTTGTACTTGACGACGACCAGCGCCGAGTATGCATCGACTCCAGGGATTTTGTGGGCGGGCTTTCTTAAACCTACCCTCCACGATAGGCATTTCATCCGCAAGTATTCGCGTCGTCCAGTGATAGCGCTCGCACCGCCCACCGTCGAAAAATTCCGTGCCCATGGGAACACTCGCCTCGTGTGCGCGGACCACACCGCATCCGCCGTCGCGACCTCCTTCATCGCCCGGGAGCACGTGCGCAGCGCGTCGAGGTCTGACTGAAGAACGCTCTGCCTGGAGTGCGCTCCGGCTGGAGGACCGCGCCCCGGCTGGAGGAATGCGCTCACCAGCGTCATCCCGAGTTCGATTTCGGCCTGCGACAGCGGCGCGCGGTGCCGAATCCGTCGGCCCGACTGCGACATGCTGCGACTCGGTGTGTGAATTTGAATTCCGCTCTCCGGCGTCGACATCGGCGGCGTCAAGACTGCAACAGCACTACACTTACCTCTGCAAGATCTTGAGGGGCGGGCTAGCGCGAAGCGCAGGCAGCGCGAGCAGTGCGGGCAGCAACGCTCAGCATGAGGAATGCTCTCGCCGCCGCGCTCGGCCTCGCGGCGGCGCGCGCGGCCTTCGAGATGCGGCTCGTGGACCAGTACGGCGCCGTCATGGACGGCAGCGTGTCCCAGACGGGCCGCCTCGAGGTGCGGAACCCGCCGTCGTCGACGACCTGGGGCACGGTCTGCGACGACTACTGGAACTACTACGAGCGGAACGCGGACGTCGCCTGCGACGAGCTCTTCGGCACGGCCGCCGTGAGCTACGACGACTACGCCCCCGAGTTCGAGGCCGTGTCCAACACCGTGCCCATCTACATGGACGACGTCGCCTGCGCCGGCGCGGAGCCGTCGCTGTCCCTCTGCGCCGCGAGCGCCTGGGGCTCCGAGAACTGCAACCACTACGAGGACATCCACCTGACCTGCGAGGCCGTCGCCGCCGTCGCCGCGCCGACGCCCGCGCCGACGCCGTCGCCGACGGTCGGCTGCTCCCGGACGATCAAGGTCGGCACGTTCGACGAGGCGAACCCCTACACGGCGGCGGTCATGTCCAAGTGGCTCGACTCGTCGACGGCCTGCTGGGCCTTCTACCGCCAGACGTCCGGCGGGCGGAGCATCGCCCACCTCGAGAACGGCGACCTCGACGTCGCGATGCTCGGCTCGACGCCGTTCGCCGCCGCGGCCGCGCGGCGCGCGGCGCTGAGCGCCGTGAGCGTGCTCCACCTCAAGGGCGCGGCGCAGGCGCTGGTCACGCGGTCCGACCTCACGGGGCCCGTGAACCTCCGGGGCAAGATCCTCTGGACGCCCTACGTGTCGACGACGCACTACATCCTCCTGGCGGCGATGTCGCAGATGGGCATCGACGTGTCGGACCTGACGCTGGAGACGCGGTCGCCGGCGGCCATCGTCGCGGCCTGGGACGCGGGGACCATCGACGGCGCGGCCTGCTGGGGCAACACCATGGCCTACCTCCTCGACAACCCCCACGGCGCGACGCAGGGCGGGAAAAGCGTGCGAAATTCCCAACTTCAAAGGCTCCTATCTCGGCCGTTCCCCACTCGTTTCGGCTGACTTTTGGACGAGCGACCATCTCTCGGAACGGTCTCGAAGCGCGGATGCTTTTCTGGAAGCGGAACGCTCACGTTGAAGCGACGTTGAATCACCCTGTTCCTGCCCAGGCGCGACGGGCGACGCGGGCCGGGCGATGGTCGACGCCGCGACGGTCGCGCAGTGGGGCTACGACACGGGCAACGTGCTCGGCGTCTCCGACGCGTTCCTCGCGTCGGACCCGGCGCTCGTCGCGACCATCGTCGAGAAGTTCGCCCAGGCGACCTACGACTACACCAACAACCAGCTCAGCGGCTTGTGGGACGCGGGCGCGGACTACATGGCGTACGTCGACGACTTCGTCTACCTCACGGACGTCACGGGCGCGACGCCCCACTGGGTCGACGGCGTCCCCAACGACGACCTCCACGTGCGCGACGACGTCGCGGGCCGCACCGCGGCCTTCGAATACCTGTCGGTCGCGGAGCAGCTCGCGTTCTCGCTCGAAACGATGACCAGGGACCAGGCGACGTTCCTCTACTACCAAAAGGCCCTGGCGAACAACCCGCTCGACGACGCCGTGGCCTACTACCGCTCCAAGGTCGACAACACGAGCCTCCTGGGCGCGCTGGGCACGGAGTCCGTGGGCATCAAGGGCATGCGCGAGCGCGTCGAGATCGAGGAGCAGATCGCGGACGATTCCGAGAAGTGCGCGCCGCTGACGCATACGACCGTCTCCGGGTCCGCCGTCTTCGCGAGCGGCAACACGGGCACGTCGGCCTACAGCTCGAACGCGACCTGCGTCTGGGCCCTCGAGAGCGACGAGGGCTGCCTCGAGCTCTCCGTCGATTTCTTGGCGGCCGAGGCGCCGAACGACGTCCTGGAGGCCTACGACCACGCGGGCTTCCTCGTCGCGCGCTGGACGGGGCGCCACGGCGCGTCGATCCCGACCCTGAAATTCTGCGGCGACTACGACGCGAGCGACGACTTCCAGCGGGCGGTCGCCGGCGAGCTCGCCGGGCTCGTCTCGACGCCGACGTTCTCCGCGGCGACGGTGCGCGGCGTCGGGCTCTACCTCCGCTGGGCGACGGACGCCTACAGCGAGCACGCCATCGGCAAGTTCGACGCCGTCGGGTTCTCCGTGACGGCGACGGCCGTCGGCCCCTCGGACCTGTGCGGCTGCGGGTCGCACGGCGAGTCGCTCGCGGGCGTCTACGGCACGGCGTCGTGCGCGTGCGTCTGCGACGCCGGCTGGAGCGGCGCGGCCTGCGACGAGCCGCGCTGCAACGGCGTCGTCGTGGCGAACCCCGACGGCGAGTTCAGCGGCACGCTGCGGGCGACCGCGCCGGGCGAGCAGACGTACGCGGCCTGGTCGACGTGCGGCTGGCGGATCCAGCTCCCGGCGGCCTACAGCCACGTCGACCTCGCCTTCACGTCCCTGGCCCTCGAGGACGGCTTCGACTTCGTCCGCGTCTACAAGGCGGGCATCCCCGAGGGCTACGCGGCGGGCTCCACGCGGACCTTCGACGACTACGAGTACTCCGCGACGGGCGCGACGGGCCCCTCGCGCCTGCTGGTCAAGGGCAGCGTCTTCGTCGCCTTCGAGAGCGACGGCCTCGTCGGGTCCGCCGTCGACGGCGACGGCCTCGCGGCCGACGGCGGCTTCGAGATAGGCTGGTCCCTCGTGGACATCGACGTGTCGTTCGTCGCCGACGAGGGCGACTGCAACGACGCCGTCGACTGCAAAAACGGCGGCACCTGCGCCTGGGTCTTCGGCGGCGGAAACGAGCTGTCCACGACCGAGACGCGGTGCGAGAGCCTGGGCGCCGCGAGCGGCTGCTTCCGCGACGACTGGGCGTGCGAGTGCGCTCCGGGCTACTACGGCGAGAACTGCGACTTCGACCACTGCGTCGGCGAGATCGTCGACGTCGGCTACGACCTCGTCACGACGTCCGCGAGCGGCGGCTACGCGTCGCCGCGCTACGCGGGGCTCGTCCTGAGCGGCGCGGGCGCGGACTACCCGCCGTCGACGACGTGCCTCTGGTCCTTCCCCGTCATGCCCCGCGGCGCGTTCTCCGCCGCCGGCGTCCGGCTCCGCTTCGATGCCTTCGACCTCGAGGGCGAGGACGCGACCTACGCGCTCGCGTCGACGACGGACCGCGTCGAGATCTGGCTCCAGGACGGGTCGGCGCCCCGCGACGTCGCCCCCGAGGACCTCGTCGCGGAGAGCGTCGAGCTCGGGAGCGCGACGCTCCTCGCGACCATCTCCGCGGACGACTTCGCCGTCGGCCTCTACGACGTGGGGGCGGCCTTCGACCTCGAGTTCCCCGGCTACGCGGCCGACGCCGCGAACCCCGTCCGCGTCGCCGTGAAGTTCGCGAGCGACAAGAACAACCCCGCGCCCTACTCCGGCTTCGCGCTCCGCTACGCGCCGCTCTGGGGCGAGGGCGACGGCACCTTCGCGGACTACTGCGACGACGACTGGGCCTGCGGCGACGGCTACGCGTGCAGCGGCATGGTCTGCGCGCCGCCGTCGTCGAGCTCGGGCGGCGCCGCGGTCGACGTCGGCCTCATCCTGCTCGTCGTCGCGATCATCGTCGCCGCGCTGGGCGCCGTCTTCTTCTACTACCGGCGCCAGGTCGTCAAGTCGCTCGACTCGCTCAAGGGCAACCTGGCGTCGCTCGAGGCGGAGCTCCAGGACTTCAAGGACTCCGTCGTCGGCTTCAAGGTCGCCGTCCAGGACTACGTCCCCGAGGCCGTGTCCGTCGACGTCGCCGGCGACGACGCGAACGCCAAGTACGAGGCCGAGGCCGGCGGCGCCGTCGTCGCGGCCGTCGCGGGCGCGCCGGCGGCCGCGCGCTGGTACTGGCGCGAGGAGCAGGCGAGGCTCGGGAGCCACGACCCGGCGAAGGTCAAGTCGCCCCACTGGGTCGCCTACGACGACGGCGTCGCCGCGGCGCTCGAGCGGGCGTACGGCGACGCCGGCGCGTCCAAGGTCGTCGCGACGGGCGGGCCCTACAAGGTCGACGTCGCGACCATGAAGCAGGTCAACGAGCGCACGAACTACGAGCGCGACGTGCTCCGCGACGTCGCGGCCGCGCCGCCGCCGCCGGCGGCGGCCGGCGCGGCGCCGAAGCGGACGGGCTCGGCCAAGGTGCACCCCCGGGCAGGACAAGAGTGCGAAATTCCCAACTTCAAAGGCTCCTTTCTCGGGTCGTTTTCCACTCGTTTCGGCTCATTTTTGGACGAGCGATCATCTCTCGGAACGGTCTCGAAGCATGGATGCTTTTGCCGGAACGCGCGCTCGCGGAACACTCAGGTTGAAGCGAACTTTAATCACTCTTTTCCTGCCCAGGTCCACCCGGCGGCGCCGGGCGCGAACACGGACCGGCGGCCCGAGGAGCTCCTGGGCGAGGACGCGCTGTTGCTCCGCGCGGGCTCCGTGCTCCAGGTCTCGAAGACGCGCCCCGACGGCTGGGCCTACGGCTCCGTCGTGCTGCACGGCGGCGACGAGGCCGCGGACCGGGCCTACGTCCAGGACGGCGTCTCGCTGTCCACGGGCTGGTTCCCGCTGGAGTGCACGGACGTGCCGTCCGTGGAGCAGCTCTCGAAGCTCCAGGACGCGCTCGGCGGGTCCGGCGGGCTCAAGCCGCCGGACAGCTGGGAGGAGGTCAAGGATCCCCTCGTCGCGCAGTACTTCCCGCTGCGCGACGGCGAGGAGAAGGCCAACGTCGTCAAGAACTTTCTGAGCACGCTCGACGCGTCGCGGTTCACCATCGTCGCCGTCGAGCGCATCCAGAACGTGGGCGCGTGGCAGTCCTTCGCCGTGAAGCGCGAGTCGGTCTTCGTCCGCGAGAAGGACGAGAGCCGGCGCGCGGCGCGCTTCGAGCGCCACCTCTGGCACGGCACGAACATCGAGGTGCTGGAGAAGATCGTCCAGCAGGGCTTCAACCGCTCCTTCTGCGGCAAGAACGCGACGTTCTACGGCAAGGGCGTCTACTTCGCGCGCGACGCGTCCTACTCCACGAACAAGACCTACGCGGTCCCGGACCAGAACGGCGTCCAGCACATGTTCTACGTGCGCGTCACCGTCGGCGAGTACTGCAAGGGCGTCAAGGACGCGCTGACGCCCGACGTCCGCGAGGGCCTCAACCTCTACGACACGACGGTGAACAACGTCGCGGACCCGTCCATCTTCGTCACGTACCACGACGCGCAGGCCTACCCCGAGTACCTCATCAAGTTCCGGCAGGAGGGCGTGGAGCACATGCGCGGCGCCTACAGCCAGAGCGCGCCGCAGCAGCCCCCGCGCCAGCAGGCCGCGCCGCCGGCGGCCGGCGCGCGGCGGATGATGATCCAGGTGCCGCCGAACGTCGCGCCCGGCGAGCGCATGCAGGTCCGCGTCAACGCGACGGGCCAGATGCTCGTCGTCAAGGTGCCGCCGGGCGTCGCGCCGGGCCAGACCATCACCGTGGCCTACTAGAATTCGCAGACGACCGCCGACGACGAGCTTCGCACGAGTCCACCCCCCCCCCCCCCCGTAGACGACGCGGAGGGCCCCCCAAGAGACTCACGCGCGCGTGGGTATGGTCGTCGCGCCGCCGTTTGTGAAGACCGACGGGTGGGCCGTGCCGGAGACGGAGTGGCCCGCCTCCGCGAGCGGCGACAGGGAGCTGGACGGCCGCGCGAGCGCGCCGCCCTGCTCCGCGCCCTGGAGGATGATCATGTCGAGGAGCGCCGCGCCGCCCGGCGGCACGCCCGGCGGCCGCGTCCGCGGGTCGACCCAGGGCGGCGGCTTCCGCGGGAACTCGCGGAACCGCATGTCGCAGGACCGGCCCGCGGCCGCTGACCCGCGCGCGGGCGCCGTCACGGGCCGCCCCAGGAGCTCCGCGGACCCGCCCGAGGGCCTCGTCAGCGCGAACTCGGCGAGCGCCGGCAGCGCGGGCCGCGCGACGGGCGCGTGGCTCGACATCGCGCGCGTCCGGAGGCACCGCCGCGCGACGACGGCCGGCGCCTCGGCGTCGTGGAGGCCCCGCGAGGACCACCCGCGGCTACTCCGGGGCCGCGCGGGCCGCGGCCGCCGGCGCAACCGCCGCAGCCGCGCCGCCTCCGCGGCGCCCGCCGCGCGCTCGGACTCCGCGCGGAAGAGCGCGAGGCGCCGGTCGAGGTCCGCCTTGTGGTCGAGGTACGGCTCCGCGACGGCCGTCGACGTCGTCTCCGCGTTCGTCGACGTGTCGTCGTCGTGCTGCGTGAGCCTGTGCCGAATTCAAATCTTCAACCCGACTTCAATGTGCGCATATGCGACAGTTTCGACGCAATCTCTTCGGCTGTACTTCGAGAACTCGATGAGAGCGATCGATTCGTCCAAAAATCAGCCGAATCGACTTCGATTTGACCGAGCTAGAGAATTCTCAAGTTTGGTCAGGACCACCCAAACCAGTGGTTGAATTCGGCACAGGCATGAGCTTGGCGATGTCCGCCGCCGTCTGGTTCGACCGCTTCGCCGAGGACCGGCCCTGGCCGACGAGCGCGCGCGGCTCCGGGTGCGCCTCGCCGTGGACGGACCTGCGTGGAATTCCACCACTGGTTTGGGTGGTTCTGACCAAGCTTCAGAATTCTCTCGCTCGGTCACATCGACGTCGATTCGGCTGATTTTTGGACGAATCGATTGCTCTCGTCGAGTTTTCGAAGCACGGCCGAAGAGCTTGCGTCGAAGTTGTCGCATACGCGCACATTGACGTCGGGTCGAAGATTTGAATGCCACGCGGGGACGGACGCGAGCGCGGCCGCGATCTCGTCGTCCGTGAGGTGGTGGCGGTGCTCGCTGTGGGGCGCGGACGAGCCCTTGCCCGCCTGGGCGTGGGTGCGCTGGAGCAGGCTCTCGAACTCGACCTTGTCGAGCGCTAGAAGCGTCACGTCCGTCGCCGCGGTCACCGTCGCCTTGCGCAGCTCGCCGTACAAGATGCCCCGCTCGCCGAAGCAGGACCCCGGGCCGAGCTCCACCAAGGGCACGAGCTTGTGGGCGCAGCGCGCCACGGTCTCGTGGCCGCCGTCCTTGCCGCTGGGCCAGCGGTTGAACGTGCGGATCTCGATCGTCTTCACGACCGCGACGGCGCCCTCGAGCACGAAGTAGACGTTGTCCGGCGGGTCGTTCTGCTTGATGATGAGGGCCCCGGCCTTGAAGTCGACGCGCCGCACGAGCCCGCACAGGCGCGTCAGGCGGCTCTTGGCCCAGTTGCGGAACATGGGCACGGACTTGAGGCACCGGAACGCGCGGCGCTGCTCCGCGTCCTGGTACGACTTCATGATCTTGTCGTAGTCCGTCTTCCGCAGCTCCAACAACTCCGTCGTCGCCGAAGACGCGATGCAGGACGCGTTCCGCGGCGGCGCGCCGGCGCCCAGCGACGCCTCGCCGAAGGAGCGGCCCATCTTGAGCGTCGCGAGGTACTCGCCGTGCTTCTCGACGTCCGCGGCGCCGGAGACGATGATGTAGAACGTGAGGCCCACCTCGCCCTCCGTGACGATGTACTGGCCCTGGTGGAACCGCCGCAGGTTCGCGCAGCGCGCGATCTCGTTGACGCGCGCCTCGCCCAGCCGCAGCGTCGTCGGCCACACGGCCATCAAGAACATCGTCAGCACCTCGACGTCCTCGTCCGTGCGCTCCTTGGGCGAGTTCTGCAGCGCGTCGCGCAGCCGGTTCTCCTTGACGAGGTGCTTCGCCTCCTCGAAGTGGCGATGATCCAGGATCCAGCCGGGGTAGACGCGGTCGCTCGTGTAGCGCGCCGTGCCGTCGAAGGACGGCCGCCGCCGCACGGCCGCGGCGACGCGCTGCATCGCCGGGCTCTCGAAGGTGTGCTCGATGAAGTGGGACTCGCCGGACTCGCCGCTGCCGAAGGTGTTGATGTCGTCGTCGTCGCCCACGAGGTGGCTGTCGGCGTCCGCGCGCCGCAGGAACGCGCCCTCGCCGCCGACGACCGTCTTCGGGCGCGGCTCGCCGGCCATGGCGGCGCGCGACGCCGCCGCGGAGCGGTGGAACGACGGTCGTCGGCGCGCGGGTCCACTGCGACGGGGCGGCGGCGCGCCTGCGACGGCGCCTGCGGGCAGCCTCCAACGCGGAGACGCTCTCCGAACGAAGCAAGATTTGCAACTTCAATTAGCGCTTTCGTGAAGCTTGTCGGCGCCGCCGCGCCCACCATGGTCGACGGGCGCGCCGTCGTCGTCGCGGCCGTCGCCGCGGCGCAGCGGACGAAGCAGCCGCCGGCGGACCACGCCTTCGGCGACTGCCGCCTGAGCTTCCGCGTGCCCAAGGACGGCGGCACGACGCTGTCCCTCGTCGAGCCGGAGATCGATCTCTGGGTCGACGACCACCGGGGCTGGATGGCGGCCTACGGCGCGACGGCGCAGATCTGCTGCGACCTGGACGGCGCGAGCATCGGCTGCGACTCCCTCGACTCGACGCGCATCCCGCTGCCGAAGCGGCTGCCGCTCGGGGCCCACGAGCTGACGTGCGAGCTCCTCGACTTCACGACGGGCGCGTCGCTGCTCGTGCCCGACGCGCCGGCGTCGACGCGCTGGACCGTCGTCGCGACGGCGGAGGAGACGGCCGAGGGCGCGCGGCTCGTCGAGCTCTACTACGAGGACCGCGGGCAGAACGAGGCGCTCCGGCGATGGTGGCGCGGCGACGAGGCCGCGCCGCCCTGGCGCCCGCGCGGCGACTTCGCCCCCTGGGCGGCGCCGCCGTCGGGCGGTGCGCTCCTCGTCGTCGGCGTCAAGTGCGCCGCCGGCGCCCTGGAGCAGCGCGACGCCATGCGGCGGACGTGGTTTTCCGACGCGCCGCCGGGCGAGGTCCAGGCGCGCTTCGTCGTCGGGCGCGCGGCGGACGGCGCCGTGGCCGCGCGGCTCCGCCGGGAGCAGGCCACGTACGGCGACCTGCTCATCCCCGAGACGGGCCTCGACCTCGAGGACGGCTACACGTCCCTGGTGCCCAAGACGAAGGCGTTCGCGCGCTTCGCGCACCGTACCTTCCCCGAGGCGGCCTTCGTCATGCTCGTCGACGACGACGTGCTCGTCGACCTCCCGAAGCTTCTGGCCGCCGTGCGCGGCGGCGACGCCGAGCAGCCCGCGCTGCCGCGGTCGCGGTTCTACGCGGGCCAGGTCTGGGCGACGCACTTCAACCAGCCGAAGCTGCCCCAGCGCGACCCGTCGCACCGCAACTTCCTGCCGGAGGCGACCTACCCCATGAGCCAGCTGCCGCCCTTCGCCATCGGGCCCCACTACCTCATGTCCATGGACTGCGCCGCGTTCATCGACGCGAACCTCGAGGTGCTCGCGGGCGTCGGCACGCTCGAGGACGTCTCCGTGGCGCTCTGGCTCCTCGCGCTCCAGGTCCACCCGCAGCACAGCGAGCAGTTCATCAACGCGCGGCTCTTCGGGTGTATGGAGGGCGCGGTGTCCGTCGCGGACCTGACCGCGCGCGGCATCCGGGCCATGCACGCGAACCGCGGCGCGGGGCGGCCGGACTGCGACGGCTACGAGGAGCTCGCCTGGGTCAAGGTGCCCCGCTTCAGGCTCACGGAGGAGACCGCGCGCGCGGAGCTGCGGTAAGTCGCCTCGACGTCGGCGTCGGGGACCGGCGGCCCTGTATCTGTATCGGGAGAGAGAGAGCACCCCGACGCGACCGACGCCGGCGATGCCGGCATATACGGGCGCTCCAGCCGCTCGACAGCTCAGTGTGACATTGTGCGAGCGGCGCGGCCCATGGATGCCGGCTGGAGAGAGAGAGATGACGCCACCCGCCTGCGGGCCGACCTTCGTCCCAGGCTTCGTCCATTGGACCGAGCGCGAGCGCTTGGCCGGGGGTCCGCGGCGGATGACGCGACGTCTCGCGATGAGCATGTCCCAGCGTGGTCTCACGAGTAGCATGGCGCGTCGTCTTTTGCTCGCCCTGTGCGCGCTCTGCTTAGAGCGTGGCGCGGCGCTGCACGCGAGACTACCCTCGACGCGCTCCGGTCACCCACCGACGAAATTGTCCGCGAGCGCCATCGAGGGCGCGGCCGCCAAGAGCGCCTACGCCGTGGCCAAGGAAACGCAGGTCCCCGCCGCGCCCCCCCCGGGCCTGCTCGCCTGCCGAGAAACACCAATCACAAAAGCCACCATCGACAACGTCTACGGCTACGGCGGCGACGACGAGGTCGTCCAGCCGGACCGGCGGCCGATCGTCGTCCTCCACGGGCTCCTCGGCTCGAAGCGCAACTTCCGGAGCTGGGCCGCGCAGCTCTCGCGGGCCCTATCGCACAAGCGCCGCATCTTCTGCCTCGACCTCCGCGCCCACGGCGACTCCTTCGGCGGGGCCGCGGGCATGGGCTACGAGGCCATGGCCGCGGACGTCGAGCGGACGCTCGACGGCCTCGGGTTGGCGGACTGCGCGGTCCTCGGCCACTCCATGGGCGGCAAGGTCGCCATGCGCCTCGCGCTCCGCGACCCGGCGCGCGTCCGCGAGCTGTGCGTGCTCGACATCGCGCCGACGACCTACTCGACGGTCGACTGCGCGTCGTGGCGGCAGAACCGCGAGCTCATCGACGCGCTGCACGGCCTACCCCTCGCGGACCTCGCGGACAAGCGGGCCGCGGACGAAAGGCTCGCGGCGGCCGTCGCCGACCCGGCCCTGCGGGGCTTCGCGCTGACGAATCTGGTCGAGACGCCCGACGGCCTCCGCTGGGGCTGCGACCTCGAGGCCATCGTCGCCCACCTCGACGCCATCGCGTCCTGGGAGCCCGCGGCGGGCGCGTTCCCCGGCGACGCGCTCTTTTTGAAGGGCTCGAAGAGCCGCTACGTCCGCAGCTGCCACATCCCGGAGATCGCGGCGAACTTCCCGACGTTCACGCTGCAGACCGTCCGGGACGCGGGCCACTGGCTCCACGCGGAGCAGCCCCAGCGGACCCTCGACTACGCCGCCGCCTACTTCGACCGCGACCGCTACGACCTCTGGTAATCACAGGTGGGGCATACCTAGGGCGCCCTCGTGCGACTTCTCGTGCGGCACAGGCTCGGCGCCAACTTCGCGTCAACATCAATTGGCAAGGGTTCGAGCAGCTTCGGAGCAGCGATCAAGCATCCTCGAGGTCGCCAGTCTCGACGCGAGAAGGAGGCGGAGAGGGAGCCATCATGGCGTCGCAAGTGGACGAGCTCGCGAAGAAGGCCGCGGGCCTCAAGGTGGCGCGCGTGCCGAACACGCCGCAGGGCTGGCCCGCGAAGAAGATCCGCGACACCTTCGTCCAGCGCGCCGGCGGCGCCCGAGGCGTCCCGCGCGCGCCGCGCGCGACGCTCGCCGGACCGCAGGTACTTCGTGGGCCAGCAGCACACGCACTGGCCGTCGAGCAGCGTCGTGCCGCACGAGGACCCGACGCTGCTCTTCGCCAACGCGGGCATGAACCAGTACAAGAGCATCTTCCTCGGCCTCGCGCCGCGCCGAAAACGGAGACGGGCGACTCCGGATGATTACAACACACCCTTACCTATTCCGAGCTTCGGCGGTGGAGAGAGAACCACACTACATGAGATTTCTGGCTGACGGGTCCCCCCGCCCCTCGCGCGCGCCCGCGGCCCCGCGCGCGCCGCCGCGCGACGCGTTGCCGCTATAGGCACGATCGACCCGAAGACGAAGATGGCGACGCTCAAGCGCGCGTGCAACTCGCAGAAGTGCATCCGCGCCGGCGGCAAGCACAACGACCTCGACGACGTGGGCAAGGACCTCTACCACCACACGTTCTTCGAGATGTTGGGCAATTGGTCCTTCGGCGACTACTTCAAGGAGGAGGCGATCCGCATGGCCTGGGAGTGCCTCACGGTCGAGTTCCAGCTCGACCCGGACCGCCTCTACGTGACCTACTTCGGGGGCGACGCGCTCAAGGCGCCGGGCGTGCCGAGCGACGAGGAGACGCGGCAGATATGGCTCAAGTACGTCCCCGCGGAGCGCGTGCTGCCCTTCGACGCGGGCGACAACTTCTGGGAGATGGGCGACACGGGCCCCTGCGGCCCCTGCACGGAGATCCACTACGACCGCGTCGGCGGGCGCGACGCCGCGGCGCTCGTGAACATGGACGACCCGGACGTCATCGAGATCTGGAACAACGTCTTCATCCAGTACAACCGCGACAAGTTCGGCCTCAAGGAGCTGCCGGCGCAGCACGTCGACACGGGCATGGGCTTCGAGCGCCTCGCGTCCATCCTCCAGGGCCAGATGTCCAACTACGACACCGACATCTTCACGCCGCTCTTCGCGGAGATCCAAGCGGTTTCCGGCTGCCCCGTCGCCTACGCGGGCAAGATCGGCGACGAGGACAAAGAGACCAAGGACATGGCCTACCGCGTCGTCGCGGACCACGTGCGCACGCTGACCTTCGCCATCACTGACGGCGCCGTGCCCGACACGCAGGGCCGCGGCTACGTGCTCCGGCGCGTGCTGCGCCGCGCGGTCTGGTACGGCCAGCACTTCCTCGGCGCGCCCAAGGGCTTCGTGTACAAGCTCGTGCCCAAGCTCTGCGAGGTCCTGGGCGAGGCCTTCCCCGAGATCGTCAAGGCCAAGGACACGGTCATGGCCGTGTTGGAGGGCGAGGAGCGCGACTTCAACCGGACCATCGACAAGGGTGCGCGGTTCTTCAACAAGCAGGCGGAGAAGCTGCCCAAGGGGGCGCCCTTCCCCGGGTCCGACGCCTTCGTGCTCTCCGGGTCCCTGGGCTTCCCGCTGGACCTGTGCGAGATCATGGCCGAGGAGCGCGGCATGACGGTGGACGTCGCGGGCTACCACGCGGCTTTAAAGGAGGAGCAGGACAAGAACGCGGCGGCGCTCGCGAAGCGCAAGGCCGCGCGGTCCGCGGGCGCCGACATGACCTGCGCGGCGGAGCAGACGGCCGCGCTCGCGGCCGCGGGCGCGCCCAAGACGGAGTCCGAGGGCAAGTACGTCTGGAACGCGCGCCCGGCGGCCAAGGTCGTCGCGCTCTACGTCGGCAAGGGCGGCGGGCCCAAGGGCGACGGCTTGGTGGACGCCGTGGACCCGTCGAAGCACGCCGTGGCCGGCGCGGTCCTCGACGCGACGTCGTTCTACGCCGAAATGGGCGGCCAGGTCTACGACACGGGCGCGCTCTTGAAGGACGACGCGAAGATCCTCGACGTCGAGGACGTCCAGGTCTACGGCGGCTACGTCGTCCACGTCGGCGCGCCGTTGGGGCCGCTGAAGGTCGGCGACGACGTCGCCTGCGCGGTCGACTACGACCGGCGCGTCCGCGTGGCCCCGAACCACACGATGACGCACGTGCTCAACTTCGCGCTGCGCGAGGTGCTGCTGGGCGGCAGCGAGGGCGCCAAGGCCGACGCGGAGAAGACGGGCGTGGACCGCTGCGCGCAGCGCGGGTCCTACGTCGACGACGAGCGGCTCCGCTTCGACTTCGCGTGGGACGCGCCGCTGACGGCGGACCAGCTCAAGGCCGTCGAGGCCATCGTCAACGAGACCATCGCCGCGGGCTTGGTCGTCGACGCCGTGGAGACGCCTTTGGACGCGGCCATGGCCGTCGAGAGTTTGCGCCTGTGTGCAAATCAACCAGTGAGCTGGGACGTCGGGGCCAAACTTCAGAATTCTCTAGCTCGGTCAAATCGAAGTCGATTTGGCTGATTTTTGGACGAATCGATCGCTCTCGTCGAGTTCTCGAAGCACGGCAGAAAGTCTCGCGTCAAAACATTCGAATACGCGCACATTGAAGTCGGGTTGAAGATTTGATTTGCACACAGGCCTCCGCGCGATGAAGGGCGAGGCGTACCCGGATCCCGTCCGCGTCGTCGCCGTCGGCGCGCCCGTCGCGGACGTCGTCGCGGCGCCCTGCGGCGCCGCCTGGCGGGGCATGTCCGTCGAGCTCTGCGGCGGCACGCACGTGCGCAACACGAAGGACGCCGTGGGCTTCGCGCTGCTCGAGGAGAACGGCATCGCCAAGGGCGTGCGCCGCGTCGTCGCCGCGACGCGCGAGAAGGCCGCGGCGGCCCACGCGGCGGCGACGGAGATCCGCGAGCGGCTGGCCATGCTCGGCGCCATGCCCCTGGCGACGCCGGACCACATCGCGGCCGTCGGCGAGACCGTCAAGGCGCTGAAGTTGGATGTGGACGCGGCGACGATGCCGCAGCACGAGAAGATGGCCGCGCGCGAGGAGGTGCAGAAGCTCATCGCAGGGCCCCTCAAGGCGGCCCAGAAGGCCGACGCGAAGAAGAAGGCCGACGCCGCCGTGGGGGCCTTCCAGGCCTTGGCGGAGTCGAACGCGTCGGGCGCGGTCGCCGCGCGCGTCGACTTCGGCGCGGACGCCAAGCTCTGGCAGAAGCTCCAGAAGTCGACGCTCGCCAAGGTCGCGCCGGCGGGCTCCTTCCTCGTCGTCTCCGACGCCGGCGACAAGATCGCCATCTACGCGGCCGCGTGCCAGGCGCACGTCGACGCGGGCCTCGACTGCCGCGCGTGGTGCGCGGCCGCGGGCGACGCCGCGGGCGGCGGCAAGGGCGGCGGCAAGCCCAACGGCTCCAACATGGTCGTCCTCGCCGCCGGCGCCGACAAGATCGACGCCGCGCTCGCCGCGGCGAAGGCCTTCGCCGCCAAGTACTAGTCGCGGCCACCCGCGGCCCAAAGTAAGATGACCGTCCCCCCCTCACTTCTTAGGCGATCGCGCAGTAGCCGCCGTTGGAGAAGCTCGGCAGGTCGCCCGCGGACGGGGTCCGCGGCGCCGCGGCCGGCCGAGGCGCGCGCGCGGCGGGTCGTCGAGGCGCGGGCGCGGGCCGAGGCGCCGCCGGCCGCGGCGCGGCGGCGGGCCGCGGCGCGGGCGCGGCGGGCCGCGGCGGCGGTTGCAGCGGCGCGAGGCGCTGGACGCCCGCTCGAGCCATGTGGAGCCAAGGCTCCGCGGCCTTGGCCTTTTTGAACCACCTGTAGGCCTTGACGACGTCCTTTTTGAAGTAGGTTCCGACCTCGAGCATCCGGCCCACCTCGCACATGGCGAGCGCGCTGCCCTGCTTTGCGGCTTGGTACATCAATTCGGCGCCCTTCCTATTCTGGCCTTCTCGCTGATAATGAAAGGCGAGCTTCACCATGGCGCAGTGCATCCCTTTGGAAACGGCGAGCTTCAGAAGGTCGATGGCCTCCTGCCGCTTTCCCGGTTCAAACAAGAGGCGAGACGCAAGCGAGTAGTGACCGGCGACGCTCCCGAGATCAGACGCGCGGCGACACAACGCCAGCCCCCTCGAATCATCGCCGCGCAGGCCGAATCGTTCTTCGTCGAGCCAGCTCGCCAAGGCGAGCATCGCGTCGATGCAGCCCAGCCGCACCGCGCGTTCGATGTGATCCATGCCCTCGCGCCAGGTGGAGTTCTCGCGCAGGGACCCGGGCGCGGCCTCGTCGTAGGGCTCGAGCGTGCGTCTCCCGAGCTCGAAGATGGCCGCGGGCGAGTTCCGCTCCACGTGCTCGCGTAACTGGCGCTCCTCCGTGGCGAGGGTCACCGCCACCGGCGCCCGGCAGAGCGGGCATTTCTGCGGAAACAGGAAGTTGCCGAAGAAGTCGTACGCGCGCGGATCGCCCTCGCCGCCGGCCATGTAGACGTGGTACGCCGTCTGGTCGTCGTGCTCTTCCGCGATATGTTCGTCGCACGTTCCGCAGATGCGACCGCCGCAACAGGTCTGGAAGATTTTAGGAGCGCCGCGGTCGCAATTGAACCAGTCCTCGAGGCATATCGGGCACCGTTTCTCCTCCGGCTGTTTCTCGCTCTCCGGCTTCTCCGAATGCTCCGTGATGTCGCGTTGACGCCGAGTGCGCGTCGCCGGGCCTCCCCCGTCCTCGTCGTCGTCGCCCCGGGCACGTTTTGAGGCTTTGGGCATCGCGAAGAGTGCGCGTCGACGAGGTCGCCGCAGAGCCGGCGAGAGCCTGCAAGATCTCTGCAAGGTCGGCACCGTATCTGCTGGTTGAACCGTTGAGCAGGTTCTGGGCTGCCTCAGTTTGAGAGAGCGTCGCACCTCGACGGCTGTCTACGGCTGCCGGCAGCACCGATCGTCGACTCACACTCACCCCGGTCTCCTTGTTCCAGTGTGAGTCGAAGCGCGGGGTCATTAGAGCAATGGTCGAGCGCCGCTCGCCGCGCAAGCGCATCAGCTTCGGGTTCCCGAGCGGCGAGCTGCGCATCAATCCGCTCGCGGACGAGGACTGCGAGGTCGCGCGGCCCGTCGACGACGCCGTCGCGACGCCGGTGCTGACCGCGGGCTGGGCGCCGGCGCTCCTGCGGCACCGCGTGGCGACGGACCCGGACACGCCGCGGTCGTCCGTCGCCGCGAGCCCCTACCCGCTCGAGGCGTCGCTCGCCTTCCCCGCCGGGCTGACCTTCGACGAGCTCCTGGGCGACCTCGGCGCGCCCGCCGGCGACCTCGTCGTGCCCAACTGCTTCACCTGGTCGGCGGCGACGCGCGATTTTAGTTTTCACTACCGCGAGGCCGGCGCGTCGCCGCGCGCCGCGTGCGCCTTCAGGGTCGCGGCGCCGCCGGGCGACCAGGCGCTGACGGCGGTGGCGCAGTGCCGCGAGCGCTGGGGCATCAACTGGAGCTCCGTCGTCATCGTGAGCCGCGGCGGCTGCCCGCGGCTCGTCTACCTGCCCGGCGAGGGCACCTACGACCCCGCGGGCAGCTCCGAGGACGACGTGCCCGAGTCGCTGGGCGAGGACTGCGCGGCGGCCCTGCTCCTCGTCGCCGCGGGCCTGCTCCGGGCGCTGTCGCTCGGCGCGACCCTGGCCCAGCTCGAGGCGGTCTTCGCCGTGGCGCTGCCCGTCTTCGTCGAGGCGCACGGCCGCCGCCACCTCGCGGCCTTCGTCTTCGAGCAGATCCGGGCCGTCGTCCAGCTCCGCGACGCGCGCTACCCCGAGTTCCTCAAGGCCGCGGCGGCGCGCGGCGACCTGGACCTCGGCGACCCGGGCCGGCGGCACACGCGCGCGTACCTCGCGAGTTACGACCGCTGCTCGCCGGAGCCGCCCGTCGAGTACCTGGACCTCGTGTCCATCGGCGGCTGCCACGTCCTCGAGGGCGCGCCGGCGCTCCCGGAGGCGGCGCCGGAGCTCCACCGGGCCGTCGAGACGCGGGCCTACGGGCGCGTCGCCAGGGCCATCGCGGACGGCGACGTCGACGTCGCGTGCGGCGCCGGCGACACGGCCCTGCACGTCGTCGCGCGGCTCCTCTCGACGGAGGCCGTGCTCGACCACGAGCCCGTCTGGTTCGACTACGCGGCGCTCTGCCTCGAGCTCCTCCATCGCGGCGCGGCGCTCCGCAAGAACGGCGCGGGCGACACGCCCGCGTCCGCGCTGCCGACGCGGCGCGCGCTGCGCCACCTGCTCTACGGCACCGCGTCGGCGCTGGACCCGCTCAAGGGCAAGGCGCGGCAGCTCGTCGCGTTCCTGAAGCTGAAGATCCTGAGCTCCGTGAACCCGACGGTGACGGCGCTGCAGGCCGCCGCGGATCTGAGGGACGCGGCCGCGGACCCGCCCGTGGCCTGGGCCCGCGCGCTCGACGTCTTGGCCGCGTCCATGTCCGCGCTCGCGTCGGCGCTCTGCGAATTGAAGTACGAGCCCGAGAACGAGAGCGAGCACGCGCTCCTCGCGTCGCTGAACGACCAGCATTTGGGCTCCGGCGTCTCGGAGACGATGTTCGCGCTGCTGAACGTCGACGATCTCCAGGAGGTCCAGGCGTCGGCGCTCGACGTCGCCATGGAGTCCAACGACAAGCGCTTCATCGCGCACCCGGGCGTCGTCTCCGTCGTCGACGCGATCTGGAACGGAGACGTCTGCATCCTCCACGGCGCGCACCGCACGGCCAAGCAGCCCCGCGCGGCGTCGTCGATCCCGACCTTGCTGTCGAAGCTCTCGTCGCCGAAGATGCGCGTCGTGTCGACGCCGCGGCGCCTGCCCGCGGCGCCGAAGCTCGCGCAGAAGCTCGCGTACTTCAAGTCGCGGTCCGTGACGCCGCAGAGCCAGTTCCTCTACGACGTCACGTCGGACGTCGTCTTCCTGGCGGTCTACATGACGACGCTGCTGCCGGCGTCCCGGACCTACTCGGCGGCGAGCGGCGCGTCCTTCGTCTTTTTGTGCGCGATGCTCTTCTCCAAGTACGCCGCGGAGCTCGACGACCTCATCGTGCGGAGCGACGGCCGCGTCTGGGAGTACTGCTCGGACCCCTGGAACCTCATCGACGTCGCGTCGATCCTGTCGATGACCCAGGTGCTGGCGCTGCTGCGCTTCGGGAGCGAGTCGACGCACGCGTTCGCCTACGCGGCGGCCGTGTCGCTGACGACGGAGTTCACGCGGCTTCTGTACTTCATCCCCATCATCTTCCCGCAGATGGGGCCGATCCTGCGCATCGCCCAGCTCATGGTGAAGGACGTGATCAACTTCTGCGTCATCATGACGTTGCTGGTCGTCGGCAACGGCGCGGGGCTCTACGTGCTCGTGAAGCGCGAGGAGAGCTTCGACGACGACGAGGACCCCGAGTGCGAGTCGTCGACGTTCGCGCGGCTGGGCAAGGGCGGGTGGATGGACGGCGGCCTCGGTCGGAGCATCTTCGTGATCTTCCAGGCGGCGCTCGGAGAGTACGACTTTAGCTTCGCGTGCCTGAACATGGACCCGAAGCGGACGGTCTTCGTGCGCATCTTCTACTGCGCGTCCATCGTGATCTCGAACGTCATGCTTTTGAATCTCTTGATCGCCATGATGTCGAGCACCTACGACCGCGTGACCGAAGACGCGGAGATCGAGGGAAAATTTCTACGGGTACGCGCGTCCGCGTCCAGAAAAAAACTTCCCCCAGCCTCCGAAACCACGAAATTCTCGCAGGCGAAGATCGTGCACTACTCGTCGCAGCTCACGCTCCCGCGGCCGTTCAACGCGCTCCAGATCGCGCACCGCATCGCCCGCAAGGTCTGCCAGCGCGCGCCGCGCGAGTCCGCGACGGCCCTGCTCAAGAGCGACGGCGGCTCCATCGGCGGCCGGAGGGCGACCAAGGTCGCGGAGCACGTCGCCACGGCCGCGAGCGCGCTGCTCGTGGAGTTGGCCGAGGCCTCGCAGAACTTCCGATGCAATCGGAGTCGCGTGTTCAACCTCATCTTCGCCGCGGAGCTCGACGGCGTCGCGAACGACGGCTTCCGCCACCTCGAGTCGCACGCGGCGCGCGACATCATGCACTTCATCCTCGTCGCGACGCACGTCGCGCCGCTGCTGCCCGCGGCCGAGGACGTGTAAGAGCGGACGACTAGAGGGTTTCGCCCGGACCATGCGATGCCTACACGATGCAGGTCACTTGCAGGTCAACGAGCGCGCTGGTTTGGAGCCGCGCGATGCGCACTCGACGCGCGCGCGCTGTCGCGCGCCAGAAATTGCTCGCGCAGCTCGGCGGTGATCTCTGGGGCGTCGTGTCGGAGTTCCTGGTCGAAAACGCTGTCCACCGTCTCGAAACGAACGACGCCAATGGACTGGAGGCACATCTTAGCGCCTGCGAGGACGACACGCTACCGGACCTTGAGAGGACGCAGTTCAGCAAGGAAATCCGCCCTGTGACAGAGCGCGCGCGCCTGCTCCAGCTACGAGATTTCCGAACGGTGTGCCGCGCTTTCCGCAACTCCGTCTCGTACGCGACGCTCCGCCAGCTCCGCCTCTCGCCGAGGTGGTTCTCAGGGCTTCCCGCGGACTTTGGCACGACATTCCCAGGCTGCGAGAGCCTAGTTGTGTATGGGCACGGCGGGCCTGTTCTCGACGAGGGCACGGTCCCGTCCGTGTTCCGCGACCTGCCGCGGCTCCGGGCGCTCATGTTCACTGTGTACAAGGTGTCATTCCCGCCCTGGTTCCGGGACATTCCGCTCGAGACGCTCGTGATGGGCTATCGATCGTCCGACTACAAAGACTGTCCCTGGGAGATCGACGAGCGCGTTTTCCCGGAGTCGCTGCGCGTACTCCGACACAGCGCCTGCACGGACCTTCACAGCCTGGAGCACGTGCGACGGCTGTCACTCCGTGAGATTGAGATCGGGGCCTACCACGTTTCGCCGCCGAACTGGTTCATCGCCGACATGGGGCAGCTTCGGCGGTTTTGGTCCTACATGAATTACCTGCCTGCTTGGGCGTCGACGTTGCGTCAGATGCGCCTCGAGAGCGTCACATTCGACATCGACGATCCTGGAATCTTACTGTCGGAATTCGAGGTTGCATTGGAGGAGATGGTCGGGCCTGGATCCACGTGTGGCATGACGATCCGTGAGCTCGACGTGCACGGCCAGAGGATGCACCGCGTTCCCGAGTCGTTGCGGCCGCTGAGACTCCGGTTTCTCAATTTGGAAATGTGTGGCCTCACGGAACTGCCGGACTTTCTCGGTGAGCTGCCGCTCGTGGTGCTCAATGTGTCAGCGAACGAATCGCTCCGGGCGCTGCCGGTCTCGCTCCGGCAAGTGTCGACACTCCGAGTCCTCCATCTGAACTGGACCTCATTGGCGTCGCCTTTCATCTGTGGCTTCCGCGAGAGAACTGCGCATCTCCTGGTTGATGGCCAAAAGACGAGCCTTGGTGATGTGCCTAATGAGGAGATCTTGCGACGCAATCACGAGCTCTACTCCATCTCCTTCGCGCTCCCAGAGCTCCGAATTGTCCTCGGCGGTGTCTGCGAGCGGGCTGACCAGGAGCAGGTCTGGTGGCACGCCCGCTGCGGCGCCCACTGGGCAGACCCTAGCTTCGTCAGCTAACACCTCCGAAGAGCCGATTACCTGAAGCGCGACGCCGCCCTATTGCGCCGCGGGCGCCGCGGCCTTGGCGGCGGCCGCCGCGGGCGGCGCGGTCGCCGCGGCCGCGGCCTGCGGCGGCGCGGCGTTCGGGTCCGCGTTCGCGTTCTCGGCGGGCTTCGCGTTCTCGGCGTTGGCGCCGCGCGCCTGGTCGCGCCGGCGCGCGTCCTTCTTGATCTGGGAGATCTGCATGTAGAGGTTGTTGCGGTAGTCCTGGGCCGTGAGCTTCGTGTTGTCGTCGATGACGATCTTGATGGGCCCGCCCGGGTAGTCGGGCTCCTCCTCGCTCTTGTGGAACTCGGCGACCCAGGCGTCGTTGAGGGCGTCGACGGCGGAGACGCGGTTCGCCGGGTTGAACTTGAGCGTCGAGTGGAGCACGGACGGGCCCTTGGGGTCGCCCGTCGTCGTCCCCAGGTCGAGCGGCACGCGCGTGACGTTGCCGATGCTGTCGAGCATCTGGGCCGCGTAGGGCGACCCGACGGCGTCGACGTCCTCCTTCGACGGCTTGCCCGTGAGCTCCAGCACCTTCTCGAGCTGGTTCACCGTCGACGTGCCCGGGAAGATGGGCTTCCCGTTGAGCATCTCCCCCAGGATGCAGCCCACGGCCCACATGTCGACGCCCTTCGTGTAGACGGGGCTGCCCAGCAGGATCTCCGGCGCGCGGTACCAGCGCGTCGCCACGTAGTCCGTGAGCACGGGGCTCGGGCCCTCGACCTCCGCCACCGACCGGCAGAGCCCGAAGTCGCAGAGCTTCACGTGGCAGTCGCTGTTCAGCAATAAATTCGACGGCTTGATGTCGCGGTGGAGCAGGTCGCCGCTGTGCATGTACTTGAGCGCCTTGAGCAGCTGGTAGATGATGTACTTCTTGTGGATGTCCTCGAGGATCGCCGCGCGGATGACCGCGTGCAGGTCCGTCTCCATGTGGTCGAAGGTCAGGTAGATGTCGCGGTCGTTCTCGGCCTTGATGATGTGCTGGAGCCGGATGATGTTCTCGTGGCCGCTGAGCTTCTGGAGGTACATGATCTCGCGGAACGTCCGCTGCGCGTCGGTCGAATTGCGGAACGCGTCGAAGCACTTCTTCAAAGCGATGACGTTGTGGCTCCGCTTCTCCACGGCCTTCCAGACGATGCCGTAGGCGCCTACAGCGGGTCACGCGTGCGCGCGCGCGCCCGCGCCGCCGCGCGCTATGGGCGGGTCCGTTGCAAGGCGGGGGCTGCCCCGGCGCACCTTTGCCCAGGCGCTGGCAGATCTCGAAGCGCCGCTTCACGTGCTTCTCGATGTCCTCGTCGCCGCCGTCCTCCTCGCCCATGGCGCGGAACCCGGGAGGGCGACGCGCTGCGCGACGCTGCCGGGGGCTGGGCACAAACTCGCACAGCGGCAACGCCCGTCGATTGCGGGCTGCCCGCTCATCTCGCAGGGAAACGTTCGGGGGTTTTAGATCTCGCTGCCAGTGCCCGACTCGGACGCGCGGTCCGACGCGTCCCCCAGGGCGTCCCCCGGCGGGACGTAGGCGTCGTCGCGGACGAGGATGGCCTCGAAGGACGTCGGGTGGTGCTCCATGACCCAGCCCACGGCCGCGTCGCCGTCGCCGCCGGCCTCCGGCGCGAGGCGGAGGAACGCGCGGCCGAGCGGCTCCGCCTTCGGGTCCGCGACGCGGCGCCGCTCGAGGACGCGCACGCGGCCGCCGGGCATGAGCGCGCGGCCCGTGCGCGTCGCGGCGACGTCCGGCGCGCTGCGCACGTAGATGCCCACGGAGTCCGCGACCTTGAAGTACGCGTCCAGTTCCTCGGACGAGATCGTCGCGGCGACGTCGCGCGCCTTGAGCGCCAGCGCCGCCGAGTCCAGCGCCGCCAGGGCGATGTGCTCCGTCAGCGCGATGCACCACTGCTCCATCTCCCGGTCCTCCTTGGCGTCGAGCCAGAGCAGCGCGTCCTGGCCCGGGCCGCCGATGACGGAGAACGACCGCGCCTCGTGGCGGAACTTGACGGTCATGCCCGCCTTGAGCCGCAGCACGCCCGCGGGCTTGCCCGGGCTCAGCAGCGTCGCCGCCGTGCCCCGCTTGCCGTGGCTGTGGACGTCGGCCTCGTCGTACCACGTCAGCGTGCCCGTCGAGAGCGCGAACCACTTGCGGCCCGTCTGCTTGCCGAAGCGCCAGCCCCCGGACCGCGGCGCGCTGATGCGCCGCGCGTCCAGGAACCCGCTCTTGCGCCGCGGCACGGACGCGACGAGCCGCTTCAACGACGCGACGTCCCTGGGTTCGTGCGCCGCGAGGACGCCGACCTCGTCGCGCGCGGCCGCCGCGCAGCCCGCGAAGTCCATGGGGCCCGCGTCGACGTCGCGCCGCGCGCGCTCCAGGGCCTCCAGCGCCGCGACGTGGAGCTCGAAGAAGCCCTCGTGCGACGACCCCAGGAGATGCGACACCCGTAGCGACGAGTGCCGCAGCGCCGCGCGCCGCGCGGACTCGGACACGCCGTCGTCGCCGAGCGCGAAGGGATCCACCGCCACGTCGTCGTCCGTGCCCTCCTCGACGACGCCCGCGAGCCGCGCGGCCACCAGGGTCATGTTGATCGACGCCGCCGCGAACGGGAACGGCCCCCGGAGCGACGCCTCGCAGGCCTCGGGCCGGTGCTCCAGCGCGTAGATCAGGCAGTGCAGCCCGAGCATGCCCGCGCCCCGGAACTCGCGGTCCGGCGCCGCCGCCTGGAAGCCGATGGCCTCCCACCCCGCGCGCGACGCCTCGCAGCGATGGTCGCGCTTCGGCGTGCCCACCTCCGGCGCCGGCGCGTCGCCGATGGCCTCCCACCCCGCGCGTGATGTCTTGCAGTGATGGTCGCGCTTTGGTGTCCCCACCTCCGGCGCCAGCGCGTCGGCCTCGACGAGGGCCATGGCGCTCTCGTAGACGCGCGACAGCAGGCCCTCGTACTCGTCGTCGCCCACTCGCACGGGCGTTCGCAGCAGGCTCCGCAGCACCTCGAGGCGGGCCCGCGCGGCGTCGGACATTTCGTGTTCGTTTTTGTTATGGCCGTTCAGGCTCAACGCCGCGTCCATCGTGTTGCGGAGGAAGTTCATGGTCGTGCTGCTGGGCCGGCAGCGCCGGACGATGTCTGCCCGCGCACGCACCTCACAGTGGCGCCGAGAAGGCGATTTTCGACAGCACCTTGGCGTCTCCTTGGCCTCGCTGACCTCGACCTCGCGATGGACGCTCTCGAGCAGCAGGAGGCCGCCCTCGAGCGGCACGAGGCCGCCCAGGCGCGCGGCGACGAGATCGAGCAGTCGCTCGAGGAGACGGAGGAGGCGAAGGTGGCGCGCTGGCGCGAGGTCGAGACGGGCGCGCGCTACACGCGCGCGGCGGCCTTGGCGAAGTACCCACAGCTCCATCATTCTGGGCGTGACCTCACGGGCCTGCCGATCAAGATCGCGCGGAGGCCAAAGGGCAGCAGCGAAAGATACGCACGCGACGTCCAGACCTACCTCGCCGCCGACGTCGACGCGCTCGCCGCGCGCCTCGCCGCGCGCCTCGCCGAGGAGGAGAAGGTCGACCCGCGCTGGCTCGAGGTCGAGGCGGGCGCGCGGCTCACCGTGAAGACGGCCATGCAGCGCTACCCACAGCTGAAAATGCATTACTTCGAGGACCTCCCCGTCGAGAAAGTGCTGAAGCCGAAGATCGGTGAAGCCAATCGCGCCCAAGAAGTCAGGACCTACTCCGTTTCCGACATCGAGAAGCTCGTCGCTCGCCAGGCCGCGCCGGAACCCGTCGACTCGCGCTGGCGCGAGGTCGAAAGCGGTGCGCGCTACACGGCGGCGACGGCGGTGGCGCGGTACCCGCAGCTGACGAAGGCGCACTCGTTCAAAGGCCTCCCCTTCGAGAAAATTCGGCAGCCGAAGATCGGCCAAAACACACACGCCCGCGAGGTCAAGACCTACCTCGCCGCCCACGTCGACGCGATCGCGGAAGGCCGCGCGTGGGACGACCGCCAGGCCGCGCCGGAACCCGTCGACTCGCGCTGGCGCGAGGTCGAAAGCGGTGCGCGCTACACGGCGGCGACGGCGGTGGCGCGGTACCCGCAGCTGACGAAGGCGCACTCGTTCAAAGGCCTCCCCTTCGAGAAAGTGCTGCGGCCGAAGATCGGCAAAGGCAAAAACACACACGCCCGCGACGTCAGGACCTACCTCGCGGCCCACATCGACGCGATCGCGGAAGGCCGCGCGTGGGACGGCGCGGGCGCGGGCGGCGGCGACGAGGGCGGCGACGTCGCGGGCGCGGGCGGCGACGACGGCGACGGCGCCGCGGCCGACGACGACGGCGCGGGCGACGACGGCGACGGCGCCGCGGCCGGCGACGACGGCGCGGGCGACGACGGCTCCGCGGCCGGCGACGAGGGCGGCGACGACGGCGGCGGCGACGACGGCGCGGGCGGCGACGAGGGCGCGGGCGACGACGGCTCCGCGGCGAATCGCGCCAAGCGACCTCGACTCCTGGGTCCGCCGCCGCTGCCCCAGCCCCCACCCGGCCCAGAGGTCACGTTCCTGCAAGACGCCGCCCCGGAGCTCGTCGACAATTTGAAATCCCGCGAGCTCGTGCGCCGCTGGCAAGACGCGTCCGCGACGGCCGCCGCGCGCCGCGCGGCGGCCAACGCGCTCGAGGACGCGGACTGGAAAGAGCAGCAAGACCCGGGCCGCACCTGCTACTGCGTCTCCACGTTTGATTCCCATCACTACGATAGCAACAAGGACGACGCGGCCGCCGACGTCGCCCGCGGCGTCATGGCCGCGCTCCACTTCGCGCTCGACGAGAAGCGGCCGTGCGACGCCGACGTGCGCCGCGACCTGTGCCTCCAGGCCCTGGCCTGCGAGGCGCGCGCTCAAGAGCTGCTGCGCTCCGACAAGGCGCTCCGCGTCGTGCGCGTGCTCGAGGCTGCCATCCTCAAGGGCGACCGTGACCGCGCGGCCGCGCGGCGCATCGTCGCCGCGACGCTCTTCACCCGGCATCACGCCGAGATCAAGTGCCTGATCCACATCAAGTTCGACAACCTCGACGCGGTGGACATCGTCATGATGACGACTTTGCCGGACTGCACGTTTTGCCGAGGGTTTATGGGCGCGATCGGGCAGGTCCACCAGAACATCATCGTGCCCCGTTGCCTGTCGCCCCCGGGCATGCCCCTCGGGAGAGACGCGCCGGCGCTCTATTACGTGCGCTGCTAAACAGCCTAGATGGGCCGCGGGGGCCACTTCGCGAGGACGATGAGGCCCTCGGCCGTCGTCACGGACGGGTGGTCGCAGGCGGGGGGCACCTCAGGGCAGAGCCGCGCGGGGGCCGGGACGTGGGCTTGGACGGAGGCCTTGATGAGGTTGAAGAACATCGTGCACCGCGGGCAGGCCCGGATCGTCGTCCGGAGCGCGAGGTCGAAGGGCAGGCCCTTGAGCGCGCAGTCGAAGAAGGCCTTGATCTCGCTGTGGTTCGCGCGCGTGTTCTTGAAAACTCTCGCCGCGTACTCTCTATTCGCTGAAGTCAGGTAGAGGATCTCTCTGGCGACGCGCACCGCGCCCTCGAGGAAGCGCGCGAGTTCCGCCGGTTCATGTTGCTCGAGAGTCTCCGCTAGTCTACTTGCCAGGTCCCCCTCCGGCTGAAGGGAGAACTCCTTGAGCACTTTGAGCCTATGAGGAATTTTTGTTTCTTCAAACCTCTCGAGCTCCGTCAAATCGAAGTCGTTTTGGCTGATTTTTGGACGAATCGATTGCTCTCGTCGAGTTCTCGAAGCACGGCGGAAGATCTCGCGTCGAAATGGTCGCATACACGCACATTGAAGTCGGATTGAAGATTTGATTTCCACACAGGCAGCGCGCAAGCACGCGGCCTTGGCCGCGAGCGTGTCCTTGGCCGGGCTGTACGTAGCGCCTTCCGACGTGAGGCACAGGCAGGTGAAGTTCTCCTCGAAGTGGCACGCGCGCCTGCGATGGCGCGAGGGTCGTGGTTTCGTACGCGCGTGGGACAAGGACCGAGCGCCCCGAAGCCGCGCGGACGGCACGCCGCCCGCGCGCACCACGACCCGCGACCACGACCAACCCCGACCCCTTCGGTGTCCCCTCGTCGGAGACACGCCGCGCTCGCCGCGGTCCGATCATCCTAACAGGACCCCCCCCCTACGCGCGGACACTGGCGCCTGCGGATCCACGTCCGCGCCATGGAGGACGCGGATCTTCTTCCTCTCATTCTCCAAGTACTTCTCATTCTTGTTAAAGTACGCTCCCGCTGCCTTGACCACGGAGTGGTCGCCGTCGAGGCGCGTCTCGCTCTCTAGCACCCCGCGCGGGATCACGCCCACGCCGAACGAGAATGGACCCGCGGCGCGAAGAGCTCCCGCGGGGAGCCCCCGCCCAACTTCTGCGCATTCTCTCGCGAGATTCGCCGCGTCCGCCTCGGAGACCGGTTCGCAGTAGAAAGCGCAGCGCGGGGGCGTGGTGAGTTCGAGCTTGATCGGCCGATCGAGCGGGTGTAAATCGTCGTCCTCGACGAGGACCTCGTCGTCCTGATCGTCCTCGCTGCTCTCCTCGCTGCTCTCGCGCTCGCGTTTGGGCTCCTTCGTCGCCATAAAGCCCTGGTCGTTTTCGCGAGCGGCGAGCGGGGCGGGCGTGGCTCGATGACCGAGAGCGACGCCCTAGCTGTGGCAGAATCGCTAACTCAGCGACCCGTCCGAGGCTCGTCCGAGGCTCGCCCCAGTCGGCGGCTCCTGCGCCGTCCGAAGCACACCGAACGTACGCGGCTTAGCTAGGCCGTCCGTGAAAGTCGCCCGACGTGCGATTGAGGCTCGTGAGAAGTCGTGACCATGTGTGGCAGTCACGGTGCCGTCACGGTCGTGGTCGGCTATCCCATCCGAAGCAAGGCTTACGAGGCCTCCGGCCGCGCCGAGCGCGGGGTTATCGACACCCCCGATCGCCACGACATCGACGCCGAGATCGAGCTCGCCGAAATCGACGTCGTGTAATTTCTCCGGCTCACGCGCTAGCCTCTTCGTCTGCGCGAGAGCGGCCGCCCCGGGCGTCGTCACGCGGTCTTCGGCCGCGGCGCGGCGGCCGCGCGCGAGAGCAGGAGGAGCGCGACGACGATCTCCACGGCGGCGCCGGCGGCGACGACCTCGCGGACGACGTCCTCCTTGTACGCGACGGCGAGCGCGGCGCCGACGTAGAGCTTCGCGGCCGCGGCCGTGCGGTCGCCGACGCCGCCGGCGACGATGCCGCCGGCGACGACGGCCTGCAGGCCCCAGAAGAGGCAGCCCCACATGCGCGCGATGTTGCAGGCCGCCTGGCACTCCTCCGCCGGCGGCACGACGATGTACTTCGCCATCGGCGATCCGCGGTTGATCATGGAGATCTTGTACACGTTCGCCGGGCCCAGCGCGAGCCACGGCGCCGTGAGGACGAAGATGAGCGCGTCGCGCAGGCCCATGGCTCGACGGTCGCGAGCGCGGCGGCTTGCGCAGCGCTGCGGCGCGCGAGGCTGCGGGCGTGGAGCGGCAGCAGTTCCGGATGGATCTCGCGCGGTGCGGTGTCGAGCGGCGGTTTTGCGTGGTCGCAGCGCGGCGTCGAGCGGGGTGTTGTCGCGAATTGCGGTAGAGCTGTAGTGGCAGAGTGGCAGAGCGCATCAGCCCCTCGCAGGCTGTGGCAATTTTGGCTGATCGAGGTTTCGAGGCAGACTTCATCGAAACAACCAGAGAGGCGCATCATCATCAAAATATGGGCTCGGCGTAGGCCGCCGTCCGCCCTCGACGCGCCGAGACCGCCGCACGCACCCCGGCGCGCCTCGGGCGCGCGCCCCGCGTTTTTCTCAGCGCGAAAACACGCGAAACAACCGACGAACCCGCCGCCGAAACGCTAGACCATGGCCGACATCAGCGACCGCCTCGAGGTCAAGGTCGTGTCGGCCCGGTCGCTCAGCGAGGTCGAGGGCGGCGAGTGCAACCCCTTCGCCGTCGCGCGCTGCGGCTCCGAGTTCGGCCAGACGCTGGTCGCGAACCGGACGACGGACCCCGAGTGGCAGTCGTCGACGATGATCTTCGTCGACATCGCGGAGAACGACGTGGACCACATCGTGCTCAACGTCATGCACAAGAACCTGAGCGCCCAGGCCGACGTGGACCTCGGCGCCGCCATCGTCGACCTGCGGACCGCGATCCTCTCGCCGGGCATCGAGACCGACGAGTGGTACGCGCTCCAGCGGGCGCCGGGCATGGACCAGCCCGCGACGGGCCGCGTGCGCGTCGAGATGACCTACTTCGTCTCCGAGGGCGACGACGTGCTGCCGTCCGACGACGACGACGACGACGACGACGACGAGGACCGGAGCCCGAACATGTTGGTCGGCACGATCGTCCGCGGCCGCCACCTCGAGGTCGAGGGCCGCGATCTCGTCGACGCCTACGCGACGGTGAAGATCGGGGCCCACAAGGCCCACACGTCCGTCGTGCGGCGCAACAACGGGCCCCACTGGGACCAGCAGTTCAAGCTCCCCGTCTCCGACGGGTCGCTGTCGATCTCGTTAAAGGTCAAGAACAAGGGCGTGCTCGGGAACCGCCTCATCGGCGGCTGCGTCGTGCCCATGGTCGAGGTCGCGGCCCACGGCGAGCCGGGCTACACGCGCTGGTGCCGCCTGGACGGGCCCCACGGCCTCGTGGGCGACGGCAACCGCGGCGACGTCGAGGTCATATTGGCGTGGCGCTACGACGCGAAGTACGCGCGGTCGCTGAGCCGCCTCCTGAGCGGCGCGGGGGCCCTGGTGTCCGGCGTCGGCTCCGTCATCGGCGGCATCGGGTCCCTCGCGGGCGCGGGCCTGGAGATGTCGCGGAAGACGCAGGCGCCGCGCGAAAAAGCGACGGACCGCGACGAGGAGAACGCGTGGATGACCGCCGACGAGGAGTTCGCGCCGCTGAAGCTGAGCTCCAAGGAGCAGGAGGAGCTGGAGGAGCGGCGCGAGGCCGGCGTCATGATGGCGGACCGCCGCATGGACGAGCTCGAGCGCGAGCGCGACTCCGCGATGCGCCCGGGCAACTACCAGGTCCAGGTTCACATTATCGAGTGCCGCGACCTCAAGGGCGAGGATTTGAACGGGCTGAGCGACCCCTACGTGCGCATCAAGGTGCTGGGCCGCGTGAAGAAGTCGCGCGTCGTCAAGAAGTGCACGTCGTGCGTCTTCGACGACACGTTCTACTTCAACTTCAAGGATCTCTCGCGGTCGGCCATCGAGGAGGCGACCATCGACGTCATGGTCTACGACTTTGACGTCTTCAGCGCCCACGATTTGATCGGCATGGCGTCCTTCGACGCGAAGAAGATCCACGATTTGGAGGCGCACGAGTACTACCGGCAATGGGTCGGTTTGGTGGACAACCTCGACACGGGCGACAACGGCTACCAGGGCTTCCTGAAGCTCTCCGTGACCGTGTTGGGCCCCGGCGACGACCAGAAGGCCCACGACCTCGACGCGGAGTACCAGCGGGAGCTCGACGCGGAGATGGACGAGGGCGAACTGGGCGGCATGGCGCTCAGCGGCCCGTCCGTGGACTCGAAGCTCACGTTCCTCGTGGTCTACGTCTGGGAGGCCGAGGATCTGCCCCCCATGCACGCGTCCATCTTCTCCGCGGGGGGCATCGAGGCCTACGTGCGCGTCGACGCCGCGGGGAGCCGGTGCTCGACGTCGGCGGTCCGCGTCCGCGGCAAGGGCAACCTCGCGCCCGAGTTCCGCGAGGAGCTCTGGCTGCCCGTCACGGAGCCCACGGAGGCGAAGCGTATTACGGTGGGGCTCTGGGACTACAGCACGTTCACGAAGGACCGGCCCGTGGCGCACGTCTACTTCGACCTCGGCGAGGTGAAGCGCAAGGACGACAAGCCGTCGTCGAGCTCCTGGACGACGTCCCTGTTCAAGGGCGCGAAATACACGGGCCCGCGGCCCCGCTGGCACAACCTGTACGGCGCGCCCCTGGGCATCCAGGGCCGGCGCGGCGCGCTGCAGAACCGCTACGGCAACGAGGCGACGACGTACCGGGGCCGCGTGCTCCTGTCCATGGAGCTCATGACGCGGCCGTCGTCGCGGGAGAAGACCGTGTCCCACCGGAAGAACTTCCACTTCAAGCCGACGCCGGGGTTGAAGCCCGCGACGGCGCGCTACCATTTGCTGGCGCTCGCGGTCATGGGGACCGAAATCCCGACGTTCCGGTCCGCGGGCTTCGGGGGCACGGCGAAGATGAAGCTCGTCGTGGCCATCGGCAACCACCGCCTCGACTTCGCCTTCGAGCCGAACAGGCGCGGCGTCGTGACGTGGAACGCGCTCCAGTCGCTCCGGGGCGTCGATTTACCGGTATTTCTGGAGGAGATCCCCGACGTCTGCCTCTACCTCGTCCGGGGCCCGCCGAAGGTGGTCACGGTCTGCTACGCGCGCATCCCCGCGGCGCGCCTGCTCAAGGAGCAGCTCAAGAGCGACCCGAGGTGGGAGCTGCTCAAGCCCGACGCCGCGCGGTCGAAGAACCACGGCGGCGTGGCTTTGACCGCGAACCCCGGCGCGGTGCTCCTGCAGCTGGGCCTCGGCCTCTCGGAGGACGCCGTGGACCCGGACCTGAACATGAACTGGCAGGAGGCGCCCCTGCTGAAGAAGGCGGAGACGCTCAAGCCCTATTGTTTGCGGGTCTACGTCTACCAGGCGCGGAACCTGCCGGCGTCGGACGAGAACGGGCTCCTCGACCCCTACGTCAAGGTGCGCTTCTGCGGCAAGAAGGAGAAGACCAAGTCCCAGGCCATGACGACGGCGCCCCTCTGGTACGAGACGCTCCAGTTCCACGAGATGCTGCCGTCGGACCCCAAGTTCGGGCCGGACGTCGTCCTCCAGGTCTGGGACAAGGACACGTTCGCGTCGAACACGGCCATGGCCCTCATGCGGCTGCCCCTCGTGGATTGTGCTTTGTTGTCGACGGAGAGCGCTAGGCCGCCGACGCCGAAGTGGCACGTCCTGACGGACATCAACGGCGAGGACGTCGGCGCGGAGCTTTTGGTCGCCGCGGCGCTCATCGAGAAGCGCGACCTCAACGAGAAGTTCGACCGGCCCATGTCCATCGTGCCCCAGATGCGCGTCGCCTGGGTCGAGGTGACCTGCGTCGGCGTGCGCCAGCTGAAGACGCACCGGCTCCGGACGCCGCGCGAGCCCTACGTGCGCTGCGACGTGCCGGCGCCCGACGACGGCGGCGGCACGTTCAAGACCAAGGCGTCGCGGCAGCCGTCGGGCCGCAACGCCAACTTCCTGAGCCGCCACGTCATGTCCGTGGAGATGCCCGAGAACGCCGTCTTCGCGCAGTGCATGGATTTGCGGGTCTACGACGCGCGCGTCGGCCTCACGACGGGCCTCCAGTCGCCGTTGCTCGGCGCGACGTCCGTGGACCTGTCGACGAAGATGTCCTGGAACGGCGAGGGCTACGTGCCGCCCCAGATGGAGCTCTTCGAGGACTCGGACGCGAAGCGGCGCGCGGACGAGCGCGAGGAGGAGGAGCGGGCCAAGGCGGCCGCCGCGGACGCGGAAGACGAGGAGGAGGAGAACGACGGCGGCGCGGGCGCCGGGTCCGTGGGCATCTCCTTCGGGGGCGGCGACGACGGCGACGCCAACGAGGAGGACGACGACCTCAACGACGGCGAGGACGTCGACCAGCACGAGTTGGAAAGAAGGGGCCTCGTCGAGGCCAAGGGCGCGGCGCCCGCGCCGACGCACGACCCGGGCACGGGCGCCTTCGACCCCATGGCGCTGAGCGACCTGCCCATGATCTACGAGGATCTGCTCTACGAGGAGGAGCAGGAGCGGCTGGCGCAGGAGCTCGCGGCGCAGGACGCGGCCGCGGACAACGAGATCACGTTCCTCGACATGGTCGAGGCGCGCCTCGCCAACGCGACGGACGTCAACGCCCTCGTCGACGGCGACGTCCACTACAAGATGAGCGAGCTGCCCATCGCCTTCCCGAACCAGTGGGCGGCCGCGGACTACATCGCGGGCCGCGAGTGGTGGATGGACGACCGCGGCGGCACAGAGCTCGAGAACTACCTCAAGACCAAGCCCTTCGAGACCTACCCCGTCTACCGCGGCAAGTACCACCCGAACCCGTCCAAGTCGACGCGGCGGCCCGTGGGCCTCTTCAAGGGCATCATCCGCGTGCTCGACAGCGACCCGGCGTTCGAGGAGGAGCCCTTCTTCCCCATGAAGCTGCTGCGCGCGACGCCCTACACGGTGCGCGTCTACGTGATCCGCGGCGTCAACCTCCAGCCCGCCGAGGGCGTGTCCGCGGACCCCTACCTCCGCGTGAAGCTCGGCAGCGAGGTCGACGACCGGTCGAAGACCCACCGGCCGCGGACGTTGAAGCCCGACTTCTACGAGACCTTCGAGTTCCGCACGGTGCTGCCCGGGCCGGCGACTTTGAAGGTCCAGGTCAAGGACTGGAACCGCTTCTACCCCATCCACGAGCTCCTCGGCGAGACCAAAATCGACCTCGAGGACCGGTGGTTCCACCGCGAGTGGCAGTCGCTGGACGAGAAGAAGGAGGGCACGACGAACCCGCTGAAGCCCATCGAGGTGCGGGGCCTGCGCACGGACACGAACCCCGTCGCCCAGGGCCAGGTCCACATGTGGCTGGAGATCCGGCCCGAGCACGAGACGCGGCGCGAGCCGGCCGTGCACCTCGAGGGCCCCGAGAAGATGAAGTTCGAGGTCCGCGTCATCTGCTGGAAGTCCAAGGACGTGCCCTTCGAGATGGGCGACTACTTCGCCGAGTTCTGGATCGGCCAGTCCCGCAAGCAGAAGACGGACGTCCACTGGCGGTGCCGCAACGGCAAGGCGAGCTGGAACTGGCGCGTCAAGATCCCCGTCGAGCTGCCGCTCGACTCGCCGGAGATGGGGCGCCTCAACATCCAGCTCTGGGACCAGGACATCATCAAGTGGAACGACGTCATCGGCGAGTGCCAGGTCGACCTCTACCGCTGGTTCCTCAAGGCCTACCACGAGAAGCGGAGCGTCAACGTCTTCAAGGCCATCAACGAGGCCATCGAGCGCAAGAAGGCCGAGGAGATGGGCCTCGCGACGGAGTCGGACCTCGAGGACGACGACGACGACGACGGCGGCGACGACGACGAGGGGTCGTCCGAGGGCGAGGAGGAGGGCGCGGAGGGCGACGACGGCGACGGCGGCGGCGGCGACGGCGAGGAGACGAAGGAGGAGAAACCGGAGGGAGACGAGGCCGAGAAGGAGGAGGGCGAGGAGAAGCCCCTGCTCGACGAGGCGAAGAAGAAGGAGGACAAGGACGAGAAAGAGGACGACGACAAGGACGACGGGCCCAAGCCCGTGGACGCCGGCGACAAGGACGCCGCGTACTTTGTGAAGCAGTTCAAGGACTTCATCGGCCTCGGCGAGATCGACGACACGGCCCAGTGGATCAAGATGACCATCAACGACCGCAAGCGGAAGCGGCTCCTCACGCGGGGGAGCCTCGCCATCACCATCGAGATCCTGCCCGAGGACGAGGCGGGCGACCGGCCCGCGGGCCACGGCCGGACCGAGCCGAACGCGAACCCGTACCTGCCGCCGACGACGGGCCGCATGTCCTTCTCCTACAACCCGCTGGCCATCTGCTCGGCGCTGCTGGGGCCCAAGCTCGCCTTCCAGATCATCTGCTGCCTCTGCTGCATCCTCATCCTCGTCGCCATCGGCTTCCTCGGCATGTACTTCACGTCCTTCTACACGCTCATGCAGTCCCTGGGGCTCACCGGCGGGTCCTCCTCCTCGACGACGACGGACTAACGGTGGGCGTGTATAGAGACTACGGGGGCGGGGGGACTAGAGCTGGGGGTGTTCGAACTCGAAGAACATCTCGTCTTCGGGGAGCGCGGCGGGGAGGAGCTCCCAGTGCGGGACGTGGCTACGGAACCGATTTGGGCCAACGTCGAACATCACTCTATTGCCTCGACGCGGCTCATCAGAAAAGTGTAAAACATTCATGGCCCGACGAAATGGCAGATGTGACGTGCGACATTCACAGTGCAATAGCCACTGAGTACGGAAGTGCTGAGAGCGAGTTGCGCGGCCGTCCAAGGTCATATTCTCCGGAAGGTCATATTCAAAGCTGATCAAACACAGTGAACCGATTCCCCCTCTTGTTTGCGAACATATGCTCAATACTTCTTCGCCCCTATAAGCACTTGTAGGACTCATACGGCGCTGAAGAGAAAGAATACGGCCGTCGGTCGAGCCAGGTACGCGCTCAACCATGAATCTTTCGGCCTCGCTGCGCGTCAAGAACACCGCTTCAAAAAGATTTGTATGCGCGTAGTCATTAATTGTCGCATACCGATCGATACCGCTGCGGTTGCCGGAATCTTTAAATGTCACATACCGATCGTCACCGCTGCCGTTGCCGGTCTCACCGAGGATGTCGCTTACGCTGCGGTTGCCGGGCTGTAGGAGGTAGGGTCCGCAGCGCTTGGCGACGGCGCAGTGCCGCCAGCGGGGCAGGAACACGGCCGTGCCGCGCTCCCCCGTCCACCGACAGGTTCCCAGACGACGCGCGACGCACACCGCCGACGCCGCGCGCAGCGCCGGCGACGCGACCTCCAGCCGCCATCCGTGGTTCCACCCCGCCAGTTCCACCACAAAGTCGAGCAGACTATCCGGGAGCGTCTCGAGAGCCATCGCGGCGCGTCTTCGGCTAGAACGCGGCGAGCAGCGCGGCGCGCTCGGGCTCGGGCGAGCAACGCGGCCGGGCGAACAACGCGGCGCGCTCGCGCTCGGGCGACGTCTCTTCGATCACGCGGGCAGACCGGCGCGCGCTGAGGCTCGAGGCAACTGCGCACAGGCACGACCCGGCCCCAGATTCTCGAGCTCTCTGCGCCGCGTCACACAAGCTGCACTGCCGACCTCAATTTTGTTTCAGACGTCTCGAACGATGATGGCGTACCATCGGCGGGCAGCGTGAAAGCCATGCGGTTCCTCCTCCTCATCGCGAGCGCGCTGCTCCGCGTCGCCGCGTCCCAGACCTGCGAGTGCCCGACTGTGCCGACGAACTTGAGCCTCTACGATGCGCTGCTCATCGGCGACGACGTCGCGGCGGCCTACGCGCCCGTCGTCGACGAGGTGCTCGCCTACGGCAACCTGTCGCGCGTGGTCAAGATGGGCGCCGTGGGCGGCGGCGGCGCCTGCGCCGGGAGCTTCGGCGTCCTCGCCTGCGTCCCGGGCTGGCTGGCCGTCGGCTGGGCCGTCGTCCACGTCGGCGTCGGAATCGCGGACCTCGCGGCCGGCGTCTCGACGGCGACCTACGCGGCGCGCCTCGCGGCGCTCCACGGCGTCTTGGGCAACCGCACGAACGCCACGGTCTTCGCGACGACGACGCCCGCGCCGCCGTCGTCGGCGATCCTCGACGGCGACGTCGCGGCCTACAACGCGGCGCTCCGCGACCTCTTCGGCGCCGGCGGCGCGCGCGCCGACGTTCGCGTCGACGACCTGTACGGCGTCGTGGTCGACAACTGCCGCAAGGCGCTGGGCTCCGCGTGCTACCCGAAGACCTGCGGCTGCCCGCGATTGCAGGGGTCCTCGGCGACCGCGTGGACGGCGCGCGGCCGCCGCGTGCTCGGCCTCGCCGTCGCCGCGGAGGTCGTCGCGTTCCACGCGTCGGCGGGGTCCGAGGCGGACACGTCGAACATCGTCGAGGACGCCGCCGACAGCAGCGGCGACGGCGTGTCGAGCTGGAAGTTGGCGTGGATTTTGGACGCGGGGTTCGTCGTCTTCCTCGAGGCGCTCATGATCGTCGCCATCCGCTGCGCGGCCTGCGACACGCGGCTCCAGCGGCACCTCACGAGGATCGTCAAGGCGCTGGCCGGCGACGTGCCCCCGCGGCGGGGCGTGCTCCGCGTCGCCGCGGGGCTGCTGCTCTTGTTCGCCGTCTTCTCCGCGGTCGTCTTGGCCGTGCACTACGGCGCGGAGTCGACGGAGTCGCAGGTCGACTGCGCGCCCCAGTGCCCCGCCGTGCCCTGGAACGCGTCGGCCTACGACGCCCTGCTCATCGGCGACTCCGTGTCGGGCCAGTACTCGGACGCGGTCGCGGAACTGTTGAAACGGCAAGAGCTCGCGACCGTCCTCCGCATGGACGAGTACGGCGGCTCGGGCTTCTGCGGCACGTCCTACGGCCTCCTCGCCTGCGTCGACGCCTGGCTCGGCGCGTCCAACTGGACGACCGTGCACGTCAATTGGGGGCTCCACGACATCGACACGTGGAGCTACGCCTACGCGTCGACCAGGGCCACGAAAGGGTGATTCAACGTGAGTGTTCCGCGCGCGCGCGTTTCAAAAGAAAGCATCCTCGCTTCGAGAGCGCTCCGAGAGATGATCGCTCGTCCCAAAATCAGCCGAAACGAGTGGAAAACGGCCGAGAGAGGAGCCTTTGAAGTTGGGAACTTCGCACCTTTTCGTGGCCCAGGTGTCGACGGCGACGTACGCGGCGCACATGTCCCGGCTCTACGAGAAGATTCGAGCGGCGCTGCCGGCCAACGGCACGGTCGTCTTCGCGACGACGACGCCCGTGCCGCCCACCTACCCGTCCCGCGAGCGCGTCAACGCCGACGTCCTCTCCATCAACGCGGCGTTGCTCGACCTCTTCGGCCCGACGGGCCTGCACGATAGCGTCCGCGTCGACGACCTCTACAACGCCGTCGTCGGCAACTGCCGGGCCTACGCGGCGAGCGCCTGCTACCCGGACACGTGCGACTGCCCGCGTCTGCAGAACGACGGCGTCCACTTCTCCGACGTCGGCAAGCGGTTTCTGGGCGTCTTGGTCGCGTCCTTTATCGCGCGCTACCAGGCGGGGCCCGGCCGCGGCGCGGCCTACGTCGGCGACGACGACGACGCCGGCGACGACGACGACGACGAGCTGCTGGCCTCGTGGCAGTGGGCCCTGGTCGCCCAGGGCGCCGCGGCCGTCGGCCTCGTCGCCGCGGTCTACGCGGCGGCCTGGCGCGGCCGCGCCAAGGACCGCCCCGAGGTCGGCGCCCCGGCGAAGGACATCCGCGCCTGCCGGACCTACGGCGACCCCGCGCGGGCGCCGCTCCTCGAATAAAAACCGAATTAGGCGACGACGAAGTACTTCTTGTGGAGCCGCGTCGCGAGCGGCGGGCGCTCGGCGTCCGTCGGCGGCGGCGGCGCGTCGCCGAAGAGCTGCCACCGCGCCTTGGCCGGCGCGGGGATCTTCCGGTCCGGCCTGCCCCGGGGCTCGCCGTTCCAGTGCAGCGTGCCCCAGGCCTTCCCGACGCCGATCGCGCCGTCGTCCTTCGCCGCGCGCTTGTTGTACTTGACGCGCGTGACCTCCCAGAAGCAGTTCGGGCTGTGCCACGTCGACCGCGTCACGCGGCTCCCGACGCCGTAGTTCGCCAGGGGGAAGAGCACCTCGAGCAGGCGCTTGCCGTCGCCGAAGCGGCCCATGGCGCCTCGCAGGGCCTCGCGCGGAGCGCTTCGGGGCGGGAGGTCGCGGCGGGGCGCGGCGCGGCGCTGGCGGAGGGTGTCGCGCGGAGCGACGTCGCGGCTGAGCTCGCCTCCACCTCGTCCTCACGGCAAGGTTGGCTCTTCAGAGATGCTTCCTTTTTTATTGCACGGCATCCTAGCTGCCCGGGCGCCTCCGAGCCTCTCCGACGCGTGGCGTCGTTGCGGTCCGAAAGCCGGCCGCGACGCTGCCCGCCATGCTGCGACGAGCGGTGCTCGTCCTCGCCGCCGCGGTCTACGCCGCGGCGGAGCCGCCCGCCGGCGAGTTCTGCGGCGAGCCGAGCACGAAAGGCATCGTCGCCGCCCTGGAGACCGACGACTTCAAATGCGCCCTCTCGTTGATCAAGGCCGTGGGCGTCGACGTCAACGTCAACGAGGTCATGATGGGCCTGCGCTCCGTCGAGGGCCGCGTGAAGGAAATCAAAGACGCGGTCAAGGCGACCCAGCACGACCCGACGAAATTCATGGCCCCGGCGCACCAGTGGGCCCAGTCCGGCGGCGAGATCTTCCTGAGCGTCAAGTTCGCCCACAAGTGGGACGCGCCGGCGACCCTGGTGAGCGCCGAGGACATCGAGGACGTGGCCTTCGAAGCCGAGAAGGTCGTCGTCAGGGCAGCAAAAGAGAGCGAAATTCCCAACTTCAAAGGCTCATATCTCGGCCGTTTTCCACTCGTTTCGGCTGATTTTTGGACGAGCGATCATCTCTCGGAACGGTCTCGAAGCGTAGATGCTTTTCCGGAACGCGCGCGCGCGGAACACTCACGTTGAAGCGACGTTGAATCACCCTTTTGCTGCCCAGGTCGTCGTCAAGGCGTCCAAGGCCGAGAAGCGCTTCGTGCTCGAGGTGCCGCTGCTGCGCGAGATCGACCCCGCGGCGTCGTCCTACGTGACGGCGTCCGTGGGCCGCATGACCATCACGCTGAAGAAGGCGTCGTCGCAGCGCGAGTGGTGGCCGCGGCTCAACAAGGACAAGGCGAAGCCGCCGAACCAGGGCGTCTGGTGGGACAAGCAGGAGCTCTACGACAAGGAGAAGGAGGAGGTCCAGAAGCAGGAGAAGGCCAAGGGCGCGCCCAAGGGCCTCGCGTCGAAGCTCGAGGCCATGAAGAAGAAGAAGACGGCCGCCGCCGCGGACGCGGAGGTCGAGCAGGCGAAGCGCGAGGACATGGGCGCCGACGAGGCGCCCGAGGCGGGCGGCGGCGAGGCGCCCCAGGACGACAACCTCAAGTCCGACAAGAACGACCGGTCGCCCTTCACGTCCGCGGTGAAGCGGAGCGACAAGCGGAAGAAGCTCGCGCACTCGACGACGCAGCAGGCCAAGGAGAAGCTCGTCGAGGAGGCCCGCGAGCGCGCGACGAAGGAGCAGGCGCGCGTCAAGCTCGACATCGAGGACCTCGACAGGAAGCTCGAGTGGGCCTACAAGCAGATCGACGCGGACATCCCCAAGGACGCCGCGGACCCGGCCTGGGACCCCGTCGACGTGCCGTCCGAGTTCCCCGACGTGCCCGAGGCCCAGGCCGCCGCGGAGAAGAAGACGAAGAAGAAGAAGAAGAAGAAGAAGGCGAAGAAGGCCGAGGGCGACCTGTGAGTCGAGGGTAAACGCGGACCTGCGTATCTTTTACTTGCCCATCCAACAGCGCGGCCGAAGCGCCGATGCGTGCCCCATAAGGAGCTCGCGCGACCCATGGAGGTGCTCTCGCCCCTCGAGGCCGGGGGCGGCTACGACATGTCCGGCGAGCCCCCGCCGGCGTCGGCGCGGAGCGTCGCGTCGAGCTCCATGTCCGTCGACGTCGGCGCGCTCCTCGGCGACGCCGACGAGTCCCTCGACAAGCTGAGCGTCCTGCTGGACGTCGACGGCGCCGTGCGGACCAAGGCCCAGAAGCGCGTGAACCGCATGTTCCAGAAGTCGAGCCAGCAGCTCGGCGACCTCCTCGAGCTCGCGCTGGAGGCCCAGAGGCAGCGGGCGGACTTCGAGCTCACGACGGCCAAGATCGAACTGACCACGGAGTTCAAGAGCCTCCTGGCGGCCCTGGAGCACAAGATGCAGTCCCAGATCGACGCCCAGAACGAGGCCATGGCCACGCTCCAGTACAACCTGCTGGGCATCGAGGAGGACGCGAAGACGCGCGCGGACCAATTGGCGAGAGAAGCCGCGGAGCGCGAGCGGAACGCGCGCGACGCGGCCGAGGCCGCGGCGGCGGCGGAGCGCGCGCGCATGGAGGCGCAGCGCCTCGAGGCCGCCAGAGCTTTGGAGGAGGCGCGGCGCGCCGCCGAGGCGGCGCTGAAATCCGCGGAGCAGGCGGGGAGAGACGCGAAGAACAGCAGCGCGGACGACGCCGCGGAGCGCGACCGCCTGGCCCGCGAGCTCGCGGAGCGCGAGCGGTTGGAGCGGGAGCGCCTGGAGCGCGAGCGCCTGGCGCAGCTCGAGCGGGACCGGCTCGCGGCGCTGGAGCGCGAGCGCCTCGCGGGTCTCGCGGACGCCGAGGCCGAGGCGGAGGCGAAGCGCCGCGAGGCCGCGCGGCTCGCGGCGCTGGACAAGGAGCGCCGCGCCGCCGACGCCGCGGCCAGCGCCGCCAAGGACGCCGAGGCCGCGCGCGAGGCCGCGGCGTTGCTGGAAAAGGACCGCGCGGCCGCCGCGGACGCGGCCAAGGCCGCGAAGGCGTATCTGGACAGTTTGGCGTACCAGTTCGTCTACCTCGGGCGCCTGGCGCCGGCGAACGAGGGCGGGCCGTCCGAGGCCGACGTCGCGCTCGCCTTCCCCGGCGCCGACAGGGTCGAATTGGTCGCGCGGCCCGCGTGGGACCGCGCTCTGGCGCTCGCGCGCTACGTGGACCTCGAGGTCGCGAAAGCCGAGCTCGAGGCGCTCCAGGAGAAGCTCGAGGAGCTCGACGAGTTCGGCGACGAGGACCTGGAGAAATCGCCGCGGTCCGGCGCCCTGGCCAAGTTCCGGGGCGCGGACGGCCGGTTGTTGGCCGAGTCGTACGTCAAGGAGACGTCGTCGGTCCTGGTCTCGGGCCCGCTGCCGCCCGCGTCGGCTTCCAGCGACGCGGGCGAGTTCGAGGAGACGCTGCGGGAGACGCTGGACGGCTACGAGGTGTCGGGCCTCGGCAAGCGCACGGAGGACTGGGGCTTTTGTGTTTTACGCTGCGACTCGCCGGAGGCGGCTTTAGGCCTCGTGTCCGAGTTCCACGGCCGGAGCCCCGCCGTGCTCTACGGGTCGCTCCACCGAGAAGACACGGGCGGCACCTTAAGCGTCGCGCCGCTCCTGGGCCACGTCGCCGCGGCGCTCGCCAAGGAGGTGCGCCAGCTCCAGTCCGCGGCGACGATCGGGGCGGCACAAGAGAGCGAAATTCCCAACTTCAAAGGCTCCTCTCTCGGCCGTTTTCCACTCGTTTCGGCTGATTTTTGGACGAGCGATCATCTCTCGGAACGGTCTCGACGCGTGGATGCTTTTCCCGGAACGCGCGCGCGCGGAACACTCACGTTGAAGCGACGTTGAATCACCCTTGCGCCGCCCAGGCGACGATCCCGTCGCCGGCCATCCCCGCGGGGGCCGTGCTCGTGCGCAACGTGGGCTCGCCGACGGCGCTGAGCGTCCTCGAGGAGGTCGCCAAGCAGGCCGCCGGCGCGGCGCCCGCGGCCGTGCGCTGGGCCGCCGCGCGCGAGACGCGGCTGGCTCTGGTCGTCTTCGACGACCCGCTCCGCGCGTGGGCCTGCGAGGAGAAGTTGGACGACACGCGGGACCAGAGCGCCGCCGGCGACGACGCGCCCATGCTCCGGTGCGAGAAGCTCTACCGCAAGGACAAGCCCGTGCCGCCGGACCACGTGCCCACGGAGGAGGAGAAGGCCGCGAAGCGCGCGCGACTCCGGCGGAAGCTCAAGGCCTACCTCATGGCCCAGTCGGCGATCCGGCGCATGTCGGCCATGGCCAACCTGACGCGCCAGCGCATCGCCGACGCCAAGATGTCCCTGAACAACCGCCTCGAGGCCTTGGAGGAGGGCATGCGCGAGCTCAAGCAGCGGAAGATCCCCGAGCCCGCGGCCGCGGCGCCCGCGGCCGCGCCGGGCGTCGCCTACGACGACGGGCCCCTCGTTTTGCGCGTGGCGGGCGCGGAGCAGGCCGCGGCGGGCGCCGCGGCGGCGGCGGCGGCGCTCGAGGAGCGCATCGAGAAGAACGAGAAGGCCATCCGGGGGTTGGTCGGCGTCCGGGGGTCGCGCGCGTTCTGCGAGAACTTGCTGGACTACCTCGCGGAGAACGCGGCGTCCTTCGTGCCGGCGAGTTCGGGCAACGCCGGCGGCGGCGGCCCGCCGGGCGTCGACCCGCGGAAGGTCGAGAAGCAGGTCTGCCAGCGCCTCGCGACGCTGCGGCTGCTCCGCGAGGACGACGACGGCTTCCGCATGTCCGACGAGCTCCGGGGCCTGCTGGAGAAGAGCAAGGAGGCGACGGCCGACGCCGAGGCGCGCGAGAAGCTCGCGGCCCTCGACGAGTACGCCCGGGGCCTCGCCGCGGCGCTCGCGGAACTCGGCGAGCGGCTCGACGGCTACGCGGCCACGAAAGTCGACGCCGCGGTCTACGAGGGCGGCGTCGCGGCCCTCGAGGCCGCGCGGCGCGACGACGCCGACAAGCTCCGGGACCACGCGCGCGCGGCGGCGGCGGCCGCGGGCGGCGCGGCCGTCGCGGAGGCCGCGGGCGCCGCGGCCGCGCACATCGACGCCGCCGTTCGCGCCGCGCTCGCGAACATGAAGGACCTGCTGGCCGGGGGCTCCGGCGCCCTCGAGGGGCGGCTGCGGGAGGTCGAGGCGACGGCGGGCGACCTCGACAAGAAGCTGCGGAGCGTGTCCGCGGGCGTGCCGCTGCTCATCGAGGAGCAGAAACGGCGGGAGCGCGAGATCTGGGACTTCGTGCAGGCGCACCTCCAGCGGAGCGGCTGGTACGAGGAGCGGCTGAGCCGCATCGCGTCCGCCGTCGACGAGAAGCCGAGCGAGTCCCAGGTGCGGGCGATGATGCGCCAGCTCGACGCGAATCTACGGATCCACTGCGGCGACGGCGCGGCGCTCGCCGTGCTCGTGGAGCGCATCCACGGCGAGCTCACGCGCAAGGTCGGGCGCCGCGACGTGATCCGCCTCATCAACGTCGCCGTCGAGGGCGCCGAGGGGCGCCTGGCGCGCGTCGCGGCGCTCGGCGCGCGCGACGCGGCCTACGGCCCGGGGTCGAAGAAGGGCGTGCCGCCGCTGCCGCACGGCGCGGACCCGCGGCCGCTGTCGTCGGACGGCGCCCTCGTCGGCGCGGCGGCGACGGCCCTGGGCAACATGCAGGGCGGCGGCGCCGCGGACCCGGCGAAGCACATCTTCGCGGCCATCGGCCACCAGATCATGAAGCTCTTCAAGTTCGACGGCGCGCCGGGGCCGCCGCGGTCGGCGGCCCCGCGGTCGCAGTCGCCGGGCGACGCGCGGGCCGACGCGAACGCCGCCGGCGTCTCGCCGCTGCTGCACCTCGACGGCGCGGGCATGCCGGACCCGCCGTACCCGGGCGGCGAGCCGCCGCGGAGCCCGCCGCACACGGGCCCGCACACGACGAACCTCCAGCCCGAAACCGCCGCGTCGCTCCAGGAGAAGCACCGCCGCGCGATGACGCCGGGCTCGAACCGCGACTTCGTGTCGAAGCAGGAGGCCGCGCGCTGGGCCGCGGCCGCGGCCGCCGCGGCGGTCATGGGCCTGAGCCTCGACTCCATCGCGGGCCTCGCGGCGCCGCCCGCGGCGCTCGGCGAGCCCGGCGGCCCGCTCCTCCACCCGCTCCACGTGAAGCAGCGCGGCCGGCCGTCCTTCCCGGCGAACCAGCCGGACCTCAAGCCCGCGCCGAACGGCGCGCCGCTCACGAAGCAGACGTACGTCACGCCGCCGAACCAGCTCATCTTGGCGTCCTACCCGAACGGCCGGCCGGGCGCGCTCCGCGCGCTCCAGCGCGCGCCGAGCGCGGCCCAGGTGCCCGACGACTACGGCGCGGCCGAGGACGTCATGCGCGTGTCGCTGTCGCGGAAGACGATCGCGCGCGCGCCGATCGGCCGCCGCGACGACGACGGCCTCGACCCGGCGTCCTGGGACGGCGCGAACTAAGGGAGCGATCCTAGAGCGACCCGGCTAGTTATAGTTCTCGCGCTCGACGGGGCCGTAGATCATCTTGCGCTTGATGCCCGCGCGCTGCCGGCGGATGCTGTCCTCGAGCCACTGCGGCCGCCGGTCCTCGCCGCCGGCGTCGTTTCGCTCGTCGTCGGCCGGCGCGTCCGGCGCCGCGCGCGCCGTGGGCCAGAGGGCGACGCCCTCCATGGCGACGAAGGCGGCCTCGCGCTCCGTCGCGTTCGTGTAAAACGCGTCGAGGCGCGCGTAGTCGCGCGGGATCTCGCCCTTGAAGGACGGCGCGACGAGCTGGGACGCGGGGAAGAAGCCGCTCACGTACCACTGGCGCATCTGGCCCGGGTAGAAGGGGCCCTGGCGCCCGCCCTCGCGGTCTTTGTAGAACCAGAGCATGGCGCCGCCGGGCGCCTTCTTGCGCCATTGCTTCGGCAGCGGCGCCGCCGCCGGCTCGGCCGGCGGTTCCGCCGCCTCCTCCTTCTTCTTCTTCTTCGGCGGCTCCTCCTCCGCGGGCTTCTCCTCCGCGGGCTTCTCCTCGCCGAAGAGGACGTCGGCGGCTGACTTTTGCTCGGCCATGTTGTGCGCCGGCGGGAGGTCGATGGTGCTCGCCAGTACTGCAGTGGCAAATGCCGCATGCGTGCCGCAGCAGCCTTGCTTGAGCTCTTGTGCTCCGCCTCGACGCATCGTCGTGCTGTCGCACAGCTTGCTTCGTGCTCCGCCTCGACGCATCGTCGTGCTGTCGCACCAGCTTGCTTGTGCTCCGCTTCGACGCATCGTCGTGCTGTCGCACAGCCTCTCGCAGCACCATGCGCGTCGCCGGCCCGCTCGTCTACGTCGTCACGGGCGCCACGGACGGCATCGGCCGCCTGACGGCCCAGAAGCTCGGCAGCGACGGCCACACGGTCGTCGTCCACGGCCGGAGCCGCGCCAAGGTCGACGAGGTCTGCCGCGAGGTCGACGCCGCCGGCGGGTCCGGCGCGGGCGTCGTCGCGGACCTGTCGCGCCTCGACGACGTGCGCGCGCTCGGCGCGGAGATCAAGGAGAAATTCCCCGTCATCGACGGCCTGCTGAACAACGCGGGCACGTTCGCCGGCGACTACTCGGGCGAGCGCAAAGTCACGGCCGACGGCAACGAGTACTCGCTCGCGGTGAACGTGCTCGCGCCGTTCCTATTGACGGCGTTGCTCCTCGACAACGTCCGCGCGGCGCCCGCGGCGCGGCTGCTCGTCACGTCGTCCATGTCCATGGGCTGCCCGGACGCGCTCGGCGACCTCCAATGCGAACACCGCTGGAGCGACCACCGCGCCTACAGCCTCTCGAAGCTCTGCTGCGCCATGGTCGCCTTCGAGCTCCACGCGCGCTACGGCGACCCGCCGCGACTCTGCGTCAACACGATGGACCCGGGCACCGTGAACACGAAGATGCTCCTCGCGGGCTGGGGCCGCTGCGGCATCCCCGTGCACCAGGCGACGCGGTCCTACGACATGCTCACGAAGCCCGAGTGGGGAACCAAGTCCGGCGAGTGCGCCGCGGCGAGCCCGGACCGCGAGTGCGCGGACGCCGCGCTCCGGCGCAAGCTCTGGGACGACCTCACGGCCCTCACGGGCGCCGAATATCCCGCGAAGTAAGAGTTAGTGTGCGATTCGGATCGACTCGTCGGCGAGGAACGCGAGGGACGCGAGCGCCGCGACGCCGAGCGGGAGCGCGACCAAGCACGCCCCGGCACATGCGCCGCGCAGCTCCGCCTCCTCGACGACTTTCTCGACGGCCGCGACGGAGCGGCGCTCCACCTCGGCGACGACGCCCTCGAGGGCCGCGGCCCCGGCGCCCGCCGTGCGCACCGCCTCCTCGCGGGCCAGGACGCCCTCGACGGCTGCGAAGGCTCGCTCCGCCTCGGCGAGCGACGCATCCTCGCGGGCCGGGACGTCGTCGACGGCCGCGACGGAGCGGCGCTCCGCCTCGACGCGCCGCGCCTCCTCGCGGGCCAGGACGTCCTCGAGGGCCGCGACCGCGCGGTTCTCCGCCGCGCGCGCCGCCGCGGCCGCGCGGTCCGCCGCGGCCGCGCGGCGCTCCGCGTCCGCAAGCACGCGCGCGACGCGCCGCTCCGCGGCCTCTTCGGCGGCCCGCACGCTCGCGGCGACGCGCCGCTCGGCGTCGAGCGCCGCCGCGGCGACGGCCGCGTCCGCGGCCTCGAGCGCCGCCAACTGTTCGCCGCGCGCGTCCGCGAGCTCGCCCGCGAGGGCCGTCGCGCGCTCCTCGGCCTCGCGGCGCTCGGCGTCGGCGTCGAAGAGGGCCCGCCGCGGCCCGTCGTCGTAGGGGCCGCCGACGTCGCGCCTCAGCTCGTCGAGCTCGCGGCCGAGGCGAAAGAACGACAGGCGGCTCGACGCGGCGCGCTCCGATTGGCGCGCGGGCCGCGGCGGCGTCGACGAGCGCGGCGAGGGTTCGGACCCGAGCAAGGACCACGCGGGCCTGGGAGGTGTCGACGAGCGCTCCGACGGCGGCGTGAGCTTGATGGAGTCCGTTATTTCGTCGATGTGTCGGGCGACGCCGTCGAGGTCGAGTTCCGGGGACAGGAAGCGTCTGCGGAGGTCCGTCTCCGGGGTATTCATGGCCTCGCCGCGTGCGCGCGCCGCGCGATCTCGACCGTTTGTGGCAGATCGGCGAGCCTCGCCTCGCGCACTTTTTGGAGTGCAAGAGTGGACGCGCGCCGCGGCGCCCCCATTCGTCGCGCGAGGCCCATTTGTCGCCCGTGATCATGACCTGGGGCTCCGACGAGTCGGGGGACCCCGACGCCATCGGCGCCGAGGAGAAGGCGCGCGAGCTCGCGTCGCTCAAGGAATTGGTGAACCTCAACGAGGAGCTGCGGCGCGTCGAGAAGGAGACGGCCCTGAGCAGCTTCTACGGCGAGGGCTACACGGAGGCGGAGCTCGGCGCGAAGCCCATGGTGCTCGTCATCGGCCAGTACTCGACGGGGAAGACGACGCTCATCTCGAGCCTGTGCGGCGGAGACTACGACGGCGCGCACATCGGCCCCGAGCCGACGACGGAGAAATTCGTCGCCGTCGTCGGCGCGCCGGGCCACACGCTGCCGTCGAGCAAGCGCGGCAACTACGTGTCGATGATGCCCGAGCTGCCCTTCGGCGGCCTCAGCCGCTACGGCCAGGCGTTCCTCGGCCGCTTCTCCGCGTCGTTCTTCCCGGAGCCCAACGTGCCGTCGCTCACGCAGCTCGTGACCTTCGTGGACACGCCGGGCGTCCTGAGCGGCGAGAAGCAGCGCGTGAACCGGTCCTACGACTTCGCGTCCGTGAGCCGCTGGTTCGCGGCCGCGTGGAACTCAAATCTTCAAACCGACTTCAATGCGAGCGTTTTCGACGGTTTCGACGCGAGTTCCTGTGCACTCTATGAAGAACTCGCCGAGAGAAATTCCCTCGTGCAAAAAACGGCCGAATCGGCTTCGACGCGACCGAGATCGAGCGCTCCGAAGTTCGGTCGGGACCCCCCAAACCGGCGGTTGATTTCACCACAGGTTCGCGGAGCGGTCCGAGCTCGTGCTGCTGCTCTTCGACGCGCACAAGCTCGACATCTCCGACGAGTTCCGCGACATCATCGCGGGCCTCAAGGGCCTCGAGGGCCGCGTGCGCTGCGTGCTCAACAAGGCGGACACGGTCGACAACGAGCGCCTCGTCCGCGTCTACGGCGCGCTCATGTTCAACGTGGGCAAGATCCTCCAGACGCCCGAGGTCGTCCGCGTCTTCGTCGGCAGCTTCTGGGACGAGCCGTTGGTCCACGCGGAGTACGAGAAGGTCTTCCGCAAGGACCGCGCGGCGCTCATCCGTGTGGAAATCAAACTTCAGAACTCTCGAGCTCGGTCACATCGAAGTCGATTCGGCTGATGTTTGGACGAATCGACTGCTCTCATTGAGTTCTCGAAGCGCGGCAGAAGAGCTCGCATCGAAACCGTCTCATACGCGCACATTGAAGTCGGGTTGAAGATTTGATTCCCGCGCAGGCGCTCATCGACGAGATCGAGGGCCTCGTGCGGTCGACGGCCGCGCGCAAGGTCGACGACCTCGTGCGCCGGGGCCGCCTCGCGCTCGTGCACGTGCGCCTCTGCCAGCACCTGCGGGACACCTACGCGCCGGGCTTCCTGCGGCGCCTCGTCGTGCCCGGGACCGCGAAACGGGCGAAGAAACGCGCGCTCGACGACCTCGACGTCGTCTTCGCGTCCGTGCTCCGAAACTACGGCGACGAGCTCTCGGCGGGCGACTTCCCGTCGCAGGCGGAGTTCCGCGCGGGCCTCCGGAACGTCGATCTGCACAACCTGCCCTACGCGTCGGCCGAGACCGTCGACGACCTCAAGCTCTGGCTCACGGAGGACATCCCCAAGTGGGTCACGCCCGACGCGGACAAGTACCGCCTCGCGGACCGCGTGCCTATGCTCTCGCCGACGCAGCAGGCGTCCATGAAGCGCCGGAAGCGCAAGCGCGGCGTCGTCGGCCGCCGGTCGCTCTCGCGGTCGACGAGGCGCCTGCTCCTGAAGATCCTGCGCTGGACGGCGCTCGTCGTCGGCCTCGCGCTCTCCGCGGCCGTGGGCGCCGTGGCCTACGCGGTCCTCGTCGACGAGCAGCCGCCCGCGGCCGCCCTCGCGAACGCGAGAGACGCGCTCGTCTTCTCCGCGGTGACCTGCTCCCTGCGCCTCTCGGACCTCGTCGTGCGCGTCCAGCACGTCGCGATGACCCACGCCGCGGCGCTCTACGGCGCGACCTTCGGCGACGACGAAGACGACGGCGCCGCGGCGAACGCGACGGCGGCGCCGGCCTCCTGGTTCCGGTCCGCGCTCTAGCTAGGCGATACGTAAGGACGGCGCGCGGCGCGCGCGCCTCACGTCTTCTGGCGCTTCGGCGCCGGCGGCGCGTCGGCCGCGGCCTCGCGCGCGCCCTCGTCGCTCCGGAACGCGCGCGTGTGCTCGCGGATGAGGTCCCTGAGCTGCGCCTGTGCCGAAATCAACCACTGGTTTGGGTTATTCCAGCCAAACTTCAATTCGGCTGATTTTTGGACGAATCGATTGCTCTCTTTGAGTTCTCGAAGCACAACAGAACATCTCGCGTCGAAACTTTCGAATACGCTCACATTGAAGTCGGGTTGAAGATTTGATTTCGGCCCTGAGCTGCGCGACGCGCATGGGCGGCTGCGCGGCGTCGTCGAAGTCGAGGTCGATCTTCACGCCGCGCAGGTCCAGCTCGTCCGCGTCCGTCGACGACTTGATCGACCTAGGAAGGGGGGGGGGGTCGCGGGGCGCCGGCGGAGGTCCCGGGACGCGGGCCTTCCGCACGCGACGTACGCGTGGTCGAGGCAGGCGCGGACGTCGAAGCGCTTCTTCGGGTCGAGCGTGAGGAGGCGCTTGAGCAGGTCCAGGGCCGGCGCCTCGGCGCCCGGGAAGATGTCCGCGAGGTCCGCGGACTCGCGGCTCGCGAGCGCGCCGAGCCGCGCCTTGGCCGCGGCCGCGGACGCGTCGTCGCCCGCGAGGGCCTCGACGTCGGCGCTGTCCGGCGTGCCGACGACGCGGACGATGGACTCGAGCTGGTCCGCGCTGTCCGCGTCGACGCCGCCGCCGCCGCCCGGCGTCATGTCGCTCGACACGCCCGGGAAGAGCGGCTGGCGATCGAGATAGCAGGGCACGGACGCCTCCTCCATGCTCAGCAGCTCGGCGACGATGCAGCCGCAGCTCCACATGTCCACGGCCGCGCCGTAGACCTAAAGAAAGGGGGCGTGAGAGCGAGCGCCGGGAAACCGCCGCGCGACGCCGGGCGGACGCGCCGGCGACCGCAGCAGCAGTTCCGGCGCGCGGTACCACCGCGTGACGACGTGCTGCGTGAGCTGGCGCCGCAACGCGGGCCGCGAGCCGTCCGGGCTCGCGGCCTCGTCGGACTCGGACTTGGGGCTCGCGGCGATGGCGCCGTCGCCGGGCCGCCGGTCGCGGTCGTCGTCCGCCCGCAACTCGCGCGTCTCCGGGATGGTCCGCGCGAGGCCGAAGTCGCAGACCTTCAGGCGGACGGGCTGGACCTCTAGAAGCATGTTCGCCGGCTTGAGGTCCCGGTGGACGATGCCCGCGCCGTGGAGCACGCGGATCGCGCGGAGCAGGTCCAACGTGAGCCAGCGGACGTGCTCCGCCGTAAAGAACTGGTTGCTGTTCACGACCTTTTCTAGATCCGTCGGCATGCGCTCGAAGACGAGGAAGACGTCGGCGCCTAGGGGGTTTCGGGGTTTTGGGTGGGCGGTTTCTCCTCGGGGGCGGCGGCGCGCGCCGTCGTAGACGCGCGCCTCGCTCGCGGACGGCAGCGGCGTCCGCGCGTCGAGGAGCTCGACGAGGTTCGGGTGCTTGGGCAGCGCCGAGAGGATGCGCATCTCGCGCCTGAGATTCGGGGGGAGTGGAGGCCCCGGGCGGTTTCTGTCGAGGGACGCGGGGCTGCCCGACAGGATGCAGAGCGCGTCGCGGCGGCTGTCGAACGCGCCCGTGATGCGCTTCACGGCGACCTCGCGGTCGTCGGCCCGGCGCACGGCGGCGGCGACGTGGCCGTAGGACCCGCGGCCCACGAGGCGGCTCAGCGTGTAGCGGCTCTCCCCGCCGCAGTGGCGCCAGTCCCGGGTCCAGCCCAGGCGGTTCGCCAGGTCCTCGTTGTCATTTTCCAACACGCCCGGCCGGGCCATGGCGCTGGAGCGGCGCGGCGAGGCGTCGTGCGCTGGGAACCGGTGCGCTCGAGGCCGCTTCAGCCCATGGGTTTCTGGTCGTGGCGAGGGCGGCGACAGGGACCAGGTTTGGTGGTGGTGAAAGAAGGAATGCCTTTGAGGCCAGAGCCACTCATATGTAAGTTAAGGTCGACGGAGCACTGCAACTTCCGTCCGGCCGTCTGGCTGCCCCGTCTGGCTGCCCCGGTGGCCGCGGAAGCGGAGCCCGGGCCCGGCGCGTCGGGCGGCCCCCGGGTCGCCGCCGGTGTCGGCGCGGCGCCGCGGCGCGTCCCCGGGCGGCCATGGACTACTTCCGGTCCCCGTCCAAGGAGGCGCCGCCGGCGCCCCCGGCGCCCAAGGCGAGCTCCCTCCTGAACACGCTCATGTCGACGCACTTCGAGGTCGGCGAGGTGAGCAGCGAGCTGCTGCCGCCTTTGAGCGAGTACGAGGCGCAGGGCGCCTGGATCGGCGAGGACCGGGCGCCGCGCGCGGCCGCGGCGGCGCCGTCGCCGCCGTCGCCGGGCCGCGACGCGCCCGAGCTCACGCTCTTAGAGCGCACGAGCGAGGGGCCGGCGAACCCGGAGAAGATGGGCGTCGCCGAGTACCGCCTCGCGCAGCAGAAGAAGCGCCGGGGCCGGTCGCTGCCGCCGTCCGCGGGGCTCTCGGGCGGCCTCGCGGCCCGGGGCGGTCCCGCGCCGCGGCGGCCCGCGGCGGACCTCGACCCGGACTGGGCGGGCTACGAGGCGCCGGGCGGCGCCGACGACGAGCCGCGGCTCCTCTTCCCCGGCGGGCGCCTCGGGCCCCCGGGCGCGCCGCCGTCGGACGCGCCGAGCCCCCGGTCGCCCGAGCCGCGCCCGTCGCCCGTCGCGGGCCGCGGCGGCGCGGCCAAGAACGGCGGCGTCGCGCCCTTCACGCTCCTCCAGATCTTCGACGACTCCTGCGGCGTCGACGGCCGCTGGGCCGTCGCCGGCGCGGCGCCCGACGAGTTCACCGCGAAGACGTCCGCGTGCGAAGTCACGGCGACGTTGCGCGCGTCCGTCGAATCCGAATCCCCGTCAAAGCCCCGGGCGCCCGACGACGCGTCAAAGACGCCGGAGAACAAGAAGAAGGACCCACCGACGACGCGCGTCGGGCTCACCTTTCTAGACGGCTCGACGCTGACCGTGACGGCGCGCGTCGACGACTCCGCGCGCGCGCCAGGGCAGCACAAGAGAGCGAAATTCCCAACTTCAAAGGCTCATATCTCGGCCGTTTTCCACTCGTTTCGGCTGACTTTTGGACGAGCGATCATCTCTCGGAACGGTCTCGAAGCGTAGATGCTTTTTTGGAACGCGCGCGCGCGGAACACTCACGTTGAAGCGACGTTGAATCTCTCTTTTGCTGCCCAGGCGCGCCGTCATGTCCGCGGCCGCGCTCCGCCTCGGCGTCGGCGCCGAGTACGTCTCGTCTCTCTCGCTCTACGCCTTCTCGCGCGACGGCTGCGACCGGCGCATCGACCCGGCGACGCCCGCGGGCGCGCTCAAGAAGTGCGACGCCTTGGTGCTGGCCGTGCGGCTGGTCACGGGGCCGCAGCGCGCGGCGGCGCTCCGGGGGTTCCGCGTGGACATCGCGTCGACGTCGGAGTACGCCCTGGCGCGCCTGCTCTACGCCCAGGCCGTCGCCGCGGTCATGGCGGGCTTCCCGCTGCCGCCGGGCGACCGCGGCGCGCTCCGGGGCTCGACGGCCGTGCGCCTGGGCGCGCTGCGCCTGTGGTCGCGCGCGCGGGACCTCGCGGCGAAGAAGCAGTGCGCGACGGCGGCGGCGGACGTCGTGCGCCCGCTGGCGATCACGCTGCTGGCGACGCACGGCGCGGAGACGTTCGCGCCGCGCGCGGCGTTCGAGGACGTCGGCGACGTGTCGAACGGCGTGCTCCGCGACCTCGACGCCCTGCTCGTCGAGGACGAGCGGCGCCAGGCCAAGGCCGCGGCGGCGCCGGAGGTCCCCGGGACCTCGAGCGGCGGAAACGCGCCCGCGGGCCCGTCGGAGACGGAGCGCGCGCAGCTGGAGCGCCAGGGCATCGAGATCGAGATCGTCGAGTCCGTCGAGGACGTCCAGTACTTCAACGACGGCGCCAAGCCCGAGTCGGACTTCTTAGAGCTCGTGAGCTCGCTGCCGCTCTACGGCGCGGCGCTCTTCCCCTGCGCGGTGCGGCGCCGCGCGGCGGGCGAGCGCCGCGACGCGGACGACGACGCGCCCAAGTCGGCCGTCGCGAACCGCGTGCTCGCCATCTCGCGCGAGGGCGCGGCGGTGCTTACCGCGGACCTGCGCACGGAGCTCCAGCTCATCCCCATGAACAAGCTGCGGCGCTGGCACGCGGCGCTCGATAGCATCTGCTTCGAGTCCGAGAAGCCCTTCGACCACTGGAGCCCGAACTTCCTGCGGCGGCGGTCCGCCGACGGCGAGACCCAGGCGAAGCGGAAACGATTGCGGCGCCTCGCGGCGACGGCGCGGGGCAAGGTCCGGGGCCGCGCGTCGCTCGGCGGCGACGAGGCCGCGCGCGACGCCGGCGGCGACCGCGCGAAGGCGCGGCCCAAGTCCTGGACGTCCTGGGCGACGGCGCTGCTGGGCGGCGCCGAGGCCAAAAGCGAGCGGGAGAAGCCCCTGCCGCCGCCGCCCGCGTCCCTGAGCGACGAGGAGGACGAGAGCAGCGACAGCGACCTGGAGGCGCCGATGCAGCGCGTGCGCTTCGAGCTGCTCTTGGTGGAGCGGCCGGGCCAGGTGGGCTACCGGAGCCGCGAGATCGTCGACTTGCTGGACGACTACAGCGTCTTCGATCTCGTCGAGGACCGGCCGCGGTGCCAGTACCAGGGCAGGACAAGAGAGCGAAATTCCAAACTTCAAAGCCTCATATCTCGGCCGTTTTCCACTCGTTTTGGCTGATTTTTGGACGAGCGATCATCTCTTGGAACGGTCTCGAAGCGTGGATGCTTTTTTCGGGACGCGCGCGCGCGGAACACTCACTTTGAAGCGACGTTGAATCTCTCTTGTCCTGCCCAGGCCAGTACCACTCGATCTTCGGCACGGGCCTGCCCATGAACGGGACGTCGCGCGTCGCCCGGGCGACGGTGGGCACGTCGGAGCAGATGGCCTCGGAGGGCGGCGGCGCTCTGGGCGACCAGCCGACGGTCTACAACGCCCTCGTGTCCGCGGTCGTGCGACCGCCGCGGTTCCTCTACGACGCGCGGCTCCTCGGCCCGTCGTCCTTCGAGTTCGGCGGCAAGCGCTTCTTCCGCCACGACCTCGTGATCCGCAACCAGCACGGGCTGCGCCTGCACTGCTCGCACTGGCGGCCCGCGGCGCCGGAGCACCAGCGCGCCGCCGCGCGGCCGTGCGTCGTGTTCATGCACGCGAATAGCGCGTCGAGGATACAGGCCTGCTCCTACCTGCCCGTGGCGTTGAGCCTGGGCTGCTCCATGTTCGCGTTTGATTGCTGCGGCAGTGGGGTGTCGGACGGGACCTACGTGTCCCTGGGCTACCACGAGGCCGACGACCTGCTCGTGGCTCTGACGCACCTGCGGAAGCGCAAGGACACGGGGCCCCTGGTCGTCTGGGGCCACTCCATGGGCGCCGCGTCCGTCATCTACTACCAGGGGCGCTACCGGGGGTCCTACCCGCGCATCGACGCGGCCGTGCTGGACTCGCCCTACGCGGACTTCGAGGAGCTCGCGAACCACCTCGTCAAGCAGAACAGCGCCGTCGCGACGGGCTCGCTCGGCAAGTACGTCGTCGGCTTCTCCCTGACGCGCATGGCCCTGAATCTGGTGCTGGAGTCCATCGACGCGTCGTGCCTCCAGCTCGCGAAGTTCAGCCCCCTCAAGGACCTGTCGCCGATCTCGCACGCGGCGACGTGCGTGACGCCCGCGCTCTTCATGCAGGCGCGGAGCGACCGCATCATCGCGTTGAGCCACGTCGAGGGCCTCGCGAACCGCTACGGCGGCACGCGGAAACTGGCGATCGTCGACGGCACGCACAGCTCGCCCCGCAACGGCGCCGCGAGGCACTTCATCGCCATGTACCTCAAGAAGAACGTCAAGCTGCCGCCGGAGGCCGCGCGGCCGGACACGCGCAACCGCGACCGCTACCTCGAGCTCAGCCCCTGGCACCGGCCCCGGTCCGCCCTCCCGCCCTGCACCTAGCGACCGCGGCGCTCGGCGGCCCGAGCGGTCGCGGCGCGGCGCGCCCCCGCATCTTCCCCCCCAGACCCGCCGCGACGCCGCTCGTTACACACCTCGCATCTGGCTTCTCGGTTCTTGTTTCGTCGCGGTCGCGAGGAGGTCTGGGCACATCTGGAGCGTGTGGACCTGCGTGTGGATTAAATTGCCTCGCGGGCGGTGTTGGCGAGCGAGGCTCGCTTTCAAGCTTTGGCCCGCCTGGCTCGAGGCGGCGCGGCGACACCTCAAGGCCATGGCGCCGCGTTCCCGCAAGACGGCCAAGACGACCAAGAAGTCCAAGGCCAAGAAAGTGGACACGGCGGGGTTCGCCGATTCGATCCTTCAAAACCTCCTCTGCCCCATTACCTCCTCGCTCCTCGTCTGCCCCGTTACCGCTGAAGACGGCCGCGTCTACGAGGCGGACGCTCTCGAGCGCTGGCTCCGCTCGCATCGCCGGAGTCCGCTGACGAACGAGCCCATGGGCGAGGAGACGATGAAGTCCGGCATGACGCGGTCGTTCGTCCTCTCCGCCATCGAGAACGGCGTCGTCGACGACGAGGCGGCCGCGACGTGGTACCTCGAGAGCGCCAAAGCGATTGCCGCGAAGAAGCTCCCGGGCAAGCTGTCGTCCGCGAAGGAGCACCTCGAGAAGGCGGCCGCGCTGCATCCGTCGCCGGAGGTGGATCTCATGTTGCGCGCCATCGCCCTCAAGTCTGAGATGGACGAACAAATGGAAACGCTCCTTGACGAGGCGGCCGACGCGGGCGTCGACGGCGTCGCGATCGTGTTTGGCGTCGCCGACGGATTGCCCTTGAAACAGTGGACCGAGATGAATGAACACATTTCGAGGGTGCGGATCATCGATGACCTTGACGAGGTGGAGCGTCTCTGTGAGCGACCGGCGCCGGGTGCCGAGGAGCACGTCGGGTGGTGCGATGAAATGGACGACTTCGTGGGGCAAGAATGCCTCGTGGTTGATCAGGATGAGGAGGGCTTGGGAGGGTACGGGGTGTTACCATTCTACGACACGGACGGCCCGGAAGTCCAATGGTTCCCCTTCGACGCGTGCGTCCTCGTGCGCCGCTAGACGCGCGTCCCTCCCCGCACGCGCCGCTCGCGTAATACTACGTCCACACTAGCATCGCACGGTTCGCTCGCACGGTTCGCGTGAGGACGCACGAAGAGCAAGGCGTCTTGGCGAGCAAACGAGGTGATTTGTGGCATCGACGTTCCGCTCACGATCGAGCCCCCCAGGCCTCGCGCTCAAAAAACGAAGAGCATGTTCCGACGACTGCTCATCCTCGGGTCGGCGGCCCTCGTCGCCGCTCGCACGTCGCACACCGCCGCACGCACGTCGCACACCGCCGCGCACCGTGCGGCGCTCGCCGCCGCAAATGCCCGGCGCCGCGGGGCGGCACCGGCCGTCGTCACCGCTCGCACGTCCCACACCGCCGCCGCCGCGCTCGCCGCCGCGAATGCCCCGACGCCGGCCGTCGTCGCCGCTCGCGCGTCCCGAACCGCCGCGCCCGCCGCCGCGGATCGTCAGGGCCACGGATCGGTGGCCGTCGTCGCCGCTCGCGCGTCCGAAATCGCCGCGCTCGCCGCCGCGGATCGCCGGGTCCACAGCGCCGCGCCCGCCGTCGACGCGCTCGCGGACGCGGGGGGCGCACGCTCGGACACGGCGGACGCCGATTTCACCGACGCGCCCGCGGACGCCGGGGGCGCACGCTCGGACTTCGCCGAGTTGATCCTCCCGAGTAGCCGGGCCCACAGCGCTGCGCCCGCCGACGCGCTTGTGGAAGCCGGTGGCGCACGCTTGGACACGGCGGACCTGATGAACTTGATCCTGCCGAACCTCAGATGTCCCCTCACGTCGTCGCTTCTAATCTGCCCGATCAAAGCAGAGGACGGGCACGTGTACGAGGCTGAGGCGCTCGAGCGCTGGCTCCGCTCGAGCCGACGGAGTCCGCTAACGAACAAACCCATGGGCACCGAAACGATCAAGTCTGGCAGGACGCGGTCGTTGATCCTCGCCGCGATCGAGAACGGCGTCGTCGACGACGAGGCGGCGGCGACGTGGTACCTCGAGAGCGCGAAAGCCATCGCCGCGGGCAAACTCCCGGGATCGAAGATGTCCGCCGCAGTTGCGTATATGGATCGCGCCATTTTTCTCTCCGCCTCGACGGAGGTGGCTCTCGCGCGGCGCGCCGTAGCCATTAAGGCCGAGATGGTTGACCTCGACGCACAGAAGCACGCGCTCCTGCGGGAGGCGAGCCGATGCGGGACCGACGCGGTGTTGGTTGTGTTTGGCGGCGACGACTACGCTCCCATGATCAGTTTCCTTGCGCTGCGAAACGGCCACTCCAAGGTTCGCGTCATCTACGACCCGGACGAATTCAGGCGCCTCTGCGAGCGACCCGCGCCCGGAGCCTTCTCCGAGGTCGGGTGGGACGACGGCATGGCGGATCACTGCGGCGTTGAGTTCATCGTCCGGCACCAAAGCGAGCGGCTCAAAAGCTATCGCATCGAGGATGCGGACGGCGACGAGCTCAGCGTCCCCTTTGACGCCTGCATCCTCACGCGCCTCTAGGACCTAATACTCATAATGCCGCGTCCCCGTCCCGGGACGGGCCGCGCGGGCGGCGCCGCGGATCGAGGAGCGCCGCGGCGGCCTCCGCGTCCTCGTCCCCGTCCCGGGACGGGCCGCGCGCGCGGCGCCGCGGGTCGACGAGCGGCGCGGCGGCCACTGCGGCGCTCGGCGGCCGCGATGCGCCGCCGCTTCCGGTCCTTGGCCCACACGGACAGCCCCGCGCCCGCGGCGAAGAGGCCCGAGCCCGCGACGTGGGGGATCCCCGGCGTCTTGCCCTCGAGCGCCGCGAAGGAGAAGGCGAGCGTGACGCCCTTGCGCGCCGTCTTGACCAACTCCGCGTGCGTCGCGCCGAAGCGGCCGACCATGCGGACGACGCAGGAGATCGACAGGTAGCCGCAGAGCTCCGACGCGGCCATCTTCGCGAGGATCGAGGGCCTCTCGCGAAAGAACGCGACCGCGTGGCGCGGCTCGTCGGACGCGACAAACACCGCGCCGGACCAGCAGGCCGCGATGGCGTAGGTGAAGAAGATGAGCTCCGCGGGCCGCGGCGCGCGCTCCCGCGAGAAGATCTTGGCCTCCTCGTAGGTCGAGACGAGCGCGTCGGCGACGACCGACGCGCCCGCGCAGGCCGCGCCGGCGAGGAAGAAGTGGCTCCCGGACGCGCCCGGCGGCCGTTTCGCGCCCGCGCCGTCGCCGACGATGGCGATGGCCAGCCCCGCGCCGAGGAGGAGCGCGCCCGCGTACTCGAACGGCGCGTACGCCTTCTTCAACAGCAGCGTGCTCAGGGCCATCGTCGGCACGGGCTTGGCGCACTTGAACATGACGCGCGTCGAGTAGTCGACGTAGCCGAGGCTCGCGTTCGCCGCGTAGACGCCGACGAAGCTCAGCACCGCGACGGCGGCGTAGTGCCCCAGCGGCGTCGTCCGCTCGCGCCACGTCCAGCCCGCGCGCGCGAGCTCCGCGGCCGCGAGTAAAACGTAGGCGGCGCTGTGGGAGAGCGTGAGGAAGCCGCGGTGCAGGGGCTTGAAGCCGGGCGTGGACACGATGAGCTCCTGCGACGCCGTGAAGCCGCAGGAAACGGCGAAGAAGAAGAGGAAGAAGCCCAGGTTGCTCGAGGCGAAGTCCTCGTCGCGGCGCGGCATCGGCGGCGAGGCGGGTCGTCGAGGGAACTCAGTTTTTTGGTGATCCTCACGCCGAGCGCGGAGTCGAGTCGACCTGTCGTGAGCTCGAGGACTCGAGTACTCGCCGGTTTCAGATCTGCCGCAAACACAAGCTCTAGTCACTGGAGAGAGGAAGCTCTTGAGCCGACCATGAGCACGCGGAAGAAGGCGAAACGCGGTCGCGCGGCGGCGGCCACGTCGCAGCAACTCGTCTACATCGTGCGCTGGAAGCGCTCGACGACGGTGGACGACTACTGCCACGAACACCTTTACAACATCGAGACGTGTGGCGACGACATCGAGGAAGCGAAGGAGCACGTGTGCTCGGTCTTCGAGGGCGCGAGGGACTGGCGGACGACGGGGGCACCGTCGGCGTCTTTTCGTCCATGGACGTCGCGACCGAAGCCGTCGAAGCGTGCCTGCGATCACACGCGCGGGGCGCGCGCGAGGCCCTCAAGGAGCTGCTGGACTGTGATGACGACCATCTCGCACATTTACTCGAAGGGGAGGAACTCACGGAGGAGACAAACTCCTCGAGCTTGAGAGCGGAGCTGAACGCGACGCTGCTGCCCGAGGATCGCGGCAGTTCGTCGTACGCCGTCCACTGGGGCCCGCCGGACGCGGAGCCGGTCGGTTTCGACGGGGAGCTCTTCGCGGCCATCGAATGCGCGACCACCCAGGTGAGCGTCGAAATCGAGACGTGCCCGGTCCAGGATCGCGTGGCCAAGGACCCGAACGACGCGCCCATGATCTCGCGGCCGTGATCCCGCGGCAACGCGTGCGCCCAAGTCCGAGTGTGGTGGCGCTCTAGCACTCCGCCGGTAATCCCCGATGCATGGCTAGTTCTTGCTCGGATTACCTGCCCGGAGGGCATCGCCGCGCGCGAGCAGTCGACCCCGGGCGGGATGTTTAATTTTGTCTGCCATGACGCCGAGGTTGAGGCTGAGGCAACACGGGCTGCCGTGAGACACCGTCGCCTTGACCGCGCTCCGAAGATAGCTTTGACGAACATGTCGGCTCTCGAGGACCTGGCGCAGTCGCCATCGTCCGTGTTGTGCTTCGACGGCGTCGAAGCGCGCGGCGCGGTCGAAGGACGACGCCGCGACGAGCAAAACCGCAGAACGACCAGCAGCTCAGAACGTCGACGCCGACGCAGTACTCGCGGCGTACGGGAAGCGCTGGGGCGACCCGGAACCGTCGAGCGACGCCCCGGAGACCCAGTTCCGCCTCTCCGCCTCGACGGATTCCTTCTCCGAGACCGGCGGGTACGCGCTTCCGTCGGAGACGCCGCGCGATTTCGAACCGGCGCCGGCGGCCACGCACGGCTTCAGCCAGGACTGGGCGGCGCGGCCAGCCGCGGCGCCGCACGTCCAGTCCCTCGACGCGTCGCCGGACCGCCAGACGCGCGGCCTGCCCGTCGAGTTCGCCAACGCGTGGGACGATCGCAAGCGGACGGCGGCGAAGGTGCCCGCGCTCGTCGCCGAGGAGGACGAGGACGACGACGACGAGGACGAGGTCGCGGACCTCTGCCGCGAGTTCAAGAACGACTGGGGCAAGAACCGGCGATAGCCCCCGAAACGCCGACCGCCTGCACAGAACCGACCGCCCGCGCACACGACCTCGCCCGCCCGTCCGTGCACATAAGAAAAACCTCGAGTTAGCCGTCGAACTGGCTCCGCCGGGCCCCGGCGCCCTTCCAGTCGCGCCGCGCCGCGGCCTTGGCGCTCCGGGGCACGTGCAAATTCGCGCCCGCGTTGACCTCCGCGAGCCGCTCCAGATGCTTCTTGCTCCGGAGGTGGACCGCGAGCTCGTTGGGCGACGTGCACTGGGCGCGGCAGAGCTTGCAGTAGGACGCGTCCTGCCAGACCTTCGTCGCGACCTTGTGCAGCTCCGTGTCCCGATGCGCCTCGAACGACGCCAAATCGTCGCCGGCGAAGGCGCAGAGGCGGCAGGCGAAGGGCCGCTTCACCTTCTCCGACGCCGCCGCCGCGGCGACGAGCTTGCGCGCCTCGTCGACGACGGCGGGGCACGCGGCCGCGAACGCGGCCTCGGGTCCCCGCCTGGGCCGCTTCGAGTGTTCCGCGCGCGCGGCGGCCGCGGCGCGCTTCGCCGACACCTGCGGCAGCAGGTGCGGCGCCAGCGGCGCGATGCGCTCGTCCCGCAGCGACGCGAGCACGCCCTCGGCGACGACGGCGGGCGCGACGGCGCCGTCGTCGTCGCCGGAGCTGGCGCTCCCGTCATCGCTCTCGTCGTCGCTCGACGAGCTCCCGCTGTCGTCGTCGTCGCCGGCGAGGTCGCGCTCGAGCGCGGCGATGGCGTCGTCGCAGAGGCCCATTGTGGGTCGGTGGTGGCGGCGCGAGGCGCTCTCACGGCGTCGATCAGGCGCTTCGCCAGCGGCAACGTCGCGGAAACGTGCTGTACAACTTCGACCCAATTCTCCGTGGAGTGGAAAATCGATGGGCCGGTTGGTCTGGGCAGCGGCAGCCCTCGCGGCCGCCCGCGCCGCGCCGACGCTCGCGCCGTCCCGGACCCCGGCGCCGACGGCCGCGCCGTCCCCCGACGCGACCTGCGCCTCGATCTGCGCCGCGGCCTCCTGCGACGCCTACAACGCGAAATACTGCGAGCTCGCGGCGAGCGCGCACGGCTGCGACTGCGACGGCTGCCGCTGCGCGGGCGCGACGGCCGCGCCGAGCTGGGCCTGCGCGGGCACCTGCGCGGGCCTCTTCTGCTCGTCCTACGACGCGGCGACGTGCGGCCTCGCGCGCGGCGCCGGCTGCGAGTGCGACGGCTGCGCCTGCGACGACGACGACGACACCTCCGCGGCGCCGCCCCCCTTCCTCGTCGCCGTCATCGCCGTGTTGGCCGTGCTCGCCGTCCTCCTGCCGCTCGGCGCCTACGCGTTCGCCACGGAGCGCGCCGCGGCGGCGAAATGTCCCCGGGAGCCGCCGCCCAAAGACGTCGAGCTGGGCCACCTGCCGGACATGAGCGAGGCCAAGGTGCCCGAGGAGATCTTCCTGCTGCCGGCCGCGGGCAGGAAGGAGCGCAAGTCGTCCTTCGCGTCCGACGCGTCCGCGGCGCAGCTCGCCAAGGAGCGGCGGCCGTCGCTCTCGGACGTGCTCGGCGTGCCGCCGCGCGGCCGCGTCGAGTGCGAGGACGGCCGCCTCGTCGCCGACGACGCGGCGGACGCGCCGGGCCTCGACGACGCCAACGCGCCCCTGGCGACGCTCTCGGACGCGGGGCTCCGGCGGCTCTGCGAGACGCTGGGTTTGGACCAGGGCGGCAAAAGAGAGCGAAATTCCCAACTTCAAAGGCTCCGATCTCGGCCGTTTTCCACTCGTTTCGGCTGATTTTTGGACGAGCGATCATCTCTCGGAACGGCCTCGAAGCGTGGATGCTGTTTTTGAAACGCGCGCGCGCGGAACACTCACGTTGAAGCGACGTTGAATCTCTCTTTTGCTGCCCAGGTTTGGACGCGGCCGGCCCGCGCGACGCGCTGCTCGCGGCCGCGGTCGCCGCGGCGCCCCTGCGGCCCGTCGACGCCGTCGCCGACGCGCCGGCCATGCTCTGGTTCGCACCCGATCTCGCGGCGGCGCCCGACGACGCGGACGAGCCCGCCGCGGAGGCGCCGCCGCGCGCGGCGCCCGCGCCGCCCGAGGGGCCGCCGCCCGAGCCCTCGTCGATCCACGAGATGTCCGTCAAGCAGCTCAAGCGCATGTCGCTGACGCTCAACGTGAACCTCACGGGCTGCTTCGAGAAGGCGGAGATGGTCGGCCTGCTCCGGGACCACCTGACGACGTTGGCGTCGCCGTCGCCGGCCAAGGCCGACGACGACGGCGGCGCCGCGCCGCCGAGCCCCGCGCGCGCGGACGAGGAGGACGCCTTCCCGCCGGAGGAAGCAAGCGCGCCGCCGGTCATGACGATGATGGACAACGACGAGGACGAGGTCCAGCAGAGCGCCGTACCGGACGACGACGCCGAACCGAGCGCGCCTCCGGCGATGACGATGATGGCGAACGACGACGACGACGACGACGTCCAGGAGCGGGAGGCGCCCGACGACGAGGCGGCGGCGCTCGCGCCGGACGACGACGAGGCGGCGGCGCCCGCGCCGGACGACGGCGAGGAGCCGGCCGCCGCGCCGCCGCTCGAGAAGCCGCGGCCGAGCGTCCACGGCCCCCGCGGCGACCTGTGTGGAAATCAAATCTTCAACCCTACTTCAATGTGTGCGTATGCGACCGTTTCGACGCAAGCTCTTCGGCTGTGCTTCGAAAACTCGACGAGAGCGATCGATTCGTCCAAAAATCAGCCAAATCGACTTCGATTTGATCGAGATAAAGAGGTTTGAAGTTTTTGCTGGACAGGGCGTTCCACTGGTTGATTTGCACACAGGCGGCGACCGCGTGCGGCCCTACCACTACCTCCGGCCCGACGACATGGGCGCGCCCGAGCCGCCGCCGCCGCCGCCCGCGCCGCGCCGGAGCGAGCGCGTCGACGCGACGCACCGCAAGGGCGCGTCGCCGTCGCCCGCGCGGCGCGCGCTCGGCCGCCTCGCGCTCTTCTCGTCCGGCGGTGCCGCGCGGAAGCGCGGCGGCGGCAAGCAGCGGAGCGCGAGCCTGCCGAGCGCCGGTGACGTGCCCCAGGTCTTCTACCACGAGGAGCTCGGCGACGCGCCGCCGGCGAACTGGGCGCCGCTCCACGCGGCCGGCGGCGGCGGCGACGACGAGCCGGCCGAGGCCGCCGCGGAGCCGCGCGCGGGGAAGCCGCGGCGGAGCCTCAGCGGCCGCGTGCTCCAGGCCTTGTCGACGACGCCGAAGCGCGCCAAGAGCCGGACGAGCTCCCTGTCGTCGCGGGGCAGCGCGTCGTCGCAGGACGACGCGGAGTCGGCGGCGCCGCCGTCCGAGGTCTCGTCGCTCACGGACGACGCCGCCGAGTACCGGCGCCAGATCGAGCGCCGCCACTCGAAGAACCTCGAGCTGCGCAAGGCGAGGCTGCCCATGACGCCGCCGACGGCGCCGCCGCCGGACGACGGTGCGGAGCGCGCGCGCGCCGACGCGGCCGCTCGGGCGGAAGCGGCGGCGGCGGCCGAGGCGCGGGCCGAGGCGGCGGCGGCCGCGGAGGCCGACGCGCGCGCGCGGGCGGAGGCCGAGGCGAAGGCGCGGGACGACGCGCGCGTCGAGGCCGAGGCGCGGGCCCTCGAGGCCGAGGCCCGCGCGAGACGGGCCGAGGAGGACGCGCAGGCGGCCAAGGCCCTCGCGGCCCGCGCGCGCGCGGCGTCGGCCGACGCCGCGGAGAGGCGCGAGCGCTCCGCGGCCGCCGAGGCCGCGCACGCGAGGGCCATCGTCGACGGCGAGCGGTCCGCCGCGGAGGACCCGCGGGTCGCCACGGCCGCGCGCGCCGTCGCCGACGCGCGCGACCGCGCCGCCGAGGACCCGCGCGGCGTCGCCGGGCGCAAGGTCGTCCGGTCGCCGCCGGCGCGGCCGCCCGACGACGCGGCGCGCCGCGACCGCGGCCGGAGCCCCGGGGCGGCCCTCGAGGTGTCGGCGCGCGCGGAGCGCGTGCGCCGGTCCATCAACGCCAAGGCCGCGGCGACGGCCAAGGCGAAGCCGGGCCTCGAGCGGAAGCCGTCCGCGCGCGCGGAGCGCATCAAGCGCGCCATCTCCATGTCCGTCGACTCCAACGTCGAGTTCAAGCGCGCCGTCGCGGCGGCCGACGCCGAGGACGAGCGGCTGCGCGCCCTCTCGCCCGAGGACCGCGCGCGCGAGGACTCGAAGCTCGCCGCGGCGAAGGCGCGGCTCGCCGCGCGCCGTTCCGCGTCGCCGCTCGGCGCGCGGCGGCCCGCGGACCGCTCGCCGCCCCTGCGGTCCCAGTCCCTGCGCGACGACGAGGCCTTCGCGTCCGACGAGGACCCGCGCGCGGGCGGCGAGGACCCGCGGGGCAAGCGCGGCGCGGGCGGCAACTACGCGCCGCGCGACGCGCCGCCGCCCGTCGCGCTGCCGGGCCTCGCGACGGGCCCGCGGCCCGCGGCCCTCGGTCGGCCGCCGCCGGCGACGCCGGACCGGGCGCAGGCGAGCCCGATCACGCGCGTCATCTCCATGGAGGAGCCGGCGTCGCCCGAGACGCCCGACGCGGCGCACAGCGAGGACCCGCGGAAGCCCCGGAAGACGTCGGCGGCGAAGGTGCCCTGGGCGCCCGCGTCGCCGCCGCCGCCCGCCGAGGCGTCGCCGTCGCCCGTGTCGACGCGGCCCGAGGTCTGGCACGACGACGACGACGACGACCCCCGCGAGGACCCCCGCGCCGCGCGGCGGCCGCCGCCCGTGGCGACGGGTTGCGACGGCGACCACATGGTCGAGCTCAGCGTGCTCATGGAGGACGGCGGCGCGCCGTCCTTCGTCATGCCCGTGCCCGACCCGAGCTCGCCGCGGCCCATGGACCTGCCGCCGCCGCCGCGGCCGCCCCTGCCCGTGTCCACGAAGAAGCCGCGCCGCCTGTCCAAGTTCGCGCCCTCGAAGCCCGCGTCGCCGGACCCCCTCGAGAACAAGAAGACGGAGAAGGTCCAGTACTCCGAGGTCGTCGACTTTTAAGCGCGGGCCTAGGCTTCGGGACCCCCCCCCCTCACGCCTCGCCGGCCTCCTCGTCCGGCGGCGCGTCGCGGAGGCCGCGCGCGGACCCGTCCTTCGGGTCCTCGGCCGTCGAGGTGAACATGCCGTCGTAGCGGTCCCGCGTCTCCACGCCCGTCTGCCTGCGCTGGGCCGCGAGGGCGTGCTCCTCGTCGGAGAGGTCGTCGTCCGCGTCGTCCGCGTTGAGGATCTCGTCGGAGCACGACGGGCCGCAGCAGCAGCAGAGCCAGAAGAAGAAGCGCGCGCCGATGCGCACGGCGACGAAGCCCAGCACCAGACCCAGCGCCAGCGACGTCGAGATGACCATCAGGTTCGAGAAGACGTCGTTGTCGTTGTAGATCTTCGGGTCGTTTTCGTCGAGTTTCGACAAATCGAGCGGCGGCGGGAAGATGGAGTTGAACCAGAGCTTCGCGATCATGGACCCCGGCACGAGCTGGTAAACCGCCGGCATGAGCTGCGCCCAGATGCTCAGATCCTGCGCGCCGATGACCGTCTCCACCAAGATGTTCTCCTCCTCGTCGTCGAGCTTGACCTCCGTCTCGGGCCGGTTCGGGTCCAGGACGAAGGCCTGGCGCTGCCGGAGCTTCTTCGCCAGCTGGCGCTTCACGGGCTCCGTCTTCCGGCCCAGGCCCAGGCAGTCGCCGACCTTGATGGCGAAGGTGACGACGTTGTAGACGGCCTTCTCCAGCTTCGGCGTCAGCGACATCGTGCCGCCCTCGCGCTGGAGGATGCGGTTGTAGTAGGGGCGGCGCAGCAAATGGTCCACGAAGAAGGACATGACGCACGCGCAGACCACGGCCGCCATGGCGCCCGCGACGTTCGACGCCGCGTAGTCGAGGTTGTCCTTGTCGTGCCGCTTCTCGAAAAACACGAGCAGCTGGTACTGGACCTCGTAGGCGACGAGCTGGACGATGAGCCCCCGCCAGTAGTCGACGATGGGGAAGCGGTACTGGCCCAGCGCCGACGCGGAGCAGAGCAGGTAGAGCGGGATGCGCCACCACGCGTGCTTCAGGTCCAGCCGCCCGCAGTAGTCCGCCTGGTCGACCCACTTCTGCGACGGGTCCTTGAGCGTGATCATCATCCCGAAGCCCGCGCCGAGACAGAGCACGAAGGTCTTGACGGACACGGCGATGAACCGCGTCACGCCCGTCTCGAGCTCGCCCGCGATGATCTCCAACAGCCCGATCACGAAGGCCGTGCCGTAGAAGAACCAGTAGAGCGTGCCCAGGAAGATCGACGACAGGCACGCGCCGCCGTCGTAGATGTAGAAGAGGCCCGCGATGACGCCCGTCGACGTGCCCACGGTGATGTCGATGACGAGCTTCCCCGCCTCGCCTGGGCAGGACAAGAGAGATTCAACGTCGCTTCAACGTGAGTGTTCCGCGCGCGCGCGTTTCGGAAACAGCATTCACGCTTCGAGAGCGCTCCGAGAGATGATCGCTCGTCCAAAAATCAGCCGAAACGAGCGGAAAACGGCCGAGAAAGGAGCCTTTGAAGTTGGGAATTTCGCTCTCTTGTCCTGCCCTGCGCCTCGCCCTGCCTCCCCAGCTGCCACTCGAGCAGCCCCGCCGCCAGGCCCGTCACGCCGGCGATGGCGCCGTCCATCCACCGCCCGCCGAAGAAGATGACGGCGCACGTCGCGGCCTCGAGCGGGTAGAGCAGCACGCGGCCCGGGTAGTCGCGGAAAAACAGCCCGGACCGCGCGGTGTGCAAGCCCTGCTTCGTCTCGACCTGGTACTGGAGCGCCCGGTGGACGTCGATGTGGCCCTCGATCAACGCCACGGCGATGCGCGTGTACTTGTCCTGGAACTCGCTGTCGTAGTCGTAGGGCACTTTCCGGTGGAGCTCGTAGTCGCCGTCCTCGATGCGGAACTTGAGCCGCAGCACGCCCAGGGTCCAGGTCGTGCGGAGCTGGAACTTGTCCTTGAGCTGCTGCATGATCTTCGACGTGAGCAGGGTCATGTGCCAGGCGCGGTGGAGCTCGACGGCCGTGCGGATCACAAAGACGATGTGCAGGCTGTACTCCTCCCCGAAGCGCCGCTGGAGGTGCTTCTGCACGCGCTGGATGTCCTCGGGCAGCTGCGTCATGTCGAAGCGCTTCCGCGGCGACCGGCTGCTCACGATGTGGCCCAGGGATTTGAGCTTGCGGAAGCGCGGCCGCTGGCGGATGTCCTCGTGGACGTTCGCCATCAGGTCGGCGGGGCCCGGCACGTACTCCGTCTCCTCGCTCGTCGCGCGCGCCGCGCTCGGGGGCTGCTCCAGGGCGCCGGCCACGGCATCGAAGGACACGGACCGCCGCGTCTCCTCGAGCTCGACGCCCGCCATCGTTCGAGAAGCCCCGAGATTGAATGGGGCTGCGGAGTGCACCACGCTGAGTTGACGCTCGAGATGAAGTGTGGGTGCATCGGAGCGCCATCCGCGGAGACGAATGCGAGTGTTGTTAAAGAGGGGGAGAGGGCGGCCCCGGGGCTAGGCGCCGCCGCCGCGCGCGCCGCGCGGCTAGGAGGGTCGGCAGAACTTGAAGGCCGTGACGTTGTGGAACTCGTCGCCGGAGAAGTGGCCCTCGAACTCCATGGCCATGCCCGAGAAGCCCGCGGTCCAGACGGAGCCCGTCGAGTCGTCGTCGTAGTGGTCCGTCTCCTTGTGCGGCTCGTAGGGGATGGCGTTGCTGTCGAGGTACGGCTTGATCTTGTCGAGGTACGCGCCCTCGACCTTGATGCCGAGGTGGCTGTCGATGAAGCGGTCCCAGCCAAAGTTCTCCGACATGACCTTGCCGTGGAGGTCGCCGACGTAGGTCTCGTAGGACGCGACGGAGTGGGGCGCGGCGCGCGCCGCGCGGTTGTCGACGAACTGGACGCGCGCCCACGCGCCGGGCACGACGGACGCGAGCGACTGCGGGAAGCGCGCGACGGCGACGGAGCACGACTCGGACTCGATCGTCGTCGCGTCCAGCGCCCCGGAGAGGTCGAGCTTGTCGAAGTAGGCGGCCATCGCGGACGCGTCCGTCGTCGGGTGCGACACGCGGACGACCATCGTCGGGTGGCCGCCCATGTTCGTGCGCTCGCGCTGGGCGCGGTCGAGCCAGGCCGTCATCTCCGCGACGGTGTGGGAGAGCTCGACGGCCTTGGGGCAGGCCTGCTTCTCCAGCGCGGAGAACGTCAGCGTCGGCGCGTCGGCGACGTCCGAGTGGAGCTCGTAGATGGCGCCCGTGTAGGGGTTCGTGAGCAGGACGACGTAGACCGTCGTCGCGTCCGTCGACGCGTAGGTCCGCGCGAGGTAGGTGATGCCGAGCTTGTCGAAGTTCTCGACGAAGGGGCCGAGCGTCTCGACCCAGAAGCTGAGGCTCATGGACATCCACTCGTCCCAGCCCGCCCAGTCGGCCGTGCCGAGCTTGCCGTGGGCCGCGTTCCAGGACGCGATCCAGTCGTCGCTGCTCATCTCGCCCTCGATGGCCTTCCAGGTCTGGAGGTCGTGGAGGGAGAAGAACTCGGGGTTCGACGCGCACCGCTGCGCGCACAGGTTCGAGTCGCCGGGCTGCGGGTCCGACAGCGTGAAGTTGTGCGTGAAGGCGTCGTCGAACATCATGGCCTTGCGCAGCCAGGCGCACTCGGCCTTCGGGTTCGACGACAGGGACGTGCGCTTGTAGAGGAGGAACGAGACCTCGTCGCCGGCCGCGACGTCGTCGACGACGTCGAGCGCGTCCAGCTGGGGGATGGGGTCCGACGGCTGCGCCGCGTCCACGTCGTCGGTGGCGGACGACGCCACGGGCTCGACCATCCACTCCGAGTCGACGGTCTTGCGCTCGCCGCCCGCGGTGTCGATGGGCAGCACGCGGTACAAACCGGACGTGCCGCCGCCCGTGTCCGTCCAGGACGCGATGTGGGGCAGCAGCACGGACGCCCGCAGGCCGCCCGTGGAATTGGTCTCGAAGGCATAGGAATGCTCCGCGAACTGCTCCTTGTAGACGGACGTGAAGGCCGTCAACATGCGGTCCGTGCCCGGCACGTGGACGACGTTGCCGCCGTTGAGGTTGAAGAGGTCCTCGTGGCGCTTCACGGCCGTGTCGACGTTGCGGCCGTCGAGCGGGTAGGAGAACTCGTAGGAGATGGCCGCCGTGCCCTCCGTGAAGTCCAGGTCGTAGCAGACGCCGCGCGAGTAGCAAAAATAATCGTTGTGCTCCGTGTCCTCCTCGCATCCGATTCTAAAATACCCCTCGTCGGACAGGCACAGGGACTCGCGGCCGTGGACGTCGGTCATGATGGCGTCGTGGGGGTTGAAGAACTTGGCGTTGGAGCCGCTCATCTTGAAGTCGTTGCGCTTCAGCGTCGACGAGAAGACCCACTTCAGGTCGCGCGACTCGCGGTGGATCGCGATGACCGTGTTGATGTTGCGCATGGCGATGATGTACAGTAAGCCGTCGGGGCTCACGGACGCCGAACTGACGTGGAGGTACATGATGCCCGTGCCGTCGACGTCGCTGCCCCACGTCGCGTTCGCGTCGACGCCGGAGTTGAGCTCCAAGATGACGTCCTTCGACGACTCGTTGCGCGCGGCCAAGACCTCCTCCAAAGAGACGTAGTCGGACAGCCACAGCATGTGCTCGATGTCCTGGCCGCGGTAGGGCTCCGAGCCGTCCTCGATGACGTTCGTCGAGTTCTCCGGGTTCCACAAGAGCACGAATTCCTCCGCGACCCACTTGACCTTCGTGCCCTCGATGTCCAGGATCTCGTCGGCCTCCTGGTAGACGTAGCCCGTCGTGATGATCTTGTCGTCGGCCGTCGCGCGGCACTCGTGGCCCATGAAGGACCAGTCGTAGATGCGCGCGTCCGCGCCGAACCGCTTCGTCGCCGCGAGCAGATCCGGCTGCTGCAGCGCGTGCTCCACCAGGTTCTGGGACGACACGACGAGCACGGCCCCGACGCCCTGGTCGTTGATGCAGTAGCGCGTGCCGTCGGCGAACTGGGAGAAGCCCTCGATGTGGCTCTGGCGGATCGTCGTCGACAGGTTCTGGAACCAGACCGCGTAGCCGTCCGAATCCGCGGCGACGAGCCCCCGGAACGAGCTCTCCTCGTCCAGGTAGGGGAACAGCAGCATCTCGAAGGCCGGGTCGCCCGTCACGTCGCCGATGGGGCCCAGGTCGAACTTGTCGACGCCCGTCTTGGGCACGTAGAAGTCCGACGCGGCCGGGCTCGTCACGGACGCGCCGACGCCGGGCTTCACGCGCGCGACGACGCCGTACTCGCAGTCCGCGCGCAGCCGGTAGAGGCGCACCTCGTGGTCGCCCGTCAGCGCCACCTCCTCGGAGTAGGCCACGTTGGACACGTCGTCCTCGGGCCAGTACGCGAGCACGAAGCTCGCGCCGTCGTACGACTCCGTCGTCGACACGTACGCGGTGCACTGGAGCCCCGCGCAGTCCTCGACGCGCAGGCTCAGGGACACGAGGGCCTCGGCCAGACTCTCCTCGAGGGCCGGCCCGCGCACGTAGGTCTGCCGCACCGCCGCGAGCGCCAGGGCGCCGAAGAGGAAGGCGCCGCCGAGCTTCCGCCCCTTGGCGCGGTAGTCGACGGCGACCTCCGCCTTGACGCGGTTGAGGAGGGACCGCGACGAGCCCCCCTCGTTGATCGACTCCTGGCACCAGGCCCCCATGCTGGCCACGCCGCGACCAAGGACGGGGCTGCCAATCGCACCTCAGTCAAAATGGCCAGGATTGATCAGATTTACATCTTGGCATTGAAGTGTAGCTTTGGGCGACATGCAAACATTTCTCTTGTGGCAAAAGCATGGCTGAGGCTCTCTAAAAAGAGTCGTAAACGCCAGCGCTCATGAGCGTCCTCGCCCACAAGTGGGTCGCGAGCGGCGCCCTGAACGGCCAGAAGGCCTTCGCCCGGGCCCGCGTCTGCGTCGTGCTCCACGGCATCATGGGCCAGGGCCGCAACTGGATGCAGGCCGCCAAGGCGTTGGTCGACGCCGTGCCGACCTACAAGGTGCTGCTCGTGGACCACCGGGGCCACGGCGCCAACGGCGCGACGATCCCGGGGCCCCACGACGTCGACGCCTGCGCGCGCGACGTCGCCGCGACGGTCGCCGCGGCGACGGGCGCCGGCGCGGCGACGCCGAGCGACGCGTCCGCGCTGAACGAGGGCGGCGGCGCGCCGCTCGTCATCGGCCACAGTTTCGGCGGCAAGGTCGCCCTCGCCTACGCCGCGGGCGAGCCCGAGCCGCCGACGAAGACCTGGCTCCTCGACTCGAACCCCCGCCGCGGCGCGGCCGGCGGAGGCACCGCGGCGGTGCTCGACGCGCTCGCGGCGGCGTCCGCGAGCGGGTATGCCACAAAGAGGGACGCCGTCGCCGCGCTCGTCGGCCGGGGCCTCGACGCGCCGACGGCCCAGTGGCTGGCGATGACGACGGAGACGCGCGGCGGCGAGGTCTTCTTCGCCTACGACGTGGACTGCGTGCGGGACCTCTACGACGCCTACCTCGCCACGGACCTCGCGGACGCGGCGCGGGAGTTGGCCGCCGACGGCCGCTTCGGCCTCGTCGCCGCCGGCCGCGGCGGCATGGGGCTGGAGGGCGACGACCTCGTCACGCACGCGCTGCCGGACGCGGGCCACAACGTCCACGTCGACGACCTCCCGGGCCTCCTCGACATCCTCGTGGCGCAGCATAAGACGGACTGGGCCTACTCGAGCATGCTTAGCAGCGCGTCGAAGGACGGCCGCGCGTCCGGGTCGTGCGCGAGCATCCTCGCGGAGAGCGCCTCGAGCCGCGCCGCGTCGGACCGGTCGAAGGCCAGCGAAATAACCCGCGGCAACAGCCAGTCCCGCGACGCCACGTCGTAGACGTGGGCCCGCCAGTCGAAGGCGTCGCACGTGCCGCCGCGGCACGCCGCGAGCTCAGGCGCGCCGCGCGCGCGCTTCGTCTCGCAGTGGCTGTCGGCGCAGTGGTGCTGCTTGTAGGTGCGCTTCGCGCAGACGATGGGCTCGTCCGCCGGGCAGGGCCAGGGCGCGCCGGGCTCGAGGTCGATGTGGCGCGGCAGCGTCCTCGGCTCCGCGCCGGGGATGATGATGTCCGACGCGGCGCCCGCCGTGAAGTGCTTCCGCGCGAAGGCCGCGATGGCGCCGTCGTTCGGCGCGGGCCCGTCGACGAGGTAGATGTCGCCGGCGGGATCGAGCGTGAACTGCTCGGGCTTGAAGTCCGTCAGCACGAAGCCGCCGCGCTCGCCGAAGGACCGGAAGCAGCGGAACCACGCGCGCGCCACCTCGATGGGGTGCTTCCGCGCGCGATGGTCGTAGGCCTTGGAGAGTTTCGCCGGGTCCGACGACCGGCCCAGGCCCTTGCCGACGCTCGCGCCGCCGTCGGACGTGACCCACACAATGTGCGATCTCGTCGCCCAGCCGCCGTAGAGCACGGGGATGCCCGGCTCGCCGCGCAGGAGCTCGAGGTAGAGCAGTTCGAAGTAGGCGATGTCGCTCTCGCGGTGGCCGAACTCGAAGCGGCCCGCCTTGTGCAGCGCCTTGACGACGACGGGCGTCTTCTCGTCCCGGTACGACTCGCGCGAGAGCCACGAGCTGTTGACCTCCTTCTGCTTCGATTCCACGAGGACCTTGGCCTTGGCGGCGACGTCGCCGGGCTTGCGCACGGCCCAGTGCGCGGGCGGGTCCGCGCCGTCCGCGAGCCAGGCGTCGATGAGCTCGAGGCGCGCGAGCGCCGCGGCCGTGCCGCTCGGTAGGCGATCGTGGGTGGCGTTCAGCGCGGTATTGGCGGCGGCGAGCGCGAGCAGCGGCGCGAGGCGCATGGGCGCTGCGGCTGCAGACCGGCTGCGCGTGCGATCACCTACGAATTATTTCAAGCATCGCAGACTCAGGATGGGGCAGCATGGTTTTGGTGAGGGAAACATGACCATGTGAGCAACTAAGACTTTGCCTCGAGACAGTTTATGGCGCTCGATCCTCGACGGCCACACGGCGCACCAATGCTGGCAGGTACGAACGCGATATTCTTGATGCTGTGCTCTGTCGCAAGCGCGTTGAGGCTCATTGATCGTCCGCGACTGGCATCGCCATCGAATGCAGTGACGCGACGCGCAGCGCTGTTGTCCGCGCTAGGGTCGGTTGAATCAGCGCGCGCGGCCGACAGCGAGGCGACGGAGGAGATGGTCGCGTCGTCGACGGAGCGATGGTCGCGGTTCTTCGTCGACATGGTGCCTCGCGGACCGGCCGCGTCGGCGCCGGACGTCGTCCTCGCCGCCACCCGAGCGTGCTACCGCGAGTGCTTCTCGAAGTTCGGCGACTCGCTGCTGCCCGGCACGGAGAAGGACGTCGGCGTCTATTGCACGAGCCGCTGCTTCCTGCCGGTGGCCACGCGGACGCTCGGCCTCCGCAAGGGCTCCGCGAACTTCTGCGACGCCTACAACAAAGCGACGGACCTCGAGTACTACGACTGCGACTCGTAACACATAAAAACACGAGCGCCCTTAGTAGTAGCGCGCGACCTGGCTCGCGGGCACGACCTCCCCGCGGCCCCGGGCGTCGCGGACGAGCCCGCGGACGTGCTCCGGCGCGCGGTCGTTGTCGAGCGTGGCCGCGTCCGCGACGACGAAGAGCGCGTGCCGCGCGCGCGTGAGCGCGACGTTGAAGCGCCGCTCGTCGGCGACGAAGCCCAGGTCGTCGCCGCGGTCCGAGGAGCCGCCGCCCTGGGGCGCGCGGACGCAGGAGATGAGGACGACGTCCGCCTCGGAGCCCTGGAACGCGTCGACGGAGCCGACGCGGAGCCCCGGGTACGCGCCGGGCTCCAGCGCGTCCTGCAACGCCCGCACCTGCGCCGCGTAGAAGGAGATCACGGCGACGTCCGCGTCCCGCGGCGCGTCGCGGAGCAGCGCCGCCACGAGCTCCACGACGACGCGCACCTCCTCGTCGTTCGCGCTCGACGTGCCGACGCGGCGCATCGCGCCGCGCGTGTCGAGCACGCTCCGCGGCGGCAGCTCCCGGAGCCGCTCGTCGCGCCGCCGCGCGTCCGCGAGCCAGTCCGGCTCGTCGCGCGTCCGCACCGCCTCCGCGTCGGCGACGCGGCCGGCGTAGTACGCGCCGTTCGGGTAGCGCGATATCGACGGGTGCATGCGCCGCTGCACGTCGAGGAAGCGGAAGGAGACGTCGTCGCGCTCGCCGACGTCGAGGAGCCGCTCGAGCGCGGAGACCCGGAGCCCGCCCGTCTGGTCCCGGCAGTTGAGGATCGGCGGCAGCTGGAGCGGGTCGCCGCAGAGGATGAGGCGCGACGCGTGCGCGGCGTCGGCCGCGGAGATCACGTCCGGCTCCGTCGCCTGGCCCGCCTCGTCGACGACGAGCAGGTCGCGGAACCGCAGCAGGTCGCGCAGGTCGGACCGCCCCGCCGTCGCCAGCGTGCAGAACACGACCGCGCAGCTCTTCGCCTGCTCCCGCTCGCCCATGGATTTCGCGGCGTTCCACCGCGCGTGGCCCTCGCCGCCGACGCCCAGGATGAAGCCGTTGCGCCGCCCCAGGGCGTGGTAGCGGTCGCAGAGCTCGTTGACGGCCCGGTTCGACGTCGCGCAGCAGAGCACGCGGCCCGGCTCCGCGTTGAGGATCCGCGCGAGCTCCGTCGTCTTCCCCGTGCCCGGCGGCCCGTGGATCAAGGAAACCGTCGCGCAGAGGGGCTCCTTGGCCTTGCCCCGCTCGACAGCGCGCGTCGCGTCGGCGGCGTCGCCGCCCGTCGCCGTGAGGACCGTCGCCGCGATCCAGTCGAGCGCGCCGCCGCCGGCCGCGGCCGCGGGCGACTCGTCCGGCGGCTTCTCCCACGTCGTCTCCGCGCCGCGGTACCAGTAGGTGCGCCCCGTCGCCGGGTCCGTCGCCGGTTGCCAGGGAATGGCTGCTGCTGTGGTTGTTTTCGCGTGGGGCTGCGCCTTGCGGGGCCCCTTGCCGTCGCTCGCGAGCGCCAAAGCCACGGGGCAGAGCGCGGCGGGGCTCCGCAGGCACCGCAGCAGGGCCGTGTCCGCGCGGATGAGCGCGACGACGCTGTCGGCGACGCGCACGCGCACGACGCGGTTCACGCGCGCGATGTCAAAGAACCGCGCGTGCGTCGATTCCGGCACGCGAATGTCCAACGGCGTCAGGCCGTTGCCGTTCGTCTGGCCGCCGACGGCCGCCTCGGCGACGCAGAGCGCCTCGAAGCCGCCGGAGGAGACGCGCGCGAACGTGTCGGTGGTCAACGTGTCGAACTCGACGCCGTCGACCGAGAGCCGCGGCGGGTGCACGCGGTTTACCCTTCGCTCCTTCCACTCGCCGGTCGGCTGGTCGCCGGCGATGGTCGCGCGCGCCTCGAGGAGGAGCGCCTCGCGGTAGGAGTTCGCGTAGGTCTCGACGTCGCCGGAGAAGGCGCGCGCGAAGTGCGGCGAGAGGTCCTCCCGCCCTTCTCCGGCGAGCAGCCGCTCCCGGAGCGGCGCCGGGTGCGGGTCGTCGGCGAAGCCGCCGCCGCCGTCGACGACGTCGAGGCACGCCGACACGGCCGCGGCGTCTCGTTGCGCGCGCTTCTGGCGCTTCGCGTTCGTGAAGTTGCCCTGCGACGGCGCGGCGCCCTGGAGCGCCGCGGCCTCGTTGCGGCGGTGGCGCGCGCCGTCGAGGTGGCGCGCGTGCTGCTCGAGGCTCGAGCTGAAGACGTTGCAGATGCCGCAGCGGTACGCCGGCATGCTGCGGAGAATGCGGTTGGCGCCGCCGGCCGCCGCGCGCGCAACGCGTCGCCTCGCGCGCGGCCAAAGCGACAAAGCGCCGTCCACCTCGCTTGGCCGCAGGCTAAAGTTTCGGCGAGAGTTCGGCAGAGTTGCCCTGGTTTCAGCGCCGCGCTGGGCTGCCTCTCGGGCTCCCGGCCGCGGCCGCGCCCGGCCGCGATGGCCGACGACTTGGTGACGCCCATGAAGCAGGTCGGCATCGAGGAATGCAAGACGCCGGTGTCTCTGGAAAAGATCGCCTTCGAGGAGTGCAAGTCGTCGAGCGACGGCGGCGGCGCCGCGCCGTCGCCGCCGCGCGCGCGGCGTCCGCCGCCGGCGACGCCGAGCCGCGCGGCCATGGTCAGAAGCCTCAGCGGCCGCTTCATGGAGGGCTACGAGCGCACGCCGGTCGTGAATTTGACCCACGGCGACTTCGACCTGGGCGACATCGCGCACGAGAGCGCGCGCGGCTGCCTGCGAAACGGCACCGTGCGCCTGCCGGGCGCAAACGGCGGCGCCGAGGAGTGCCTCGTGCGCGTCGTGAGCAAGCGGCGCCAGCGGCACAGCTGCGACTGGCTCGTGCGCCAAAAGGCCGCGCTGCTACAGTTCGGCCACCCGTTCCTGCTGTGCTTGCTGGGCACGTTCCAGGACGACCGCAACCTCTTCGGCGTCTTCGAGCCCTGCGCCGGCGGCGAGCTTTTTAGTTGGCTGCGCAAGGGCGAGGTGCCCTGGGCCGTCGCGTCGTTCTACGGCGCGGAGGTCGCCGCGGCGCTGGACCACGTGCACCTCTGTAAACTCCGCGAGCGGAGCCGGGGCACGGTGCTGCGCAGCGTCGCGCCGGAGTGCGTCTGGCTCGACCGGTTGGGCCACGTGAAGCTGCGGGATTTCGATCATATTGGTATTCTCGACGAGGACGGGCGCTGCAGTACGATCTGCGGGCTGCTGGACTACGCGGCGCCGGAGCTGCTGCGACGGGGCGACCACGGCGCGCCAGTCGACTGGTGGGGCTTGGGCGTGCTGCTCTACGAGATCTGCGTCGGCGAGCCGCCCTTTTTTGGCGACGACGCCGTCGAGTCCTTCAAGCTGGCGCTGCACGCGAACCCTTCCTGGACGACGCGCGTCGCGAACAGGGCAGGAAAAGGGTGATTCAACGTCGCTTCAACGTGAGTGTTCCGCGCGCGCGCGTTTCGTAAACAGCACCCACGCTTCGAGGGCGCTCCGAGAGATGATCGCTCGTCCAGAAATCAGCCGAAACGAGCGGAAAACGGCCGAGAGAGGAGCCTTTGAAGTTGGGAATTTCGCACCCTTTTGCTGCCCAGGTCGCGAAGCGGCGCGTGCGCCTCGAGGGCGGCGCGCGCGGGCTCGTCGACGACCTGCTGGCCAAGGACCCGCGCCACCGGCTCGCGGGCGGGCCGGCGCTCTCCGGGCGGGGCATGGCCGCGGGCGGCGACCCGCCCCTCGTGCCCCACCTCGAGCCGGACGACGAGAAGCACCCGTGGGAGGTCTACCCGGAGGACCCGGACACGGACAAGCTCCCGCCGCCGCCGGACGACGCGCCGCCGCGGGACCCGGACCCGACCGACGTCTTCCTCTTCTACTAACGCCGTGGCGGGGGGTGCGTCTCTACGCGGCGCGGGGTGACCCACGCGACGGGCCGGTTCCCGGCCGCGCGCGGCGCGCGCGGCGCGCCCCGGTCCGCGTCGAAGCACGCGGCGCAGGGCGGCGCGAGCCAGCGCGCGGCCGCGGCCTCCTTCGACGACGCGAAGCGGCCCAGCTGGAGCTCGACCACGACGACGGAGAGGTTCGCGGCGAAGAGGAAGCCGCCGAGGAGCTCCTCCGTCGACAGCGCGCCCCCGCGCGGCCGCAGCGGGCCGTAGGTCCGCCGGACGGCGTCGAGCGCCGCCGCGTCTCCATAAAAGCCCGCCGCGGCGAGGAGCGCGTCCATGGACGCCCGCGGCCCCGCGAGGAACTGGTCCGGCACGCTCGGCCACTTCGCGAGGCGGACGGTGTTCCCCGCGTCGGCGACCTCGAGGGTCCGGCTCGGCAGCCAGGACTGGAACCGCTTCGAGCATGTTGCCACGGCGCCGTCCGGGACGGCGAGCAGCGCGGCGGCGTCGAGGACGTTGTGGTAGGACAGGTCGATGCGAGCCTTGACGACGTAGGCGAACGCGGCGCCGGCCCCCTCGCGGCGCCGCATGAGGCCGCGGGCGAGGGCGATGTGCCCCCATTGGAACTCCGGCGGCGTCCGCCAGCCCGACCGGCCCCCGTCGACGAACTCGGCGACGACGGCGACGTCGGGCCGGACGGCGCCGAGCGCGCCGCGCCAGTCCGCCTCCGCGCCCGGGCGGTCGGCGGCGACGAAGATCGCGACGCCGCACGAGGCGGCGAGCGGCGCGAGGATCGCGCGATCCAGCTCCTCGGGCCGCGGCGCGAAGCCCCGGTGGGCCAGCGGGCCGCCGAGGAGGACGGCGACGAGCGGCCGGCCGTCGTGGCGCCCGCGCGCGGCCACGTCGGCGACCGTCGGCCGGCCCCGCGCGGCGGCGACGAGCGCGCAGGCCACCAGGCGCGAGGTCGTGCGCATGCGCCGGGGCAGCTGCCGAGGTTTTTTTAGACGACGCGAGGCAGGCCCATCGTTGCTCGGGCAGCCTTTCTAAATTTGTGTGAACACATGTTGAACTAGTTATTGAAGGGGGCGCGCGCCCGAGTCGCAGCCCTTCGCGCGCGCGCCTAGAACTCGCGGATCGTGCGGTCCATCATCTGCTCCGCGAGGGCGTAGACGAGGAGGTAGTGCTCGTCCCAGAGCGCGGCCTGCTGCGCCTTGTCGCCCCGGGCCGGCGCGAGGGCCGCCGCGAGCTCGCCGGCGAGCCTCGCCTCCTCGGTGCCGTCGTCCGCGGCGCCCGCCTTGAGGTCCGCCGCGAACTTGCGGAGGCGGTCGCGCGCCATCTTCTGCATGAGGATGCGCGAGTCGCCCTCGGCGAACTTGCAGCAGTTGAGGAAGTCGAGGTGCTTGAAGCCCGACGAGCCCATGAGGGCGTAGGAGCCGACCTCCTGCTTGAGGCGCCAGGCCAGGTCGATGGAGTGCTCGACGGCCTTGACCTTGGCCGTCGCGATGGCGTGCGCCAACTCCTCGTCGGGCACGGCGCCCGTGCGCAGCAGGGGCGCGAGCCGGTCCTCGCACTTGTTCACGAAGTCCTCGAGGAGCGCCGCGGTCTCGTCGGCCTCGGCGAAGAGCGCCTTGAGCTGGGGGATGCCCGAGAGCTTCGGCGCCGCGCCCGTCCGCGCGACGTCGGGGATCGACTTGTTGTCCGCGTAGGCCTTGGTCACGTCGAAGAGCTGGGACCGGAACGCGAGCGCGGCCTGGGCGACGGCGACGCGGCCCGTGTACAGCCGCTGGCCGATCATCTCGAAGGGCTTGACGCCCTGCGTCTTGAGCACGTAGCCGCCCGTGGCCTCGTCGACGTCGCAGTGGCCGTTGAGCAGCGCGGTCCGCGGCACGCGCACGTTGTCGAAGGCGATCCAGGCGTTGTCGAGGTCGTTGCCCGTCGTCTTGACGCCCATGTCGCCCGTCGACACGCCCGGCGACGCCAAATCCATCAAGAACGCGTGCGGGCCGACGCGCTGGTCGTCGACGGTCGTGTCCGCGAGGACGACGGCCTTGTCCGCGACGTGGCCCTGGGAGATCCAGTTCTTGAGGGACCCCTCGCTCGGCGAGTGGAGCACGAACTCCTTCGACTCCTTGTCGTACGTCGCTGTCGTTTCCACCACCAACCCGGACTGCACGCCCGCGAGGCGCTCCGTCAGCGCGAAGCAGCCGAGCTGGCCCTGAGCCTCGACGTCGGCCATGGCCGCGACCTGCTCCGGCCCGCCGACCGCGAGCACGGTGCCGAAGCAGAGGTTGTAGTGCACCGTGAAGCGGATCCAGAACCCGGGGCCCTCGCGGACCGCGTGGCGCGCGAGGAGCCGGTGGGCCTTGAAGAAGCGGTCCGGCCGGTCCCGCAGGTCCGTGTGCTTGAGGAGGCCGCTCTTGACGAGCGCGCGCAGGGCCTCGCTCGACTCCGTGTGGTCGCTGTCGCCGCTGACGACGTCCGTGGCTTCGAGGAAGGCGGCCTCCCACTCCGCCTCCTCGTCGCGCGGGGCGACGGCGGCGGTGGAGAAGGGCGCCGGGGCGCGGGTGATAACGGCGGCGCGCAGGCTCCGGGCCTGGGGCAGGACGCGGGTGAAGACGGCGCGCAGAGCCATGCTTCTTGCCCAAGCAGAATCGGCAACACTGGCTCACCTTCGGCTTGGTGCAGCCCGCTCGGCTGCTGCGGCGCGCAATCTGGAGCCGCTCGAGTCCCCTGTTGCGGCGCAGATGTTGGATGACGAGGACCCTTTCGAATCTTGGTTGGCCGAGAACCCAGATGATAAAGAATGGCACGACAAGTTCCTCGCGGGTTGCGACGAAGAAGACGAGGCAGGACGCCGATTGCCGATGAGCGGCTCGGCCAGCCGGACAAAGATTACCTTGCCCATGATCCAACGCCATTTGCCGGAGCAGTACAAGCCCCAAATCGTTGACTTGATCAGACAAATGAAGAACGAGACAGCGGCGTCGCGCAATAGTTTAATCTGGGAAGGCCTCAAGCGAATCGTTCCCGCTGATGTGTTGGCGCACGCAAAGGAATTGGCGCAAAAAGACATCATGACACCGCCGCCCTCGCAGTCTCCCAAGCGCGTGCTGTCGCCGCCGCCGACGGCGCAGGACGGGCCGCAGCCGCAGTCTCCGCGGAGAACCGCGACCCCTCCGACCGTGCCTCGCCCGACGCCGGACGCGCGCGCGGCCCTCGCGGAGCTGCTGCCGTTGCGTCTCTCCGCGATGGGGCTCGACGGAGCCGCCGAGCTCAAGACAGAGAACGCGCGACTCAAAACCGAGAACGCGCAACTCAAAACCGAGAACGCGCGACTCAAAACCGAGCTTGCTCGTCTCCGAGGGCAAGGTGGCCCCGCGTCCACCTCGGCTGCCCCCCGCTCCCGCGCCGCGCCCAGTTCTGCCGTCGTTCGGGTCCTCGAGGCGGAGAACGCCGGTCTCAAGATGTACTTTTCGGAGCTCCGCGAGCTCAAGGCCAAGCTCCACCGCGCCGCCGAGGAACTCCACCGCGTCGCCGAGGAACACCCCCTGTAAATACCACATTACTCCCCCGCGCCCGGTCCGACCCCCTCGGGCAGCAGCTCCGCGAGGGCCGCGCGCGCGTCGACGGCCTGCGCGCCCGCGACCTGCAGGTTGTGGAGCACGCGGCTGTGGCGCTGGTGCGCCGTGCCCCGGGGCCGCTTCAGCAGCAGCGCGCTGCGCTTCGTCGCGAGCGCGTCGGCGCCGCAGTCGCCGCGGCCGCCCAGCGCGCGCGCGAGGTGGCGGCCCGTCGCGTCGCCGAGCGCCTCCGCCGCGGCCTCCGGCGCCGCGTCCGCGAGGGCCGACCGCCTCGCGGCGGCGCGGCTGCCGCCGGCCCAGGCCCCGAAGGCGCGGCGGACGCCCCGCGCGTCGCCGCCGCGGCGCGCGGCGCCCAGGGACACGGCGACGACGACGGCCGCGCCGCGGCGCGCGCCCGCGCCCGCGCGGAGCCGGCCCAGCGCCCGCGCGGTGCGGCGCGCCGCCGCGGCGCGCAGCGCGGCGGCGACGGCGCGCGCGACGGCGGCGAGCGACCGCGCGGCGGCCCGCCGCCGCGCGAACGCGCGGAACGCCCGCGCGCCGCACGACCGCCGCGAGCGCCCAGGCGAACCCGGCGGGCCCCTCGCCGTCGTCGTCGTCGTCGCTCCACTGGCAGGCGGCCGCGGCCAAAAAGTCGCCGCGGGGGCTCCACTGGCTCTCTGCCGCCGCGACGTCCGCGGCCGACTGCGTCGCCACGGCGAAGCTCCGCTTCGGGCTCGTCGCCGTCGCGGCGCTGGCGACGTCCGCCGCCGACTGGGTGCCCACGGCGAAGCTCCGCCGCGGGCTCGTCGCCGTCGCCGCCGTCGCGACGGCCTTGAAGCTCCGCCGGGGGCTCGTCGCCGTCGCCGCTTCGGAGCTCCGCCGCGGGCTCGTCGCCGTCGCCGCTTCGGAGCTCCGCCGCGGGCTCGTCGCCGTCGCCGCTTCGGAGCTCCGCCGCGGGCTCGTCGCCGTCGCCGCGTCGAAAGACGCGGCGTTTTCGGGGCTCGTCGCCGTCGCCGCGTCGGACGCGGTCTCGCTCGTCGCGCAGTCCACGGGGCTCGTCGCCGCGTCCTCGAGGGCGCGGCGCGGCGGCGTCCGCGACACGCCGACGACGCTCGCCGGCGCGGACCGCGCGGCGACGCCCGAGGCGCGCCGCCACTGGTCCAGCTCCTCGCGCGCCATGGCCTCGGCCTCGGCGGCGCAGCGCCGGGCCTCGTCGCGCTCCGCGCGCGCGACGTCCGCCTCCCAGTCGCCGGCCTCGTCGACGAGCCGCGCGGACAGCTCCGCGCGCGCCTTCTCGGATCGCGCGAGCCGCTCGCTCGCGGCGTCGAGCGCGGCCCGCGCGTCCTTGGCGACCTCGGCGACGGCGCCGAGCTGGGCCGTCGTGTCCTCGAGGGCGTCCTCGAGCACGGCGACGCGCGCGCGGAGGCCGCCCCCGTCGTCGTCCTCCGACGCGCCGCCGTCCGAGCCGCCGTCGGAGCCGCCGTCGGAGCCGCGGACCGAGCCGCGGACCGAGCCGCCCTCCTCGCGGAACGCGGCGTCCAAGACGCGCGCCGTCGGCGGCGCGTCGTCCGCCGCCGGAGCCTCGTCCGGCGCGCGCGACGCCCGGAGACTCTCGAGCTCGGCCTCGAGGCGGCCGTTGACGGCGAGGAGCGCCCGAATCTGCCGCAGGTGCACGGCGCGCTCCGCGAGCAGGCGGTCGCGGCAGCCCGCGTCGTCGCCCCGGGCCCAGGCGGGCACGTCGACGGCCGTCAGGCCCGGGTCGTCGACGCCGTCGGCGCGCCGCAGGAGGCCGTCGACGTCGATGAGCGTCTCGCACATGGACCCGAACGTCGCCGCGTCCGCGGAGTCCGCGGCCGCGGCCAGGTCCTCCAGCGACGCCTCGAGGGGCGCCGTGCCGCGCACGGGCGACCGCGCGACGGAGTCCACGAGCTCCCGCGCCGCGGACCCGACGCTCGCGCCGACGGGCGCCTCCTTGCGGCCGCTGAGCGCGTCGAGCCGCGCCGCCAGCGCGTCGAGCGCCGCGGCCTGGCCCGCGAGCGCCGCGACGCGCTGCGCGACGTCCCGCGGCGGCGCCAGCGGCGGCGCCGGCGCCGACCGCGGCCTCGGCGGCGGCCGGACGACGACGGGCGACGGCGGCGGCGCCGCGGCGGCCACGGCCGCCGCGACGATGGCCGGCGAGTCGCCGAGGAACGGCGGCGCCGGCCGCGCCGCGCAGGTCAGCGGCGTCGCCGCGCCAGTGGCGATGACCTGCGTCTGCGGCGCCACGTAGTCGTACTCCGCGCGACTCGCGGAGGTGATGGCGCGGGGCCTCATTATCGTTCCATCGTGCGGGGCAGCCTTAACTGATTCGTCAACACTGGATTTGTGAACTTTTTTTCCGGCGGGCAGCTCTTTTGTATTATGGGAAGATGACGAGCGCGTTCGGGAACCCCGCGTCGCCGGCACACAAGAACCGCGATGAGGACGACGGCGCGATGCCCGTGCTCGATGTGTCCATGTTCGGGCCGCGCGACGAAGTCTTCGACGAATTGGACGAGCTGAGGGCCAAGAACGCCAAGCTCGAGAGCGAGAACCACGCGCTGCGAAAAGCACAAAGAGAGCAAAAGAGCGAGTGCGACGCACTACGTCGTAAGAGCAAGGCCCTCGTGACCTCGAACGAGGAGCTCGCGTCGCTCTGCGGCGAGCTCCGGACGCGCTTGGCGCGGCGGGACGCGGAGACGCGGGCTTTCATGAAGGTCACGCGCGCGGACCTGGACGTTTTGCGAAGAGGCGTCATTCAGATGTGTAAGGAGCACGCGCTCGCGTCGGCCTCGGCGCTTTCGATCGCGCGAAAGCGCGACGACCGTCATCGAGCGGCCGCGGCCGCGGCCGCGGCCGCGGCGGCCGAACGCGAGCGCCGCAACGTCGAAGAGATCGACTCGCACGTCGCCGCGCTCGTGCGCGCGAAGCTCGACCTCGCGGAGACCGAGTTCCTGCGCATGGCGACCCCGAGCAAGGGCGCTCCGCCCGACGTGCCCGAGACCCCGCCGGAGAAGTCGCCGAAGCCGCGGATCCGGAGGAGCCCCTTCTCGACGCGCCGGGAGAGGAGAGGGGCGACGCGGTAATGAGACTCCAGTGTCCAGACCGCGACGATGAACGGCAAGTCTGTGGAGTTACATGTCTACAGTGAAGGCAACGACTTCTAATACTCAACGCGGATTGAGAGCCAACGATAGAGCTGCTTTCCGTCGCTGCCCTTTCGGTCGGCGCGCGGCCATAACGCTCTCGTCGCGCCGCGGGAAGGCGGCCGCGGTGGGAACGCACCACACGACGCGGCCGGCGCCGCGCGCGACACCGCCATGGGGAGCGGCATGAGCGTCCCGCCGCCGCGTCAGAGCCAAGACCCCCGCCCTTTTGTCACGCAAAAAACCGTAGGCCGAGGAGGACGGGGAGCCGCCGGAGATCATCGTCGACACGGGCAGCATCACGGTGAACGCCGCGGGCACGGTCGACGTCACGCTCCAGACGAAGGACCAGGGCGATTTGAAGCTCGAATTGGTGCTGCCGCCGCCGCCGGCGAACAAGGCCTGCATCCCGACGGACGGCAACTCCATTATGGAGATGCTGAGCCTGAAGCCGCCGGACCCGGGCGACGCCATCACGGACTGCGCGGGCGTCGCGCGGAGCGTCTACGACATGAACCCCGCGGAGCTCCTCCGCTGCCTCGACTGCGTGCCGCGCTTCCGGCTCCTCGCGCCGGCCTACAAGGGGTCCATCATGAAGCCGAACCGCGACTCGCTCTACGACGCCCACGCGCACATGATCGACTTCTACCAGCGCACGGAGGGCATCGAGGTGCTCGCGAAGGAGATGGACGCGTGCGGCGTCACGGCCGCCGCGGTCATGGGCAATCCCCTAAAGAAGCGCTGGTCCGAGTTCGAGCCCGAGCCCTCGGCCGACGCCTTCAACGACACGGACACCATGTTCTACTACTCGGCGACGGACGTGACCGTCGTCGACGCCATCGGCGACCTGCCCCCCGACGTCGCCGTCCGCTTCGCGCCGCTCGGGGCGGGAAAAGAGAGCGACATTCCCAAAGGCTCCTCTCTCGGCCGTTTTCCGCTCGTTGCGGCTGATTTTTGGACGAGCGATCATCTCTCGGAACGGTCTCGAAGCGTGGATGCTTTTTTCCGGCACGCGCGCGCGCGGAACACTCACGTTGAAGCGACGTCGAATCTCTCTTTTCCCGCCCAGGCGCCGCTCATGTGCGGCTTCGACCCGACGGACCGCTTCTCCGCGGACCAGGTCAAGGAGACGCTCGCGTCGCCGAAGACGGACCCGAAATTCTGGCGGGGCCTGGGCCAGTTCTACCTGCGCAACTCGGAGATCACGAACCTGACCTTGGCGCAGCAGGCGACGCCGACGACGTTCGGCTTCGAGCGCCTCATGGCGACGGCCCAGGACAAGGGGCTGCCGGTGGTCTTGCTGCAGAACGCCCAGTCCGAGTCCGTCAAGCCCTACAAGCGCGACTACTGCTTCATCCCCGAGCTCGAGGCCTGCCTGGCGTCGTACCCGCGCGGCCCCGCGCGGAAATCGACCGGCGGAACGCCCCGTCCGGCAAAAACTTCTATCTCAGTCACATCGAAGTCGATTCGGCTGATGTTTGGACGAATCGATTGCTCTCGTCGAGTTCTCGAAGCACAGAGAAGAGCTTGCGTCGAAACTTTCGAATACGCTCACATCGAAGTCGGGTCGAAGATTTGATGTCCGCGCAGGCGCGTCCGCGTGCTCTGGGTCGGCTGCGGCATCTTCTGCCGCGGCAACTGGGGGGGCTACGTCGACCGGCTCCGCGAGGTGCTCCCGAAGCACCGCTACCTCTGCCTGTCCATCACGCCCCAGTGCCTGTTGGACCAGCCGTCGATGGTCGAGGGCTTGGTGGAGTTGTGCGACGAGTTCCCGACGAAGTTCATGCTCGGGTCGTCGACCATGGGCAAGTTCACGGGCGCCTACGCCAAGGACTGGGCGGCGCTGCGGGCCTTCGCGGACCGGTGCGCGCCGGAGACGCGCGAGCGCCTGCTCTTCAAGAACGCGCAGGGCTTCTACGACGACCCGTCGAAGGCCAACGAGGAGCAGTTCCCGGCGCGCCAGAGCGTCATCAACAAGCCCAAGAACGCGCGCAACCGCCTGAGCGTCATCTCCGCCACCCAGAAGGCGCCGGACTGGCTCAACCGCGGCGCCGCGAAGCAGGTCGGCGTGCTGCACCGCGGCGCGGCGTCGATGCGCCAGCTCGACAGCGCGCCGCCGACGCCCAAGTTCCTGAGCCTGGCGCCCGACGAGATCGAGCACCGGACCATCGACACGCACCTCCACATGCTCGACTTCCTGCAGAAGTCGTCGGGCACGCGGACGATCCTGGAGGCCATGGACGGCTGCGGCTGCGACAAGGCCGTGCTCATCGGCATGCCCTGCTGCAAGAAGTGGTCCAAGGACGAGCCCGAGGAGCCCCTCTACTACCAGGACGACAACGGCCAGCTCTACGTCTACTCCTACTGCGACCAGATGATCGCGGACGCGTGGCTCGCGCTCCCCGACGACAAGCGGAAGCGCTTCGCGCCCGTCATGGCGTCGTTCAACCCGACGGACATCAACTCCATCAACCACGTCGAGCGCATGTGGAACAAGTACCCGGGCATGTGGCGCGGCATCGGCGAGGTCATGTGCCGCCACGACGACCTGACGACGCTGCTCCAGGAGAACGAGACGCCCTGCATGAACCACGTCGCGCTCGAGCCCATGTACGAGTTCTGCGTCAAGCACGGCCTCAACTGCATGATGCACCAGAACGCGGACCGCACGGCCAAGGTCGAGTCCAACGGCTTCTACGAGTACCAGTTCGAGATGGAGCAGGTCCTCGAGAAGTTCCCCGAGCTCAAGCTCGTCTGGTGCCACGCGGGCGTGTCGCGGCGCACCTTCGAGCCGAACCACCACGAGATGCTCGACGAGCTCATGGACAAGTACCCGAACCTCACGGCGGACATCTCCTGGGTCGTCTGGGAGCTCACGATCTGCGGCGAGGACGGCGTGCCCAAGCCGGGCTGGGTCGACCTCTTCGAGAAGTACCCGGACCGGTTCACGATCGGCTCGGACCAGGTCGGCCAGTTCATCGGGCCGGGCGGCCAGAACTGGCTCAAGCCCGAGATCGTCAAGTACTGGACCCTCGCCAAGTGCCTCACGCCCGAGACCTGCCGAAAAATACTGTACGAGAACGCGGAGCGCATCTGGTTCGACGGCTGGGAGATCCCGTCCTCCGACGACGTCCGCTTCCGCCAGATCCCGCCGACGATGAGGTGCGAGACGCTCTGGATGAACGAGGGCAAGTTCGTTCAGGAGGACGAGTTCTTCTAGTTTCCGTCTGTATCGCACAGATCCCCCCCTTGCGCGCCCCTCCCATTATAGACTTTAATTTATAGAAATTTACCGTGACCGTCACGTTGGAAATGTGTGAAGATCATCTCGAGATTGCATCTGGCGCCCTCGTGGCCCGCGGCGGCCGCGCGTTCGAACCAGCGGGTGGACTCCTCGAGGTTGCGTTGATTGTAATACACACCGCCGACTGCGTTCCAGGCCACAATGAGTCCTTGATTCGCTGCAAGTGTGTAGTAAGACATGGCTGCCGTTTCGTCTCCGGCGTCCCTCAAAATGTTTCCAAGGTTGAACTGCGCGTGCGCGGATCCCCGGTCTGCTGCAAGCTGATTCACCTGCCTGGCTTTCATCCGGTCCAATTTGACGCCGTCTCCTCGCTCGTACAGTAGCCCAAGACCCACCATCGCCCTCGTGCTCCCAAGCTCCATGGCACGCTTGAAGAGCTTCGCGGCCTTCTTCCCGGATTTCGGGACGCCGATGGACGCCCATTCTCCATGCACGTATCTCTGTGCCAGATGAGTGATCGCTTCAGGAACGTCGTTCTCCACGTGACGACGAAGACGCGCGAGCTCCTCTGCAGCGGAATTTGGATACGCCATTCGACAGATTGGACATGACTTTTGGCCAACTTTAACTCGGCACGACTCGCAGACCATCCGGGCGCAACAGCTACGAAATGATCTCGAAACATTCACGTCCCAGTCCTCCAAACAGATCGGGCACCGCGACTCGTACCGCGCCGACTCCGGCTCCCGCTCCGGGTTCGCCTCGCGCCGCGCGCGAGCGGCCTCGTGTTCCGCCGCGATGCGGGCGCGGATCTCGTCCGCGTGCGACCGGGGCGCGGGGCCGTAGAAGACCACCTTCGGCGGGGGCGACGGCGGGGGCGTCGGCGCCTCCGCCCGCGCCGCCTCCGCCGCGCGCTCGTCTCGAATCTTTTTGCACGCCTTCCGGTGGCCGCGGTCGCGCCAGTCGATCTTTTGACAGGCGACAGAACAGTACTGGGTGGTCTCACAGGGACAATTAAGCTTCGCCTTCTCGCCACAAATGGTGCAGGTCAGGCGCAAGCGCAGCGCTTTGGCCCGCGCCTTCTTGATCTCGTATTCTTTTTGCTTCTTCCTCCACATCGGCTCTTCCCCCGGTGTGTCCATCTTATGGAGTGGTATACGTGTCGTGTCGGCGCGCGGAAGAGGGTACGTGTCGTGGAATGGGTGTCGTGTCGCGAGCGTGGGACGCGGCGCGGACTTGGCTCAGGCTTAGAGCGAGTCCTGCGGCGATCCGCCACAAATCGCCTCCCGTCGCCAAGCGCGTCCGTCGACACCCCTCCTCCCCCCACACAAGACGAGCGCCACCACTGTTACGCGCACCAGTCGTCCCCGAGGGCCCAGCACGTGTCGCCCGTCGTCGCCTCGAAGAGGCCGTCGTTGTTGGACGCGTCGCACGCGCATTCCGAAGGCGCGTCGGCGGTGCAGTCCGCGAACTGGTACTCGACGGCGAGGGCGCCCGCGCCGTACCCAAAACCCGCGTAGATGAGCAGCGCGTCGGCCTGCTGCCGCTCCGCAAAGGGAACCCCAGCGGCCTCGAGATCCGCGTGCAGATCCGAGATCAGCGCGTCGCACTTCTCCTCGCCGCCGGCGTACCACAGCCCGAGGTGCTGGTCGAGCCAGCGGTCCCAGGACCCCCTCCTCCCCGTGAGGAAGGCGTCGTGGTCCGCCTGGATGGCGCCCTCGAGGTCCGCGACGGCGTACTCGCCCGCCGGCGCCGCGTCGTTCGACACGAATCGCGCGGAAAAGTGGGGCATGCTCGGCCAGGCGACCTCGACGACGGCGCAGGACGGCGCCGAGGGGAGGAGCGCAATGTCAGCAGCGGAGACCGTGCGGAGCGACTCGTAGAGCGGGCGGGCGGAGGACGCCGTCGGGTCCGCGGAGACGACGCCTAACCCGACGAGCGAGAGGCCCTGGGACCCTTTGAACGCCGTCGCGTCGTCGACGGCGGCGCCGCCCGCGTCCTCGAGCTCCGCGAGCGACGAGACGAGGGCGTGCGCCGCGGGGCACTCGGCCTCGGCCCAGGCCGGCGCGGTCCAGGACTCGCCGAGGGAAGACGCGGGTCCCACGAACTCGACCACGCGGCCGGCGACGGCCACGCCGACGTGGGCGACGCGCACGCCGTCCGGGTCCACGGAGACGCGCTCGAAGGTCGGCAGGTCTGCGAGCGGGCCGACGAAGGCCGATAAATTGGACGCGAAGAGCTGGATCTTCGAGTGCATCCAGACGTCGAAATCGGAGGTGTGCTGCTTTTCAAAGTAGCGTACCCAAAAGTCGACGCTCTTCGGCGACGTCGCGTTGGGGTAGTTGAGGTCGTTGAGGCGCGGCGCGTCGACGAAGTGCAGCCCGGCCGTCGACGAGCCCGTGTTCACGGCGCCGCGGCGATCCGCGTCCGCGACGTCGTCGTCGCTCGACGCGCCGTCCCAGGGCACGCGCACGGAGCACATGGCCCTGAGCGCGCCGCAGCCGAGGTCGCTCGCGCAGTCGCCGGCCTCGGAGCAGACGTAGGCGCTGAGGAACTTTTGGATCTGCCCTCCGGAGTTCGCGTGTATCGCGTGCGCGACCTTGCCGACGCGCCACTCGCTCGCGTTCGCGTAGGGCCGCCTGGCGTTGACGACGTCGAGGAAGGCGGCGAAGTCGACGGCGGACAGGCTCGGGGCGCCGCTCCAGAGGAACTCCGTCGGCGCGGCGCTGAGCAGCCCGACGGACAGGCAGAGGAGCAGGACGCTGCCGGCGACGGCGCGGGCCGCGCGGATCGCGAGGTCGTCGCCGCCGATGATCTGCTCGTAGCCCTCGAGCCGCGTCATTGCTAGGCGTGTGGGTGCTCACGATCGACGTTAGGGCTGCCTTTTCACGACTCGGCCATACTCGAGCTCAGCCAATTTTGGGGGTGATGTTGAAGAGCAACATCAAAATTGATCACGCCGTGATCAATTCTCTTGCCAATGGGGCTGCCCGTCGTCATGAGACGACTAGCCCTGCTCCTCGCAGCGCTGCCCGCCGCGGCGGAGCAAGTGACGATCGGCGGCGCCCTGCGCCGCATGAAGATCGCAGACCGTTTCGTCGGCGCCACGCTCGACTGGTGGCCGTCGTCCAAGCCCTCTCCCAACCCCGGCGCGACGCTGCCCTGGGTCAACGCGTCCATCCTGAACGTGGATCTCGCGAATCCGGCGCTCCGCGGAGCTGCAAAAGCGCTGGCGCCGTTCATCCTGCGGATCGGCGGCTCGCTCGCGGACCAGGTCGTCTACGGGGCGTCGTGCGAAGGCGAGGGCTTCGTCGCGAACGCGTCGGCCTACCGGAGCTTCGCGTACAGCGGCGGCTGCGTCGAGTATGCGCGCGTCCACGCGGCGCTCGACTTTTGCGCGGACGTCGGCTGCGACGTGGCCTTCGGGCTGAACTTCCTCGCGGGCCGGGCGCCGGCGCCGGGCACGCGCGAGCGGTGGCGCGGCGCCTGGGACGCGTCGAACGCGGCCGCGCTCCTCCGGGAGCTGCGCGGCCGCGGTGACGGTGGCCCTTACGCCTTCGAGCTCGGCAACGAGGTCGACGGAACAGCCGGGATAGCAGCGAAATTGAACGCGTCGGAGACGACGGCCGGGTTCCTCGAGCTCCGCCGCGCGGTCGACGCGCTCTGGGGCGACGGCGCGCGGCCTTTGATCTTCGGGCCCGACGCTTCCGGCTTCGACGACGACGTGTTCATGCCCGCGCTCCTCGCGGAGGACGCCCCTTTTGACGCGCTGACGTACCACATGTACTTCCTCGGGAGCGGCAGCTCGTCGGCCGTTCCTCGGGAAGTCGTCAACGCGACGTACCTGAACGAGCTGGCGCCGCGCGTCGCGGGCCACGAGGCCGTTGTGGCCGCGCGCGCGCCGCGGCTGCCGCTGATCCTCGGCGAGGGCGGCGGCGCGTGGGACTCGGGGCAGCACGGCGTCACGGACGCGTTCGCGTCCGGGTTCTGGTGGCTGGACTACCTCGGCACGCTCGCGGTCCACGGCCACGACGCCGTGTTCCGCCAGGCGCTCGTGGGGGGCAACTACGGGCTGCTCGCGGACGGCACGTTCGCGGCGCGGCCCGACCTCTTTTCCTCCGTGTTGTGGCGCCAGCTCTTCGGCGACGTCGTCCTCGACGCGTCGACGAGCGCCGGCGCCGGAGGGTCGGGCCGGCAGGGGGACCTGCGGACCTACGCGGCCTGCGCGCGGGCGGCGCCGCGGCTCCCGCTGCCGGGGGCGCTCGGCGGCGGCGCGGTCGCCGTCGCGGCGATCAACCTCGCCGCGAAACCCGTCGACGTGGCGCTGGGCGCGCCCGGCCCCCGCTGGGTCTGGCTCCTGACCGCCGCCGGCGCCGCGTCCGCGCCCGCGGCCCTCCTGAACGGCGCCCCGCTGCCCGAGGCGCTCACGCCCGAGACGCCGCCGTTGCCGCCGGCCGTCGCCGCGGCCGGCGCCGTCGAGCTCCCCGCGCGGTCCTACGCGTTCCTTCTCCTCCCGCACGCGGGCCACGCCGCCTGCGACTCGCTTTAACGGCTGGGATTTACCGCTGGTATTTAAATACGGTGCGCCTCGGGTTCGGGGGAAGGGCTTGGGCTTCGGTGTTCTGGGCGTTTACAGGAGGTCGTTGACGACGCGGACGGCGTCGCTGAGGTTCTGGACCTCCTCGGCGCGCTCGTCGGGGAGCTCGACGCCGAACTCCTCCTCGATCTTCATGACCTGCGGCGCGAGCGACGGTGAGATTCGGCGGTTCGGCGGCCGCCGCGCGGCGACGAAAGCGACAAAACGACGCCGGAATCCGCGCCATCTCGACGACGTCGAGGGAGTCGGCGCCGAGGTCGGACGCGAAGGACGCCTCGGCGGTGATGGAGGCCTGCTCGACGCCGAGCTGCTCGGCGACAATCTCCTTCAACTTAGCCTCGACGTCCGCGGACCTGCGAAACGGAATGCTCGGATGTGCGCGGCGGGCGGCGCTGTTCGACCCCGTCTCCCCCGGCGCGCGGGGCGCGCGGCGGTGCAGGGGCGGGGGCAACGGCCGGCGGCCGGTGGGTAAAACAAAGCCGGTGGCAGCCGCACGACTTCCCGGACGCCGATTTCGCGCATGCTCACGCGCACGGAGCGCACCGAGTTCACGGGCGCCATGAAGGCATTGGAAGCGACGAGCGCGAGGGCGACAACGATCTTCTTGAACATGTTGATGGTAGCGACGGCGAGGTAACTCTGAGGAGATCGGCGGCTGGCTGCGAGTACGTCGATGGCCAGCGGGGCTCTGAGAGCAAGTTGAAGAGGACGGAAAAAAGATGTCAGCCGGGCGCGCGGCCGCCCGACAGGCCTCCCGCCGCGGTCGCGCAAGAAACCACACGAAGAAACAACATCCCCCGAGTTACGCCGGCTGGTCGTAGGTGCTCTCCCCCGTCGCCTGGTTGTACCAGTACCAGTTGCCGGCCTCGTCCTGGTACTGGGCCCAGTCGCCGTTCGGGTCCGGCTCGGCGTACTGCTGCGCCTGGTCGTAGTAGGGCTCGACGGCCTGGCCGTACTCGTCGTACTGGACCATGGCCCCGCCGCCCTCGTCGTAACCGGCCTGCTGCTGGTCGTAGGGGTCCTCGTACTGGGACGCGCCCGTGGCCTGGTTGTACCAGTAGACGTTGCCCGAGTCGTCGTAGACCTGGGTCCACTCCTCGGCCTGGGCCCCGGGCTGGTCGTAGGTCGACTCGCCCGTCATGGGGTTGAACCAGTAGGGGTTGCCGTCGTCGTCGAAGTACTGCTGCCAGTCGTCCTGCGACGCCGCGGTCTGCGCGTCGTCCGGCCGCGCGGCCTCGGGCGCGGCCTCGTCGGCCGCCGCCGCCGCCTCCTCGGCGTCGCTCTCCTGCGCGGCCTCCTTCTTCTTCTCCGACGCGCGCTCCTCCTGGGCCGCCAGCGCCGCGAGCACGCCCCCGCGCGGCGCCGCGTCGTCCGCGGAAGCCTTCGCCGCGCCCTCCGTCAACCTCAGCGGCGGCTTCGCGCCCGGCTTGCCCAGGCGCCCGGCGTAGTGGAGCTCGTTGCTCAGCGATTCCAACGTCACGCAGGCGTCGTCGAAGCGCTCGTCCTGCACCGTGCGGATGTCGCCGTTCTCGAGCGCGAGCCGCTCGGCCAGAAAGCTCTGCAGGTCCGCCAGGGGCTGCGACGCCTGGGCCGACAGGAGCCCCAGGAGGTGCGCCGCCGCGGCCTCGGCGGCGTTGCGCGCCTTCTCCGCGTCGCCGAGCACGTTGTCCGGGTCCTCGCAGATGCGCCCGTTCGTCAAAACCAGGAGCCCGTCGCGCCGCAGGTAGCCCGACGGCGGCGGCTCCCACTCCTGGGTCCGCGCCTTGTCGTCGTAGTACATGAACGTCGCCTCGTCGTCGTTCCACTGCTCCACGCAGCGCCGCGCGTCCGCGATCATCGCCGCGACGCGGTCGTCTCTCAGCTTCCGCGCGCGGCTCCGCGCGAGCGTCCCCCGGATGCGCCGCGCGATGGCCGTCGCGCCGCCGTGCTCCGCGCGGCGCCGCGCCAGCACGACGGCGAGGCGCGCGCCGTGCTCGTTGCGCGCCGCGCGGCCCCGCGCCGCGGTCTGGATCGCCGTCGCGGCGCCGTCGTCGCGGCGCCGCTTGCGGTCGCGCGCGTCGTAGAGCGCGTCGACGCGCTCCCGGGCGACGACGGCGCGCGCCAGGGACTGGATCTTCGTCGACGAGAGGCGCTCGAGGCGCTCGCGCCGCTTCCGCCGCGCGAGCGCCATGGCCGCGGAGCACCGGATCTTCGTCTGGAGGAGCTGCGCGGCCTCGCGCTTCTTCTTCGCGCTGCGCAGGCGCGCGACGTGGGCGTAGGCCGCGTGGGCCCGCCAGCAGGCCTGGATGCATATGGCCGCGGACCGCTCCGCGCGCGTCCGCTCGCGGCGCGAGATCGCGAGGCGGCTGAGCCGCGCGCGCGCGCAGGCCTGGATCTTCGTCGCCGCCCGCGCGACGCGCCGCGCCTCCTTGAGGATCGCGCACCGCGCCCGCGCGAGGACGCCCCGCGCGCGCGTCTCCAGCCGCGTCGCCGCGGCCGCGCGGACGCGCCGGATCCTCGCCGCGCGGCGCCGCCGCATCTCCTGGCGCGCCGCGTGGCCCCGCGTGCCCCGCTGCATCGTGATCGCCGCGGCCTCGCGCGCCTCGGCGTTCTCCACGTGGCGCAGCTCGAAGACGAGCTCGAGCCACGCACCGAACTTGGCCTTGACCAAGCGACGAGTGGCCTCGACGATCTTCGTCCACATCGTCGCCGCGCCGTGCTTCCGGAGGTAGCGCGCCTCGGCGAGGTGGCGCCGGTGCGCGCGCACGCGCTCGAGCCAGGCGTTCCAGGCCGCGTGGAGCTTGGCCTGCTGCATGCGGGCCACCGTTTTCACCAACTTGTCGAAGCCGTTCGCCTGCATGTACAAGGCCGCGGAGTGGTACTTGCCCGACGCGAGGGGCGCCGTGCCGACGACGCCGATGGCCGCGCCGACGTCGACGGTCACGGCCGTCGACAGTAAGAACGCCTTGTGCGTGCTCTCCTTGAGCTCCCGCCGCAGCGACGCGACGGACCGCGGCTCGCGCGGCGCCGCGGGCCGGCTCCGCCGGCCCCGGTGCGCCGGGCCGTAGTAGGCCGACCGCTTCGGCGCGCGCAGGTTCGCCGCGCGGGGCCTCGGCTTCGGCGCCGTCCTCGGCCGCTTCTCCAGCGGCGGCAGCGCCGCGAGCTGGTCCTCGATGCGCTTCGCCAGCGGGTTCTCGCCGACGTCGGCCGCGGACTGGGACCGCCGGAGGCCGCCGCCGAAGACGGCCTCCTGCAGGTTCAGCTCCGCCGCGGCGGCGTCGTCGAGGCCCAGCTTCTTCTGGAGCCGCCGGAGCTCCAGCGCCTCCCCGCGCCGCCGCTCCTCGTCGGACGCCGTGCCGATGCCGGAGGCTTCCAGGCTGAACTCGATGTGGGCCGTCTTCGACACGCGGGGCATGACCACGACGGGCAGCGCCGACGTCGGCCGGTCGTCCCAGGACACCGGCAGCTCGCCGCACGCGAAGCCATCGTCCGCCGACGGCCGCCCGGGCCCGGACGTCACCGGCCGCTGGCGCAGGCGCGTCTTGTAGAGCTCGAACTTGGCGTGCGCCGGCTCCTCGGTCTGCGGCCGCTTCAGGCCCCAGAACGCCGCCTGGGGGTCCGGCTCCTCGACGAGCGTCGCCCCGAAGAGCATCTCAGCGTCGCAACATCGTCGTCCCGCGCTAGGGAGATACGGGAGACGGCACCTTTAAAGACGTTGAAGCGAGCTAGATTACGGGGAGGATGGGGGGCGGCCCTACTTGCCCGCGAGCTTTCGGTGCTGCCAGACGACGACGGCGACGAGCGTGACGAAGTAGCCCTCGATCTCGCAGCGCGTGATGTTCTCCGAGAAGAGGAGGAACGCGACGACGACGAGGCAGATCTCCTTGAAGAACGCGAAGACGGAGTAGGCGACGGCGCTGAGCTTGCCGATGAAGAGCATCATCGACAGGTTGAAGACGAAGGCGACGCCGCAGTCCAGCGCGAGGAGCCAGAGGGGCAGCTTGTCGAAGCACTGGAAGTCCGGCCGGCTCCACTCCGTCGCGGCCGCGAACGCGGCCATGGACAGCGTCGTCGCCGGCGCGATGTAGAGCAAGGTCGTCATCGGGTTGAAGCGCCCGGCGACGACGCCGCGCTTCTGGAGCATCTGGAGGCCCGTGTTGTAGAACGCGACGACCGTGTACGCGCCGATGAGCACGACGAGGCCCACGGTGACGAGGTTTTGGGAAGAACCGTCGGCGGAGAGCGACCCGTCGAACTTCGAGTAGGCCGTCACGGCGATGCCCGCGCAGATGAGCAAAAAGTTCACGGCCTTGTAGTGCGAGTACTCCTCGAGGCCCAGCGCCGTCGCCACGAGGAAGACGATCGCCGAGCCCATGGGCTTGATCATCTGCACGAAGCCCGGCGCGAGATAAATATAAGCCGCGTTCGACCCCCAGAGGTAGACCGTGAAGCACAGCGACAGCGGCAAAATGTACTTGCAGTAGGGCCCGGCGGACATGCCCTCGACGGGCTCGCTGAGCTTGAAGACGAAGACGCAGAGCGCGGCCATGACCGCGCCGAAGCCCTGCTGGATCGCCGTGAGCGTCGCCGCGTGGGGGCACATGTTGTCGAGGATCCAGGCGTTCGTGTAGATGATGGCCATGCTGCAGAGCACCATCCAGAAGCAGAGCACGCCCACGCGCATGACCTCGACGACCTTGTCCGCGTCGAGGACGATGCCCGCGACGACCATGCCGCCCGCGGGCGCCTTCGGGCCCGTCGCGCCGTAGCCCTGCTCCGCGCGGATCAGCGGCTCCTCCAGCGACTTGGCCTTGGGGCTCGCGCCCTCGGCGGCGACCTTCTTGCCGTGGGCCTTGACGCGCAGCTCGTAGCTGTAGCTCACGTAGATGAGCCCGACGAGGAGCAGGCAGAGCCAGGACGTGCCGGACCAGGGCGCCCACTCGACGCTGCCGAGCCCGAATTCGAGCGCCATGACTGCCGCGACGAGCGCGAGGGCCGCGACGCGCTAGGACGAGATGGCGCTGCCCAAACGCGATCGAGTGACTGCGACGAGCTACGACGAGGTGGGCTGCCCAAACTCGATCGAGTGCCTTTTTCCGGACATGACAGATGATGTCACGCTTCAACTACAGCACTAATCCGTGTGAGGCTCGTGTTTACGGAGCTCGCGAGCGCTCGAGCTACCGGGCCCTCTGGACGGCTCCCCGCTTCAAGAGGGCCCGGGCTCGATCCCCGCGCGGCCACAACTTTCGCTCGCCCGAGGAGGCCACCGCCCGCTCGGACGCCGCCGTCGGACGCGCGTCACGGCCGCGCGCGCCGACGATCCCCCTGGAAACGACGGAACTAAAACCCCCACGAATTACACGAGCAGCACGGCGTTGATGCAGCCGTCGAGCTCCGGGTTGTTCGTCACCTGCGCGTACTTGCCCCAGACGACGCGGCCCGTCGTCGTCACGAGGCCGAGCTCGGACACGTTGACCTCGATGACCGTGCCTTTCGTGATGACGCCGAGGGTCGTGTACATCTGGGAGCTCGGGTTCTTCTTGACGCCGATGATGTCGAGGCAGAACGTCGCCTTGAGCTCCGGGTGCGTGACGTGCGCCTTCTTCATGCTGAGGCCGCTCGGCCGGATGAAGCGCTCGTACTTGGGCGGCTTGCGCGTGAAGTTGGGGTCGACGAAGGTCACCTTGGTGACGACGCGCTTCCAGGACTTCTTCTTGCGCTTGCCCGACTGCTGCACGCGGAACATCTCGTCGTCGGCGACGGGCTTGACCTTGGGGATGGGCACGGACCACTTGCCCGCCTTCTCCGCGCGCTTCTGCTTGATGGAGTTGGAGAGGATCTTCGCGCGCGACGCGCCCTCGCGATCCAGGAGGAAGGCGGGCACGGCGCCGTCGTTCGCGCCGTCGTCGTTCCGCGCGCGCGCCTCCTTCTCCTCGTGCATCGCGATCGTCTTCCGCATCGTCGCCTTCTCCTTGAAGCGCTGCTTGTTGTAGAGCTTGGCGCGCAGGCCGTGGACCTTCTTGGCGAACTTCGCATTCTCGTGGACGGACCGCGCCTCCTTCTTGCGCCGCTTCTCGGGCGCGTCGAGGCGCTCGCCGTGGCGCTTCCGGTGCTGGTCGATGTGCTCGTGCTGGGGCATGGTTGTTTAGCTTTAGCCGCGCGGCCTCGGCGGTGGCCGACGCGCACGAACGCCGTACAACGGCGACTGTTTGCAGGCGAGGAGCGGCGTACCGACGACGCCGCGCAAACAAGCGGCCCACCTCGTGTATGTCGCCCGATTGCGCACCCCCGGCCAGCGATTTTGGCCCGCCGTGGCCCGGGGACCGCGTCCCCGGCGTGACGCTGTGCCGGGCCGCCGCATCGCGCACGCGCCCATGGCGCCCGCTCCCAAAAAATACAGTTACGCCCCCTCACGAGCTCCCGAAGTTCGCGTTCCAGTCGCGGTACTTGTCGGCGAAGAGCTTCGCCGACGGGTTCGTGCACCGGAGCGCGGCCTTGAAGTCCGCGTCCGTGATGCGGTGCTCGTCGAGGAGGTCGTCGACCCGGTCGTCGGGCACGGCCGCGCCGCCGTTTTTGCCCTCCATGTCCTCGAGCTGGACGACGAGGCGCCGCACGGGCCGCATGGCCGCCTCCTTGCAGAGGAGGTGGAGGTCGCTCCCCGAGTAGCCCGCCGTCGCGTCGTCGTCGGCGTACGCGTCGAGCGCGGCGTCCGGCGCGGCGCGGCCCTGGAGCCACTTGTGGAGCATGTTCCTCCGCGCCGCCGCGTCGGGCAGGGGCACGAGCACGCGCTTCTCGAGGCGCCGGAGCAGCGCCATGTCGAGCTCCCACGGCAGGTTCGACGCCGCGAGGACAAAAACCAACCCCTCCGTCTTGGCCAGCCCGTCCATCTGGATGAGCACCTCCGTCTTCATGCGCCGCGACCCCTCGTGCTCCGCGCCGCCGCCGCCGCCGCCGCGCTGCGACATGATGCTGTCGATCTCGTCGATGAAGATCGTGGACGGCGCGTGATGCCGCGCCAAATCGAAGAGCACGCGCACCAGCTTCTCCGAGTCGCCGCGGTACTTGGACACGATGGACGACGCGGAGATGTTGAAGAAGGTCGTGCCGCACTGCGCGGCGACGGCGCGCGCGAGCATCGTCTTCCCGGTGCCTGCGTGGAACTCAAATCTTCAACCCGACTTCAATGTGCGCGTAATTGAACGGAGTGCGCCGGACGCTTCGACCGTGCTTCGAGAACTCGATGAGAGCAATCGATTCGTCCAAAAATCAGCCAAATCGACTTCGATGTGACCGAGATAGAGAGGTTTGTTTTTTTCGACGCCGTTCCGGTACCCGGCGGTCCGAAGAGCAGCACGCCGCCCCAGGACGCCGTGATGCCCCGGAAGAGCTGGGGGTAGCGCGCGGGCATGACGACGGCCTCCCGCAGCAGGGCCTTGGGCCCGTCGAGGCCGACGACGTCGCCCCACTCGTCGCCCTTGCCGTCGCCGACGGCGGGCCGGTAGATCTCCCGCGAGATGTTGTTCGCCAGGGCCTGTAATTCCGCGTCGCCGGCGAAGGCCGGCGGCGGTTTTAAGAGGCGCTCCACGGGCTTGTCGTCGTGCGCGACTCTCTCGAAGCGCGAACGCACCGCGACCTTGGTGCCCGCGACGCCGTCGCCGAAGCCGGCGTCGTCGTGGTCGCCCGCGCCCTTGTCGCCGAGCCAGACGGGCTTCGACGGCTCGGCGCCGCCGGCGACGCCGAGGCGCGACTTGATCACGCCGAGCGCGACGGACTCGCCCGCCTCCCGGGGCTTCGCCTGGGCGAGAAACAAGTGGCTGCAACGTCGCTTCAGCGTGAGTGTTACGCGCAATCTTCCCGGAAAAAAAACATCCACGCTTCGAGACCGTTCTGAGAGATGATCGCTCGTCCAAAAATCAGCCAAAACGAGCGGAAAACGGCCGAGATAGAAGTTGGGGAATTTCGCGCTCTTTTCCCGCCCGGGGCTTCGCGGGCTGCGCGTTCGCGGACGCGGGCGCCGGGGCGCTCGCCGCCGTGGACCCGCCCTTGCGGCGCCGCGGCGGCGCGGGCAGGTCGTTCTCGTCGTTCGCGCGGCGCCGCGTGAGCCGCGGCGGTTTTCCCAGGCGCATGGCGTAGTACGCCTCGAATTCCCGGACGACGCTCCCGAGGTCGACGTTGTCCGCGAGCTCGAGGCGCTCGAGGCCCTTGCCCACCTCCTCGCGCAGCGCCTCCGACGTCTTCGTGTAGCCGTGCTCCCGCAGGTACTCGCGCGCCAGCACGAGGGCCTGCGCAACTGGCAGTCATGTTTCGAAGTGGGGATGGGTTCGACGTACCGCCTTGTGCCGGTCGCTGTCCTGCTTCTCGACGACGTCCTTGGCGTTGCTCGCGGCCTTGATGGCCATGAGCGTCGACGACATGGCGCTCCGAGCCGGGGCTGCCGGCGCCTGGCAGTTTGGAGCGTATTTGGAGCTGCAACTTTCGTTCAATTTGAAGAATTCAAGCTGCGGCATGGATCCTCCTAGTTTGGCGCCCACGGCGCTGTCGACGCACCTGGAAAACGCAGAGATGCCAGCGCCGGAGCCAGCGCCGAAGCGTGCCAAGCGCGCCGACGCGACGACGCCAGAGAAGGACGTCGTCGCGGACGGCTGTGATCTTGCAAACTCGGCGCCCGCGCCGCTGTCGACGAGCCTGGAAAACGCGGCGCCGACGCGCGACGACGACGATACGTTGCCGACGCGCGACGACGGCGTCGACGAGGCGCTGCCGACGCGCGACGACGACGATACGTTGCCGACGGTCGCTTCCGACGGCGTCGACGAGGCGCTGCCGACGCGCGGCGTCGACGCGGCGCCGCCGACGGCCGCTTCCGACGGCGTCGACGAGGCGCTGCTGCGCCGGACCATGGACCGCATGGGCCCGCCGCCGCCGTCGCCCGCGCCGCCGCCGCCGCCGGGAGCGACCGCCGACGCGGCGCGCGCCGCGGAGGCGCTGCGGCGCCGCGGCTACGTGGCGCTGGCGCGCGACGGCGCGACGGCGGCCCTCGCCGACGCGCTCCGCGCCGCCGTCGCGCGCGCAGAGGCCGCGTGCCCCACGAGCGCGCTGCAGAACTCGCGGCGCGCGTTGAACCTCGAGGCGTCGGACGCGGCGCTGCGCGCGGCCGTCGCGACCTACGTCGCGTCGAGCGGCGCCGGCGCGCTCGCGCGCGCCTACGTCGGCGGCGGCGCGCTCGAGGTGCAGGGCGTGCAGGACATCCGCGTCGTCGCGCGCTGCGGGCCGCAGGAGCTCCACCGCGACCACCAGATGGGCCCGCGCAAGGGCGCGGTGATCGCGCTCAGCCTCGACGGCGCGCCGCTGGGCACGGAGTTCGTCGCCGGCACGCACCTCGTCGAGGAGGGGGCCGCGCTGTCGCGCTACGTCGCGGACAACCGCTACGCGACGAAGCGCGCGCCCAAGGCCGCGGCCATGGAGCGCCACCTGCGGGCGGCGCGCCTCCTCGCGGCGGCGGATGCGAGCCTCATGGTCTACGACCCCTTCGTCTACCACCGCGGCGCCGCGGCCGCCGCCGCGAAGACGGGGGGGCGCGTCTTCGTCATGCTCGGCGCCGCGGACCTCGCCGCCGCGGACAAGCGGGCCATGCGCTCCACGAACGACATCAAGCGGCCCTGGAAGGTGCGCGTCTAGGGGGCCGGCGTAACAGCGGTGCAAGTAGCCGGCGCCACTGCCAGCGCGGCGCAGCGGCCGCGGCGTCGGACTCGGAGCGGCGGCGCGCGCGGCGCGCGGCGCACCATTTGTCCGACCAGTGGCAAGGCTTTGTGGTGGAGTCCGCCGGCCTCCGCCGCCGGCTCCGCGCCGCGTCGTCTCCACCGCCGCGTCGTCGCAGACCGCGACCGCCTCCGACCGCTGCGCGCTCGCATCGATCCTTCACTGATCGCGCGCCGCGCCGACGCCGGAAATCGCGCGCCGCGCCGACGCCGGAGACGATGCTGGGCCAGCCGGGCGGCGAGGCCTACGACGCGCCGAGCGAGGGCCCCAGCGCCCTGTCGCACCTCCTGCGCGTCGTCAACGTGGGCCTGTCCGTCATGATGGCGGCGACGGGCGCGTCGAGCCTCGCGTCGTCGGGCGCGGTCAACGGCAACCAGCTGTCGCAGGACGTCGTGTCGCTCTACCTGCTGCTGTTCAGCGCCATGTGGTTCACGTTCGAGGCGAGCCAGGTCTATCCCTGCGACGCCGTCGTCGCGCAGCTGAAGCGCAACTTCGGGTTCCTCTACAACGCCATCGGCAAGGCGCTCTTCGTCATCTTCTGCGGCTTCCTGAACTTCGGCGTCCAGGCGCACACGCTGGGCCTCGTGACGGGCATCCTGTGCTGCTGCGAGGGCGTCGTCCTCATCGTGCTCTACCTGAAGTACCCGCACCTCTTCCCGAAATAAGGCGCTTACTCGGCGGCGTCGCCGGTTTGGCCCGCGGCCTCGTAGGGCGCCTTCTGGCCCGTGGCCTGCTTCCACCAGAGCGCGAGCGGGTTGCCGAGCTCCGCCTCGAGCTCGAGGATGCGCGCGTCCTTGGCGTCGAGGAGCGCCTGCATCTCCGACACCTTCTCCGTGTAGCGGTTCGTGTAGAACTCGCGGAGCTCCTCGAGCTGGGACTCCTGGGCCGCCTTGAGCTCCTTGATGGCCGCGTCCTTCTCGCGGCGGAGCTCCTCGCGGAGCGTGTCGAGCTTGACCTTGAGGGACGTGTCGAACTCCTTGCGCATGGCCTCCTGCGTCTGCTCGAACTGAAGGTCCGCCTGGAAGAAGCGGTCCTCGAGCTCCTCGAGCTTGGCTTTGAGCTGCTCGCTCTCCTCGCGGACGTCGTCGCGGTCCCGCTGCAGCCCGGCGACGGTGGCCGTCTCCTGCGTCTTCGTCGCGAGCGCGCCGACGGCGACGGCGAGCGCGAGGCCCGCCGTGGCCTCGCCCGTGCCGACGGCGGCGGCGGTCTCCGCGGCCGTGATGAGCGCCGCGCCGGCGGCCGCCGCGGCGTCGGCGACGGCCGCGGACGCGCCCGCGCCGGCCGCCGCGCCGGCCTCCGCGGCGCTCGCCGCGGCGGCGTTGAGCGCGGCCGTCGCCTCCGCGGCGGACGCCGCCGCGTCGCCGGCGGCCGCCGAGAGCTGCGACCCGGACGCGTCGAGCGCCGACGAGAGCTGCGAGCCGGCGTCGGCGGCGGCGGAGGAGAGCTGCGACGACGCCTCCGCGGCGCTCGTGGACAGCCGCGCCGCGGCCTCGGCGCCGCCCTTGGACAGCTGCGCCGCGGCCTCGGCGCCGCCCTTGGACAGCTGCGCCGCGGCCTCGGCGCCGCCGGAGAGCGGCGGCGGCGGCGGCGGCGGCGGCAGCGCGCGCAGCGCTCCGAGCCGCGCCGGCGTTGGCAGCAAGGGCTGGAACGCCGACGCTGCGGCGGCGACGACGACGAGTCGGACGAGTCCCATTGCTGGAGTGGTCCTTACGGTATTCGTATGCCGACGGTGGCTTGGAGGCACCCCAATAAGCGAATCCGCCCGACGGCGCCCGCCGCCAGAGGCCTTGAGTTTCGAGAATCGATCCTTCGGGATTGCCGTCGAGGAGGCCAGCGCTGCCGCAATGGTGCTGCCGAACCCGAGGAAGCCAGCAAGAGCCCGGAGAGGAGACGAGGCTGTCGCACGGCTGAAGCGCTCCCGCGGCGCCGTCCGCGGAAGGCGCGACCATGCTCGCGTCCTGGCTCACGGGCACGGCGGCGACCGGCCGGTCCTACGACCTCGTCGCCGCGGCCCCCTTCGCGTTGGGGCTGCTCGTCATGTCGCTCTCCGGCGCCATCTACACCTGGGCCGTCCTCTCGTCGTCCCTCGGGGCGTCCCTGGGCCTCTCGACCACGGTCATCGCCCGCTGCGGCACGTGCCTGAACGTGGGCACGTTCCTGTCCTTCTTGCCGGGGCTCGCGGCCGACGCGTGGGGGCCCAAGCCCGTGCTCCTCGGTGGCGCGCTCGCCGCGGGCGGCGGCTGGGGCGCGCTGTCGCTCCTCGCGACCTACGCGGCGGCGCGCGGCGGCAGTGCCGTCGCCGCCTGCGCCGGCGTCGCGCTCTTCTGCGTCGGCTTCGGGAGCTCGTGCATGATCACGGCGAGCCTCGTCTGCAACACGAACAACCACGGCGCCGCGGACCGCGGGCCCGCCGTCGCGGCGCTGCTCGCCTGCTTCTCCCTGTCGAGCGGCTTCTTCGGCGCCTGGCTCGCCGTCGTCTTCGCCTACGACGACGCGGCGTCGCTGCGCTTCCTGGCCTTCGCGACGCTCGTCGGCGGCACCGCGGGCGCGCTCGGCACCGCGGCCCTGGACCGGGCGGCGAAGGCGCCGCCGCGGCCGCACGCGGCGGCCTACGCGCGCGCCGGCGTCGTCGTCTTCGCCGCGATCACGGCGGCGGGCGCGCTGGGCGCGTTCTCGGAGGCCGCGGACTGGGCGCTCGTCAGGGCAGGACAAGGGTGATTCAAGATCGCTTCAACACGAGTGTTCCGCGCGCGATCGTTCCGGGGAAAGCATCCACGCGTCGAGAGCGCTCCGAGAGATGATCGCTCGTCCAAAAATCAGCCGAAACGAGTGGAAAACGGCCGAGATAGGAGCCTTTGAAGTTGGGAATTTCGCTCTCTTGTCCTGCCCAGGCGCTCGTCGCGGCCTCCGCCGTCGGCTTCCTCGCGGCGGTGTCGCTGGCGCTCCGCGTCCTCGGCGCGGCGCCCGACGTCGCCTACGGCGCCGCCGCGCCCGCGGACGCCGAGGACGCGGAGGCCGAGGCGCTCATCGCGGGCGACGACGACGGCCTGCCCGCGCCGCCGAAGCGGAAGCGGCCGCGCTCGCTCCGCCTGTCCGAGGCCGCGGCGACGAAGGAGTACTGGCTGCTGGGCGCGGCCTTTGCGATCGTCGCCGGCTCGGGCCTCGCGCTCCTGGACGAGGCCTCGGCGATCGTCGACAGCGTCGAGGCCGACGACGACCCGGCGGCGACGACGCGCCTCGTCGCGCTCTTCGCGGCGGCGACGACGCTGTCGAAGCTCGCCGTCGGGGCCGCGGCGCGGGCCGTCGAGGCCGCGCGGAAGCGGGGGTCGCCGACGACGTGCGCCTTCGTCCTCGCCGTCGACGCCGCGTTCATGGCGCTCGCCGTCGCGGGGCTCGCGGGCGCCGTGCGCCTCGGCTCGTCCGCGGGCGCGACGGCGGCGGCGGCCTTCGTCGGCGCGGGCTTCGGCGCGTCCTGGGTGCTCGCGCCGCTCGCGACGCGCGACGTCTTCGGGCCGGAGCACTACGGCGCGATCCACGGGTCCTACTCGCTCCTGATCGCCGCCGCGAGCTCCGCGCTCTACGCCCTGCTCGCCGCCGACGACGTCGCGGCCCACGCGACGGACGGCGGCAAGTGCTTCGACTCCTACGCGTGCCTCGCGGCGACCTTCGACGTCGTGATCGTGCTCAACGTCGGCGCGGCGCTCTGCGCCGCGCTCCTCGAGAGCCACCTCCGCGCGCGGCCGTCGAAGAATCCGCCGACGGTTGTGACTAAATAAGAGACAGGACCGCGCGCGCGCGCCGCAGGAGGCCCACGGACCGCCGCCGGCCGTCCGGTCGCCGCCGCCGCCGCGGCTCGTCTCTCCCGTCGGCGCGGGCCCGCTTCTTCGACGCCAGCCGCCGCGCCTGGGCCGCGTCGACGCCCGCGACGACGTCCTCGAGGTCGAGGTCCTCGGCGTCGCCGTCCTCGTAGACGACGCGGTACCACGGCCGCGTGTCGCGGTCGTCCGGGTCCGGGGGAAGCAGCGCGACGACGCGGCCGACGTAGTCGGCGTCGTCGAAGGTCTTCAGGACGCACTCGCCGACGAGGCGGTCGACGCGCGGCGTCGTCGGCGGCGACGGTTTCGATGGCCTGGGCGCGGCTCCGCGACTCGGAGGCGATGGCCGCGAGGGCGGTTTCGATGTCCTGGGCGCGGCTCCGCGACTTGCAGGCGATGGCCGCGAGGGCGGTTTCGATGGCCTGGGCGCGGCTCCGCGACTCGGAGGCGATGGCCGCGAGGGTGCCGTGCTGTTCTTGGGAGTTGCCGAGGCTTCCTTCGATTTCGGCTGCGCGCGCTCCGCGAGCGGCCGTCGCCGGCGCCTGTTGATTGCCATTTGGTCTCTACGGGTGCTGCGCCGCGCGGAAGGTCCGGAAGGGCTGCCACCTCTAAGAGCAAACCGGCAGTCGTTGAACGGGCGTATAAAGGCAACAATGCAACATTGCCGATGAGTCAGTTTGTCGAGGCTCGCGGCAGCGCGACCTTCCACCACAAGCCGCTTCGCCGTCTACGCGAATCCGCAGCCACTTCCACACCACAAGCCTCGCTACGATCCGCAGCGACCATGCCCGCCAAGAAGGTCCTCCTCGTCTCCACGTCGGCCTCGTCCATGGGCGGGAACCCCACGGGCCTCTGGCTCGCGGAGCTGGCCGAGCCCTACTACATCCTCAAGGAGGCGGGCCTCGAGGTCACGCTCGCGTCCATCGCCGGCGGCGCCGTGCCCATCGACGCGGGCAGCTGCAAGGGCGATTTCTTCACCGTCGAGGCGAAGCGCTTCATGCACGACGCCGACGCCATCGGCGCGCTCGGCCACACGGCGAAGCTCGTCGCGTCGATGGCGGACGACTTCGACTGCCTCTACCTCGCCGGCGGCCACGGCTGCTGCGTCGACTTCGTCGGCGAGCCCGGCGCGGAGCTCAAGGCCTGCGTCGAGAAGATGTACGCGGCGGGCAAGGTCGTCGCGGCGGACTGCCACGGGCCCATGGGCCTCATCGAGCCGACGAAGCCGGACGGCACGCCGCTCGTCGCCGGCCTCGAGGTCTGCGCGTTCACGAACACGGAGGAGGCCCAGGCCGGCGCGACGGACTGGGTCAAGGCCAACTCCGTCTTCATGGAGGACGAGTTCAAGGCCAAGGGCGGCGCGTTCAAGGAGGCGGACCCCTGGACGTCCAACGTCTGCGTCGCGGGCAACCTCATCACGGCCCAGAACCCCCAGAGCGCGACGGCCTGCGCCCAGGCCGTCGTCGCGGCCATGAACTTCTAGGCGCGCGCGCTAACGGGCGCCCTCGAGGGCCGCCGCGACGCGCAGCGCCGTCGCGTCGCCGAGGGGCCGCGCGACGACCTGGACGCCGACGGGCAGCCCCGCGCGCGACGCCCCAAAGGGCAGCGACAGCGCCGGCGCGCCGGCGAGGGACGCGAAGCACGTGAGCTGGTCGTGGGCCCAGCCGTCGGGCAGGTCGCCCTCGACGGCCGCGAGCAGCGAGCCCGCCGGCGGCCGCGGCGCGCGCGACGGCGCGCCGCGCGCCGCGCCGGCGGCCGGCGCCGCCGTCGGCGCCACGGGCAGCACGAGCGCGTCGTAGTCGCGGAACACGGACGCGAGGTCGCGCCGCACGGCGTCGCGCACGGCCTCGGCGCGCCCGTAGAGGCCGTCGGCGTGGCGGTCGCCCAGGAAGTGCGCGCCGAGCCGCAGGCGCCGGAGCACCTCGGCGCCGAAGGGCGCGGACGCGTGGTCGACGCGCCGCCAGGCCTCGGCCGTGCGCGGCCGGTCCACGTGGGCGTAGCGCGACAGGTTCCCGAAGGCCTCGGACGCCGACAGCACGTAGTAGGCCGCGCAGGCGTCGCGCAGCCAGGGCAGAGACACGACGTCGGCGCCGAGGGCCGCGGCCGCGGCCGCGGCCGCCGCGGCCGCGTCCGCGTCCGCGAGGTCCGACGCCTCGGCGACGGCCGCGACGCGAAAGTTCGACGGCGCCGCCAGCAGGCCCGCGTAGTCCTCGACGGGCGCGTCGACGCAGGTCGCGTCGAGGCCGTCGGCGCCCGCGATGACGCGCAGCACCGCCGCGGCGTCGCCGACGGACGTCGCCTGCGTGGAAACATTTCTCTAGCTCGGCCAAATCGAAGTCGATTCGGCTGATTCTTGGACGGATCGATTGCTCTCGTCACGTTCTCGAAGCACGGCGGACGTGCGTGTGTCAAAACATTCGAATATGCTCACATTGAAGTCGGGTTGAAGATTAGATTTCCGCACCGGACGTCGCGAGGACGCCGACGCAGTCCGTCGAGGAGCAGTAGGCCAGGAGCCCGTGGCGCGACACGCGGCCGTAGCTGGGCTTGAGCCCGACGACGCCGCACCAGCTCGCCGGCAGGCGCACGCTGCCGCCCGTGTCGCTGCCGAGCGCGAAGGGCACGGAACCCGCGGCGACGGCCGCGGCGCTCCCGCTGCTCGACCCGCCGGGCGACGCCGCGGCGTCGCGGGGGTTCAACGTCGCGCCGTGGGCCGAGGCCTCGCCCGTGCTGCCCATGCCGAACTCGTCGCAGTTCGTCGATCCCACGAGCACGGCGCCCGCGTCCGCGAGCCTCGCCACGGCCGTCGCGTCGGCGCGCGCGACCCAGCCGCCGACGGCCGCGCTCCCCGCCGTCGGCGTCTCGCCGGCGACGCAGAGGTTGGCCTTCGCGGCGAAGGGCACGCCGAAGAGCGGCGCGTCTTTGCGCGCGCCCGCATCCAGCCGCCGGCTCGTCGCCGCCGCGCGCGCCTCGTCGACGCGCACGAAGTCGTTCCAGGGGCTCGCGCGCGCCGCGGCGACGGCGGCCGCCGCGAGCGACGTCGCCGTCGCGTCGCCGCGCAGGATCGACGCGCGCAGCGACGCGATCATATGCGCTGGCAAGCGTCCATCATGCCTCAGGGTGCAACTTGGAGGCATCATCCGTTCAACCAAGCTCCAAAACGTGGTAAAAAACGACGCGCGGCGCTCAGCAGTCCATGATGGGCTCCGACGCCGTCGACGCGGACGACGTGGACTTTGGCCGCGGCGCGGGCTCGGATTTGGCCGCGGCGCGCGCGGGCTCGATGGCCTCGAGCTTCGCGAACTCGGCGCCGAGCTTGGCCGGGTCGAAGGACGCGGTCTTGGGCCGCCGCTTCGGCGCCTTGGCGCGGGCCATGGTCGCGTGCGTGAGCTCGCCCGGCGGCGCCGGCGGCCCCTCGGACTTGGCGCGCGCGAACGGCGGCGGCGCGCCCGGGCCCGCCATGCCGGGGATGCCGCGCGGCGGCGCCATGCCCGGCATGCCCATCATGGGCACGCCGCCGCCCATGGCCGCGAGGCGCGCCTTGATGCCGCCGGACTGGCGCGGCGTCTTCGCCTCGGCACCGGGCGCGGCGTCCGGCGCGGCGGCCTCGGACGCCTTGCGCTGCATGGCGGCCATGCGCTCGGCGACGGACGTGGACGGCGCGCGCTTCGCGGGCGGCGCCTCGTCCGCGGGCGGCTCTCGGAAGGACGCCTTCTTCTGCAGCGCGGCCATGCGGTCGGCGACGGACGCCTTCGGCGCGGGGGCCCTGGGCGACGGCGCGGGCGGCGGCGCGGCCTTCTCCGACGCGCGCCGCTGCATGGCGGCCATGCGCTCGGCGACGGACGTCTTCGGCGGCGACGCCTTGGGCGGCGCGGGCGGCGCGACGGACTTGTGCGACGACGCGCGGTTCAGCGCGGCCATGCGCTCCTTGACGGACCCGGGCGACGACGCGGCGGGCGGCGGCTCCGGCGCGGGCGGCGCGGCCTTCTTCTGCAGCGCGGCCATGCGCTCGGCGACGGAGGGCTTCCTGGGCTCGGGCGCGGCGGCCGCCGGCGGCGCGGCGGCCGGCGCCTTCGCCGGCGGCGCGGCCGGCGCCTTCGCCGGCGGCGGCGCCTCCTTCTTCTCCGACGCGCGCCGCTGCATGGCCGCCATGCGGTCGGCGACGGACGAGCCGCCGCCCTTGGGCGTGGGCGCCTTCGGCGGCGCGGCCTTGGCCGCCTTGGCCGCCTCCTCCTTCGCCTTCGCAGCGGCGATCATCTCCTTGACACCCATGCCGGCGGGCAGCCTTTTTGACGTGTGACGTGTGCCTCGAGGCTCGCCCGACGCTTCGTCGGCGCTCTGCGGGCAGCGGCGGGCTCCAACAGCCCGGTTGGCTGGGAGCACCGGCGAGAATTTTTTGCCACTGCGAAGCTTGAAGTTTTGTTGATGGGATGTTGCCCTTCGCTAAAGGCCCCGAGATCGGCAAAATTGCAATTGGGGTCGAACATGTACAGCAGTTATAGCGCCTCTAGAAGAGCACGGGCTTTTTGCTTTTTACGAGCCTAGAAGGGCACGTCGTCCTTCTTCGGCGCGGCGCCGCCGTCCGCGGGCGGGTCCGCGGTGAAGGAGCTGAACGGCGCGTCCAAGGGGCTCGCGCTCGCGCCGCCCGACGACGCGACGGGCGGGCTCGCGTAGCCGTCGCCGCCGCCGGCCGCGAGGTTCTGGAGCCGCCACGCCTGCAGGTTCACGTAGTGGCGGCCCTGCCACTCGTTGCCGCGGATGTTGAAGGACACGCAGACCCTGTCGTCGACGGCGTAGGAATCGAGCAGGCCGATCTTGTCCTTGAAGAGATCCTGCGGCGGGGGGAAAGCGCTCGCGGCGGCGGCCCTGGTTTCGCCGCCGCGGCGAAAGCCGCGGCGAAAGACGCGCGCGGCCGGACGCGGGCGCGGTGCGAACTTGACCTCCTGCGGGTACATCTCCTCCGTCGTGACGACGAACTCGATCTTGGCGAAGCCGCTCTCGAAGGTCTGCACCTCGCCGATCTTGCTGATGGTGCCCTCCATGTCGTAGGATCCGCTCGACGACATGGCGCGCGCGCTCGGCGGCCGCACCGCCGGCGCGCGCGCGACGAAGGAGCGCGCGGACCGAGCGGCGAGCAGCAAGGCCATGGTGAGCGTTTGCATTCGTCGCGGTGGCGGCGGTCGGCACTCGAGGCGGCAGTCGAGCTCGCCGCAGCTTGGGCGCGAAGCAGAAGGCCGGTGCTGAAGTGGGTTGCCGTGCTTCATTTGCCCAGATACGTCCGATACCACAGCCTTTGCGTTATTGAGGGCGCTCCGGGAGCCCGGCCGACGCGCTAGACTCGGCGCGGGCGTCGCCCCGGCGCGACCATGGCCAAGGGCAAGGGCAAGAAGGGCAAGGGCAAGGGCAAGGGCCCCGTGGGCCCCGAGGTCGTGACGACGCGGACGATCATCCGCGAGCGCGAGCGCTGCATGTGCCCGCGCCTCGGCGACGCCGCCGTGCGCAGCGAGCGCGCCGACGCCATCCGCCTCGAGTGCGTCTTCTTCAAGATCCGGCGCGCCGTCGTCCAGGGCAAGGAGACGCTGGACCTGAGCCGGAGCAACCTGGGCTTCGTGCCCGAGGAGCTGCGGACCGTGCCCGAGCTGCGGAAGCTCACGGAGCTCGACCTGAGCCGGAACCAGCTCTTCGGCAGCGACCACGTCTTCTCCATGATCGAGGAGCTCAACGTGCTCCGGAAGCTCAACCTGAGCGACAACTTCTTCAACGGGCCCCTGTCGGAGAGATGTACGAAGATGGTCGCGCTCGAGGACCTGGCGCTGGACGGGAACCAGCTCACGGAGCTCCCGGAGAACGTCGGCGACTGGAAGCTCATGAAGCGCTTCTCCGCGGCGAAGAACGAGCTCAAGGCGCTGCCCGAGAGCAGCGCGGCGTGGACGGGGCTCACGTACCTCAACCTCCGGAACAACAAGCTCGCGGCGCTGCCCGGCCCGGCCATGCGCCACTGGACGGAGTGCGAGACGCTCTACCTGGGCACGAACGAGATCGCCGTGCTCCCCGACGAGGTGTCGTTCCTCACGAAGCTCCGCGAGCTCGACGTCCGCACGAACCACCTGAGCCACGTGCCCCCGGCGCTGTCGGCCTGCCGCGAGCTCAAGAAGCTCCACCTCGGCAACAACCGCATCGCCGACGTGCCCGCCGAGGTGCTGGCCCACCTCACGGAGGTCGAGGAGCTCCACCTCTACAAGAACAAGCTCGACGCGCTCCCGGAGCAGATCGGCTCGCTGACCAAGTGCACGCGGCTCACGCTGTCGTCGAACAACTTGCGGACGCTGCCGGACGCCATCGCGTCCTGCCAGTCCCTGAGCGAGCTCTACATCAACAACTGCGGCAAGTTCGCGAACCTCCCGAGCAGCAGCGGCGACCTCGTGAACCTGCAGGAGCTCCAGGCGAAGAAGTGCCCGGGCCTCAAGTCGCTGCCGAACACGGCCGTCGCCTGGGCGAACCTCCGCGAGCTCGACCTCCGCGCGGCGAAGAAGCAGGTCTGCAAGCTCCCGCCGGAGCTCATCGCCACGCTCGACGCGCAGCACTGCAAAATCCGCGGCGGCGTCCAGAAGAAGGGGGGCAAGAAGGGGAAGAAAAAGTAGGGCGGCGCCCGCGTAACCGAGCTCCGATCGTCCCCTAGCCCGGCCGCGGCGGGGCCAGCGGGGGCGGCCGCGCGGGGTTCGACAGCGCGACGGACGAGAGCGGCACCGCGCGCGCGGTCGCCGCCGGCGGCGGCGGCTTCTTCGAATTCCCGCCGCAGGGCCGCCAGAAGCGGTGGCAGCCGCGCATGATGTTCTCGCCGTCGAGCAGGTTCGGCTCGTCCGGGTGCGTGCCCACGGTGCAGTTGGCGGCCTCGGGCGCCGGGCACGGCGGCGGCCCGCGCTCCCGCGCGTCGCTCAGCGCCACGGCGTCGGCGTAGAGCCGCGAGTCCCAGCCGTTGAGCGCCGCGATGGCGCGGCGCTCCCCGGCGGTCAGGGGCGTCTCCCGGACGCGGAGCTTGCCCTCGTTGACCTTCTGCTCCGGCAGCGTCGGCGGGCAGCCCGTCGGGGGCAGCACGCGGCGCAGGAGCGCCTCGGCGCTGGCGCGGCCCGCGGGCGTCTGGAGCTTCTCGAGGATGAGGACGACGTCGAAGGACTCGAGGGCGGCCCGGGCCGCGAGGTAGTGGCGCTCCTCCGCGGGCCGCGCGGCGACGCCGGAGAAGATCTGCACGTAGTAGTTGGCCACCTCCTCCCAGATGCGCACGCGCGGCGGCCAGGCGCCGCGCTTCGTCATTGCGTCTTTCGAGCTCCAGGCGCGGCGCGCGCTCGCGTCGCCGACCTCCTTCATCCAGGCCTCCAAGGACCGCGCCGTCGTGTTGAGCCGCCGGTGGTCGTTCTGCTTCCACTTGCCGCTGAAGAAGTAGGCGCTGATGACGCGGTCCACGGGCTCGCGGAGGCACGTGATGAAGATGGCGTGGGGCTCCGCCGCGAGGGAGTAGGTGTTGAAGGCGAGCTGCTCCTGCACGACGACGCGCGTCGTCCCGGCCTTGGGCGTTCGTCTGCCGCGACCGCTGGCCCGCGCGCTCGCAGCGGTAGTTGACGAGGTAGCTCCGCAGGAGCGTGCCGCCGGCCTTGCGCAGGTGCTGCATGAAGACGGCGCCGGCGGCGCCGCCCGCCGCCGCGCCCTGGCGGGCGCAGTGGGCCGCGCAGCCCCGCTCCGCCGCCGTGCGCCCGAAGAAGGGCGGCTCCAGCGTCGGGCCGCGCTTCTTCCCGCTCGCGCGCAGCGTCTCGTGCGTGACGACGTCGAGCGCCGACGCGAGCGCGAGGCAGCCGAGCCACCGATGCTGGCTGCCCATGGTCGACGACGGCGAAAAAGGTTTGCCCTGCCCATTTGGGTGCACCCCTCCTCGCGGCACGATGTGGGGGAAAATTATTGCGTGGCCGTCGGCTGCCCTCCTGCGCGGCGCGGTCCTCGCGGCCCTCCTGGGGTCCGGCGCCGCCTGGGACTGCGGCGTGAACCAGACGGCGGGCGAGGACTTTGGCGTCGGCGGGCCCGACAGCGAGTACGCCGACGGCACGCAGCTCTGCTGGGTGCTGCGGGGCGCGGCGCACGTCACGCTCGTCTTCGGCTTCTTCCACACGGAGCACAACCACGACACGGTGACGGTCTACGACGGCGTCGACGACAAGCACGGCGAGACGTTCTCCGGCGAGCTGCCGAGCCCGATGGTCGTCCGCTCGGAGCACGCCGTCGTCATGGTCGCGTTCAGCAGCGACGCGGGCTACCACACGAAGGCGACGACGAAGCAGAAGGGCTTCCTCGCGTCCTACTTCGACTCGAGCGACGGGTCCTGCTACAACGACTGCAGCGGCAACGGCCACTGCGACGAGGGCCTCTGCGTCTGCGACGCGCCGTACGCGCCCGACTTCTACGGCGACTGCTCCATGGTCGTGGCGCCCCTCGTCGACGGGACGACGCTCGTCATCGACGGGCTGGCCGTGGGCGAGTGGGCCTACTTCCGCGTGGACCTGCCGAAGCGGAGCCACGTGCTCGTGGAGCTGGTCGACCGCCGCGCGGACGTCGACCGCCGGTTCGGGACGTCCCGACCGAACTTCAGAACTCTCGCGCTCCGTCACGTCGATGTCGATTCGGCTGATGTTTGGACGAAGCGATGGCGCTCGTCGAGTTCGCGAAGCGCGGCGGAAGGGCTCGTTCGATGACGCGCACGTTGAAGTCGGGCGGAAGACGCGACGCCCGCGCAGGTCGACTGGGGCGCGGCGTCCGCGGACCCGCGGCTCGTGCTCTCGACGGACACGCTGCCGACGCTGAGCCACTACCGCTACAGCGACTGGTTCAACTGGTACTACGACTGCTCCGACATCCACTACATCCACGGCGACTCGTCGAACGGCGGGACGAGCTACGTCGGCGTGACGAACGACCAGATGCGCGCGGACGCGGACGGCCTGCTCCACGCGAACATCACCGTGCGCGTGTCGGACCTCGGGACCATGCGCTGCCTGCTGGACTGCAACGGCCACGGCACCTGCGACCTCGCGAGCGGCGACTGCGCCTGCGACGACGGCTGGGAGGGGTCCGTCGTCAACGCGCCGGACACGTGCCAGTCTGCGCGGAAATCACATCTTCAACCCGACTTAAATGTGCTCTTATTCGACGTGTTTGACACGAGTTCTTCGTCTGTGCTTCGAGAACTCGACGCGAGCAATCGATTCGTCCAAAAATCACCCGAATCGACGTCGATTTGGCCGAGCTAGAGAGGTTTGAAGTTTTCGCTGGACAGGGCGTTCCACTGGTTGATTTCCACACAGGTGCCAGTTCGAGGTCAAGGACCTGCCGCTGGACGAGACCGTCGCGTCGGAGGTGCGCATCGGCAACTGGGACTACTACACCTTCGAGGTGTCGGCGTCGCAGGCCGAGCGGGACCACCTCAGCGTCGAGTTCGTCTCGTCCGCGCCGAGGAGCTACCCCGTGGTCCTCGCGCGGCGGAGCAGCCCGCCGCGGCTCATGGAGGGCTTCGTGCCGAACTTGGACGCTTTCGTCTTCGACGCCGCGGACCCGACGGGCTTCGAGCTCGTCCAGGGCCAGCGCCAGTCGCTGCTGCTGAACTCTTCCGTCCTCGAGGCGGGGACGTGGTACGTCGGCGTCTACAACATCTGGGGCCACAACGGCGCCGACGGCATGAACAGCCAGGACACGGCGCGCTACACGCTCAAGGCGAACCTCTACGACGCGGGCACGCCCTGCCCGGCGACGCGGAACGGCTTCTGCGACGGCTTCGCGTGCGACTTCAACACGGGCCGGTGCGACTGCCCGCCCGACCGCCTCTGGCGCGACTGCTCCTTCCCCGCGACGGCGCTGCCCCGCGACGGGTCCGTCGTCGCGCCGGCGGCGCCCCTCGAGGTGTCCTACGACGCCTACTTCCTCGTGGAGATCTCCGAGGACGACGTCGCGTCCGGGCTGAATTTGCTCCTGAGCCTCGACATGGTCGACGAGGCCGAGGCGCAGCGCGCGACGATGCGCGCGGCCTTCGGGGACCTGCCCTTCGCGGGCAACGTCGGCGAGTTCAGCGACCACGACCTGCTGTCGAACTTCTACGGCGACGCGCACCACGGGGCAGGAAAAGAGTGCGAAATTCCCAACTTCAAAGGCTCCTCTCTCGGCCGTTTTCCACTCGTTTCGGCTGATTTTTGGACGAGCGATCATCTCTCGGAGCGGTCTCGAAGCGTGGATGCTTTTGTCGGAACGCGCGCGCGTGGAACACTCACGTTGAAGCGACGTTGAATCACCCTTTTCCTGCCCAGGCGCACCACGAGATCCTGCTCGACGCCGAGGAGCTCGCGGCCGCGGGGCCGGGCGTCTGGTACCTGAGCGTGGCCAACGGCATCGAGAACAGCAAACCCTTCAGCTACACGGTCAAGGCGGCCTTCGCCGCGGCGCTGGACTGCCCCAGGGCCCACGGCTCGGGCCTCGAGTGCTCGGACGCGGGCGCGTGCGAGCGGTCGCTCGGCCGCTGCGACTGCGACCCGGGCAACGTCCTCGACGACTGCTCGGCCGACGGCGTCTTCGACCTCGCGAAAACGGGCGGCGACGCGTCCGCGGAGCTGGGGAACGCGCCGCCCATCGCCGTCGACGACTGGGCCTACTGGTCCGTGAACGTCGGCTGCGGCGACCGCCTCCTCAAGGTCGCCTTCGCGTCGCCCGAGTCCCAGTCGAAGCCGCTGCTCGTCGTCCGCCGGGGCCGCCTGCCGTTGATGGTCGAGGACACCTACGAGTACTTCGACTACTACAGCGGCCACGAGAGCAAGCAGCGCGTCTTCGTGACGTCGTGCGAGGACGGGTCCTACGGCTGCGAGGCGTCGGCCTGCTGCATCAACCCGGCCTACCCGGGCACGGCCTTCTCCACGGGCTCGCCGAAGCCGGGCGTCTACTACGTCGGCGTCTACAACGACAAGTCCGCGACGGGGCCCGTCGCGGGCTACTCGCTCACGGCCGAGGTCGCGCGCGCGCCGGGCGCGGCCGCGACCTGCGAGACCTGCGCCGACGGCTTCGTCGGCGAGGCCTGCGACGTGGCCTGCCCGGGCATGAGCCCCGCGGATGTGTATTCCAACTCGCCCGTCGACGGGGGCGCGTTCTGCGGCGGCCGCGGCGCGTGCGCCGCGGCCGCGGCGGCCAACGCCACGGTCGCCGCCTGCGCCTGCGACGAGGGCTTCGTCGGCGACGAGTGCGAGGTCGCCTGCCCCGTCGACGGCGCCGGCGCGCCCTGCGGCGGGCGGGGCGCGTGCGGTTCGGACGGGTCGTGCGACTGCGAGCCGGGCTTCGGCGGCGCCGCGTGCGACCTGGCCTGCCCGGGCGAGCCGCCCTGCGGCGGGCGGGGGGCCTGCGCCTACGACGACGCGGCGCGGGCGGCGACCTGCGTCTGCGACGGCGGCTTCGTCGGGTCGGAGTGCGCGTTCGCGTGCCCGTCGTCGCGCGGCGCGGCGTGCGGCGGCCGCGGCGACTGCGTCGTGCTCCACAGCTACGAGGGCGCGGCGCTGCGCGCGTCCTGCGTCTGCGACGCCAAGGCCCACGGCCCGTCCTGTGGCCTCGTCTGCCCCGCCGCGACGAACGACGAGCTCGCGGCTGTGTGGAAATCAACCAGTGGAACGCCCCGTCCAGCAAAAACTTCGAACCTCTCTATCTCGGTCAAATCGAAGTCGTTTCGGCTGATTTTTGGACGAATCGATTGCTCTCGTCGAGTTCTCGAAGCACAGCCGAAGAGCTCGCGTCGAAACTGTCGCATATGCGCACATTGAAGTCTGGTTGAAGATTTGGTTTCCACACAGGCTCGCGGCCGAACTCGACTGCGCGGGCCGCGGCGAGTGCGTCGTCGCGGAGGACGAGTCGGCCATCTCCTGCGCCTGCGACGACGGCTGGGCCGGCCCGGCCTGCAACACGGCGGTCAACGCGACCGCGTCCAAGGGGGCGGCCCCCGCGACGGCGGCGACGTCGGCGTTCGCCGCGGCGCTCGCGGTCCTCGCGGGGCTCCTGCTCCTCGCGGCCGTCGGCGCCTTCGCCCTCGCGGAGAAGCGCAAGCGCGAGGTCACGCGCTACGAGCGCCTCGTCCGCGAGGTCGGGAGCTCCGCGTCGACGATCATCACGGCCTCCGCGCGCGACGACGACGACGACGAGGAGCGCGCGCGCGGCTCCTCCTACGCCGCGCCCGAGGACCTCGCCCTCCCGACCTTCTCCGAGATGAAGGACATCTCCACGAACATCAGCCCCTTCCACGACGAGCCCCTCGAGCTCTAATCGATTTGTTTTCGCGCATCGCTGCTACTACGCCCGGCCGGCGGGCGCGGGGGAGGATCCGCCGGCTTCAGGTGTAGGAAGCTCGCGGCGGCATCCATGGTCCGGACGACGCGGGGTCGGGGCGACTTGGGGGCGTGGCCGTCACCTCTCATCGCTTCGAGGCGCGGCTCTTCGCGCCCCTTCAGGCCTCGACCTGGACCTCCGTGTCGAGCTGCGGCGTTTCGTCCGGCGTCGCGGCGGCGACGCGGCGCTTGCGGACGAGGTAGAGGACCGCGGCGAGGAGGAGGACGGCCGCGATGACGACGGGGATGATGATGGAGAGAGAGCCGGTGCGCGAGCTCTTACCCGAGCTGCCCGGGCAGATGTCGCAGGTCTTCGCGCACTCCTCGAGGGCGTAATGATGAAGGTAGTTGGTCGGGTCGCAGCGGGTGTGAAAGTAGCCCCCCGGCGCGTAGAGATCGCAGTAGGTCGCCGTGCATCCGGCCGGATCACCGGGACCGGTGTAGGTGCCCCCCGGCTTGCACGCGTCGTCGCAGCCGCTGGCCGGCGCGGCCATGGGGGCCGCGCTCCAAGTCGAGAAGCCGTCGCAGAGGTTGTCGATCGGGCAGGCCGTGCACACGCCGTTCAGCATGTAGCGGCGTTCGCGGTCAGCATCGCACTTGCACTCTTCGCAACCAGAGCATCTCTCGGGGTATATAGCACACTGACCGAACCAACCCATTCCATGATCATCGTGGCTTGTAGCGCACCAGTCGTGGTCGCAAGTACCCTCGGCAGAATTGATGCTAGTCGCCGTCGAGCCGTCGCAGACGTTGTCGATCGGGCAGGCCGTGCACACGCCGTTCAGAATGTAGTTCTTTTTGAAAAGAGCACTTGCACTTTTGTTCGTTAAGCTCCCATTGATCAGACAGAGATTGAATGCTCCCCCCCATCTCTCGTCCTTCGTAAAGAAATTCATTCCAATCCCCTCCTTCGGAGATTCCATCCACACAACGGGCGGTAAGGCGTCGCTCGCCGCCTTGCTCGATCGGGAACGCGTCCTTCGCGGCGGACGCGTCTTCGAAGATCTTGGGATCGTACTTGGCGGCGGAGGCGAGTCCCCCGATGCCGAGGAAGGCCTTGGAGGGCTTGAAGGCGGACGCAGAGGAGGCGAGGACCAGAGCGACGATAGTCTTCATCATGTTGGCCTGCGAGCGGGGGGATCAAGCGACGTCCGACGCTCCCCGGCCGCGCCGCGGCGCTCGCCGCGGCGCTCGGAGGCGCGTAAGCGGAGGCCACGACGGCGACCACATGGTCGGACGCGGGCGGCGCGCGGAGTTGAGCGCGAGCGTCTACTGAATGTGTGAGTCGCGAGTGACGCCGTGGGTCGACGTGTCGCCAATCTGTGTCGCCCAAGAGCTTGATTCCCTTCAGCTGTAAACCTAGAGACTTTGACCCTTTGAGCCTCCCGTCCCCCGCGGTTCCTCCCGGGCCCCCTACGTTTAGAGACGCGTCAACCTAAACCTAGACACGACAAACTGGGAGCTACGTCTTGAGTCGCACCCGGAATACTCGTGCCTCCCCGTGGCTCTCCCGATGCCCCTCCTCGCCGCTCTCTCTCCTTCCCTTCGATTCCTCCCTGTGCCGCGCCGGAACAGCGAATCGATGAGAGAGAGAGCGCGTGCGCCTGCGCCTCGCGCGCGCCGATTTGCGCGTCTTCAACCGCAAGCTCTCGGCGGCCGAGATCGACCTCATCTACTCGCCCGTCGCGACGAAGCTGCGCTCCGAGCCGCCGGCCGCCGTCTGATCGACGAAACTTGAAATCGTCGAAAGGCGCTATCTCGAACGGACCAACCGAGGAGATCTTCGCGCGAGCCGCGCTACACCCCGCTTTTCAGAGCCGTCCCCTTCCGTCTAGGCGCCTCTGCGAGCGCTGACTCGTTTGCCAAAATCACTACCCATCGAACTGGCGCAGGTGCTGGAAAAACGCGGCGTACTTCTGCTCGTAGAGGAACACGTGGCGCGGCCTCGCCGGCGCGCACTTGACGACGCGGTGCCGGCAGGCGGGGATGCCCGTACGGTGCTCGAAGGCCCTGCCCCCGAAGACGACGACCTCCTCGCCGGGCGCGCACGCGGCCTCGACGCCGAGCCATCGCCGCAGTTTCGCGTCGAAGACCTCGAGGCCCGGCGCGCGGCTCACGGGCTCGCAGACGACGAGCGACACGTCCGCGTGCTCGCCGACGAGCGTCGACGCGTCGCCGCCGTTGCCGCCGCCGTCGTCGACCCCGTAGAGGAAGGAGTAGGCCAGCGAGAAGTCGTCGTCGCCGTCGCGCGGCCGCGACCGCGCGCCGACGGCCGCGTCGAGCACGGCGTCGGCCAGCGTCGCGAGGCGCCCCACGAGGTCGACCCAGGCCGCGCGCGCGCCGCGATTCGGCCAGGGCTGCGCCGCCGGCGCGGACGCCTGCGCGCGGAAGCACTCGCGGACGCGCTCCTGCCGCTCGTAGCCGCGGCTGAACATGGGCTGGCCGCGCTCCGAGAGGTAGACCGTGCCGACGCACCGCTTCTTGCGCGCGGCGTCGCGCGCGTAGAAGTCGAGGAAGGCGCGCTCCTGCGCGGCGATGGCGCGCAGGAAGGCGTCGTCGAGGTCGGTCACGACGACGTAGCCGCGCTCGCGCAGCAGCTCGAGCGTGCGCGGCGCCGCGACCTCGGCCAGCGGCACGCGCGGGACGTCGCTCTGCTGTGGTCGTCGTTCGATGACGGCGAAGCGCTGCGTCGGGCGCACGCAGAGCCCGGGCTCCATTGCATCGATCGCTAATTGCCTTTGTCAACTACCCAGTTTTAACCAACGTTAGAGCTCCTGCGGCGCGTCGAATGCAGCGAACCAGCGGCATCGTCCCTTATGGCGGGGTTGTGCTTGTTCGCGGCGCCGGGGCCACGAGCTCCGCGCGGCGCGGCGGCCGCGGTCGCGCGGCGGCGGCGGCGAGTCACTCAGCGGTTCCGAGTCGCAGCACGCCCCAGCAGCCGAAAAGCGCCACGAGCTCACCCCCCAGCCCTCGCCGCCGTGTTGATAAGCCGGAACCCCGCCGCTGCGATGTCGTTTCGAGGGGTCTTTTGAAGTTCGGATCGTCGACCCCCGGCGCACGCGCCGTCGCGGTCGACCTCGCGAGGTCGCGCTCTCATCTGGCCGCCGCCAAGAGCCTCGTCCGTTCCCTAGGGGCCTACGCGCGCGAACGCCGAGCGCAGCGGCGCGCATGGAAGAGAGCGCGAGCTCGAGCGACGCCGCGTCCGCGGCGCCGAGCGCAGCGGCGCGCATGGAAGAGAGCGCGAGCTCGAGCGACGCCGCGTCCGCGGCGCCGAGCGCAGCGGCGCGCATGGAAGAGAGCGCGAGCTCGAGCGACGCCGCGTCCGCGGCGCCGGACGCTGCGCCGGACGCGCCCATGGAGGACGCCGCGCCCGCGGCGCCGGCCGCCGCGGAGCCCGAGCCGGAGTGGAAGACGTCGGGCCCCTTCGTGGGCCAGTGGATCACGCGGTCCGTGCTCAACGAGGCGTCCAAGGTCGCGTCGTTCTCCGTGGGCAAGGTCGTGGGCTACCTGAGCGCGGCCGAGTCCGACTACGTCGACGAGAAGGGCGCGGCGGCCGCGCTCTGGCACGTGGCCTACGTGTCCGGCGAGCTCGTCGACGACAGCGAGGACCTCGAGGAGTGGGAGCTCCTCGAGAGCGCGCCGCGGCCGACGCGGCCCGACGGCACGATCGCGCAGGTCACGGACGAGGGCCTCAAAAAGGGCGTCGCGGACGCGCCCGCGCCCGCGGCCGCCGCGGAGGAGTCGGAGTACGAGAAGCACCGGCGCGAGCGCATCGAGGCGAACCAGGCGTTCCTCCAGTCCCTGGGCTTCACGGGCGGCGACGTGGGCCTGCCGAAGGAAGAGAAGAAGAAGCGCGGCCCCCGGAAGAAGGCGGAACCCTCCGCGCCGACGCGGCGGTCCGCGCGCTCCACGCACGAGGCGGGCCAGTACAACGAGAACCGCGCCTACAAGGAGGCCATGGCCGAGAAGGCCGCCGACGACGCCGCGGAGAAGGCGCGGCGCCTCCAGCGGCGCCTCGACAAGCGGCAGAAGAAGAAGCGGTCCGTCGACGAGCTCGAAAAGCAGCGGAAGCGCGTCGACCTGCTGGCGCGCACGGCCGCGGCGGCGGAGAAGGAGCTCCTCAAGCACGCCGCCGCCGACGCCAAGGCCGCGCGCGCCCTGCCGCGGCCCTGCTGGCTCGACGCGCGCGGGCCCGTGGACCCGTCGACGGCCGAGGGCATCGACCGCGACTGGTGCCGCGCGGTGGCCTCGCGGAACCGGTGGTGCCCCCAGGTCGGCGACGTCGTCGTCTACTTCGCCGACGGCCACGCCGAGGCCCTCGAGGCGCGGCGGGGCCGCGCGGACTTTGGCGACGTCGAGGAGCTCTGGTTCGAGAAGCGGCGGCCGTCGTGGTTCCTCGAGCCCGGCGCGCCGCGCGCGCTCGAGTGCGTCGTCGCCGCCGTGCTGCCCTGCTTCCCCGACGAGTGGGTCGCGCGGAAGCGCACGAAGCTCCTCGAGGCCGTGGAGAACGTGGCGAAGCGCAAGGAGGCCAAGTGGTTCAAGAAGCCCGTCGACCACGTCGCGCTCGGTCTGACGGACTACCCCAAGGTCGTCAAGAAGCCCATGGACCTGGGCACCGTGAGCGACCTCGTGCTCCAGGGCGCCTACGACAACGACGGCTGCGGCGGCGACCGGTCCTTCGACGACGACCTGCGGCTGCCGTTCTCCAACGCGATCCTCTACAACGAGGCCGACAGCGACGTCGCGGTCTGCGCGGCGGCGCTGCTCAAGGTCTTGGACGGGGACGCGTCGAGCGACGACGTCGCCGACGAACCGAAGAAGGCCGAGCCCGCGCGGGCGTCGTCGCGGCTCGCGGCGCTCCAGGACGGCGGCGGCGGCGACGACGCGGCGCCGGCCGCCGAGGACCGCAAGGACCTCAAGGTCGAGGTCGTGCTGCGCCTCGTGCCGCTCTACATGGCGGCGGACGCGCGCGCGGCGGGGCCCGACTTCGCCGGCGGCGGCGAGGCCTGCCGCGCGGCGCTCGGCGCGATCGACTGGCACGTTTGGCACTCGGGCTTCGTCGTCGACCCCTTCAACGTGAGCCTGTCGGGCCACGAGGACGAGGACGCCTTCGTCATGCCCCGGGACGTCGTCTTCCGCAGCCTGCTGGACTTCCAGGCCTGCCCGCTCGGGGAGACGGTCGTCGAGGTGTTGGACGACGACGGCGACGGGCGGAAGATGGTGCTGCGCGACGTCCGCCGCGCGGACGCGCACTCCAAGCCCTACCTGCCGGAGTGGAAGGCCGCGCGCCTCCTGCCCCTGGGCGCGCCGGACGCGGCGCCGGACGCGGCGCCGGACGCGGCGCCGAAGAAGAAGAAGCGCAAGCGCCTGCTCGGGCGGCCGCGGCCGCGGCCGACGACGACGGCGGGCCGCGCGGCCGTCCGGGAGGACCCGCGCCTCGAGCGCCGCAACCTCTGGGACCTCGTCGTTTTGGACGAGGCCGTCGAGGCCGAGGCCGAGGCGCCGCCGCCGCCGCCGCCGCCGCCGCGCCGCGCGTCGCGCCGCGGCAAGAAGCAGGACGAGGAGGCGCCGCCCGCGCCGCCGCCCGCGGCCGCGGGCCCCGCGCGGCCCGCGCCGCTGCCGCTGCTCATCCTCGGCGCCGACGCCGCCGAGCCCGACGCCCTCGGCGAGGACGAGGCCGACGCCATGGCCGAGGCGCTGTCGGCCATCAAGACCACGGAGAGCGGCGCGATGTTCTGGCTGCCGCACGGCGTCGACGCGGACGACGACAGCAGCGACGACGACGACGGGCCCCGGCGCGGCAAGCGGCGCCGGCCCGGCGACGAGCCGCCGCCGGCGGGCGACGCGGCCTACTTCGGCAAGGTCGCGTCGCGCGCGTGCCTCCGCGACGTCCGCCGGTGCCTCGAGCGGGGCCTCTACCGGCGCCGCGACGCGGCCTTCGACGACGTCGTCCGCGTCTACGTCGAGGCGGCCATGGCGTCCAAGTCCGGCGCCTGCCCCCGCGCGTCCGCGGCCAAGCTCTGCGTGCAGCTGTCGCTCGAGATCATGTCGGACGCGGGCGACGCGGCCGCGCGGACCGCGACGTGGGCGCCCAAGACCGCCGAGGTCGCGCGGCGCCAGGCCGCGGCGAAGCACTCGCCCTGGCAGTCCTTCGTGCGCGCGACGGCCCACGTGAAGACGAACACGGGCGTGCCCATCCGCGAGAACGTCAAGCTCGCCATCGGCGCGGCGCTGACCCACGCCAAGTCGCCGGCGCTCGGCGCGTGCGTCGCCGCGGAGCTCCACCTGGCCCTCGCGCTCTACGTCGGCAACGCCGCGGGGCCCTGCAAGGAGACGGCCGCGCGCGTGCTCGACGTCCACGGCACGTGGCACCTCGGCGCGGACGTCGCGCACAAGTCCGACGCCGTCAAGTTCACGACCGTGGGCGGCCGCATCGAGGCCGTCGTCGAGGACACGTCCGACGACGCCGCGCGCCGGGCCAGCGTCGGCAAGCGCTTCAAGCGCTTCCTCGGCGACGGCTTCGCCATCGGCACGGTGCTCGCCTACGACCCGAACACGAAGAAGTTCGCCGCGTCCTACGGCGACGGCCGCGCGGACGAGCAGCTCAGCGTCGCCGACGTCCACGGCGGCCTCATCGCCCAGCTCCCGCCGCTGCCCCCCAAGAAGGGCAAGCCGCCGACCCAGCCCATCGCAGTCACGCTCAAGGTCGCGGGCACGAAGCTCTGGTGCCTCAAGGACGCCAAGGACCTCGCCAAGGTCCTCAGCGCGTTCAACGGGTAAGAGGAGCGAGCCCCCGAGCGTCGTAGATTGGTAGGCGCGGGCCGGACAGCTTCTAGAAGTGCGTCTGACGGCGTGAATGCCTTCACCTTGAAGTCAAATTGCGCTCGGGAATATTCTCCCCCGCCGGGGTAAAGTCGATCGAATGTCCTCCGTGCTTCATGATCGACATTGTGCAGCGTTTTGGCGGCGCGCTGCGATGGGATGGCCGTCTTTGAGGGCCCGCCGCTCCGCGAATTTGCAGAATTGTGCAACGATCCCAGCAGCTGCGAGGGCCGCAAGGACGAGGGTGAGGCACATGCGAAGACGCGACGCTCATACGACCGCGTGGCGACTGGAACGGGGAGGTAGAGTGGGTGGGAAGGGACGCGCTGCCCCCTCGCGACCTCTCTAAGATAGTTTTCGAGCCATCGCAGCAGCGGAGATCGTTCGTCATCGACCCCGTCGCGTCCAAGGCGGCGAGTTCGTCGGGGGAGCCCGAAATCGTCGAGTCCACCGGGCCGAGCTCCGGCGGCGTTTCGTCCCGACGGTGGCCGTGGGGTGTCTGGGGCTGCCCCTGCCTCAGGACATGGTCTCGATCCGTTCCATACCATGATAGGGTCGGGTCCAGACCATGTCCTGAGGTGAGGCCCCACCCCAGGCGCCCCGGGCTGCCCCTCGGGACCTCGAGCCGACCGACGTCGGGTTCGACGGCTTCCGCATGGTCGCTGCCTCAGGACATTGGCTGGATCCGCGTCATGGTGGGTCGACGCCCGAACGAAGGCGTGTCCTGAGGTAGCGAGACACCTTCCCCAGTGCCGATCCCGGCGCATAACGCTTAAGCGCCATCGAACGACTGCACCGTGCCGCTTCAACAGGGGACAAACTCAGAGTAAATACCCCGGCGGGTCCGAAGAGGCTGCCCCACGATCTGTTCGCGACGCGCGGCACCGTGTACTCGTACTGGAGCAGCTCGTAGTCGGCGCAGCCGGGGTCGGACTGCGATGGACAGACACTCTGCATCAACGCTGGCCCTCGCCGTCGGCGCCGCGGCGGGCGTGTACAATGTCGTCCGGCTCCTGAGAAGGCAGGGCGCCGAGATCGACGCGCTCGCGCGGCGCCTGCACGCCGTCGAGACGCAGCTGGAAAAACAGACGGCCCCGCTGCCGCCGTCGCCGGGCCCCGCGACGCCGCGGGTCCTCGAGGCGGTGCCCGTGCCCCCCTCCGAGGCCGCCTCGGAGCCGGGGTCGCTCGAGGCGCCGAGCGAGCACCTCTACATGGACCCGTCGCTCCTGCGGCCGCGGCGGAGCCGCGCCGGTAGCGAGGCGAGCTCGCAGGCGGGGGGCTTTGCGACGGACGCCGAGGGCGACGTCGGCGTCGTCGTCCCCGGGACGCCCGCGCCCTCGGACCGCTGGGCGATGATCTCGCGGCGGCTCGAGATGGTCGAGCGGTCCGTCATGCAGGCCCGCGTCTCCGACTCCGGCGGCAACAAGAGGTGGAAGGCGGACAAGAAGGCGCACGCGCGGAGAAAGGGCCGGGGCAATGCCGAGGAGTCCCTCGAGCCGACGCACGCCGCGGGCGTCGTCGCCGAGCGCATGGACGGCGCGCTGCCCCGCATCGACGAGGGCGACGTCCACGAGATGCAGAAGGAGATCTCCAAGCGCTGGCAATCGCCCCCGCGTCCGCGCGGCGGCGGCGCGCCGCGACCCGCGAACCGCAGGCGCGGCGTCGTCGCGCGGCGGAAGAAGGGCGGCCGGCGGAAGAAGGAGTTCCGGCCCGGCGCGGTCGCCCCCGACGCGTCGGAGCGCTAGCGCGTAAAAATTTAGGGCGGCAGGTGGAGCGCGCCTTCGAGGTCCGCGAAGACCGCGGCCATGCTCTCCTTGTGGTTCATGACGTCGTTGTGCGTCGCGCCGGCGATCGTCGCGCGGCGGAACCCGGCCGCGGACTGCGCGGCCCACTTGTCCACCGTCTTCGGCGGCCAGATAAAATCGACGTCGGAGCCGATGGCCGTGATCGCGCACGGCAGCGGCGGCGCGCCGCTCGACAGGGGCATGTCGCCCTCCGCGCCCTGCTGGCCCCAGAACAGCGGCGGGTCCGGCTCCGCTTCCCCCGCGTGGCAGCCGAGCACCATGCCCATGCGGAAGAGCCGCCCCGCCCGCGGCCGCAGCGCCTTCGGGAACGCGTCCGTGTCGAACCGGAGCGTGTCGCGCATCCAGCGGAGCACGAACTCGTCGTCCGCCGCTCGCGAGCGCCGCGAAGTCCCTCGCGCCGCAGGCGCAGCAGTGCGGCGCGCCGCGGCCCGCGGCGAAGAAGCGCAGCGGCGGGCTCGCGCCGCGCGCCGCGAGCACGAGGCAGACCTCGTAGAGCAGCATGGCGCCGAGACTGAAGCCGTAGAACGCGTAGGGCTCGTCGACGAACGGCGCGACGTCGTCGGCGATGTCCTCCGCGATGGACCGGCGGCGCGCCCGGAACGCGTCGACGACGCCCGCGGCCGTCGCGTCCGCGTCGCTCGCGCTGCAGGCGGGCAGGGCCTCCTTGATGCGCTGGCCGTGGCCCGGCAGCTCGAGGAGCCGCACCTCGAGCCAGGGCGGCGAGTTCCAGACCCAGTCGACGAGATTGTGGGAATTGTCCGCGACGCCGTAGAGCGCGAAGAGCCGGCAGCGCGCGCCGGGCTTGCGGATGGCGCGGCTCCGCTTCGACGCCGACCGCTCGCCCGGCAGCAGGAGCGACTCGTCCTGGCGCAGCGGCGGCGTCTCGCGCGCCGGCGGGTTCGCCGGCGCGTCGCACGCGGTCACGGTCTTGGCGGAGAGCCAGCCCTCGCGCGGCGCGACGACGTGGATGCGCAGCTTGCCGTCCTCGAGCGTCGTCTCCTTGTCGCTCGCGACGACGACGCCGGCGTCCAAAATCGCGACGCGGGCGCTCTGCAGCGACATGGTGCGCCGCACCTGGGCGCCGGCGCGGCCGTTGACGACGTAGTAGCGCGTCTCGTGCGTCGTCGTCGCCGCCGCCGCCGCCTCGTCGTTGGACGCGTCGCGGTGCGCCGCGGAAACGGCGTAGATGCGGTCCATTGTTGTGGACAGAGCCCTCAAAGTCCACCACCCATTGCTGCTGAATAAATACTGATAAATCGATTGTTGTTGCACTGCAACAAACCAAAGTGCCCCCCGCATTATGGCCCCCAATCCGGATCTCATGGCCCTCGTGCCCGTCGATGCGCCGCGCCGGCTCAAAAAATGGAGCGACGGCGCGTCGTTCGTCGTCAGCGCGAAGCGCGGCACCAAGGTGCGCGCCGGCGAGTCGCTGGAGAGCGCCCTGGTGTGCGTGCTGCCCCCGGGCTGCCGCGTCACGGCCGTGCCCTTCCACGACACGGCGCGCGCGCGCCTCGCCGTCGCCGATCCCGTCGCCGGCTGGGTCTCCCGAAAGACGGTGGCCGAGGCCGCGGGCCCCGCCCGGGGGAGCGACGACGCGGAGGCGCGCGCGGCGCTGCTCCGGGTCATGGCGCGGGTGCGGCGCGACGTCGTCGGCGAGGGCGCGGACGGCTGCCCGCTGGACCAGTGCTTCACGTCGTCGCTGGCCCTCGTCGAGGCGCTCCAGAAGCGCGCGGACATCGCCGCCGTCCTTGGCGAGGCGACGATGATCTCCGGGTCCTACGACGCCGTCGGCCGCGCCAAGGGCCGGCCGTCGTGGTGGCCGGACGACTACGTCGACTGGATGCCCCACAGCTTCGTCGAGTTTGGCGACGGCACTATAGTCGACGTGTCCGCGGACCAGTTCGACGTCGACCTGCCGCGGCTCCTGCACCTCGCGCCGTCGGAGATCGGCGGGCCGGACCGCGGCCGCTACGCGTTCTCCAAGGCCGAGAGCCACGCGGCGCGGCGCCGGCGCTTCATGTTCCGCCAGCCCGCGGGAACACTCTCCTCCGACGCGTGGCTCGCCATGGTCAAGGTCGAGCCGTCCCACTCCGACGTCGCGATGAAGGCCTGGGGGGAGATGCGCATGCGCGGCGTCTTCCGGCGACGCGGGTCGTAACTCTAGATACACACTTATTCACCGCGCGAACTCGGCGGGTCGTAACTCTATACACACACTTATTCACCGCGCGAACTCGTCGGACGCCTCGCACCACGCGAGGGGCCGCCGCTCGCCGAAGCCGAGGGGCGCCGCGGCCGGCGCCGCGGCCGGCGCGAGCTCCGGCGCGTCCTCCACCTTGCAGCTCTCGGGCCCGCACATCTCGTGGGCGAGGTAGGTGTCCCAGAAGTAGGAGACGAAGTTGGCCACGGCGACGCGGTACTCGAGGGGCACGAGCGTCTGCTGCACGGCTTGCACGGGCGACCAGACGTAGACGCTCTTGACCCAGGTCGGCCGGAGCATGCGCCGCGCCTTGCCCACGGCGTCGCGCCGCGACTCGCCGGCGCTCAGGGCCGCGAGCACGAACATGGACGAGATCATGAAGGGGCCCTGGATGCACTGGTCCATGAGCACCTTGGCGGCGACGCTCGCCGCGCCCGCGCCGGGCACGGCCCAGTCCATGACCTGGAACCAGGCCGCGAGGAGCGGGCCCACCCAGAGGGCGCCGATGGCGCCGAAGCGGCAGGCGCGGCCGAGGCGCGCGGCCGCGGGCTCGCGCGAGCCCTCGAACGCCTGCGCCGTGAGGTCCGAGAGGACGTAGGTGACGCCCGTGCCGGCGGCCTTCGTCGCGAAGGGGTGCGCGACCAGGGCGCCGTTGTACAAGGCGAGGACGGCCCCGAGCTTCGGGACCAGGGCGCTCAGGAGCGCGACGCCGACGACGCCCGCGGACGCGGTGAGGGCCAACGTCGCCCAGCGGTCGGAGATGAGGGGCTCGTAGGCGACGGCCGCGGCGGACGTGCGCGTGCGCAGGCGGCTCACGGCGGTGTACGACAGCGGCGCCAGGATCTGCAGGCTCATGCGCGGCTGCTTCGCGAGCGCCCGCTTGTAGTAGCGACTCGGAACCTCGTTCCTGCTCGGGCGCACGAGCTCGCGCCGCGTGGACGTCATTTGCGCGAAGGCCATGCAAGGCTCGAGGATGCACATGCAGAGGAGGATGCTCGTGGAGCGCGTCATACCGGTCTTCTTCGCTGCGAACAGTGAGAGCACGCTTCGCCGGCTCAGGTCCAGAGCGCACTGACCTGGCGTGACGAGGTACGAACGAGGACAAATCTGTGTCTTTCACGTTGCCGGGCACGTGCACATCAACACCGACCTGGGAATACTAACGCGACCGCTCTCGATCGTGCAAGCATGGAGGCCGTCCTCGCGTCCCTGCGGGCCCACCTGGACCCCGAGGCGGCGGCGGCCATCGAGAAGCTCAACGCGTCGCTGAACGCGCGCCTCGACCTGCTGACGCATGCGGTGCAGGGTCCCTCGCCCTGGCTCGACGTCGGCCGCGCCCTCGTCGCCGAGGTCGGCGGCCCGTCGGCGCTGCGGCGCACGATGCTGCCGCCCCCGGGCGACGCGGAGGAGGCGGCCGCGGCGACGCGGCTCTGCGCCGCCGAGCGCGGGCGCACGGACCGTGAGAGAGTGAAGAAGCTCAGGGAGAAACGAGCGGAATCGCCGGAGCCCGAGCCCGAACCCGAACCGCGCCCCGGGCCCGAACCCGAGCCCCGCGACAAGGCCCAGACGCCGCCGGCGAGCCGCCCGGCGTCGCGCGACAGCTCCGCCAAGGCGTCGAGCCGCCCGGCCTCGCGCGATTCGAAGTCGTCGAGCCGGCCGCCGTCGCGCGATCGGCCGCCGAAGGCGCCGCCGCGCGGGCGGCGCGCGACGAAGCAGGCCGCGCCGCGGTCGTCGTCGCGGTCCGCGTCGTCGCGGTTGTCGTCGGCGACGAAGAAGAAGACGCGCGCGCCGGCGCCGAGGAAGAAACCGCCGCCGCAGGCCAGGGCGCCGCCGCCGTCGAAGAAGAAGCGGCGCAAGCCGCCGCCCATGCCGTCGAACGACGCCCAGAGCGTGTCCACGGCCCACTCCGGCACCGTCGGCGGCGCGACGACGTCCGTCGGCGGCCGCGAGGACGCGAGCCTGCCGTCGCTCGCGTCTCCCGCGGCGAAGAAGGTCCGCGACGACGACGAGTCGACCATCGCGTCCGCCAAGACGCTGCCCCCCGTCGCGCCGAAGCCCCGGGGCCGCTCCAGCAAAAAGAAGCCCTTCTACAACCCGGCCTGGGCGCCCCTCGAGGCGCCCGCGGCGCGCTATTCCAACGCCGCGGGCCTGCCTCCCTACTCGCCCTACGTGCGCGAGAAGCCCCGGACGGCGTGGTGGGGCGACACGCCGCGGCGCCACAAGGCCCACGCGGACTACGTCGCGCGGAACACGGCGCGGCGGACCCGCGCGCGCCGCGCCGCGGCCGCGGAGCGGCGGGAGCACGAAATGCTCGCGGCCGCGTGGTCGCCGCCGCGCGAGACGACGAACCCGGACCTGATCTGGGTCGAGGGCGCGAGGAGCCCGAGCCGCGAGCCGCCATCGGGGCGCTTCGGCTCCGCCGCCGACCGCTCCGCGTCGCTGCCCGCGCTCCCGAAGCCGCCGCCGATGCCCGCGGGCTACGGGCCCGTCGACGCGCCCTTCTTCGCGCGGCCGGACACGCCCGGCGACCGCGACATCGCCGTGGACACGCGGCCCGCGCCCCTCGCGTCGCTCTGGACGGACCCGGACCGCGACGCCAAGGCCGCCGCGCGCCGGGACCGGTCCCGGTCGCCGTCGCCCGCGGCGCCGCCCGCGACGCCCGTCATGAAGGACGTCTGGCACGCCAAGCGCTGGGTGCCCCACGAGACGCTCCCCGACGACGCGCAGGAGACCGCCGTGTCGCCCCTCAAGGCGCCGCCGCTCCTCAACTAAAGTTTATGCGGCGGGGTCTTGCCCGGGGGGTGGGCGCGGCGCTCAGAACGCGGGGGGCGTCGAGCCGTCGTCGGGGGTCGTCGGCGACGCGGACGCCGGCGGGGGCGTGAACGACCGGCTGCGGCGGTCGCGCGGGTGGTGCTCGTCGATGTCCGCGAGCGTCAGCACCGTGCCCGCGTCGGGCGCGGTCTCGACGTCGTGCCTGTGTGGAATTCAAATCTTCAACCCGACTTCAATGTGCGCGTAATCAAACGGTTTGGACCAGACTCTTTCGCTGTGCTTCGAGAACTCGACGAGAGCGATCGATCCGTCCAAAAATCAGCCGAATCGACTTCGATTTGACCGAGCTAGAGAATTCTCAAGTTTGGTCAGGACCCCCCAAACCAGTGGTTGAATTCCACGCAGCGTCGTGCTGATGGAAGCTCGCGTTCCGCGGGAGGTAGTGCGACTCGGCGTCGTCGCCGCCGCCGAGGAGCGCCTCGGACGCCTCCGAGACCATGGAGCAGCGGCCCACGGGCGGCGGCGCCTCCGTGAGCGTGCGGCGCCGCGCGTTGAAGTAGACGTCCTCGCCGTAGAGCAGCGCGTCCTCCTTCTCGTGGTCGTCGTCGTCCGGCAGGGCCTACCACATGCGTCGGTAACGATTTCTCATCGTTTTCTCGGGTCAAAACCTCTCGAAAGTCGTCACGGATGCAGGACGCTGGGCAGGGCGAAGGGGTGGTGCGCGCCAAGGTGGACGAAGCCGTCGAGCTCGTGGTGCGCCTCGACGTGGAACGCGTTCGCGAGCGTCTCCGAGTGCAACCCCGACTCGCGCCGCGTGGGCTCGAAGGCGCGCCGCGCCGTCTCCGAGAGGCGCTGGGCGATGGACGTGCCCCGCGAGAGGCGGCGCACGCTCGAGTCGCGGAAGGAGCTCATCTGGCGCGCGCTCGAGAACCGCGAGTACGGCGGCGGCGCCTCGTCCGCCTTCTGGGCCTCGCCTTCCTTGATGTCCGCCAGCTCGACGTCCTTCACGGACGCGTCGCTCGCGGCGCGCGTCAGGCCGCTGAGGCGCCGCTGGCTCTGCTCGACCTTGGCCTGGTGCCAGCCCCCGAAGCCCGCGCCCCTCAACTTGCCGTCGTCGCCGCGGTAGACGTTCGCGTCCGCGGCGAGCGCCTCGACCTTGACCATGGCGTCGGCGTTCGTCGCGAGGCGCGGCCGGCCCGAGGCCTCGTCGTGCTCGACGTGGCAGCCCGGGAGCCAGCGCTGGACGCGGATCTCCGCGCCCTGGTGCTCGTCCTCGCGCAGCGCGGCGCGCACCGCGTCGAGGATCTCGTCGATGCGCGCCTGAAGCCGGGCCTCCTGGGCCTCGTCCATGTCCAGCGTCGTCGGCAGTTCCAGGGACGTGTCGCGGATGTACATCTCGTTGACGCAGTGCGCGAGCCCGAAGTGGTCGTTCGGGTGCCACTGGCGGCTGTCGATGATGTCGCAGCCCATGCGCGTCGTCGCCGCCAGGAGGTGGTCGCTCTGCTCCCACGTCGCGTGCGACTTGGTCTGGAGGCAGAAGTAGGTCGCGTGCACCGCGCCGGACACGTCCGCCGTGTCCGCGATGGCCTCGGCGATCTGGAACTTGGCCTTGCGCTCGTAGGCCTCGAGCGTGCTCCGCAGCCCCGCGGGGCAGATGATCATGGACACGAGCACCGCGAGGCAGATCGCGTTGTACGTGCCGGAGTCGAGGATGCCGTCGCCGTCGACCCTCCGCGCGGCCGTCGCGATGAGGAAGCTGAACTCGCCCCACTCGCCCCAGGCGAACGCCAGAATCCAGAAGTGGTCCGCGTCGCGGGGCTGCGCGAAGCAGCCCATCGCGAGCTTGCCGAAGATGCAGCAGACCAGGAGCCCCGCCTTGGCGAGCGTGCCCGCCTTGAAGCACTCCGTCACGGGGATCTCGAAGCCTACCGAGCACGACGGTGACGATTTCTCGTTGGTTTCCCACCCCAAATCTCTCGAACATCGTCACGGTCACGGGACGCCGCTCGAAGCCGATGGTGCACGCGAAGAAGAGGCGGAGGAGCCAGTGCATGACGCGCTTGACCTGGCGGTCCCAGCACTCGTGGACCGCGTGGTCGCTGCAGAAGCAGAAGCCCGCGAGGAACGCGCCGAGCAGCTCCGACGAGCCGCTGTACTTGCAGCCGGGGATGAGCACCATCGCGGCGACGAAGACGCAGGCGAGGACGGCCTTGGGCCGCTGGGGCTGCGCGACGCGCGGCAGGAGCCGGTCCTGCAGCGCGCGCGGGATCACGTTCACGGCGAGGTAGCCGATGACGGCGATGAGGACGAACATGATGACGATGGGGATGACGTATTCGATGACCTCGACGTCGTTGACGATGTTTGTCACCGTCGTGATCAGCGTGATGTTGACGATCTCGTTCACCGTCGCCGCGGCGATGATGAGCTGGCCGATGGGCTGGTTCAGCACCGTGCCCGCCTTGAGCACGTTCAGCGCGATGCCCGTCGACATCGTCGCCATGCAGGCGCCCACGACGAAGGCCTTGACCGGCGGCGCGCCCCACAGGGTCGCCGCGCCCGCGCCGAGGCACAGCGGCAGCGCGCTGCCTAAACCGCCGACGGCGAGCCCGCGCGCGCCGATGATCTCGAGCATCTCCAGGTCGACGTGGAGCCCCGCCTCGATGACCAGCAACGCGAGGCCGATCTCGCCGACGGACTTGAGCACCGCCGGGTTCGGCACGAAGTCGAGGAGCGCCGGGCCTAGGACGATGCCAACCCAGATCTCCCCCACGAGCGACGGGATGCCCACGGCGCCGCAGCTCTTGCCGACGATCCAGACGACGACGACGAAGACGACCATGAAGAACATGGAGTTGAAGTGGTCGAACTGGCCGTGGTGGCCGTGGTCGTCGTCGTGGTCGTCGTGGTCGTCGTGGTGCGCCGTCGAGTTGCCGCTCGACGCCGCCGACGCGCAGATGGCGAGCGTCGCGGCCAGCAGCAGCGCGCGCGAGATTCTTTGCGGCGCCATGGTCGCCGCCGCGAGGCTGCCCTCGTCGACGCGCTCCTTCGACGTCCACCGCCCACACTCGAAGAGGACGACGTAATTTCGTGGCGGCCGTAGATTGAAGAGGCGTTGCGTTTCACCATTAGACGATTTCAGATTGGCTTTCCAACAAATTGTATCACTAAGTTTACGTCGGTATTTGATGCCGTGACACGAAGTCCGCGTCGGCTATGGACGAAAAAGTCGTCTTCACCAGCCCGTAGCTCGACGCAGGAACCGAGTCAAGAGACAACCCCCGCTGCAGCGAGGATCGGAAGCCTGTCGACGACACATTCCCCGCGGGATGTCACTCCCCAGGATTGCGTCGCGTCGCGCACGAGGCGCCGCAAGGGGTCGGGAAAGGGTTGCTCGCGTCCCCCGCACCCTTTTCCGTCGTGTTCGAGTTCACGGAGCGTCGGGGATCGTTCGTCTATGTAGTGTGGGAGTCCCCTTTGATGCGCTCGACCATAGAGGTCGAAGACTTTGACTTCCAAGGTCTCCGCGACACGTGCGCGCACCCCGCGCCGCGCAGCACCCGGATCGGGTTCAACCGTCGCGCGAGGCTGCCCCTGGATCCCGGCAGCCAATGGGACCCCGAGCACGAGCCGCGCGGCCCCAGAGCACCGGCGCGGGGGCTCTGCGCGGCCCGGGCGCGCCATCACGAACGACTCGGCGCCGAGCAGCCCGTCCCCCGGGCGGCCCGTCGCGCTTCCAAGCCGAAGAAACGCCGGAATATGTCACCGTACATGGCCACGACCGCGCGCAGCCCGCCAGGGTGGGCGCGGGGGCCCAACTCGCCGACTTCGGTTTGAGTTCCAGGAACTCACGCTCTTGGCATTCGATTGCCAAGAGCGCGAGTTCGCGTAACTCGGCGCCACTGCGGGAGATACATTAATTTCGATACATAATTTTTGTTTGAAGCCTCGGACAGAAGAATCTGAAATCGTCTATTAACATGTCTTCACTCGGGCCTCCGATGTAATGGCCTCCGATGTCCCCCTCCTCGCGACCGGCCAGAGCAAGCGGCCGAAGGCGCGCAAGGTGCTCGTCACCTTCGAGCACGGCCCGAAGCCGCTGAGGATCACGCTGCGCAAGGAGATGACCGTCGCCGCGCTCTGGCCGCTCGTCAGCCAGGCGCGCGACGGCGTCGACGCGGCGTCGTACATCCTCACCGGCGGCGCCGCCGTGCTGCTGCCCGACGACGGCGTCCTCGCGTCGAGCCCGGGCCGCGACGGCGACGTCGTCCTGCGCTGCCGCCGGAAGATCGAGCAGCAGGACGACCGCATCGCCGGAGTCGAGAGCTTCCGCGCGCTCCTCGGGCCCGAGGCCTACGTCGAGGCCATGCGGATCGAGATCGCCCGGGAGCCGGCGCTCCACGCGACCTGGGCGGCCATGCACGAGGCCATGATGGCCAAGGCCGAGCCGGCGCCGCCGAGGGCCCGGGACATGTCGCTCGAGGCTTTGGTCGCGCGCGCGCGCGACGTCGCGGGCCCCGGCGCGCCGGAGCGGCGGCTCCGCGAGGCCGCGGCCCTCTGGGACGAGGTCGCGGCGCGCTGCGCGCCGAAGAGCGCGGGCGCGAACCGCCGCGCCTTCCTCGACGCGCACCTCGAGCTCCAGAGCCTCTTCGACCGCTTGCGGGACGTCGACGGCTGCCGCGCGCGCGGGTTCGCGGTCGCCGCGGCGCCGGGGACGCCCTTCTGGCGCGACGGCCGCCAGCGGCCGCCCCACTTCCTCCCGCACCTGGAGGCGGCGCCCTGGCACGACGCGCGGCGCTTCCCCTGGACCGCGGTCCTCGAGAGCCACGCGGACGTCATCCGCGCGGAGCTGGACCATTTCGTGTCCTCGCCCGCCGCGGGCCGCGCCTTCGGCAACGTGTCGCGCCGGGACCAGGACCTCGCGGGCGGCGCGGACCGCTGGCGCCAGTGCCAGCTCCTCGACGGCCGCGCGTGCCCGCGGACGACGGCGACGCTGCGCCGGATCCCCGAAGTCGCGGACTGCGCGGATTGCGGCGTCGGCCAGATGATCTTCTCGTGCCTCGCGCCGGGCGCGAAGCTGCGGCCCCACTGCGGGCCGACGAACGCGCGGCTCACGGTCCACATGGGCCTCATCGTGCCGCCGGGCGGCTCCCGGATCACCGTCGGCGGCGAGGCGCGCGAGTGGCGCGAGGGCGAGTGCCTCGTCTTCGACGACAGCTTCGAGCACGAGGTCGAGGTCGTCGAGGGGCCCCGGGTGGTGCTGCTCGTCCACTTCTGGCACCCGGACATACCGCGGGACGACTGGCCGACCGTCGCCGCGGAGGAGCGCGCGATCCGCGAGGGGGCCGGGGGGCGCGTGTCGTCGCATTAAAACTTCATCCAAGCGGCTTGCACAGCGATTTGGTGTAATCTGGGGCAGCTTTCCCGGGGCTGACGATATTTATGGACGAACATCGCCGCGCGCCGGGCGGCTCCTGGTACGCGGACGGGTCCCCGGACGAGGGCCGCGGCTGGCCCCCGACGACCGCTGCGACGCGGCGGCGGCCGCCGGCGAAACGTGCGCCGGCGGCGGCGCTCCCCCCGGCGACGAGGCCTCCGGCGCCTGGGCGGATGCCGCGCGCGGCGCCGGCACGCCCCCGCTCTGCTCCCCGACGGGCGTGGAGCACTTCAGCGACGCGCTGCCGCCGCCCTACGACGCGCTGTCGCCGAAGAGCCGCGCGGCGAACCCGCGGCCGCGGACGGTGAGCTACGGCCAGGAGGAGGGGTTCATGGCCCAGTGGGCCCTCGACGTCGACGCGGCCTACGCCGCGTCCGGCGTGCCGAACCTCGTGCTCTTCGAGCCCGTGCAGCACTTCCTCATGGACCTCGCGCCGACGCTCGTGCCCGTTTTAGCGACGACGTGCAAGCGGTCGCGCGAGTTCTACGCCGCGCGCGTCGCCGAGGGCCGCGCCTTCGACGGCTACGACGACGCGCGCTACGCGGCCTGGGCGCCCCTCGCGCGCTACGCGGGGGCGGCCCACCGCAGGGCGCTCCAGCGCCTGCTGCCGCGCGAGTTCCACGCCGCGCTGACCGTGACGCTCGCGGACGGCGTCACGGACGCGGCGCTCGACTGCTTCGGGAGCTACGTGTCCGCCGGCGGCGCGGCGACCATCGCCGGGGCGCTCCTCGACGGCGCGGACATCTCGACGATCAACTTGCGGGGCAACGGCCTCGGGGACGACGGCGCGACGCTCATGGCCGTGGCCCTCGAGCTCAAGGAGAGCCCGCTCCGGGTGCTGAGCCTCTGGTCCAACGACATCTCGGACGCGGGCGCCATCAAGCTCGCCGACGCGCTCGCCGTGAACACGTCGCTGACGACGCTGGACCTCGCGGGCAACAGCATCGGCGAGGCGGGCGCGGACCGGCTCACGGCGGCCGTCGCGCGGAACCGGAGCCTCGCGTCCCTGGACCTGCGGAACAACGACGTCGACGCCCGCGACCCCAAGGCGGCCCAGGAGCGGCGGCGCCGCGCGCGCAAGGCCCGCCGGGAGAGCATGGAGCACGCCGCGGCGCTCGCGGCCGAGGACCCGGGGGTCCCCTAATGCGCAGCACGTGGGCGCGCGTCGACGCGACTACGGCAGGGTCGATCGGACTCGACGGTACTCGGCGCGCGTCGACGCGTCTTCGACGACACAAGCCAACATGAGCCTCAAGGTAGCGATCCGCGGGTGGTTGCCGCCGGTAGCTCTCGTACTCTCGTCCGTCTGGGCAGCGCCCGCGGCGGACCAGCATGCCCCTCATCATCAACCGGAGCGCCGATGGGACGCCGATCTTCAGCTTCGTCGGCCTGGGCACGGACGGGAGCCTCGGCGCCGACGGGAGCCAGTGCGACGCGCCGCTGCCCGCCCGGCGGCGGAAGAAGGTGCTGCCCCTCATGAGCTACCGGCGGAAGAAGCGCGCCGACGACGAGGCCTGGGGCGCGCCGGCGGCGCGGCGGCGCCCGGCGCCGGCGCCGGCGCACCCCGTCATGGACTACAACAACTGGACGCGCGACCTCGAGCGCGACTCCGCCGCCGGGCCCGCGGCGCCCGACCCGGGCTTCGCGACGTGGCCCCGGAAGCAGCCCGCCGGGGCGCCGCCGCCGGAGCCGTCGCCGACGCGGGCGAGCAAGCGCGCGGCGAAGCTCGAGCGCATGCGCGACCTCGAGCGCGAGAACGCGCGGCTCCTCGAGCGCCTCAAGTTCGACGCGGCCGCGGCCGAGGCGCCCGCGGACGCGCCGCTGCCCGCCGTCGAGTCCCTCGCGGCGCTCGCCGCGCGCACGGGCGTCGACTGGGACGTGCCCGCGGCCCGCGCGCCCTGGGACGTCGCGCCCGCGCCCGCGGCGGCGCTGCCGTCGCCGCTGCGGGCGAAGCTCGTCCAAGCGCTCGCCGAACACGCCGCCCCGGAGGCGCCGCCGGAGGAGGAGGAGATCCCCGTGCTCGAGCGCATGCGCCGCGCGGCCGCGGAGCGCGATGAGGCGGCGCGGCGGCGGGCCAACGCGGCCGCGAAGAAGCTGTCGCCGAAGAAGAAGAGGCCCGCGCTGAAGAAGAGCGTGTCCGCGCCGGCCAATTTGAGCCCGCCCAAGCCCGGGGCCGCGTGCCGGGCGCGCGCGGCGGCCCGGGCCGCGCGGGAGCAGCGCGAGGCGGGCCTCGCCGCGGGCGACGAGTTCCTCGAGGCCCAGATGAAGCGCATGGGCATCAGCGGCGGCGCGCTCCGCGTCGAGCGGAAGCACCGCTACGCGCGGGCGCTCGAGAAGCCCAGCGGCTACGACGCGCGGCGCAAGGCCACGCCCCCGGCGCCGCCGGAGCTCCACCTCGCGAACCACGAGCGGCTCCTCAAGAAGTACGAGCGGAGCCTCGTCGCGTCGAACGGCCTCGAGGGCGACCGCACGCCCCTCGCGGAGGACCTGACGCCCTACCGCGCGCTCGTGAGCCTCGCGCCCGAGGCCTTCGAGATGGACCCCGCCACCGGCGCGACGGGCGCGCTGCGGCGGCGGAGCTTCGACGACGGCCCCGCCGCCGGCGAGGACGCGGCCGCGCTGGAGGCGCGCTTCCGCGAGATCATGGCCTAAACTGCGTTACGACGGGCGGTTCAACGCGAGCGGCGTCTCGTCGCCGTCGTCGTCGTCGGTGGGCGTCGAGGCAGTCGCCTCGTCCTCGACGGCGACGTCCCTGACCTCGTCCTCGACGGCGACGTCCCCGACCTCGTCCGCGACGTCCGCCTCGACCTCGTCCGCGGCGTCCGCCTCGAGCTCGTCCGCGGCGTCCGCCTCGACCTCGTCGGCCGCGGCGTCCGCCATGGCCTCGTCGACGACGCCCTTCGCCTCGTCCGCGACGTCGCCCTCGGCCTCGTCGTCCGTCGCGCCGCCGCCCTTGGCCTCGGCGCCGTCGAGGGCCGGCGCGACGGGCCCGGGCGGCGACCCCTTGACCTCGTCCGCCTCGCCGTCGTCGGCCTCGTGGACGTCGACGCGGATCTCCGGGTCCGCGAGCGTGCGCCGCTCGCCGGCGAGCAGCTCCCGAAAGGCTGTTTCGTCGACGCCCCGCAGCTGGTCCGCCCCCAGGGTCGTCAGGAACGCCGCGGCCGCGCTGAGCTGCGTCAACAGGAACCCCGCCTCGCCGCGCATCTTGTCCTCGGAACTATAAAGCTCCACGAACTTCAACGCCGCGTGCAGCTTCCGCGGCCGCGCCTTCAGCGTCGCGAAGATGACGACGGGCAGCAGGTCGTCGGCGCCCGGCACGACGTCGCCGCCGTCGCCGCCCGCCTCGCGCGCGAGCGCCGCGAGGCACTCGAAGAGGCAGTCGACGGCCTCGCGGATGCGCTTCGTCGCGCGCCGCGGCGTCAACTCGTCCGGCACCAAATTCAGCGCCGCCAGCGCCCGCCCAAAGGCCTCGAAGCGCGCCACGTCCGGCGCGTCGAGCATGCGAAACGTCAGCGCCCCGTGGAACACGGAGAACCGGTGCGCGAGCGCGTCGTCGTCCGCGTCCGCCTCGCAGATGAGCCGGAAGCCCGGCTCCGGCGGCGAGCCCCGCGCGAGCGCCGTGTAGAGCATGGCCTCGAGGTGGTCCACCGTGAGTTCAAAGTCCTCGGGGCTCTCGGCGTTCCACGGCGCCTGGCCCCGGAGCAGCCGCGCGGCGTGGTTCACGAAGCGCTTCACGCGGGCCGCGCGCGCCTCGTCGGACGTGCCCGGCGTCTCGTGCTTGCCGAAGTTGCGCACGAAGGCGTTGAGCGACGCGCGGCACCGGTTCGCCGCCGGCTGGTCCCAGCGCGCCGCGAACGACGAGTCGTCGGGCGTCGCGTCGGACGCGCGCCGGAACCGCGGCCGCCTGTGTGGAATTCAAATCTTCAACTCGACTTCAATGTGAGCGTATGCGACAGTTTCGACGCAAGCTCTTCGGCTGTGCTTCGAGAACTCGACGAGAGCAATCGATTCGTCCAAAAATCAGCCGAATCGACGTCGATTTGAACGAGCTAGAGAATTCTGAAGTTTGGTCAGGACCCCCTGAACCAGTGGTTGAATTCCACACAGGCGGCCGCTCGTCGACGGCGCCGAGGCGGCGGTTCAGCTCGTGGACGCCGAGGCGGAACGAGTCCTGGAGCCGCGCGAGGAAGGCCGGCGGCGGCCGCGCGAGCGGCGCCGCGCCGGGCCGCGGGGCCGAGCTCCGCGGGCGCCGGCCGCGCCAAAGGCCTCGAGTAGACGACGACCCAGCGCCGCCGCCGCGCGAGGGCCCCCGCGAAGGGCTGGGACGCGCCCCCGATGGGCGCGGCGCCGACGTGGTTCGGCGACGGCAGCGCGCGCGCGTAGGTCCAGCCGCGGCGGTCCGTCGTTGACGCGTCGACGTGCGCGCGCCACTCGGAGACCAACGTCCAGGCCTCGGCGTCGCGCGGCGGCGCCACCGTGAGCCGGTCCGGCCCGCAGAGGGACCCGTCGAGCGAGCTCCAGGGGCCCACGTCCGTCGGCAGCAGGTGCGCGGGCGAGAAGCCGCGGCCCCCGGGCAGCCACCGCTCGTTCTCCAGAGCCTCGTCGCACGCGTAGAGCGTCTTGCCGAGCTCGAGGACGCCGCCCTGGCTCAGGAGGAGACTCCGCAGCGCCCGGGGCGCCAGGGACGACCCGTCGCCCAGGGGCACGCCCGCCGCGTCGTCGTCGTCGCCCGGCGGCCGCGGCGCGCCGCCGCCCGCCGCGCCCATCTCGCGGCACTCGCGCGCCCAGGTCCGCCGGCGGCAGGGGCCCGACGACCCGTCGAGTTTGTCGAAGCGGTCGCCGTAGTGCCAGTGCTCCACGACCCGCCAGGCGCCCCGGCCCCAGGGGCGCAGGAGCGCGAGCTGCGTCTCGAGATCGTCGCGCGTCTGCGACTGGATCGACGCCGCGACGGGGTCGCCGAAGACGCCGCTGGGCACGTCGGCCTTCCAGGGGCTCGGGTCCGCGCCGGGGATGAGGTGGGCCGCGGAGTAGTGGCCGTTGGACGCGAGGCGCTCGTGCTCGTACGCGCGCTCCTCCAGCACCGCCTGCCGCAGCAGCGGCTCCGCCGCCGCCGTCGGGAGCCGGTCGTTGGGGTGCGGCGGCGCCTCGGCGCGCTGCTCCTCGTCGAAGGTCTCCTGCAAAGACCGCGCGAGCGCCTCGTCGTCGCCCGTCTCCGGCGCGGGCGGCGGCGGCGGCGGCGGCGGCGCCGCGGGCGCGTCCCAGTCGTAGTCGACGCCGTAGGTCGAGGGCGGCACGAGCTCCAGCGGGAGCACCTTGGGCAGGTTCCCGCCGGCCGTCGCGATGCAGAGCAGGTGCATGAAGACGCAGAACTCGTCGAAGCTCAGGCCGCGCGCGTCCTTTTTCGCGTCCGCGAGCTCCCACGCCGACGCTAACACGCCCTTGGCGACGCCGGGCCCGCCCTCGCCGCTCCGCATGAGGCCCTCGCGCTCGCAGTAGCGCCGCACCTTGGCGCCGCCGACCCAGCCCCGCGACGCGCCGGCCTCGAGGAACGCGCGCCGCATGGCCGGGTCCGCGGCGCAGGCCGCCAAAGCCCACTGCGTCGGGTTGCCCGACGCCTGCGGCGGCTCGGGACTGGCGCCGACGTACTCGTCGTAGGTCGGCGGCGCCGCGTCCGGGATCATCGCGACGCGCCGGCCGCGCGGTGATCCGCGGCGGCCGCCGGCGTGGCCGTCCTTGTGGCGAGGAGACGACCCGAAATGCTCGAAAAGCAGCCGATGTTGCCGTCCGCGTCGCGTCGCGATACCGATGCCGGAAGGCCGGCGCCTGCAATGGCGGCGGCAGAAATCGCAACCCACAAAACAACACCGAAGAACGCTTTGCTTTGGTATTACACGACAGGATCGCGCGCGGACCGCGGCGCGGTTCGCGTCTCCTCAGTAGCGCGCCTCGACCTTGGAGGAGAGCGCCGCGAAAGGGTCCTCCTTGGCCTCGACGACGGGCGCCTTCTTGGGCGCCGGCTTGGCCTTGGACTTGGCCGCCTCCTTGAACCACTCGTTCGTCGCGGCGACGTTGGGATCCTCGCGCTTCGACGTGATCGTGAAGGCCGGCTCCGCGGGCTCCGGCGCCGCGACGACCTCGACGACGGGCGCCGGCGGCGGCTCGTACTTGACCCAGGCCGGCGTCTCCTTCTTCTGCGCCGACGCCTTGAACTCGACGGCGGGCGCCTTGTCGCCCACCGCCGCCTTCTCGGACTCCTTGATGTCGGCGACGAGGTTCGCCTTCTTCGCCGCGAGGCTTTCGGCCGCCTTGACCTCCGCGGCGACCTCCTTGGCCGCGCCCTTCTCGAAGGGCGTCTTCACGCCCGCCTCGAGCCCGAAGGGGCTCGTCGTGTCGCGCTCGACCTTTTGGAACTTGGACTTGGACGCCTCGGCGAAGAAGGAGGACGTCGCCTCGACGCCGGTGTTGTCCGGCGCCACGGCGGCGTAGGCCGGCGAAACGAGGAGCGGCAGCGCGAGGGCGGCGGCCGCGGCGGCGCGCGCGGCCTCGGAAAGGAGAGCGCGCGGCTTCGCGGCGTGTCGCGACGGCGCCAGCGCCGTGGCCGTGGCGCAGAGCGTTACGATGATTGTCGCACGCATGCTTCTGGAAATGTCTGCGATCCTAGGTCGGGGCGACGACGCACAGCTCGAGTGGGAAGTTACAGCTCCGGCTCGATGATCCGCTTCGGAGAGCGTCGAAGCTCTCGACGGTCGCGACGAAGGTGATGTGATGTTGACCAAGTTATTGAAGGGGATGCGCGCCCGACTGCGATGTTGATGCTGGTTGCAGCCGGCGCCATCGATGCTATGCACGTCACGCGCCGAACCGCACCGCATGCGCAGCCTAAGAGTACCAGTGATGCACCCAACGACGCCTAGAACATCAGCAATGTACGCCAAACAACGAAAACGGACGCTGGCAGCCCTCCTGCTCCTGCTGCCTCTACAAACACAAGCCCTCGCGACGACTCTCACCCCGAACGTCGTCCGGGACCAGTTCGACTGGTCCTGGCAAATGCAGCCATCGCTCGAAGCCGACGCGCTCCTGCGCCCGGAGCGCGCCGACGCCGCGGCGCTTCTGGCGTCGGTGCTCGCGGGCGACGCGCCTTCGACCGCCGTCGCGACGGCGGAACTCGAGCGGACCGACGGCGTCGCGACGGCGCCCGCGCTGTCCGCGGCGTCCTGCGCCGCGCTGCGCGACCACTGCGACGCGGAGATGGCGTCGCAGATGGCGCTCGACAACACGGACCGATTGCCGGATTTTCAAGTCAACGTCGACTTCGACCGCGACCTGCCCGGCATCCTCGGCGCGGCCGACGTCGCCGCGCTCCGGGCGCTGCCCTGCGACGCGTTCGGGGCCGACGCCGACGACTTTTACCGCGTGGGTTGCTTCCTGAGGCGCTACGCGGCGGACGAGCGGCCGTTCATGAAGTGGCACGTCGACGGCAACGCGTTCACGGCGAACGTCGCGCTGAGCGAGGGCCACGCGGGCGGCGAGCTCGTGGCCGCCTACGGCGGCAGATGCCGCGCCGTGCCGCGGCGCCTCGGCGCCGCGACGACGCACCGGGGTGGGCTGTGCCACGGCGTCGCGCCGCTCACGGCCGGCCTCCGCTACTCGCTCATCCTGTTCTTCCATTCGAAGACGAGTCTCGAAGCACGGATGAGACGAGGGTCGTCGTAAATGCCTTTTACCGGTCCTTCTTGGGCGTCCCCGTCCACGTGGACCGCGGGAGGCAGACCTGCGCGAGGACGAGCAGCGACCCGAAGAAGAGGAGGTCCACGGGGACCGCGTACTTCCAGGGCCGGTCCTCGGGCCCGGAGCAGTCCCGCCCGTCGCAGCGGTGCGTCGCCGCGACGAGGTGGCCGCCATTGGTAAAGACCCAGTCGTCCAGGGAATAGTGGTCCTTTTCGGAGAAGAGGAGGTAGAGGTGCTTGAGCGTCGCGCCGACGAAGTGCGACGGCATGCGTTTCCGCCGCGCGTCGCCGAAGACGTCCACGAGCCCCGCGAAGGCCCCGCCGACGGCGCAGCGCTGGGCGATCTGCTCGAAGAGGGCCCAGCCGCGGTCGCGGTATTTCTCGTCGCCCGTGGTCCGGTAGAGCACGAGCAGCGAGTACGCGTAGGTCTCGTCGAGGTCGTAGCTCGGTCGCACCGCCGCGAAGCGCACGCCGTCGCCCTCGACGAGCGTCGCGGCGTCCGGCGCCAGCCCGCCCGCGGCCGCGTGCGCCGCGTGGACGGCCTCGGCGACGCGCGCGGCCAGCGCGAGCGCGTCGCGCTTGTCGTCCTCGTCCGCGTTGCCCTTGCGGAAGGCGTGCGTCGCGCCGAGGGCCAGGAGGCCCGGCAGCCCGAAGGTCGCGGCCTCGACCGCGGGGGTCCCGCCGGGCGTCACGGGGAACGTGAGGTCGCCCGCGCTGTGAAGCACGTCCGCGCCCTCCTCGAGGAGCCCCTGCTCCCACCAGTCGTAGAGCGCGGCGGCGCGCGCGGCGCCGTGGGTGCTGCCGATGAGCTGCTCGCCCAGCAGGCTCCCAAAGAGCGTTGCCGCGTCCTTGAGGTCCGACCGCGCGCGCGAGTCGCACGCGGGGTACCGCGGCAGTCGCCTCGCGCTGTCCTTCGCGCCGTCCTGGAACCAGGCCGTGTCGATCTCGTCGAAGATGGCGTCGGCGGCCGACGCGAAGCTCGGGTCGTCGAGCTCGCGGCTCAGCGCGCGGAGCTCGAGGCCGAAGCCGCCCGCGTTGCCGACGGTCTCGCAGTCCGCGCCGTCGTCGACCCAGTGCGAGAGCAGGTAGCGCACGGACGCCGTGCGCGCGTGGACGAGGCGCGACCGGTCCGGGGGCAGGACGACGACGTCCTGCGTGTCCGGCAGGGCGTCGAGCGCGCGCTCCGCCGCGTGCGCGGCCGCGTACAGCAGCCGCCGGTCGCCCGAGACCTCGAACCCGCCGAGCAGCCCGCCGACGACGCGCCGCGCGTACTCGGCGACGGACGCGACGCGCTTCGGCGCGGGCGCGCCGCGCCGCAGCGGATCGCGCAGCCCGCCGGCGAAGATCGCCGCGACGGCCGCGTCGAAGTCGTCGGCCAACCCGGCGACGTAGAGCGTGTCGAGCGACTCGTAGAGCGCGTAGCGCGCGCCCGCGACGTCGCCGCCGGTCTTCGCGGCGGGCAGCAGCACGTCGAAGTCCGACGCGTGCGCCATGTAGGCGCCGAAGGAGGCGTGGATGGCGTCTTTCACGGCCGCGGCGCGCTGCGCCCAGTCGGGTTCGGCGATGGTGGTTGCGAGTGCGGGCAGCAGCAGCAGGAGGCGATGCATCCTGTTTTGCTGGCGTTTGCTGCGCGCAGGATTGCTTGCTAGCACTGTCTGTTTTGCTAAGTGTTTCACGCCGAGCAAAGCGTCTTAACACGCGGTACGGCCATCATCGCGCTCGGCTGCTTCACTCATTTTTTGTTGCAGTGCGAGAGCATGGGTTGTCCGTGAGAGCCGCAGGTGACACCACCAGCCGCAATGGTTGCTGCGTTTCAACGCGCGCTGCTGCTCTTCGCGACGCTGTCGACGGCGCTGCCGCAGCCGCCGCAGGCGCACGCACCGAGCCGGACGCTGCGCGCACCGTGCCGGACGCTGCGCGCGCCGCGCAGGACATTGCACGCACCGAGCAGGACCGTGCACAGTGCCATGCCGCCCATGTGGCCCTACGTGACCTGCGACGGCTGCGCGCCAGGCGGCGCGCTTGGCCTCTTCGCCGCCGTCGCGGCGACGGGCCTCGGCCTGCCCGCGAGCGAGGACGTGCTCCTCGTCGCGCTGGGCTCGCGGCTCGCGACCATGGGCGCGCAGGCGCGCGCCGCGCACGTCGCCGCCGCGCTGGCCGGCGTCGTCGCCGCGGACTGCTGCACGGCGCTCCTCGGCGCGAAAATCCGCGAGAACGCCGCGGCGCTCAGGGAAGAGGCGCCGGGCTTCCTGCGGCGATTCTACGAAGCGGTCTCGCGCCAGATCACCTACGAGACGAAGCGCGACGGCGCGCGGCTGCGGCGCGACCTCGAGGCGAGGCTCAATCGAGCGGTCGCGGACGTCGGCGCGACGCTGGAGCGCCTATTCACGGGCGCCGCCGCCGCCGCCGCCGCCGTCGTTCTTTCGGCGAGCCGAACAGTTGTTTCGCCGCTCCACCTGCAACACGCGGACCGCGCTGGCGGGCGCGGGACAGGCCACCGCGGCGCTCTTCGGCGACGTCCTCGCGCGACGACGAGCGCCGCCGCCGCCGGCGCTGCTGCTCGGCGCCACGAACCGCGCGGCCTTCGGCCAGCGCTGGCCGCTCCAGCTCCTCGCGGGCGCCGACGGGCGGCTGGGAACGAGCTACGCGGCGGGCTCGCTCTTCGCCGCTGCCACGGTGACGCTGCCGCTGCAGCTCGTCGTCGGGCTGTGCTTGGCGCCGAGCCGGCTCGCCGTCGGCTCTTTCCAGCTCGCCATCGCCCTCGCGCAGCTGTGCCGCTTCGGACCGTTGTGGGCCGCGCTCGGGACGGCGATCTACGCGACGGCGCGGGACAAGGCGCGCCGGGGCTCTTAATTCAACTTAAGAGAGGATGCTTGAATCTGGACGCAAGATGGCGGCAAGGTGACGACAAGAACGACCTGTGGAGCCATCGAGTCAGCATGGCCGCTCTCTTTCACCTCGCGCTGGCGCTTGTGGCTTGCACCAGCGCTTTCGTACCACCGCAGAGATCATGCGCGCTGCTGCGGCTTCGTGCGGAAGTCGAGGATGCTCCGGCTGCCGCAGATGCACCGCCGCGCTCCGCGCCGCCGCAGTCGTCGTCGCAGGAGCGGATGAAGCAGAAGCTCAAGAACGAGGCAGACTACCCCTTGTTCATTCCGCTCTTGGGCGCGTCGGTCGTCATCGGCGGCAAAGGTCTCACGGACGCGCTACTCACGTTCGCCAAGGTCTCCGCCGGCATGCGCGGCGCGTCGCTCGCGGAGACGTTCCTCGGCGTGCCGGTGCTCGGGATCGACGCTGTCTGCGTGGTCGTCGGCGTCGCCCTCGGCGCGTATACCTGGGAGAACCAACGACCACCGTCGGACGCGTAGGAGCCGGGTCGCGCGGCCCCGGCGCGTCGTAAAAAGCATTCACTACGCGCAAAAAAACGACACGAGCGCCTGCCTCCGCCTTCGCGAGACGTGGCCGCGCCCATCCCGTCATTAGCGGTGCGCAGGCACGCGGCCGCCGAGGCCGTGGTGCTTGTTCGCGTCGCGGTCCGCGAGGTTGTGGTTGCCGCCGGTGACGGCGCTGCGCGTGAAGGAGAGGCGGTAGGTGTCGACGGCCTCCTGGAGCGCCTCGTAGGACGCGGTGACGAGGTAGTTGCGCGCGTTGCGCGGCTGGCTCCGCGGCGGCGGCGGCGGGATCCAGCTCGGCCGCTTCTTGACCGTCGCGTTCTCCTTGGACCACTGGGACCAGAGCACGAGCTGGACGGAGATGGGCGGCATGGGGTCGTCGCCCGGCGCGAGCACGAACTGCGGGTCCGCGGGCGCGCTCTTCGTGTGGAGCAGCTCGCAATGCACGCGGAAGGGCTCGACGCCCAAGAGCTCGGCCGCGGCGACGGCGAGGCGCGGCTCGACGTCGCCGATCTCGAAGCCGTTGGAGCTCCAGGGCACGTCGAGCGCGTTCTCGACCATGAGCAGGGGCACGTGCATGGTCAGGTCCCAGAGCCACTTCCGGCCGAAGCGGACCATGGACTCCACCGTCTCCTGCCGGATGGGCCGGTGGACGACGCCGTGGTGCCGCTTGTGGTACGCCTCCCGCTCCGCGTCCGTCATGCCGCCGCCCATGGTGGCGCCGGGGAGGAGCGGCGCGCGCGGTATGCGCGCCCGGGGCTCGTGCGGGGCAGCCCTCCAGCCTCTGTGGGCCGCTAGGAAGGTCGGTCGAGCATCGCAATGCGGCCGCACCGTTGTGAGCTTTTTGCCAGCCCGCCTCCTCCCTCGCCCAGCGCAGCACAGCGCGCAAAACAAACGCGACGCGACACGCGCATACACGCACGAACACGCCCCGAGAACAAAGCCATGCCCCGCTACAAGATCCGCGACGCGACGGGCAAGACGTCGGTCATCAGCGTCGGCGAGACGGCGACCTTCGACGACCTCGTCGCGCGGTGCGGCGCCGGCGTGCTCAAGTCGGGCCGCCCGCCGGCCGTGCTCGCGTCCGACGCCCCGTCGACGACCCTCGCCGCGGACGTCGTGCCGTCCGGGTCGCTCATCACCGTCGAGGCCGGCGTCGCGCTGCCGCCGCCGTCGCCGCGGCCCGCCGCGCCGCCGCCGTCGCCGCCGCGGCCCGCCGCGGCCGCGCCGCCGCCGCCGCAGCAGGCCGCGCCGCCCAAGCCCACGCCGTCGCCGCGGCCGGCCGTGCCCGAGGCCGCGCCGCCGCCGCCGCCGCTGAGCCGCATGCCGAGCGAGGCGCTCGCGCCCGCGGCGCTCGAGACGCCGCGGTCTTTGAGCCACGACGACGCGCCCCCGGCGCCGCGGCGGGCCCCGCAGGAGGAGTGGACCTGCGGCACGTGCACCTTCATCAACGTGAGCGGCGCGACGGACGCGTCCCTGGGCGTCGAGCTCTGCTCCGTCTGCGGCACGCCCCGCATGGACGCCGTCCCCGCCGCGGCCGCGCCGCCGCCGCCGGGGAGCGGCTTCGGCGGGGGGTTCGCCGCGGCGCGGCGGCCCGTGGACGCCGACGGCAACTGCCTCTTCGTCGCGCTGGCCTACCTCCTGGACGGCGCGCGGCCCGAAAAGGCCGCCGGCGAAGCGGCCGCGGCGAAGATGCGACGCGTCTGCGCGGCGGTCGTCGCCGGCGACGAGCTCTCCTACCCCGACGCCGCGCTCGAGAAGCCCCGGAGCGAATACGGCGCCTGGATCGCGAAGAAGGACACGTGGGGCGGCGCGCTGGAGCTGTCCATCCTCGCGGCGCACGGAAGCGGCCGCTGCGGCACGGCGTCTTCCTTCGACGACGTCGCGCTCGTCTGCGTCGACGTCCGGACGGGCGTCGACCAGCGCTACGCGGGGCCCGGCGCGACGCGGAACTGCTACCTGCTCTTCGACGGCGTCCACTACGACCCCCTCGTCTTCGCGCCGGCGCCCGAAGCGCCGGAGTCGCCCGCGGACGTCACGACGGTCGCCGCCGACGACGGCGCCGCCGCGGCGGCCGTCGCGGCGCTCGCCGCCGACGCCAAGGCGAAGCGCCGCTTCACGGACACGTCGTCATTCGCGCTGCGGTGCCTCGTCTGCAACGCGGGGCTCCGGGGCCAGCAGGACGCGCAGGACCACGCGGCCGCGACGGGCCACGCGAACTTCGCCCAGACGGGGCACTAGTTGGGGGCGGTTAAAGGCGGCTCGGGCTGGCTTCTTTTCCCTCGTTTTTCCGTTTTTTTTTTTTTTGCGCACGGTGACTTGCACGCCGGATGCCCAACGAGCACGTACACGTGCACGTCTTCAACAATCTGCGCTTGAAGAGGCAAAATCGAGGCCGCGCCGCTATGGTCGCGCCAGTCCGAGCCGTAGTGAACGCGATGCCCGCGCGCGCGCAACGGAAAAGGATGCTCCGCGCAGCGCTGCTCGTCGCAACCGCAACCGCTACCTGCGACGAAACGCCCGTGTGGCCGGAGCAGTTCACGCTCGTGCAGCGGCGCATCCCCGACAACGAAACGCTCGGTCCCGCCACGGCGACGACGGTCACCTACTACGACTGGCACGCGAAGGCCAACCTCATCGTCATCACGCCCGACGGCGCGGAAGCCGACGTGCTCTGGGACCTCGAGCTCGACAGCGGGCACTCGTACTACTTCACGCCGCGCGAAAACAAGTGCACGCCGATGTCCATGCCCGTGGGCATCCTGCGGCCGGACTGGCTGGCGAACGCGACGTCCCTGGGGCGCACGCAGTTCAACGGCCGCGACGTCGTCGCCTTCACGAAGGCGGACTTCATCGACTACTACGCGGACGCGGCGACCTGCGCGCCCGTGAGCTGGTACTTCCACTCCATGAAGGCGCGCTTCGACACGATCTTCTGGTCGCCGGGGCTCGCCGTGCCCGACGCGTCCTACTTCGACCCGCCGTCCTACTGCGCCTCGTAACCTCGTTACTGCGGCTTGCCCGCGCCCGAGAACGTGACCTTGTCCATGTAGTGGGGCGTCGCGGCCGCGCGGACGGCGGCGTAGTCCATGAAGTCCGCGAGGGCGTGGTCCTTGCTGGAGACGCCGCCGACGTCGTGGGTCGCCAGCACGACGTGCACGACCGAGGAGACGTTCGACCACTCGGGATGGTGATCGCAGCCCTCGGCGTACAACGCGACGCGCGTCATGAACCCGAAGGCCTCGTTGAAGTTCTCGAACTCGAAGCGCTTCGCGATCGCGTCGCGGCCGGGCAGCTGGTCGTTCCAGCCGCGCGCCTTCAGCTCGTCCAGCGCCGCGGCGCGACCGGCGGCGTCGAAGGCGTGGGCCTTGGTGGCGAAGAGCGCGGCCCGCGGTCGCCGCGCGAGCTGGGCGACGGCGGCGCGCAGCATCGACGTGCGTGTGTGGGTGTATTGATGGGTGCGGTGCGGTGGCAGCGGCGCGCGACGACGTCGGTGGCGGCCTCGAGCGCTCTCCTTGATAAGCTCAACCTTGAGAATGTCTTGAGAATGGCGATTTGCTTGTTGGCATTTTTGATGCATCGAGCCATACTCGCCGCCCTCACCGTCGTCGCAGCCGCCCTAGAAGCACCCATGTCCGTTCTCCAGCGTCGCGGACAAGCCGTACGCTCCCTAAAATCCGTCGCTCTAGGTCGGCGCTCCCGAAGAAGATCGGCGTCGTCGGCGTGGGCACCATCTCGTCGGCGACGGTGCGCGGCCTCTGCCGCGCCTTCCCCGGCGCCGGCGAGCCGACGTTCGTGCTGTCGCCGCGCGGCGCCGCCAAGGGCCGGGCGCTCGTCGACGAGTTCGGCGCCGAGCGCATCGCCGTGGCCGACAGCAACCAGGCCGTCGTCGACGCGTGCGACTGCGTCATCGTCGCCGTGCTGCCGGCGCAGGCCGCGGACGTCCTCGGCGCTTTGACCATCCCGAAGACGACGTTGATTATTAGCCTCATGGCTTCCGTGAAGCTCGCGACCCTGCGAGAGCTCACGCGGGTCGACCGCGTCGTCGTCTGCTGCCCGCTGCCGGCCGTGCAGCAAGGAGCGGGCACGACGATCGTCGTGCCCGCGGACGTGCCCGAGGCCGCGGCGATCTACGGCGCCGTCGGCACGGCCGTGCCCGTCGACGACGAGGACCAGTACCGCCGCCTCCAGTGCATGACGTGCCTCATGGGCGACTGCTACGAGCGCATGCGGACGTCGCAGGAGTGGCTCGAGGCCAACGGCGTCGCCGGCGACGTCGCGGCGACCTACGTGACGGGCATCTTCAAGACCATCCTCACGGACGCCGCCGGCGCCGGGCCGGAGACCCTGGGCCACCTCGTCGCCGAGCAGACGCCCGGCGGCATGAACGAGATGGTCATCTCCGAGCAGCGCGCGGACGGCGCCTACGCGGGCCTCGAGCACAGCCTCAACTCGATCCACTCCCGCCTCTCGGGCGCCCACGACGCGAGCCTCGCGCCGGCGAACAAGCGCCAGAAATCGTGAGCGATTTTAAAAGAGCAACTCATCGTGGTTGAAGGCGGCGTTGAACTGGAAGGCACCATTCCAATTGGCGATTGCCGGAAGGGCGCGCGATGGCAGGTCTGCAGCCCTGCACTGCACTCTTTTGTCGCTAACAGTCTCGATGGAGGCAGCCCCTGGGGCCGGCTTGACGTGCTACGACAGCGTCGACGCCGCGAAGGCCTTGGCGCTGCCGTGGCCGGACCTCTACTACAGCCCGGCGTGGGGCGCCGTGGAGCTTGCGGCCGGCGCGTCGGCCTGGGAGCTCGCCCTGTGGCGGCGGCGCGACGACGCGTCCGACGGCGCTGGGCCGGCCTTCGTCGCCTACGCCTACGCGAAGCGGCCCGTGCTGCGACGCGGGCGGCGCGTGGGCTGGGACCTGCGGTCGCCCTACGGCTACTCCGGGCCGTGGTCCTCGCCGCGCGCGACGGAGAGCGACTGGGCGGCGTTCCGCGCGGCCTTCGTGGCCCTGGCGCGCGAGCGCGGCTATGTCTCCGAGTTCGTGCGCTTCTCGCCGCTCTTCCCGCACTTCGCGACGGCCTACGGGGCGGCGGCGGCGGCGCTCGCGACGCGACGCGTCGCGACGATCGCCGCGGACCTCCGGGGCGGCGCCGACGGCTACTGGCGCCGCGCGGCCAAGCAGCACCGGAACAAGGTGCGCAAGGCGCGCAAGCGCGGCGTCGCCGTGGCCATGTCCGTCGTCGAGACGGCCGCCGACGTCGCCTCGTTCCGCGACCTCTACGAGGAGACGATGGACCGGCGACGCGCGTCGCGCCTCTACTACTTCGACGAGGCCTACTACGCCGCCCTGGTCGCCGAGCTCCCGCGCGGCGACTGCTACTACGCGACGGCGACGGCGCCGGACGGGTCGCTCGTGTCCGCGGCGATCTTCCTCCGCCACGGCGCCGCGCTCCACTACCACCTCTCGGGGTCGCGCGCGGCGGGCTACGCGCTCGCCGGGCCCAGCGCCATCCTCGACGCCGCCGCGCGCCTCGGCGCGGCCCTCGGCTGCGCGACGCTCCACCTGGGCGGGGGCCTCCGGCCCGGCGACGCGCTCGCGACGTTCAAGCGCGCCGTCGGCGACGTCGTCCTCGACTGGACGCTCGGCACCTCCGTGCTGGATCCGGGCGCGTTCGACGCGCTCATGGCGATCCGCGCGGCCGCGGTCCACACGGACGTGGCCGACCTCGCGGCGCGGGCCGGGGCCTTCTTCCCGGCCTACCGCGCGGGCCTCGACGGCGACGACCTCGCGCCGCCGACGGGCGTGTCGTAAGGCGCGTCGGGCGCGGCATGTCCCGCGCTCGGGTCGCGGCTCGCGCGACCGGCGCTGTTTCTTAGAGGGCGTCGTCGCGCGCGCCCGCGGGCCGGGCCGCGCGCCGGAGCGTGATCTCGACGCGCTCGCCGTCGACGTAGAAGTAGGCGGGGAAGGAGTCCGGGTCGCAGTAGCGGATCGCGTCGTAGAGGTCCGCGAGGGGCCGCGACGCGTCGACCTCGGAGTCGCGCGGGCCCCGTTTCTCCGTCCAATTCGCCGCGGCCTCGTCCTGCGGCACGAAGAGCGCCGCGAGCGCCGGCGCGTCCCGGAGCACCGGCGCCACGGCGTCGAGCGCGCGGCCGACGCCGTCGGCCTCCGCGTCGAAGGTCCGGCGCTTGCACGAGAGGTACGTGTCGAATTTCGAGAGCTCGAAGCGCGTCGCCAGGAGCACGGGCCCGTCGTCGATGCCCGGCGTGATGCGGTGGACCGTCGCGCCCGCCTCGGCGTCGCCGTCGCGGATCGCGCCCCAGAACGGCGAGAAGCCGCGGTGCCGCGGCAGCAAACTCGGGTGCGAGTTGACGAAGAGCGTCGCCGGCGCCCCGTCGAGCGCCGCGCGCGTCAGGATGAAGGGCCAGCCCAGGGTCAGGACGACGTCCGGCGCGGCCGCCACGAGGAGCGCCTCGTACTCGGCCTTGCGCGCGTGGCGCCAGGCCACGCCGAGCGCCGCGAGGTCGCGGCCGAAGGCCTCGTACCGCGCGCCGGAGGGGATGAAGATCGTCAGCGACGCGAGCAGGCCCGCGTCGCGCCGCCGCAGCAGCTCCCGCACCGCCGGCATGCGCTGCGAGTTGTGCACGCACGCGATCAGCGAAGGCGGCGGCGGCGACATGGCGCTCATGCTCTAATCGGGCTGCCCGAGTCCTTGAATTCCCACCTAATGCAGCAAGGGCGGTTGCGGCAAGAGGGCGCTCATATTCTAATCGGCTGCCCGAGTTCTTGAAGTCGTTGTTGCTCGTTCATTGAGCCCTTGGCGCATGGGCGCTCGATAGCTGCTCGAGCAATTCCGCTGCCGCAGTGCGAGCATCGCAGCTCTCCGAGCGCTATGCGCCGCCTCCTCGCGCTCTGCGCCTGCGCGCGCGCGCTGTCGCCGCGCGAGCTCGTCGCAGCCCACGTCGCGAAGCGCGGCGCCGTCGAGTTCGCGCCGCGCTCGCGGTGGGCGCCGGACGTCCGCTTCTCGAGCGCCGCGGGCGGCTTCGCCGGCGCCGCGGAGCTCGCGGCCGCGGCGGACTTTTGGGCCGCGACGGAGGAGCTCGAGGGCTTCGCGACGGCGACGGCGTCCGTCGCGAGCGTCGCGCCGCGCGAGGTCATCGTCCGCTGGAACGCGACGTGGACGCCCGACGCCGCGCGCTGGCTGCTCGCCGTCGCGGCCGCGTGGCCCGGCGTCGCGGCGACGCCGACGAGCTACGCGGACCGGTGCCGCGAGGTGTCGTCGTTTTCCTGGCGCAAGGTCTTCGAGCTCTTTCGCTCGGCCGCGCGCACGGGGGAGTTGCGGGTGCCCCTGGCGACGGTCGAAGGCACGACGACGCTGACCTTCGACGACGGGGAGCTCCGCCGCGTCGACGAGGCGCTCTTCTTCGCGGACCTGCTCCGACGGGGGCAGCTCCAGAACCGGCGGTGCGCCGCGGACCTGCGCTTGTTTCTCGAGGTCTGCCGGCGGCCGCCGGGAACGACGGCCGACGCCTGGGCCGACGCCGTCGCGGAGGCGCTGCCCTGGGCGTCCGTGCCCGGCTCCGGGAGTCTCGACATCGAGCCGAGCGACGACGGCGGCGGCGAAGTCGTCGTGTTCGCGGCGGTGGTCGTCGCGGGCCTCGCGGCGCTCTCGGCGACGATCGCGCCGCTGCTCCTCGGGCCCTCCGCGCCGCCCGACGTGGCCGCGTACTACTAATCTGGCGCCGCGGCCAGCCAGGCGCGCGTCGCGTTCGCGAGCGCCGCGAGGTTCGGGTAGGGGTCCGCGTCGCCGAAGATCGAGGCCCGCTCGTGTCGCGTCGGCGCGCCCGCGAAGGCCGCCGGCAGTTCGAGCCGCGCGTCGTCGACGCAGCGGAGCGTCGTCCGCTGGTAGGCGACGTCCGCGACGCTCCCGGCGTCGCCGCGCGCGAGGCAGGCGAGGAAGTCGTCGCCCTCGCCGCCCCAGCGCTTGAGCTGGAACGCGGACCCGGACGCGTTCGCGCCGAGGCGGCGCGCGACGACGGCGACCGGGCCGAGGAGCTGCCTCCGCGGCGGATGGTGCTCGCAGACCGGGGACCCGCCGGAAGCGCGCGAGTAGTTCGCGGCGTCGCGGACGAGGACGAACGACTGGAGGTAGACCTACGACGCGCGACGGTGCGACGCGGAGGCGCGGGGGAGCCCCGGAGCCGCGCGCCCGGACGCCGCGGCTCGCCTCCTCCGCCCCCTGGCCGCCGCCGGCGCCCCGGAGCTGCTCGACGCGCGCCCAGACGCTGCCGTTGCCCGCCTTGGCCCACGCGGCGAAGGCCTCGACGGTCGTCCGGGGGAAGAACGCGCCCTCGTGCTGCGAGAAGCCCGCGCCTGGGGCGCGGGGACGCTCGGGCCGCGGAAACAAACGACGGACGCGGCCGAACGCGCGGCACGACGCCTTGTCGCCCAGCGCGTCGAAGAAGGCGCGATGCAGGCGCCGCTTCCGCGACTCGCAGTACTTGCGGAGCCAGGCCGCCTCCTCCACGCGCGCGTAGTCGCGGCGCGCGACGTGGCGCTCGACGCCCGGCCGGAAGAAGCGGCTCGTCGAGCTCGAGAACAGCACGTGGCGGAAGTTCAAACCCAGGGACGCGCCGTAGAGCGCGTTGCTCACGTGGCCCAGCAGCACGGTGCCGCTGCCGTGGCGCGTCGCGAATCGCTCGGGGTTCACGCGGAGCCGGCCGTCGCGGCCGTCGAAGGCCGCGACGTCGCGGAAGTCCGATCGCTTCGCGCCGGCGCTCACGTGGACGACGACGGGCGTGTCGCCGCGCGTGAACTGCAGGACGTTCTCCAGCGTGCGCAGCGCGTAGCCGCCGCCCTCGTAGACGAGGGAGCTGACGAGGACCTGCGCGCTGCCGTCGTGGAGCAGCACCGCGAGCAGGCAGCCGCGCAGCCAGAAGGGCCGCGCGCTAGTCGCGCGCATCACGGCTGTTCATGCGCGAGGGTGCGGTTTTATCGCAGCCCTGGCCGCCCATGCTTATGCACTGCAATAGGACTGCTTCGCGGCTGCATCTTCAGCTTGGCGACAAAAACAGCATCTCGACACGAGCTCGAGGATGGGTGAGATTGAGGACCTCCGCGCCGAGCTGGCCGCGCAGCAGGAGCAGCAGGAGCTGCTGAAGCTGAAAGAAGAGTTGGCGAAGATCAAGCGCGAGAACGCCGCGCTCGAGACCAAGGCCGGCGGCGCGGGCGGCACGCCGGCGACGCCGGCCGCGGCGCCGCCGAAGAAGAAGAAGTCGAAGAAGGCCAAGAAGGCGCCGAGCGCCGAGGAGGCGGCGGAGCTCGCGGCGCTGCAGAAGGAGCTCGCGGCCGTGACGGGTGAGACGTCGCGCCTCGAGTCCGGCGACGCGAAGCCCGCGGCGGCGAAGCTCGCGGCGGCGGACCCCAAGTCCGACGACGCCTACGTGCGGCGCGCCTACGTCGGCGGCCTGCCCTACTCGTCCACGGAGGCCTCCGTGTCGTCCTACTTCGCCAACGCCTGCGGCGAGGTCCGGCGCGTCGATCTCAAGGACTTCGACGACACGCCCGGCAAGTTCTGCGGCATCGCGTTCGTGACCTTCGGCGACGAGGACGCGCTCCAGCGCGCGCTGAACCTCGACGGCTCGGCCTACGAGGACGACGAGCGCTGCAGGCTCAAGGTGCGCCGCGACCAGACCGCGAATCGCCGGCCGCCGCCGGAGCGCAAGGCGGGGTCGCTCACGGTCTACGCGGGCAACATGGGCTGGGACACGAGCCGCGACGACGTCGCCGCCTACTTCGCCGAGCAGGGCTGCGCCGTGGCGAACCTGCGCTACCACACGGACGCGGACACGGGCAACTTCCGCGGCTTCTGCCACGTCGAATTCGAGGACGAGGCGTCGCTCGAGGCGGCGCTCGCGTGCGCGGGGACCAAGTGGCGCGGCCGCGACCTGCGCATCTCCCACAGCGAGACGGCGAAGAAGCGGCCCGCCGAGGGCGGCAAGGGCGGCAAGGGCGGCCGGGGCCGCGGCGGCGGCGCGAAGAAGCAGCGCGGCGGCCGCGGCTAGGCGGGGGCTAAATCAGAGGAAGGTCCCCGCGCTTCGCGGGTGCTGGAGCGTGCCTTAGCAGCGTGGCTACGCAAGCGACCGCGGGCAGGGATGTCGCGTAGAGGCACTTGTAGAGGCCTAGGCTCTAGCCTAGGCTGGTATTGAACTTGTACATCTCGTTGCGGTGAAGTTTTATGTGACGCTGTGAATTACAATCTGCGCAATAGATCTGCGGTGCTGGCGGCGCGGCCGATTCGGAGTTCGTGGGGCGACGCGCGGGCGCCGCGGAGGCCGGTCCTCCGCGGGGTGTCCCCTCGAGCGTCCCGTCGCGCCTCGCCTCGCCGCTCGCCGCGGCGGAGGCAGCCCCGGGCGCCATGGAGGACATCATGAGCCGCATGGGGAGCCTGGCGACGAACGACGAGCCGCGGCGGCCCTTCCGCTGCAGCTCGGCGCACTGGACGGGCGCCTGCTCCGCCGAGGAGGCGTCGAAGCGCGACGAGCTCCTGGCCGCGGCGTCGCCCGACGTCGCGCACGTCACGCCCGCGGGGTTCACGCCGACGCTGGCGCCCGCGCAGCTCCCCGCGAAGAAGCGGCGCGAGTCCTGGAGCTCGACGGACGACGAGGGCTGCTGCGTGCCCATCAGCCGGCGGCCCGGCGACGACCCGCCGCCGCCGCCGGGCGCGTCGGGCTTCTCCGCGTTCGGCCGGAGGTTCCCGGACCAGCCGCCGCCGCTCCTCGGCGACGCCGTCGGCCGCGCGCCCCTCTTCGACGACGACCGCCGCGCCGCCGACGAGCGCGCCTTCGAGCGGCGGCGCCGCACGCGGGCGCTGCCCAACGTCCGCGTGCGCCGGCGGTCGCCGAGCCCCGAGTCGTCGGAGTGCTCCTCGCCCGAGGGGCCCGGCCGCGGGCTCCGGCCCCGCCCGCGGCCGAGCCGGCCGAGCCGGCGGCGGCTCTAGCGTACAAAAAAAGGGGCGATCTGGTTACGAGAGCGCCCCCGGGGGATGGTCGGGGAAGGGGTGGCGCGGCGGCGCGCCGGCCGGGGGAACGGGCCGCGCTACTTGAAGGTCATGACCTCGGCGGTGTCGCCGCCGGACTTGGACTCGGCGACGTCGTCTTCGCCGCCGAAGGCGCGGAGCGGCGGCCGCGAGCCCTTGTCGTCGAGGCCCGCGCGCGACACGGGCCGGCCGCCCGCGGCGGGCGCGAGGCGGCCGCCCTTGGGGTCGTCGAGGGGCGCCGGGCCCGCGTCCTTGGCGTCGGCGTCGTAGGCGCTGAGGTGCGTGAGCTGGGCGCGCTTCTTGATGGGCTCCGTCGACGCGATGATCGTCCCCGCGGAGCGGTGCTGCGGGTTCGTGTCCTCGGCGCCCGCGCGCCGCGTGTGGTCGACCTCGGCCGCCTCCGTCGGGTTGACCTTCTTGAAGGTGACGAGCTCGTTGAGCACGAAGGCCAGCACGTGCTTCGCGGACAGCGCGTTCTCCGGCGACCGCGCGGCGAGGTGCGCCGTCGCGCCGACGATCTCGCCCGCCTCGCGGACGTAGTACTCCAGGTCGTCGGGCTCGGCCAGCGCCGCGTCGCCGTCCTTCTTCGTCATGCCGCCGGGGATGCACTTGTTCGTCAGCTGCGCGAGGCGCTCGCGCTTCGAAGCAAAGTGCTCGTCGAGGTCGAACTGGTCGAGCGGCGGGCTCGGCGGCTCGCGCAACGCCGGCGGGAACGTCGCGGGCTGCAGGGGCGGCAGCGGGTACTCGAAGGACGGCGGGATGAGGCTGAGGGCCTCGTGCTTCACGTGGAGCTGCTCGTAGAGCGCGACGACCTCGGGGATGACGTCCGTGTCGAAGCGGAACAAGGCGTCGTTGAAGAGGCGCGTGAAGTTCCGGGGCAGCTCGTCGTTCTCCTGGAGGCAGGCGCGCAGGCGCGACGCCAGGGCCTCGATGTCCGGGACGCGCGCGTAGGCCGCGGCGTCGTCGCCCGCGTGGTGGTGCTCGCCGGACATGTCGAACGTCGTGTCCATGCCGGGGTCGAAGGACCCGTGGTGGCCCCGCTCGACCTCCGTGGGCGCGTGCTTGTGGTGGTGGTGGTGGTGGTGGTGCTTGCCGTCGGTAGGCGACGGCGCGCCGCCCCGGTTCTTCGCGCTCTTGTGGTGGTGGTGGTGGCCCTTGGGCTTGTCGTCCTTGGGGTGCGCCTGTGCCGTTCAAATCTTCAACTCGACTTCAATGTGAGCGTACGCGACAGTTTCGACGCAAAGCTCTTCGGCTTCGCTTCGAGAACTCGACGAGAGCAATCGAATCGTCCAAAAATCAGCCGAATCGACTTCGATTTGACCGAGCTAGAGAGTTCTGAAGTTTGGTCAGGACAACTCAAACCCGTGGTTGCATTCGGCACAGTGGTGCGCGGCGCCCGCGGACACGAGGCTCGGCGCCTCGGCGTCGCGCGCGAGCCAGCGGAAGAGCAGGTCGCAGAGCGTGCCGTTCTCCTCCTTGTCGAGCCACTCGTCGGAGAACATCTCGACGGCCCCCGCGGCGACGACGCGCGGCCGCGGCCGGTTCCGCTCGCCGTTCGGGTGCGACCCCTCCCAGGCGGCGCAGACCGTGCGGTGGATGGGGTAGGAGATGGCGCCGCTGGAGAGGACGGCGCGCGCCGGGCGCTGGACGCTGAGCGTCGCGCCGCGCGGGTAGACGAAGGAGAGGCCGCCGCCCTGCGCCGCGTCGTGGCCGCCCTCGGGCTCTTTGGCCGCCGCGACGCCGCCGCGGCGGTGCTTCCGCGCGTTTCCGTGGCTCAGGTGCTTGTGCGTCGCCAATTCGGGCTGGAGCACGCCGTGGGAGACGAAGACCTCCTTGGGGTGGAGGTACTTGTAGTAGACCGTCCGCAACACGGAGTCGGGCTGCGCGGACATGCCGTAGCCCTCCAAAAGCTCGTTGACGTTGCAGCCCAGCTTCGGCTCGCCGCCCTCGCTGCTGAGCACGAGGAGGGACCCGCCGTTGGCGACGAACTCCTTGACGTCGCGGAGCTCGTCGGCCGTGAACCGCTCGCGCGGCGCGCCGACGACGAGCACGTCGACGGTCCCGAGCAGCTGCGGCGTCAGGTCCTCCTTGTTCGAGATGGGCTTGTAGTTGCTACTCCGCAGGCGCCGGAAGAGCTTCTTGAAGCCGTTCCCCGCGTGGTGCGTCTCGCGCTTCGACGCGTCGATGCAGATGATGGTCTGCGCCTTCGGCTTCTCCGGCGGGCCGCCGTCCTTCTCCTCCATGGCGCCGGCGCCTCCGGCCCCCGCGGGTGCCTGCAGGACGGCCGACCGACCGGGCCGAGCGGCGGGGCGCGCGCGGGGCGGCCGAGGGCAAGCCGGCGCGGCTGCCGGTGGCTATTCGAACGCGACGGGTAGCGAGCTGCTCACGATGCTGCCCCGCCGACGTTGACCGCAACTCCATCAATGGTGATAGGACCCCTGGTTGCCGAGATGTTGCCGGCGCAAGCACTTGCCGAGGGCGCCGCGCTCGTCGCGCGCGCGACTCTGACACCGCGCGCGCGACACACAACCGCACGACACAACCGCCGCGCCACATCAGACGCCGCGGCGCGCCGCCGCGCGCATACATGGCGTCCGTGTCCGGCCTGCTCCACGTGCGGCTCCGGTCGGCCAGCGGGTGCCTCGCCGTGCCGGCGGCGTCGCTCACGGCCAAGTTCCGGCTGTTGCCCTGGCGCGAGGAGCAGACGACGTCCGGCGCCCACGCCGACGCCGACGGCAACGCGACCTGGGCCGACGACGACGACGGGAACCTCGTGGTGCTGGCGCAGCTCGCCGCGACGGAGAACGCGGCGCCGCGGCTGCACGTCGAGCTCCGGAGCCGCGAGCTCTACGTCTACGAGCGGTCCCTGGGCCAGGCGACGGTCGACGCCGCGGCGCTCGTGGCGGCGCCGGGGCGCCGGGAGACGCTTTCGATAGCGCTCGAGGCCGCGGGCGACGACGCGCGCGCCGTCGTCGTCGTCGACGTCGAGTTCGTCGCGGGCACGACGACGGCGCCCGAGGCGCTGGAGCGCACGGAGTCCCAGGGCTCCCTCAACGAGGGCCGGCGCCACCAGCACCTCTTCCGGCTCACGTCCTACACGCGGCCGACGTGGTGCGCGGTCTGCGGCGGACTGATGGTCGGCATCCGCCACCAGGGCTTCCAGTGCGAGTCCTGCCTGCTCGACTGCCACGACCACTGCCAGCTCCGGGCCCACGCGACGCACGACTGCCGCCTCGGCACGCCCGTCGCGCCGCGCGACGACGGCGAGAGCGCCGAGGCGGAGGAGGCGTCGCCCGAGGCCGCGACGCCGGAGAAAGCCGTGTCCCGGCGGCCGTCGGCGTCCGTCGACGACATCGCCGAGGAGAAGCCGCGGCCGTCGTCGAGCCGGGGCGTCGGGCTGCTGACGCTCCACCTCACGGGCGTGCGCCTCGCGCGCGACGACGACGACGACGACGACGCCGCGGCGGCGAAGACGAAAAAGGCCGGCGACTACTACGCGCGGCTTTGCCTGGCGCCGTCGCGCGACGCGCCGACGCCCACGGACCGCCACTACGCGAAGCGGACGCACACGGTCTACGAGACGTCGGACCCGACCTTCGACGCCAAGTGGCAATTTTTGGTCGAGTCGTTCGGCGCGGAGGTGCGTTTGGAGCTCGTGGACGCGGCGCGGGACGCCGTCGTCGGCAGCCTGCGCTTCGGCGTGTTGGACCTCCTCCAGGAGCGGGCGGACTTCGCCGCGCGCGAGGCCTACGTCGCCGCGCGGCGCGCGTACCGCAACGCCGTCGCGGCCGTCGCTCGCGCGAAGCGGGCGGAAGACTCCGGCGCCGTGCCCTACGCCGCGCCGGCGACGCCGCGCTTCTTCGACGACGCGGAGAACGCGGCGTTGCGGGACCGCGCGGGCGCCGTCGCGGGCGCGGCGGCCTTTGCGCGCGCGGACCTCGAGGTCTTCTCGGACGACCTGTGGTGGAGCCTGGACCCGCGCTACGCCCCCCCAACGCCCGAGCCGGCCCAGTTCTCCATCGAGATCACGCGGAGCCACATCCAGCGGGCGACGGACGTCGTCAACGCCATCTCCCGGGCCTACGCGGACTACGAGACGTTCATGAGCTGGGACGAGCCGCTGAAGACGGGCGCGGCGTTCGTCGCCTTCGTGGGCTGCTGCGTCTTCGTGGACGCGGAGTACGCGGGCGCCCTGCCGCTGCTCGCCTTCGTCGTCTTCCTCGCGGCGCTCGCGCCGCGGCGCTTCGCGAGGGGCGACCCGCGCGCGGGCGAGCTCGACCTCGCGTTCCGGAGAGCGGACGAGGAGCACCTGGGCGGCGGCGCCGCGCGCTACCGGCCGCTCGCCTACGTCAAGGTCGCGGTCTGCGCGGGGCGGGGCGTCGACGCGGGGGCGCGCGACGAGAAGCGGACGGAAAAGCCGACGCCGGGCGACGTCTATGTGGTCGCGTCGTTCCGCCACTACCGCGCGGCGCCGGCGCCGCAGCCGCCGGCCGTGCCGCGGTCCAACTCCCGGGACGCGGCGACGCGCTCGCCGAAGAAGGCCCGCGAGCCCGAGAGCGCGTCGTCGAGCCCGCGGCACACGAAGGACGAGGACGACGCGTTCTGGCGCGACGCCGCGCTCTTCCCGGGAGACGTGGCCCTCGACGGCGACGGCGCCGCGAAAAACGACGGCGGCGACGGCGCCGAGCCGTCGGACGACGACGGCGACGACGCCGCGTCGGAGGACGACGAGCCGCGGCGCCTCTACGACGAGCACGTCCTGGGCTACACGGGCACGGCGGCGAAGACGTGCGAGCCGCGCTGGCACGGCGCGCTGGGCGCGACGCTGTCGCACCGCGCCGCGGGCCCGTCGGCGCTGCTGTCGCGGCTCGTGGGACCGCGCTTCGGCGGCGGCGAGGCCGACGCGTGCTCCTTCGCCGTCGTCGAGCCCTGGGAGCGGCGGGGCTGGGCGGGCGAGGCGCGGCGCGCGAAGCCGCTCGTCGACCGCGCGCTCGTCTACCCGTTGCTCCAGCCCGCGGACGGCGGAGAGCTGCGGCCCTGGGCCGAGGCGACGGGCGTGCTCGTCTTCCGCGTCATGCGCCAGCACCCCATCGACCGCCTGCTCGACTCGTGCCTGGGCTCCGTGGAGGTGCCCGTGGCGTCCCTGGTCGACGACGACGGCGGCCGCGGCGCGCAGCGCGAGCGGCGGGGCTGGCACGACCTGGAGCTGTCCGACGACGAATCCGACGCCGAGGCGCCGCCCGACGTGCCCTACGCCAAGAAGAAGCGCGAGCCGCCGGCGCTGCATCTCCGCCTGCAGCTCGCGCTCCGCGACACGTCCGCGGCGCCGAACCCGGACGAGCGGGAGACGTCGCGCGCGGTCGAGGCCATGCAGGACCCGGACGCCGCGGACCCGGCGGCGCACCCGGACCTGCGGTCGCGCGTCGTCGGCGTCGCGCGCGACGGGTTGCGGCCGCTGTCGACGGCCGTGACCGCGCACGAGTACCTGGCCTGGGCGCAGAACGCGTTAGGGCGCTACCTGGACGTCATGGAGTCGATGAAGAATTTGGTGAACTGGACGCACCCGGAGAAGACGGGGCTCATCTTCGTCGGCGTTCTAGTCGGGGCGGTGTTGTTCTGCCGGATCAAGACGCGGTGGCTGACGTTGGCGTTCGGTCTGTACGAGTTCACGTACCGCCTGCTGCCTTCGTCCGCCTCGACGGTGACCTGCCGCTTCCTCAACGCGCTCAAGGCCGTGCCCAACGACCGCGACCTGCGGGCCTGCTACGGCCACCGCGCGGCGCTCCACGCGGGGCGCCTCGTCGACTCGGAGCGGCGCCGGCGCCGCCGCGCGCGGCTCCACGCGATCTGGGACTGCGGCTGGGAGGGCGGCGTCGAGCTGCGGCCCGACGCGTCCAGCGCCTTCGACCGGCGGCGCCTCGTGCTCCACGGGCGGCGCCTCCTCGCGTGGCGGTCCGAGCGCGACGTCGACGCGGGCCGGCCGCCGGCGGCGCAGCTGTTGCTCCAGGGCCACAGCGGCCTCACGGCGCCGGCGCCGACGGACGGCGCGGGGCTGCCCGACGACCGGCGGGCCCACATGCTGGCGGTCTTCGGCCAGGCGAGCGACGGCGCGCCGCTCCGCTGGGCGCTGCTCTGCGCGGACGAGCGGGACCGGGAGGCGCTCGGCGCGGCCATCGCGCGCGCGTGCGACGATAAGCTGGACTAGGTGGTGGCGTGTAACATCGCCGAGCCGCGGCGACGGCGCGGCCCGTGGCGCGGTGAGAACGACCGAACGTAAGGGGTGATCATGAGCCTGGGAAGTGGCTGCGTCAAGGATGCACAGCTTCTTGTATGCACGATGCAGTTCTATTGAAGCCTCGGGGCGCGGGCAGCTTGAAAATGGGAGGCGTTTGTACCCCGAATTGAGGGTCCTGCCCGCCGGTTGACGACCCGCGCAGCCCCCAGCGCGCGGCGCAGCATGGACAAGACCGCTCGCACGACGCGGCGGCAGCACCTGCAGTCGCTGTGGCGCAAGCACGACGTGACCAGCATCATGGTCCGTTGCTTGGACCTCAAAGCGATCTCGCGGCTCCCCACCATCTCGCGGTCCTTCAACGCTGACCACCCGCGGCTGCTGGTCTCGCTGGTGCGCGGTAATCCGGGGGCAAGGCGCGGTTTCATGGACGCTCTGGCAAACGACGGCCACGACAGTTTTAGCGTCTGCGAGCGGTGGGAAAATGGTCTCGCAAACTGGGAACGACTCGAGTCATTATGTTTTAACTGTGCAACAATCCTTAGATAATCCTACGTTCTCCGCGCATGTGCGCACCGATGGTCCCAGGAACTACTTGGTTTTATCAAACCACAAAGAATTTCTTTCATACAGGAACGGGATGGCCCGGCGGATCGGCGGTCAACGAAATTGCGTGCGGAAGCTCAAGATGCGGATTCGCTTCGACGAGGGTGCTAACGGCGCAAGTCTCTCGCTCTGGTCGACTCGGGACCGTGACCGTGGTGACTGGGACTGGAATCAATCCCGACGCTTCGAGGACTCGAGTTTGTGCAGACTGTGCTTCGTGCCCGGGTCGAATGGCACAACAAATCTGGTGTATGTAAACGACCGCGTAGCCGACCAGTACGGGAACCATAGACGACTCGTTACTGGTGCCGAGCCAAATCACTGGTACTCCGTGGTAGCATTGTTTAATTGGGAAACAGAAAAGGTCAGTATTGCCGTCGATGGTTGGGATGGGGGCATGCCGTCCACGGATCCTTCGTTCAATTGCTTTCCATTGGGCGGAATCTTCCTCAATAATTTCTCCGGATTCAGGGGTCACTTCGCTGACATAGAAGTTGAGTACCATGTGGCACCGCCGCCGAGTCGGACTAGCTTCCCGTTCACGTACTATCGCGCCGACCTTCGAGGGGAGGACTCCGACGACTCCGACGACTCCGACGACTCCGACGACTCCGACGACGACTCCGGCGTCTCCGACGAGTAGGCAAGTTTGGAGTAGAGCCAGCCCGTCGGCCATCTGACGACGCGCTTGAGTCGACGCACGCGTGCGGACGCGTACAAAACCACCGCACGCCGGCCCGCCCGGGCCGCCCGCGCCGCGCAGTCGACCGACTTTTTTTATCGAGCATGGTCATGTCCAGCGACAAACAGCGCGCAGCGCGCGCGTTCCGCAGCAGTCGATAGCCGGTCCCGCATCATCCATGACGGGCTCCGCCCCCGGCGGCGGCTCCGGCGGCGCGTCGCGGAACGCCGCGCTCGTGTACTTCATCAAGGCCTTCGTCGGGCCCGGCTGCCTGAGCCTCCCGCTCGCCTTCCAGAACGCGGGCCTGGGCCTGGGGCTGGGCACGCTCCTGGTCCTCGCCGTGGGCGTGACGCACAACCTGCGGAGCCTCATCCTCTGCAAGCGGTTCTACGAGGGCGCGAGCACGTACGCGGACGTCGCGGAATGCGCCGTGGGCCCCAAAGCGAAGCGCGGCGTCGAGTTCCTCGTGAACCTGGTCCAGCTCGGCGTCTGCACGGTCTACTTCGACTTCTTCGGCGAGAACGTGCGCGCGCTCCTGCCGCCGCGGACGTTAAGTAGTAGAGCGCTCATGGTCACCGTGTTTCCCATCTACTACGGCCTCGCGCTGCTGCGGGACGTCAAGACCATCGCGCCCTACGCCGCCCTGGCGAACGCGCTCATCTTCTTCGCCATCGGCATCGTTTTATTCGCCGCCGCGGCGGAGATCGGCGCCGCGGACGAGCCCGGGTTCGCGGTCTCGAAGCCGGCGACGCTGCCGCTCTTCTTCGGCACGGTCGTCTACTCCTTCGAGGGCGTCTGCTCCATGCTGCCCGTGGAGAACGCGCTCAAGCACAAGGCCGACGTCTTCCCCGTGCTCTACCTGGGCATGGGCGTCGTGACCGTCGCCTACGCGTCCGTCGGCGCGGTGTGCTACGTCGCGTGGCCCGCGGTGTCGTCGGGCTCGATCACGGCGGAGATCGCGGCCCAGGAGGGCCGCGCGGGCTTTGTCGCGACGGCGGGGCCCGTGGCCGCGAACATCGCCTGCGTCGTCGCCGTGATCTTCACGTTTCCCGTGCAATTATTTCCGGCGATCGAGCTCCTCGAGGGCCACTTCTTCCTGGCGACGCACAAGCGCTTCGAGAAGCGGTCCTTCGAGGCCGTCGAGGCGCAGGACGACGGCGTCGTCGTGGAGATGGTCACGGTCGGCGCCGTGGAGAATCCCCTGCATACGGAGGAGGCGGCGGACGGCGACGACTTCGGCGACCTCGAGGACGTCGCCATCGACGGCGACGACGCCGGCGACGACGACGTCGCGGAGGAATCCAAGGCCGGCGACGCCGTGCCCGAGGCCGAGGGGAAGCGAGCGACCATGCCGCCGAAGCGGGCCGCGTTCCGCCTGCTCATCGTGTTCCTCGTCTTCGTCGCGGCCATCGCCGTGCCGGACCTCGGCGCCCTCATCGCGCTGCTCGGCGCCGTGACGGGCAGCATCCTGAGCCTCGTGGCGCCGGCGATCATCAACCGGCGCTGCCCGCGGGAGAAGCGGCCCTTCGAGCTCCCGGCGGACGTCGCGTTCTTGGCCGTCGGCGTCGTCGGCGGCGCGTTGGGCTCCTACCAGGCGCTCCTCAACATCGTCCGCGACCCCGACTCGCTCGAGGACGAGGTCGGCCGTTAACCTTCGTTAGAAACCGAGCCTCACTTGACGCCCGCGGCCTGGAGCGCCGCGAGCTTCGCGGCCGCGACCTCGAGGAGCCGGTCCAGGGAGATCTTCCGCGACGACCGGAGGGCCTCGGCGAGGGCGCCGTCGTCGAGGCCCGCGAGGAGCGACGGAGGCAGCGCCGGCGGGCCGTCGTCGGCGGCGGAGAGGAGCGCGCGGAGCGCGGTTCTCGCGGCGCGGAGCAGCGCGGCCAAAGCCGCGAGCGCGCCGTCGAGCGCGGCGCGCGCGGGCGTCGCGTCGCCGCCGCCCTTCTTCTTCTTCTTGCCCTTGGCCTTCTTGCCGCCGTCGCCCTCGTCCAGACTCAGGAGGACGACGCAGGCCGGGGCGACCGCGCGGTGGAGGACGACGGCCGCCGTCGTGATGCTCTCCGCGACCGCGTCGACGCCGTCGCCGCCGCCGGCCGCGACGCGCGCCGCGCAGGCGTCCAGCGCGGCCGTGAGCGCGTCGAGCGCCGCGCCGTCGGTCGCGCCGCCGAGGGCCGCCGCGGCCGCCTCGTAGGCCCGGGCCGCCGCGGCCCACGCGTCGTCCGCCGCGGCGTGCGCGAGCCACGGGCTCCGGCGACCCGCCTCGTGCGACGCCGGGTCGGCGCGCCGCGCGCCGCCGTCGGTCCCCGCGACGTGGGCGCGCAGGGCGGCGAGGGTCTCCGGCGGCGGCGCCTTCCGGTCGACGACGAGGGCCCGGACGAGGTCGCGCGTCGCCGCCGCGGCGCCGATCTGCTTCCGCAGCGTCTCGCCGGCCCGCGCGGCCGCGTCCTTGGAACGTCCCTCTCGCCAGGCGTCGCGCACGCGGAAGTCGCAGTTGACGCTCGCGGCCTCGAAGCTCGCCGCCGTCGCCGCGAGCGCCAACGGCGGCGCGTCCGCCTCGTAGCCCTCGAAGAACTGGCGCGCGTCCGACGGCGCGTGCAGATGCAGCACGAGCTCCGTCGTGAAGAGCTCCGCGCGCGCGAGGTGGCGCGTCGCCGACGCGTCGAGGCGGCGCCGCTGGAAGGTCTGGAGCTCGACGCAGCGCGCGAAGTTGCCGTGCGCCAGCGCGCGGAACGCGAACTCGTCCGCGTCGCGCCGCGCGGTCTCGTGGAGGTGGAGGATGTTGCGGCAGTGGAGTTTCAGCTCCGTGAAGAAGCCGAAGTGGGACGTCCAGGGCCAGAGCAGGTAGCCCAGCGAGTCGAGCTGGATCTGCTTCACGCCGAGCTTCCCGTAGACGCGGAGCGCGGCCTCGCCCGCGCCGACGGCCGCGAGCGCGTCGACGTAGGCCAGCGCGACGCCCGCGGCCGCCTCGTCGCGCGCGTGGGCCTCGCCGAGCACGCGGCAGGCCGTCAGCGTCGCCGCCGTCGTGCCGACGTCGCGGAGCGCGTACGCGCACAGCAGGTCGAGGTCCCGCGCCGTCCCCGCGTCGTCGCACGCGCGCGCGGCGGTCCGGAAGGCCTCGGCCGCCGCCAGGGACGCGTCCGGTGCCGGCGGCGCCGCGCGGCGGAAGCGCGCGAGCTTGCCGCGCGTCGCCCGGCGCCGCGCGTCCGCGGGCGCCGCCTCCTCCAAGGTGACGCCCGCGACGCTCGCGACGTCCAAGTCGACGAGCGCGGCGGCGTGGACCTCGAGGTCCTCGAAGCACGACGGCGACCCGCCCCAGGTCTTCTCGTAGGCCGCGACGCGCGCCTCGAGCTCGTCGCCGCCGGACCCGTCGAGCGCGTCGAGGCGCGCGGCCTCGAGGAGCGCCAACGCGGGGCCGCGCCCGCCGCCGTCGAGGCCGCCGAGCGCGGGCCGCGGGTCGTTTCCGGCGCGCCGCGACGCCACGACGAAGCCCTCGAGCGCGTCCCAGTCCTCGCGGTCGCGCTCGACGAGCTCCCAGAACTTGGCCGCCGCGGCGGCGGCGCCGCCCGACGCCAGCAGCCCGCGCGCCTCGGCGCGCCGGAGGTCGCCCGCCTCGGGCCGCCGGAGCACGCCCGGCCCGCCCCCCGGCGCCGCGTCGCTGTCGGCCTGGAGCGCGTCGGCGACGGCGTCGACGGCGCCCTTTTCGTCGCCCGCCTCGCGCCGCAGCGCGCCGACGAGCTCCAGCTCCTCGGCGGACGCGCCCTTGCAGCCTCCCCGGAACCCCAGGGCCTTGGCCGCGAGCTTCTCGCCGAGCTTCAGGCCGAGGGCGCCCGCGGGGCCGCCGAAGCGGTGCTCGAGGACGCCCGCCGCGCCGCACCACCAGAGGTACTCGGCCTTTTTCGTGCCTTTGTAGAGCGCCTGCGCCGTGGTCCGAAGCTTCCCGAAGGCGCCCTCCTTGAGGTGCGCCTTGGCGAGCTCGCGGCCGAGGTGCTCCTCGTCGGGCCGGCCCTCGAAGGCGTCGGTCCAGACTTTCGTCGCGTCGCCGTAGCGCTTGAGCGCGTTGAGCGTCATCGTCAAAGGCGTGAGCACGTTGTCGTCGTTCGCGACGCCTCTCGCTAAAATCAGGCTGCAGGTGCGGTCCGCCTCGTCGCGGCGGCCCAGGCGCTGCAGCGTCAACGCCTTGAGCGCGACGAGCACGGGGTTGCGCTCGTTCTTCTCGCAGAGCTTGAGCGCCTGCTTGTAGTTGCCGGCGTCCAGGGCGTCGTAGACGCGCTTCGGCGCCTCCATGGCCGGCGCTCGCGTCCGCGAAGCACGACGCGGCGGCAAAGCTGAGCAGCCACTTGGCGAAGCGATGCCACTGCAGCATGCGAGCTCATCCACAGGTTGAACTTCTTACACGGCAGTCCACGGAACTTACCACGCCCCCCCATCAGAACGCGCCGACGTCGTCCTCGTTCGAGGGCCGCCCCGCGAGCTTGTTGCGGAAGGTGAGGGCCCAGGCGGCGGCCGTCTCGCGGTCCTGGCGCGTGATCGTGGAGAAGTCGAGCTGCGTGAGCGTGGGGATCGTGTGGATCACGAAGGTGCGGTAGTGCTTCTTGTCCTCGATGGGGTTGCCGTGGAGCGTCAGGGACCGGAGCTCCTTGAGCTCGCCGAGGGCCTTGACCTGGCTCAGCGACGCGATGTTGTTCGCGTGCAAATAGAGCACGGTGACGTGCGGAAAGTGCGCGAAGGCGTCGCCGATCCTCGAAATCTGGTTGAAGCTCACGTCGATCCAGCGCAGGGCGTTGATGTCGGCGCAGACGTCGGCGAGCGCCGTCGACAGCCGCGACCCCTCGTCGCCCTCGACGCCCTCGACGGACGTGATGTGGTTGTTCGACAGCCGCACGCTGCAGCACTTGAGCCGCCGCTTCCGCGGCGCGTGCTTCTCGTGGGCGTGCTTCTCGCCGCCCTCGCCCTTCTCCTCGCGCTCCTTCGGCGGGGCGACGATGTTGAGCTTCGCCGGCAGGTCCCGCAGGTGCGAGATCTCCAGGAAGCTCAGGTTCATCACAAAGGGATGGCGCGACGTGCGGCTCACGACGACCTTCGCCGGCGACGGCGGGCCCTCGCCGTCCTTCTCCTCCGCCCCCATGGTGCTTCACGCAGGCGCCGGCGGCGGCGCCGACGTTTCGCAGAGCAGCCCCACCTCGCAGAGGCCGCGCGCTGTTGCAACAATTGTTGCGGCCGGATGAGCTAGGCCGACGGTGTCGTTGCCTGCGATCCAGTCGCCACCACACGATCGATGGGAACCAGAACAGCCGCGCGGCAGCCCGTCGCGACGACGCGGACGCGTCTCCTGGCCGCCGCCGCGCTCCTGCGGGCCGTCGCCGCGCCCGCGCCGTCGGCCGTGGCCCCTCGTTTCGTCGACGGCAGCGCGAACCCCTTCGACGGCATCGACGTCGGTTCCTACAGCACGCCCAGGTTCGTTGATCTCGACGGCGACGGCGACCTCGACCTCGTCGTGGGCGAGCAGGACGGCACCCTCAACTACTACGAGAACGTCGGGTCCGCGACGTTGCCGAGCTACGAGGCCAGGACCGGCAACGAGAACCCCTTCGATGACATCGACATCTGGAATGGCTACAGCGCGCCCGCGCTCGGCGACGTCGACGGCGACGGCGACCTCGACCTCGTCGTGGGCGCACTCGACGGCGCCCTCTACTACTTCGAGAACGTCGGGTCCGCGACGTCGCCGACCTTCGCGACCGTCGCCGGCGCCGCGAGCCCCTTCGACGGGATCGACGTCGGTGACCTCAGCGCGCCCGCGCTCGCCGACGTCGACGGCGACGGCGACCTCGACCTCGTCGTGGGCGAATGGGACGGCGTCCTCAACTACTACGAGAACGTCGGGTCCGCGGCGTCGCCGAGCTTCGCGGCCGTCACCGGCAGCACGAGCCCCTTCGACGGCATCGACGTCGATTCCTCCAGCAGGCCCGCGTTCGTCGACCTCGACGGCGACGGCGACCTTGACCTCGTCGTGGGCGAAAGGGACGGCGTCCTCTACTACTACGAGAACGTCGGGTCCGCCTCGTTGCCGACCTTCGCGGCCGTCACCGGCAGCGCGAGCCCCTTCGACGGCATCACGGCATCGAAGTCGATGACTACCCCGCGCCCGCGTTCGTCGACGGCGACGGCGACGGCGACCTCGACCTCGTCCTGGGCAACAACGACGGCACCCTCGACTACTATGAGAACATCCTGGAACCGCCGACGGCCGCGCCGACGACCGCGGCGCCGTCGAAGACGCCTCCGCCCGCGCCGGTGCCGTCGCCGACGACCGCGGCGCCGTCGAAGCCGCCTCTGCCCACGCCGTCGCCCCTGCCCCCTCATTTCGTCGACGGCAGCGCGAACCCCTTCGACGGCATCAACGTCGGTTACTTCAGCACGCCCAGGTTCGTTGACCTCGACGGCGACGGCGACCTCGACCTCGTCGTGGGCGAAGACTTAGGCGCCCTCTACTACTACGAGAACGTCGGGTCCGCGGCGACGCCGAGCTACGTGGCCGTCACGGGCAGCGCGAACCCCTTCGACGGCATCGACGTTGGTCTTTACAGCGCGCCCGCGCTCGCCGACGTCGACGGCGACGGCGACCTCGACCTCGTCGTGGGCGAAATGTACGGCACCCTCTACTACTTCGAGAACGTCGGCTCCGCGACGTCGCCGAGCTACGCGGCCAGGACCGGCAGCGCGAACCCCTTCGACGGCATCGACGTCGGTTCCAACAGCGCGCCCGCGCTCGCCGACGTCGACGGCGACGGCGACCTCGACCTCGTCGTGGGCGAAATGTACGGCGCCCTCTACTACTACGAGAACGTCGGGTCCGCGACGTCGCCGAGCTACGCGGCCAGGACCGGCAGCGCGAACCCCTTCGACGGCATCGACGTCGGTTCCGACAGCAAGCCCGCGCTCGTCGATCTCGACGGCGACGGCGACCTCGACCTCGTCGTGGGCACATACGTCGGCGCCCTCTACTACTACGAGAACGTCGGGTCCGCGGCGTCGCCGAGCTACGCGGCCGTCACCCCCATCTCCAGCTCCTTCGACATCATCGACGTCGGTAGCTGGAGCGCGCCCGCGCTCGTCGACGTCGACGGCGACGGCGACCTCGACCTCGTCGTGGGCGAATACGACGGCGTCCTCAACTACTACGAGAACATCCCGGAACCGACGGTGCCGTCGCCGACGACCGCGGCGCCGTCGCCCGGCACCCCCGAGACGACGCCTCCGCCCACGCCGTCGCCGACGACGCCCGCGCCGTCGCCGGGCACCGCGGATCCCACGCCCTCGCCGACGACGCCCGCGCTGTCGCCGGGCACCGCGGATCCCACGCCCTCGCCGACGACGCCCGCGCCGTCGCCGGGCACCGCGGATCCCACGCCCTCGCCGACGACGCCCGCGCCGTCACCGGGCACCGCGGATCCCACGCCCCCGCCGACGACGCCCGGGCCGTCGCTCGCGTCGCCCGTCCCGACGCCCTGCGACCCGCGCCACGCCGCGTGCGTGGGCGGCGACGGCTGCGGCGCCTTCGATAGCGAGTCGTCGTGCCTCTACGCCGTGGCGACGGACGGGGCGACGTGCTACTGGCTCGGCGGCTGCGACGACGACGCGTTTCCCCGCGACGACGACGACGGCCCCGACTTTGACCCGACGGCGGCCTGCGGCGGATTGTCGGGAGACCTCGCGGCCGACACCGTCTTCAACGACCTCTACGCGTGCGTCGTGGCCGCGGGCGTGGACCCGGGCTCCTTCGACGACGACGGCGCCGCCGCGGACGACGGCGCCGCCGGCGGCCTCCCGACGTGCGCGTCGATGCAGGCCGAGGTCGACGTGGGCTGCGGCCAGGGCGTGCAGTTCGGCCCCTGCGCGTCGGAGTTCGAGGCCTACTACGTCTGCTCCATGGACTACATGGCGCTCACGTATTTGGGCGAGGACTGCGGCTTCGCGTGTCCCTCGAGCCCGCCGCCCCCGTCGCCCCGGCCCACGGCCGCGCCGATGGCGCCCACCTACGAGGTCGCGGGCACGATGGCCTTCGCGGGCGTCTCGGTCGAGGACGCGGCCGCGCACGAGGACGTGTTCGTCGCCGCCATCGCGGGCGTCGCGGGCGTGCCGCCGGAAGACGTGTCGATTACGTCCTTCGCCGCCGCCGCCCGCCGGCGCCTCGACGAGTGCGAGCCGTGCGACGGCGACGCCGGGTGCGGCAACTTGTACACCGCGGACGACTGCGCGAACGCCGCGGAGGTGCTGGGCGACCCCGGCAAAGTCTGCGCGTGGACGCCGTGCGACGAGGAGGGCGGCGGCGATACCGCGGCCGTCTCGGTCGCCTACGCGATCCGGTCCGCGACGGCGGACACGGCCCAGCTCTGCGTCGACGCGCTCGCGGCGGCGACGGGCGACGACGTCGACACGGCCGTGGTCGCCGCCGCCGCGGCGGCGAGCGCCGCCGACGTCTTCGAGAGCGTGACGATGACCGCAAAGTCGGACGCGACCGCGGCCGCGACGACGACGGAATCCGACGGCGACGACGACGGCGCGGAGGACGCGGGATTCCCCGCCGTCGTCGTCGCGGGCGTCGGCGCCGCCGTGCTCGCCCTCCTCGGCGGCCTCGTCGCCTACGTCGGCTGCTCCTCCAAGGGCGCTCCTCGAGGCGCGCTCCGGTGGAACCGGCCCGTATCCGAATTCACCAGCCAAAACCCCATGGCCAAGGACGTGCCCCGGGACCTCTAGACTCCGCCCGCTCGCCGTTCCCCCCGCCGCTCGTTCCCCGCGCACGCGTCGCCGATCCCCGCACGAGCCGTCGTTCCACATCCGCCCGGTTCACCCGTTACTCGTTCACGCTCCGCGCCGCGAGCGGGGGCGGCCGGGGCACGGGGGCGTAGGCCCGCTCCAGGTCGCCGACGGCGACGTTCGCGAAGTCGATCGTCGGATCGACGCAGACGTCGCAGGCCGCGCAGGTCGCCCGGTCGCAGCGGAGGGACTTTCGCGTGAAGATATTCCAGCCGAAGCAGTTGGCGCCGATGCCGGCGACGACGACGGCGCCGCCGACGAGCACCGTGTCGACGTGGCCCTCGAGCTCGACGCCGTAGACGACGCGCTCGAGCGACGGCCGCGCCGGGCCGAGGGCCGCCGCGCGGACCCAGCGGCCGCCCGCGAGCGCCGGGTGCCCCGGCGTGAGGCGGCAGCCCGGCGCGACGTCGACGACGTCGACGACGCCCGCCGGCGACGCCCAGATCCGCGCGACGCGGCGGTGGCGCTCGCCCCGCCGCCGCGACCCCGTGCGCACGACATCCCCGGCCCGCAGCTTGCCCATGGTCCGCCGCGCCTCCGCGCCGCCCTCGAGGACCGTGAGGACGCAGTCCGCGGCGAGGCAGTTGCAGCAGTCGCTCGAGCTGCAGCCGCCCACGCAGCCGCCCGCGCCCGTGTAGTTGTAGTGCCTGCAGTCGGGGTGGGCGTCCGGCGCGTCGCATTTGGAGCACCAGGAACCGCAGGTGCAGTCGCTCTTGCGGTTCGGGCAGTAGGTGCCTGTGCCGAATCCAACCGCTGGTTTGGGGGGTCCTGACCAAACTTCAGAACTCTCTAGCTCGATCAAATCCAAGTCGATTCGGCTGATTTTTGGACGAATCGAGTGCTCTCGTCGAGTTCTCGAAGCACAGCGAAAGAGTCTGGTCCAAATCGTTCGATTAAGTGCACATTGAAGTCGGTTTGAATATTTGATTTCCACACAGATGGGTGCAAAAGGGGTTCGCGGGCCGCGGCGGCGTCGCGCGCATGGCGAAGGCCCAGATGGCCTTGAGGAGGTCGGCCTGGGCGCAGACGAGCGCCGACGGCCGGGCGTCGCGGCGCCGCGCCGGGCCCCGGAGCGCGGCGAAGGACTGGAAGGCCTCGCGGCCGGGGAGGCGCGGCGGCCTCTCCGGCGGCGTGAAGAGGTGGCGCGTTCGTTTCCGTTCCGCCGCGCGGTCGTCGATGGCCTCGAGCGCGCGCCAGTGGGCCTCCCACGCGTTGCGCTCCGCCACCCAGACGGCGCGGGCGCGTTCCCGCCGCTCGCGGTCCGCGCGCTCGACGGCGGCCTCGGCCGCCCGCGTCGCGCGCGACGCGGCGGCGCGCGCGTCGGCCGCGTCCTGCGCCGCCTCGGCGCGCGCGCGCTCCGCGACCTTCACGGCCGCCGTCGCCGCCGCGGCCTCGTCCGCCGCGCGCCGCGTCCCGAGGTACCGCCGCGCCGAGGCGACGGCGGCCTCGGCCGCCGCGCGGTCCTCGGCGAGCCGGCGCCGCGCGGCCGCGGCCGCGGCTTCGGCGGCGGCCTCGGCGGCCGCGCGGTCTTGGGCGAGCCGGCGCCGGACGTCGGCGATCGCCGCCTCGGCGGCCGCGCGATCTTCCTCCAGCCGCGCTTCGTCGGCGGCGAAGATCGCAGCGGCTACGCGGGGTCCGACCAGATCCGCGAGGAGGCGCGTTTCATGCGGCTCGTCCGCGACGGCGACGGCGACGCCGTCGACGCCGTCGCTCACGACCGACTTCTTCGGCGAGCAGACGACGATCTGGCGCGGGGTGATAAACTTCTTACGCACGGGGGCGGCGCTCATAGCGCGCACGGGCTGCCCTAATCTTCGGGGCGCATCGGGCTCTCCGGCCAAGATTGTTGATAAGTGCAAGCCGCGCCAAAAACTGCCGCCCTGCAATAATCGCCTCTGGCAATTTTCTCCATCGGCGTCGGCGCCGGGCTATCTGCAGCGCTAAAGAGGCGCGCGCACCCTCTGCACGATATGAGCAAGATCGCCGACGCGCGCGCCGCGCGGCGCGACGAGCCGGACTACGGCATCAGGATGCCCTGGGGCTTGTTCCTGGGCTCGGTCGTCGTCGCCGCGGCCTGCGTCGCCTACCCGGAGCTGCACCACCTCTACCGCACGGTCAAGTGCGTCGTGCCCGGGGACCGCATCACATCCTTCGAGGCGCAGCGCGGCGACGGCGGCTGCTGGGCGGCGTTCAACGTCAGCGTCGGCGACAGCTGGGACGCGGGCGCCGGCGCCGTCGCGGACTGCCTGGGCGCGTGCGGCGGCTGCGGCGCGCTGAGCGCGCGCACGCGCTGGACGGTCCACTGCGCCGAGGACGCGGCCTGCGCCTGGTACGCGCGCACGAGGCGCGGCCGGCGGCCGCGGACGTGCGGCAAGGGATGGAAGGCGTACTTCCAGGACCTCGTCGTCGTCGGCCTGTTGGGCAAGTGCCAGCTCGAGGCGGCGGACTACATCCGCGCCTTCGTGCGCCTCCCCGGCGACGCCGAGGCCGGGCCGACGCCGCCGGGCCGCGTCCTCGACGAGCTGCCGTGCGAGTACCCGCTCAACCACCGCTGGAAGGTCAAGCGCGGCAAGAAGGAGACGCTCTACGCCTTCATCCACAACCAGACGGAGCAGTTCCTGCGGCCCTACGTGGCCGCGGCGGGCGAGGCCCTCGCGCCGGTGACCGGGCCCGTGCGCGCGGCGACGGCCGCGGTCGTCGACAAGCTCCAGCCGACGCGGGCGCCCGCGCGGTCGCCGCGCCAGGTCCCGGCGCCCATCTACGACAAGCCCCGCGTCTTCGACGACATGTGAGAACTTGCTCCGGCGGCGTAAGATTTTGGTGGGCTTCAACAAGGCTTCACCGAATTCGAACACGACAATTTTGCACAGGCATGAGATCTAGGCATGAGGCAGGGGGCTTAATCGCGCGCAAGAGCAGCCGATGCATGCGCACCGGTAGCACGTGCTAAAAGAATGAAGCGCAAGCGGGTCGCAACGCTGGAGCCCGGCGTCTACCGGCGCGAGGCCGAGTTCGCGGACCCGGACGACTTGCAAGCGTTCCGCGTCGTGCGCACGCGCGCGGGCGGGCTCGTCATCTTCGCGCTGCAGACGCCGCAGCTCACGGAGACGCAGTCGACGACCTACGGCGGCGGCGGCGGCTTCGCGCTGCTGCGCCGGGACTTCGCCGTCCGCGACGGCCGTTCGATCGTCGACGCGGCGGACCACTCGCGCTGGACGCTCGCCGCGCCGCTCGACGCGTCGTTCTACTTCCGCGGCGACGATTTCGGCGCGTTCGCGGCCTGCGTGCGGGCGCGCGGCGTCGCCGTGTTCAAACGCGCGCTCTCGGCCGCGGAGGTCGCGGAGGCGCTCGACGGGTGCTGGTCGTGGGTCGAGCGCGCGTCGCCCTGGCGCCGCGGCGACCCGGCGACCTGGAACGCGGAGGGCACGTGCTTCTCCGAGCGGCACGGCGTCTGCTTCGTCGCCGGCCAGTGCGAGGGCAGCTGGGCCGCGCGGTCCGCGCCCGGCGTGCGCGCATGCTTCGCGGCCGTGTGGGACGGCGCGGACGACCTCATCGCGTCCATGGAGCCCCTCATCCTCTGGCGGCCCTGGCGCGACCCGTCGGACGCCGCGCGCACGGCGGGCGGCTGGCTCCACTACGACGACGACGAGGCGTGCTACGACGGGCGGACGACGGTGCAGGGCCTCGCGGCGCTCACGCGCCACGGCGCCGCCGCGGGCGGCTTCGTCGTCGTCGCCGACGGCGAGGGCGGCGACGACGCACCCGTCTGGCGCCACGTCGCGCTGGACCCGGGCGACCTCGTCTGCTGGACGTCGCCGACGCTCCACGGAAGCGAGCCGGGCTGCGACGCGGCGGCCTTCGACGACGGCCGGCTGCTCCGCGTCGCCACACCCATCTGCATGGTCCCGCGCGCCGCGGCGTCGCCCGCCGCGCTCGCGGAGCGGCGGCGCGTGCGCGCGGCCGGCGGCACGACGACGCACCGGCCGCACCGGCCCGACCTGCGCTTCGCCGAGGGCCTGGATCCGCCCGCGGCGCCGCGGCCGCTGTCGCCGGAGGCGGCGCGCTTGCTTTAAACGTCGCTCTTTCCTCTGTTACTGTGCACGCCGTCACACAGAGCTCGAGGGCTGCGCGCAAGAAGTGCACGTTTGTGTTCAACTTAGCAGACGAATCAATTCGCTGTGGACAAATCATATTCGCCTCTCGCCTCCTCCAATCGCCTCGCGCCGTGCGAAGCCTCGTCCGCTGCCCCCTTCGACGGACCATGGCCGACGCGCCGCCTCCCGGCTTGCCGACGCTCGGCGCGCCCGCCGCCCTGAGCGGCGCCCTCGCGGACTTCAAGGAGCAGGACCGGTTCCTGCCCATTGCCAACATCGGTGCGCCGCCCGCGAAACCGTCCCCATCCCCGCGCGCGCTTGCCCCCGCGCCGCCGCGCCGCGACGCGGCGACCCGCGCAGCGCGCATCATGAAGGGCAACCTGCCGGACAACGCGAAGATCTCCAAGGACGCCAAGGAGATCGTGCAAGAGTGCGTCTCCGAGTTCATCAGCTTCGTCACGTCCGAGGCCAGCGACAAGTGCGCCGGCGCGTCCCGCCGGCGTCGTTTGCAGTTTACGGAACGCGCCGCGACGACCCGACGCGCAGGCGACAAGCGGAAGACGATCAACGGCGGCGACGTCCTGACGGCGTTGCAATCGTTGGGCTTCGACAGATACGACGAGCCCCTGCGCATCTTCCTCGAGAAGTACCGCGAGAAGGTCAAGCTCGAGCCCGACGCGACGAGCGCGCGCGCGAAGCGGGCCCGCAAGGTGCGTGCCGGCCGCCGCGCGCGCGCGCGCCGCGAGACCCTCGTCGCCGCGAACCCCGCCCCTCTTCGTAGGACGACGACGCCGCGCCCGCCGGCGACGCCGCCGCGGTGAACCTCCTCGCGCCGACGTCCCTCGCGCCGCGGCCGCCGACGATGCCGCCGACGTCGCCGCCGGCGCCGGCGTCGCCGCCGCGGCCGTCCGTCGCGCCCGTCGTCGCGGCGCCCGCGTCGCCGGCCGTCGCGTCCGTGCTCGACGCCGTCCTGCCCGCGCCGCCCCTCTCGCCGACGCAGCCGACCTCGTTTTAAACGGTCGGTGAGCGAATCGTTGAAGCAAAGTTGAAGGCTCGGAGCAGCACGAGCAACACCTCAGGCACGACGATGCTGCTCCACGCGCGGCGCCTCGTGGCGCGCCGCCCGCTCCGGGCCGCGCTCACCCGCTGCTCGTCGTCGTCGCAGGACGCCTTCGACGACCACAAACCCGTCGGCCAGCGGACGTCGAACTACCGCGGCCACCTGCCCACGAGTCCGCTCCAGAAGGCCTTCGCCGCCGGCGCGTCGGCGCTGCAGGCCATCGCGAACCCGGAGCGCGCGGACATGGTGGGCCTGCTCGGCGAGGTGACGGGCCGCGTCGCCCTCGAGCGGCTCCGCGACGAGCTGCGGGCGAGCGCCGAGGGCCGCGAGGTCCTCGCGCTGCGGCCGATCGTCTCGACCGCGGACGCGGACGCGGCGCGCCTGCGGGACGCGTGCGCGCCGGGCACCTTCGGCCGCGCCTACGGCGCCTTCATGGGCCGCCACGGCTTCGACGCCGACGACCGGTCGCCCGTGACGCTCGTCGACGACGAGGAGCTCGCGTACGTGCTGCTCCGCTACCGCCAGGTCCACGACTACTGGCACGTGCTCTTCGGGCTGCCGCCGTCCATCCCCGGCGAGCTCGCGCTCAAGTGGTTCGAGCTCGTCCACACGGGCCTGCCCGTGGCGGCCTTCTCCGCCGTCTTCGGGCCCGTGCACCTGAGCGGCGGCGACCGCGCGTTCCTCCGGGACGCGATCATCCCCTGGGCGCTCGACGCGGGCAAGCGGGCGAAGCCGCTCCTCGCCGTCCACTACGAGGCCCACTGGCACACGGACCTGGCGCAGCTGCGCGCGGACCTGCGCGTCGTCCCCGCGCCGAAAGGCGGGTGAGGCGTGACTAAATTCCCGCGCGCTACACCGGCGGCTCCGCGAGGCTCACCTCGAGGAGCGCCGCCGCGTCGAGGGCCGGCGGGTCCGCCGCCGGGGGCGCCGGCGCGAGGAGCGCGTGGGCGAGCGGCGCGGCGCCGAGCGGCGCGGGCGCGGCGCCGAGCGGCGCGTCCGGCGGGACGGCCGCGGCGACGACGACGGCCGGCGCGGCCGCGAGGGGCGCGGCCGGCGGCGGCGGCGACGCGGGCGCCGCGGCGGGCGCGTCGTCGTCGTCCGCGGCCGCGCCGGGCTTCTTCTTCGTCAGGTCGACCATGCCCTCGTCCTTGCACTGGGAGCACTTCGTCGCCTTGCCGCCCGGCAGGCCGAAGCGCACCTGGCGCTCGGAGCCGCAGGCGCAGAGCTTCGTCGTCAGGTTGACCATGTCCTCGGTCTTGCACTGGATGCAGTTCGTCCGCTTGCCGTCCTTGAGGCCGAAGCGCCGCGCCTTCTGGGAGCCGCAGGCGCACTTGCCGCCCCAGGCCTCGTCGGGCTTCTTCGAGAGCGACAGGTTGACCATGCCCGGCTTCTTGCAGTCGATGCAGTTCGTCCGCGCGGACCGCTTCTTGTCGCTCGGCGCCGGCGCGACGTACGCCGGGTCGTCCTCGGGCCGCGCGTAGCCGAAGCGCTTCACCTTCTCCGAGCCGCAGGTGCAGAGGCCCGTGGACGGCCGCAAATTGACCAGCGTCTTGCCCGTACTCGCCATCGCCTCGTCCTTGCACTCGACGCAGTTCGTCGCGGGCGAGCCCTTCTCGCCGTAGCGCGCGTCCTTGCCGCTGCCGCAGGAGCAGACCTGCGATGGGAAAACGCGTCGCAACGGTTTGAAGCGCGCGCGCGCGAAAAAACGGACGTTCTCGACGCCGTTTTACGCGCGCGCGTCATGTCCTTCATCCCTTTGGTCTTGCACTTGTCGCACGCGACGAGGCAGACCTTCTGGTCCCGGATGTAGCCGTAGCGCATGCCGTGCTTGCTGTCGCAGTTCGTGCACTCCTTCCAGTCGCCGCGCTTGCGCTTCTTCTTGGCGCTGTCGCCCGCGGACGACGCGCCGGACGCGCGCCGCGCCTTCGTCGCGGAGTCGGCGGCCGGCGGCGCCGGCGCCGCGAGGGGCGGCGCGACCGCGAGCACCGGCGCGGCGTCGGCGGCGACGTCCGGCGGTGGTGTGGTTTGGAGGCCGAGGGTCGGCGGCGGCGCGGCCAGCCCGACGGCCTCGGCCATGGGGGCGGGCGGAGGCGGCTCGACCAAGCTCATCTCGACGGCGGCAGGGCGGGCGAGTCCGCGCGTTCTGTCAGCGCTGCGCCGCGCGACCGAGACTGAATTGCGATCAGATCAGAGTGTGTATGGTGAAGAGGATAGGGTAGGCAAAGGGGAGGCGGCGCGCCGGAGACGACGTCGATGTTGGCTCTTTCGCCTTGCAGGCGAGCCGCTGCGGGCTTGTCGAGCGATGCTTTGCCTCAATGATGAAGGTGCAGGTGCAGCCCGAGCGCTGCATGGAGCTTTCATTTCCCACTGAGCATGCCACGAGCGCTTAAAGAGCGCTAGCATGGAGCGCTCATTCCCACTGAACATGCCACGAGCGCTTAAAGCGATGCAACCAGCAAAAGCGTAAACGCACACAAAACGATGATGCGGTCGCACAACAAGGTCTACGCGGCCGGCGACGCGCCGCTGCTCCTCGACGTCGTCCAGCAGCCCGGCGTGACCTGCGAGGCCGTCGCCGCGGCCGCCGCGCGCAACGGCGACGACGCCGTCGACGCCCACGGCGCGACGGCGCTCCACCTCATCTGCGCCAACGAGCGCGCGACGCCGGCGCTGCTACGCGCCGTCGCGGCCGCGCTGCCCGAGGCGTCCGTGCGCGCGAAGACGACCGCGAGCCACCCGAAGCTCGGCGGCAAGTACAACGGCGCGGGCTCGACGGCCTTCACGGCCCTCGTGCGGAACCGCACTGCGACGCCCGCGCTGCTCCGCGCGCTCCACGCCGTCGACGACGGATTGATCTCGATGCGGACGGACAACGGCACGACGGTCTACCACGACCTCATGCTGACGCCGCGGCCCGACGACGCCGAGCGGGCGGCCCTCTTCGAGTGCATCCACGAGCTGGCGCCGGACCTGGTCCGGGTGACGCACAACTGGGACTACACGCCCCTGCACCAAATCTGCTGGTGCTGCGGCCTCTTCGACGGCACGCGGCCCGAGACGATCGAGGCGCTCTACGGTCTCGACCCGGCGGCGCTCCGGCGGCGGGACTGCGACGGGCGGACGCCGCTCCAGAGCATCTACGAGAAGCGCGCGCCGCTCCGCTGCCTGCGGGCCGTCGCGGCGCTGGAGCCGGACCTCGCGGCGGACCACGGCCTCACGGCGCTCCACCTCGCGTGCGCGGCGCGCGACGCGACGGCGGCGGACGTCGAGGAGGCCATGGACGCCTGCGCCGCGACCCTGGACGCCGTCGACTACGCGGGCCTGACGGCGCTCGCGCGGCTCCCGGCCAGCGGCGCGGCGCGGCTCCGGGACGAGCGCGCGGCCGACGGCCGCGAGCACGAGCTCCTCGCGGCCGCCGTCGTCGCCAAGGCGCCGGCCGTCGCGCTCCGCGCCTTCGGCGACGCGTCCCTGCTCCAGGTCGCCTGCCGCTGCCCCGAGGCCGCGCGCAAAGCCGTCGCCGCCGTCGTCCGGTCGCGCGCGCGCGGCGACACGGACACGACGCAATCCGTCGACGAGGCCCTGCTGCCGGAGATCCTGCACGGCCTCCAGGGCGTCGCGCTGGACCACGCCTGCGCCGTCGACCTGTTGCGGGACGTCGTCGACAGCGTCAACGCGCGGCCCGGCGCGGTCGTCGTCATCGTCTTCGACCAGCTCTGCAACGCGGCGCTCTGCGTCTTCTACGCCGTCGCGGCCTACGACCTGCGCGCCGCGGCGCCGGCCCGGCGGCGGCTCGCCGTGTCGTCCGCCGTCGTCGCCGTCGTCGCGGCGTACCAGGCGCTCCGCGAGGTCCTCGCGTTCGCCGCGATGCGGCGCCTCGGCGCGCAGCGGCGCTACGCGGACGACGGCTTCGCCTACGTCAAGTGGCTCTGCTTCGCGTGGGTCGGCGCGACGTTCGTCGTGGAGCGGCGCTCGCGGCAGCTCGACGTCGTCGCGGCCTGGGGCGCGCTGCTCCTCGCGACGCGGCTCCTCGTCGACCTCCGGCAGCTGTCGATGCACCTCACGCGCTTCATCGTCGCGCTGCGGATGACGCTCTTCGACTCCGCGGCGTTCCTGCTCGTGCTGCTGATCGCGCTCGTCGGCTTCGGGGAGGCGCTCTACTTCCTGATGGCGCCCGGCGGCGCGCCCATGGGCTTCGCGTACGACGCGGGCTCTGGCGGGGACGACGGCGCGCCCGACGACCCCTACGCGTCGCCCCAGGGGATGATGATGAAGATGTACGCGATTTTACTGGGCGAGTTCGACGAGGCGCAGTACGTCAACGACTGGGCCTTCGTCATGTTCGTCGTCTTCACGCTCGTCGGCGTCATCATCCTGCTGAACCTGCTCATCGCCGTCGTCTCGGACTCCTACGAGAACGCGCAGGCGCGGTCGCGCGTGCTCTTCGTGCGGAGCCGCCTCGAGCTCGCCGCGGGGCTCGTCGCCGTCTTCCCGCGCCGCTTCCTCCGCGACGCGGGCCTCGGCCAGGCGCGCGGCGACATGCTGCGGCTGCTCTGGGGGCCCAAGTTCACGACGCGCCTCGGCGGCGCCGAGGAGCGCGTCGGCGGCGTCCGCGCGTTCCTCGGCGAGAAGCACGGCTACGGCGCGGGCGGCTGGGCGCTGCTCGCGTGCTCGTGCACGGTCTTCCTGCCCGCGGTGGCGCCCTGGGCCCTCGCGCGCTGCTGCGCGCGCGTCTGCGGCGGCGACGCGTCCTGGACGAACCCGGAGCGGCTCCTGGCGACGCCGGACCCGTCGCGCGACGCCGACGAGTGGCTCGGGAGGCTCGGCGAGATCGAGCGCGCGCTCCGGCGCCGCGGCGAGGCCGTCGACGCCGCGCTCGAGGCCCAGTCCGCGGGGCTCCGGGGCCGCCTCGAGGAAAAGCTCGAGGCCCTCGAGTCGAAGCTCTACAAGCTCGACGCGACGAACCACGCGCTCGAGTCGAAGCTCGACGCGGTCCTCGCGAGGCTCGCCGACCAGGGGAAGCGGCCGCGGGAGGGGGACCTCGGGTAGTTACTTAGGCCTTGCCGGAGACCGCGTCCTTCGCCTTGCCCAGGGCCCCGGAGACGCTGTCCTTCGTGCTCGACGCCGCCTGCGCCCAGCCGCGCGCGGCCCAGCCGAGGCGCGCGCCGACGACGCCGCCGACGGCGGCGCCGACGCCCGCCGTGCGCAGCGTCGCCTTGGCGGCCGCGAAGGGGCCGTTGCCGGGGTCGCCGCCGTCGAACGCCGGGAGCGACACCTTCGGCAGCGCGGCGCCCTTGGGCAGCGGGATGTCGGGCAGCGGGATGTCGGGCAGCGGGATGTCGGGCAGCGACGCGCCGATGGTGTCTTGGGCCGATTTTATGGGCGCCATGGCTTGCGCGACGGCCGAGTCTTTCGCCTCGAGCGCCGAGCTCTTGGCGGCGTCGATGGATTCTTGCGCGGACTTGATCGGCGCGAGGACCGTGCCGACCGCGCTGTCTTTTGCGGCCAACGCGCTGTCTTTGGCGGCCTCGGCCGACGACTTCGTCGCTTCGATGGCGTCCAACGCGCTGGTTTTGGCCGCTACGGCGGCGTCGAGATTGTCGGTAACCGAAGATTTGATTGCCTCGACATCCGGCAGCTCGAGAGCAATGAGATGCGAAGATTTGAATGCCTCGACATCAAGAGCAATGAGGTGCGTCGCGAGGTCGCTGAAGGCGTGGAGGCGGCTTGCGCGTGAAATTGGTGCAGTCCGTGGTTGCTGGAGAGAGTTGACGACGGCGAACACGACCGCTACGCCGAGCAGCTTTGCTCGAGCCATGCCCAGATGCTCTTTGTTGAGCTTCGGATGAGGTCGACGGTGAAGACGGAGAGCGCCGCACTCTCAGCGCTGCGCCACGACGCGAACGACGCCACGGCGTGCAACGACGACAACAGTTTGACGACGGGACAAAAACCCCGTCGTCACAACGAAACCGACATGACCGACACCGTCGAAATCACGCGCGACGCGCCGCTGTCGGCGTCGCTCCAGGCCTTGACGGAGACCTACCCTGATGCGCCCGCGGCGGAGCTGCGGCGCTTCGCCGACGCGCGGCCCGACAGCCAAGAGGGCGCGCTGGCCTTGTACGCCAAGTACCTCGCCTGGCGCGAGGCCGACGGCTCCGCGGCCGCGCTGGCCGAGGCCGCGGCGCCGCTCGGCGGCACGATCAGCGAGGGCTTCGCGAGCCTCGGCCCGAAAACGGCCGGCGACCGCGTGCTGCTCGTCGAGGGCGCGCGCTACGACAGCGCCTTCGACCACGCGGCCTACGTCGCGCTGCTCTGCTCGCACATGGACGCCGCCTGCGCCGCGGCCGACGCCAATCGCGTCGTCGTCGTCGTCGACTGCCGGCCCTGCCGGGGCTGGCCGAGCCCCGCGGGCTGGTCCTTCCTGCCGCTGCTCCGCGCCATCCTCGGCACGGCCCCCGACTGCTACCCGGAGCGCCTGCGCACCGTCGTCGTCTTCCCGGTGCCGTACTGGGCGGCGATGATCATGAACACCGTGACCGCGCTGCTCGACCCCGTCACGCGGGACAAGATCGCGCTCGTCGCCGGCGACACGGACGTCGACACGCCCTGCCCCGCGGGCGTCTGGGACCACGTCGCCGCCGACGCGCTCCCGCCCCGCGCGCGGTGCCGCCGCCCGCCCTAGGGAGCGTTACGACTTCCAGAGCAGGAGCTTGTCGCCGTCGCCAAAGGACGCGACGACGTTCCGGTGCGGGTGCACCGCGAGCCCGACGACGTCCTTGGCGTCGTCGATGGGGCAGCAGCGGTCGAGCGCGGCGCTCTGGACGTGGAAGCAGTAGAGGACCTTGTCCTCGCCGAGGCAGTAGAGGTAGTCGCCCCTGGGCCGGCTCAGCGCCGCCGCGACGAAGTCGCAGCCGGGCTTCCGGAGCGCGTGCGCGGCCTCGGACGGCGGCTTCGCGGGCTCGTCGCGGCTCGAGAACGCGGCGACGGCGACGCCCGTGCGCAGGTCCGCGAGGACGGCCGTCGGCGACTTGTCGACGACGAAGAACTTGGACTCGGAGCCCGGCTGCTGCAGCACCGCGACGACCGCGCGCTCCTTGTCCGCGACCGCGCGCCGCTCGAGCTTCGCGAGGGCCTTGGGCGGCGAGAAGGTCGACACGGTCTCCGCGGACCGCGGGTCCCAGACGCGCACCGTGCCGTCCGCGGAGCCCGAGACGACCGCGTCCGACGATTCGCCGGAGCTCCGCAGGTAGGCGACCGCGGACACGGACCCGCCGTGGCCCCGGAACTGCTGGAGCGTGCGGCCGCTCTTGAGGCCGTGGGACCGCACGGCGCCGTCGGACGACGCCGTCAGCAGCTGGCTGCCGTCGCGGGACCACGCGACCGCGCTCACCTGGGCAGGAAACGGGTGCGACGTTCCCGACTTCGAGGGCTCCTCTCTCGGCCGTTTTCCACTCGTTTCGGCTGATTCTTGGACGAACGATCAGCTCTCGGAGCGCTCTCGAAGCGCGGACGCTTTGTTCCGGAACAATCGCGCGCGGGACACTCACGTTGAAGCGACGTTGAATCACCTTTCTTCCGCCCCGGCGCTCGCGGCCTGCTGCTGCGCCTTGGGGAACTTCCGCGCGCACTGCCCCGTGGCCAGGCGCCAGACCTTGAGGCACCCGTCGCGGTCGCCGCTCGCGAGCGCCGTGCCGTCGAGCGACGGCGCCAGGGCGAGGACGGGGGCGTCGTGCATGAGCAGCTCGTCGTCGCGCTGGTACGGCAGGTCCGTCCTCAGCCGGCAACTCGCCGGGTCCCAGAGCTCCACGAAGCCGTCGGAGCTGCCCGTGATGAGCGCGCTCCCGTCGGGCGCGAAGGCGCAGCACAACGGCTTCGAGCCCGCGCCGAGGCGCACGGCGCCCGCGGCGCGCTTCGGCGGCCGCTCCTCCTCGGACTTCCGCGAGAGCGGGTCGCCGGCGTCGCCCCGGAAGACGTCGACGCGGCGGCCGCCGGAGCCGCGCAGGTCGCCGCAGTGCGCCTGCCAGCGCAGGGCCATACCCAACAAACTCACGAGGCGGCCCGGCGCGACGGCGCCGACGGCGCCGGCGACGTCGTCCGCGACCGCCGCGCGGCGGCTCTCGCGCGTCTCGCCCCGGGGCCAGGGCGCCTCGCCGCCGTAGCCGCCCGTCGCCGCGGCGCGGCCGACGGCCCGCTCGAGGCGCAGGAACCGCTCCGGCTCCGCGCCGCGGAGCTTCTGGAGCGTCTTGTGGCGCAGGAGCTCGCGCGCGACGTCGCCCTCGCCGGCGTCGCAGAGCTCGTAGCACGCGTGCTCGTGGACGGCCGCCGCCGCCTCCGCCGGCAGCTCCACGCTCGCGAGCGCCGGCAGCACGGCGTCCCACCGGCCGGACCGCACGTCGCCGACGAGGCGGCCCTTGGCCTCGACGGCGTTGACGAGGACGCCCGACTCCCGCTCGAGCTCCGCGGCGCTCGAGCTCAGGCCGTGCTCCTTGAGGAACTGGAGCACGAGGCGCACGACGTCGCTCGCGTCGATCTCCACGCTCCCGATGCCGATGTCCGACGCGATGAGCGGCGCCGCGGCCATCGCCGCGGCGTCGCTGCTCGCCTGCGCCGTAGCCATCGTCCACGGCTCGCTCGAGCTGATTCGCCACAGGGAGCGCGCGCCACCACCGCCGCCGCGACGACCATGTCCTTCTCCCGCCTCTCGACGACGGCGCTGCGCACGCTGCGCGCCCCCGGGGTCGCCGCGACGCGGCGCGCGGCCCCGCGCGCCCTGCTGCGCCCCGGCGTCATCCGCCTCCTCAGCGACAGGGCGCCGCCGCCGCCGCCGAGCGCGCCGCCGCCGCCGGCCGAGGTCGCCGCGTACGAGGACCACGAGTGGGTGCCCGTCGTCGACCCGGAGAGCGGCGGCACCTACTACCACAACCCCATGACCAACTGCGTGACGGCCGTCGGCGTCGAAAAGCCCGCCTGGGAGCCCGTCGAGCACGAGGGCCAGGTCTACTGGTGGAACGTGCAGACCGACGAGACGACGGCCGTCGGCGAGGCCTGCCCGGCGCTCACGCCGCCGCCGGGGCAGGTCGCGCCGCAGCAGCCCATGCAGGGCGGCATCATGGGCCAGCAGCCGCAAGGCGGAAGCGCGATGTCGGGCCTCGGCGGCGTCATGGCCCAGGGCATGGCCTTCGGCGCCGGGTCGTCCATGGCCCACGCGGCCATCGGCTCCATGATGGGCGGCGGCTCGAGCGCGCCGCCCGAGGAGCCCGCGGGCGGCGGCGGCGACGACTGGGGCGACGTCTAGGGCGGCCGCGGTTTGGCGGCGTAAGGTGTTACGCGGCGGCGTCGGGCCAGTGCGCGGCGAGGACGGCCGGCGGCGTGTCCTCGACGACGCCCGGTTCCGCCGCGCAGAGCCAGACCGTGAGCGCCCAGCGCGCGTCGCCCGGGCCGTCGCACCGCGACACCTCGGCGACGTCGTGGACGAGGCGGTCGGACCAGAAGCAGACGAAGGACCCCGGCGCCGGCGTCACGGACTCCACCACCCGGTCCTCCGTCGGCGCGTAGGCCCGGAACTCGCCGCCCGCGGGGCAGCCGGCGAGGTAGAGGATCGCCGTCAGCAGACGCGGGTCGTCGCCGCCGCCGTTGTCGATGTGCTTCGGGTAGGCCGCGGCGACGGCGTCGCAGACCGCGAGCTTGTTGGTCTGCTCCTGCTCCGAGAGCTTGCGCAGGGACGGCCCGGCGTTGACGGCGCCGCCGAGCGCCTTCGTGAGCGCGACGACGTATTCCGTGAGGCGCGGCGCCATCGCGTACGTCGACCCGCCCAAGATCTGCGTCGACCGCACGCCGGCCTTGTCGTAGGCCACGGTCCGCGTCCCGTCCCAGCGCGTCGACTGCGACGGCACGAGCGTCGCGTCGAGACCGCGCGCCTCGCCGGCCATGGCCGCGACCGCGGCGGGGTCGAGGAAGTCCTCCGCGGCGAAGAAGCTCCCCGTGCCGAGCGCGTCGCGGATCGCCGGCGCCCGGGCGGCGACGGCGGCCTCGACGATGGCCATGTGCACCTCCGGCGTCACCGCCGGCCGCGGCGGCGGCGGCGCGTTCTGCGGCAGCGTCGGCAGCGGCGGCTGCTTCTTCACCTTCTTCTTCTTCTTCGTCGCGCCGAGCAGGCGCCGCTGGGCCAGCGGGTGCGCGGGAGCCGCCAGCAGCGCGACCATGGCGTAAAAGCGCATCGTGGCAGCGGTGCGACGGGACGACGACGACGACGGGGTCGGCCTGCAGCCTGCGGCATCATTGTTTCAACGTAAGCGTGCGGCGGCGCAATGGAGGCGCTGGAGGCGCGTTTAGGGGCAGCCCCGCGCCGAGTTTAAGGCCGCCGTTTCGCTCATGCGCCGGGGCCTCTGGGACGACGAGCTCCGCGCGGGCGTGCGCTTCCGCCGGAGCGACGGTCGTTCCCTCTGCGCGGCCGACGCCTGCGAGTATCTCGCGGCGCGGGCCATCCACCCGCGGTCCCGCGCGCGCGACCCCCTGGCCTTCTCGGCGCGCGTGCTCGCCTTCGAGTCGAAGCTCGAGGGGCGCGACGGCGCCGCGGCGACGGCGCGCTTCCTCAAGGTCGCGGGCTTCGCGGGCGTGCCGGGCCCGGCGCTCTGGGAGTTCCGGCGGCAGCTCCAGGCGCACGCGACCGCGCTCGCGCTCGCGCCGCCGGACGCGCCCGAGCTGGACTTCGCGTCGACGGTGTATCCGCCGCCGCCGCCCGCCGCCGCGCCGGAGGACGCGACGATCCCGGCGGCCTGGCGGCCGTCGGACGAGCTGCGGCGTCGCCTGCCGACGCATCCCTTCCCCGCGGCGGCCGGCCCGATCCTCGACTCCTTCGTCGTGCTCCCCGGCTTCCTGGTCGTCGGCCCGAGGCCGACGGGCGACGCGCTCCGGAGGCTCGGCGCCTACCGCGACGTCCTCGCGACCGGCGACGGGCGCGGCGACGGCGCGGTCCGGGCCCGCTGCGCGCGCCTGGAGCGAGCGCTGCTCGACGCGGCGCCGCTCTACCTCTCCGGCGACGGTCTCGGCGCGTGCCTCGCCTACTTTTTCGCGCCGTCTACGGCCTCTCGGCGGCCGCGGCGGCCGCGACGCTCCGGCGCCTCGAGGCCGCGGCCGTCGGCACCGCGCGGCGACCGCCGCGGCGCGACGACGCCGCCGCCTGCGCGCGCCTGCTCCGCGACGACGCCGGCGCGCGGCGGCCCGCGGCGCGCCGCGACGACGCGCCGCCGGCGGAGGACGGCCTGCTCCGCGCGGCCTTCGAGCTGGGCCAGGCGGAGCAGCGCGAGGCGCTCCACGCGGGGCCGCCGCGGGTGGGCGTCGGGCGATAAGCGTTAGGAGGTGCGTCTCTACGGCGAATGCGCCGGTTTGGGGCTCCCCGCGGGCACGCGCGCCTAGAACATCTTAGAGGAGGGGATCGCGCCGACGTTGTCGTGGAGTTGGACGAACTTCGAGTCCGCGTTCATCGAGTGCTCGACCTCGTCGAGCCATGTCTGCGTCTTCTCCGTCTCGCTGGCGACGGCGTCGTGCGCCTTGCCGAGCTTCGCGAGCACGACCTCCTCCGGGAGGACGGACACGAGCGTGAAGATCGCCGCCATCTTGAGCATACCGATCACCGAGTGGATCTGCAGCGCGTTGCGGAGCCAACCCAGAGCCATGGATGGGTGGTGGCGGGCCCGGAGGTTGATCATCAAGTTGAAGCCCGGGTCCGTGTAGACGATGTGGGTCCAGAAGGCCGGGAAGTAGACGAGGTCCCCCGCCGACGAGACGACGTCGTAGTGGTCGATGGTCTTCATGAGCTTCGTCATGCCGCGGCTCGGCAGGATCCTCGAGACGGCCATGTTCTCGAAGCTGCTCTCGTCGCTGGGGACGCCGTGGGCGCCGAAGGTCGCCGGGTCCCAGAACTTCCACCGCTTGACGCCCGCGAGCTGCACGGCGACGGAGCCGTACCAGGGCGCGCTGTGGGCCTTGGCCGTGAAGCGCTGCTCCGTCAGGTTCGTCGTGAACATGTTCCCGAACAGGCAGTTCTCGAAGATCTTGTCGAAGCGCTCGGGCTCGTTGAGCATGGGGCGGAAGTGGTCGTAGGTCCACGAGTTGTCGAAGAAGAGCGCTTTCGTGCCATTGCTCAACGACTCGACCCCCTCGACGAGAGGCTCCTCCTGCGATCCCGAGTGCTTCGTGAACTTGGAATTCCGCAGGTAGTCGTCGGAGTCGTCCGGGCCCTCGCCGATTTCGCGCGTGAGCACCGTCGCCTTGTCCAGGGCCTTGAAGTCCGCGTAGAGCTGATCGAGGGGGCTGTGGCTCGGCAGGCGGATCTTGTAGGGGTAGGGCATGCGGAACGACGCCGAGCCGCAGGCCTCGACCATCTCGAAGGGCACGTAGGCGAAGTCCTTCGGCATTTGGATGTGGGCATCGACGGACCGCTGGGTCATCACGAGCTGCTCCAGGAGGGTGCAGGCGCCCGTAGACGACAGAGCCGCGCGCCGCTTCATCGCAAAGCCCGCCCCCACGGCGACGGCCAGCGCGGCCAGCATCCAAGGCAGAGCCGCGCGCCGCTTCATCGCAAAGCCCGCTCCTACGGCGACGGCCAGCGCGGCCAGCATCCAAGGCTTGGCAAAGGCACCCATGGCTCCCAATTCTTTCTTGGGCAGCATCAGCGGCGAGTTCTCTCTCTTGAAGCTAGCCATGACGCCCTAATAACCATGGAGGCCACAGGGTTGCACATCGCTGCAGCACCGCAAAGAGCAGGGCACTGCTCCGCGTCGCAGCGCGGCGCCGCGCACCCACTTCTTCGGCACGATGTGCGGCATCCTGGGCATCTTCGACGTGCCTCCCAACACGTCTCAGAGCGAGCTCCGCAAGAAGCTCATCGAATGCGTCCGCACCCGGCGTCCCGCCGCCCGCCCCCCCCCGACGATCGCCGGACGCATCCGATCCACAGGCGCGGCGCCTGCGCCACCGCGGGCCGGACTGGAGCGGCTACCAGCTCCTGAGCCGCGCGCCCGAGGGCGCGGGCCTGAAGAAGTCCGGGAGCGGCACGCTGCTCGGCATCGGCGCGAACTCGTCCTCGGAGTCGCTCACGCGGCGCGCCGCGCGCGTCCGCCCCGGAAAGGCACGGACCCGTCGTGAACACCCGTCAAAAATTCGTAGGCTCACGATCTCCGAGGGCGGCGCCCGCGGCAAGGCGCAGCACGCCATCGCGCACGAGCGCCTCGCGATCATGGACCCCGAGAGCGGCGCGCAGCCGTTGTTCGCGGCCGCGCAGCGCGGCCCCGACGGGACGGTGACCGTCGAGGAGGCGTCGGTCATCGTCGCCGCCAACGGCGAGATCTACAACTACAAGGAGCTCTACGCGGAGCTCGCGGCCGACGGCTTCGCCTACGCGCCGAAGACGGGTAGCGACTGCGAGGTGCTCATCAGGGCAGGACAAGGGTGATTCAACGTCGCTTCAACTTGAGTGTTCCGCGCGCGCGCGTTTCGTAAACAGCACCCACGCTTCGAGAGCGCTCCGAGAGATGATCGCTCGTCCAAAAATCAGCCGAAACGAGCGGAAATCGACCGAGATACGAGCCTTTGAAGTTGGGAATTTCGCACCCTTTTCCTGCCCAGGTGCTCATCCCGCTCTACCTCAAGTACGGCCTCGAGGGCGCCTGCGCCAAGCTCCGGGGCATGTTCTCCTTCATCCTCTACGACCAGCGCACGGGCTTCTACGGCGCCGCGCGCGACCACATCGGCATCACGTCCCTCTACATCGGCCGGGGGCCGGACGGCTCCGTGTGGATCGCGTCCGAGCTCAAGGCCATGGCCCGCGACTGCCCCTCGCTCGAGCAGTTCAAGCCCGGCCACTGCTGGCGCTCCGACACCAAGGACTTTGTCGAGTGGTACACGCCGGCGTGGCGGTCCCTCGAGGGCCTGCCGGCGGCGCCGTGCGACTACGGGAAGCTCCGCGAGGCCTTCGAGAAGGCCGTGGAGCGCCGCATGATGTCCGACGTGCCCTGGGGCGTGCTGTTGAGCGGCGGGCTCGACTCGTCGCTCGTGGCGTCCGTGGCCCAGCGCTTCCTGAAGAAGAAGGTCGCGGCCGGCGCCGGCCAGTGGATGTCCGCGCTCCACTCGTTCTCCGTGGGTTTGGTCGGGTCGCCGGACCTCGCCGCGGCGGCCAAGGCCGCGGCCCACATCGGCACGATCCACCACCCCTACACCTTCACGCTCCAGGAGGGCCTCGACGCCGTCGCCGAGGTCGTGCACCACCTCGAGACGTACGACGTCACGACGATCCGCGCGGCGACGCCCATGTTCCTCATGGCGCGCAAGATCAAGGCCATGGGCGTCAAGATGGTGCTGAGCGGCGAGGGCGCCGACGAGATCCTCGCGGGCTACCTCTACTTCCACAAGGCGCCGGACGGGGCAGCAAAAGAGGGCGAAATTCCCAACTTCAAAGGCTCCGATCTCGGCCATTTTCCACTCGTTTCGGCTGATTTTTGGACGAGCGATCATCTCTCGGAAGAGTCTCGAAGCGTGGATGGTGTTTCTGCAACGCGCGCGCGCGGAACACTCACGTTGAAGCGACGTTGAATCACCCTTGTGCTGCCCAGGCGCCGGACGCCGGCGAGCTCTTCGCGGAGCTCAAGGACAAGGTGAAGCAGCTCTACATCTACGACTGCCTCCGCGCGAACAAGTCGACCATGGCCTGGGGCGTCGAGGCGCGCGTGCCCTTCCTCGACGCCGACTTCCTCGACGTCGCCATGTCCATCGACCCGCGGGAGAAGATGATCGACGTCAAGGCGGGCCGCATCGAGAAGTACATCCTCCGCAAGGCCTTCGACGTGCCCGAGGACCCCTACCTCCCCAAGGAGATCCTCTGGCGCCAGAAGGAGCAGTTCTCCGACGGCGTCGGCTACGGCTGGATCGACGCGCTCCGCGACCACGCCGAGGCCCACGTCAGCGACCACCAGTTCTCCGTCGCGCCGCACCGCTTCGCGTACAACACGCCGCGGACCAAGGAGGCCTACTACTACCGCCAGATCTTCGACTCGCTCTACCCGTCCCTCGCCGCGGCCCAGACCATCCCCGAGGGCAAGTCCATCGCGTGCTCGACCGAGCGCGCCTTGAAGTGGGACGCGTCCTTCGAGGGCCGCGCGGACCAGTCCGGCCGCTCCGTCGGCGTCCACGTCGCCGCCTACGACGCCTCCTTCGACGCCGACGCCGACACGAAGAAGGCCGTCGGCCCGGGCGACGTCGGCGTCGCCTTCTAGGCCGCCGGGAGCGCCGCGGCCGCGAAACCCACACACCACTGTCCCCCCGGGGGAGCGAACCGCGCCCCCCTGCCCCCCTTCCGGCGGCCTATTTAAGCGTGCTGCCGTCACGGGAGCCGCCTCGGCCGCGCGGATTAACGCGCGGACGGCGTCCAACGGCATCATCCACCTCAAGTCCTACCTCAATTTCTCAACTCGAGATCTGGACACCGTGCCTAAGCTGGGAGATCGCGCGGCCTCGTTCGTCGGGCAGGACGCTTGGGACGGCGCGCGGCCTCGTTCGTCGGGCGGGACCATGGTCTCCTTCTCCAAAGAAACTGTCATTGCGACGTCCGCCGTCGCCGTCGGCGTCGCCCTGCTGGCGAGGAAGGTCCGCGCGCTCAGCGACGCGAAACACGCCACCACGGCCTTCGCCGAGCGCGAGGACTGCCACCTGACCCTGCCCGGCCCGCACCCGCTCTTCCCCGAGTTCGAGGTCAACGGCCAGGGCCTGCGCATCTTCACGCGCGCCTGGGCGCCGGCGGCGGCGCCCAGGGCGACGGTGCTCCTCGTCCACGGCTTCGCGGAGCACTCGGGCCGCTACGGCGCGCTCGGCGCCGCGCTCGCGGCCGCGGGCTACGCGGTCGTCGCGCTGGACCACCAGGGCCACGGCCGCTCCGAGGGCTGCCGCGGCCACGTCGAGCGCTTCGCCCACTACGTCGACGACGTCGCGCAAATCGCGCGGCGCCGCTGCGCGCCATCCACGCCGCGGCGAGCGGCCGCGTCGCGAACCTCCGCGGCGTCGCGCTGTCCGCGCCCGCCGTCGAGCCGGACCCGGAGATGGCGACGCCGCTCCTCGTCTTCCTCGCGCGGAAGCTCAGCAACGCGCTGCCGAAGCTCCAGCTCGACCCCCTGCCCTCCAAGTACCTCTCGCGGGACGCGACGGTCATCGAGCAGTACCTCAACGACCCCCTCGTCTACACCGGCGGCGTCCGCGCGCGCTTCGGCGCGGAGATGCTCGACGCGATGGCGGCCTGCTTCGACCTCGCGAAGCGCGAGTGCCGCGGCGTGCCGCTCCTCCTCCTCCACGGCACGGGCGACCGGGTCATCGACCCGGGCGGCTCGACGCGCCTCTGCGACGCCTGGGCCGGGCCGACGCAGCTCGAGCTCCTGCCCGGCGAGTTCCACGAGATCTTCAACGAGCCGGGCCGCGAGCGCGCCTACGGCCTCCTCGTCGACTGGCTCGGCGCGACGCTCCTCGCGTGACGCGCCTAATTCCGAACCCCACCACGAGCACGGGGAACTTCGCGAATGCCGGCCCCCGTCGTTACCACGCGGCCACGTCCCCCGCTCGGGAAACTTCGTACTGCCAGTGGCTGACGTCGTTCAGCGCCATGATCTCCGCGGCCCAGATCTGGATCTCGAGCTGGATGGGCGCCTTGAAGGTCGTCGGCTGGAAGCTGCAGTTCAGGTGGAAGTTGAAGGGCTCCTGTCCCTTGCCGAGCTTGTTCTTCAGCCGCAGGATCTTCAGGGGCCTCCGCGGGTCGTCCGGGTCGCCCCTGAGCGCGCGGTACGTCTTCCAGAAGGCCTCGGCGTCGTCGCAGACGACGGACGCTCGGAGCGAGTCGCCGATGAAGGCGGCGTAGGGATAGTTCCCGGCGCCCTTGAGGCGCTCGTAGCCGTCGACCTTGGCGGCCATGCGCGTCGTCTTCTTGATCGACACCTCCGGCGCGCATTTCAGGAGGCATCGCGAAAATGCGGAGCCGGCGGCGGCGGCGCCGTCGCCGCCGTCGCGTCGCTCCGTCTCGGCGAGGGTCGCCGCGCCCGCCTCGAGCGCGCCG